ATCTTCTCATCTGGGCTTAGGCATGAGCCGATCCGCGCTTTCTTGTCTGACTGGTGAGGATCGAGGGGTACTAACTCAACGTCTTCCTCAGGCTTCCAACCTTTTTCAAGGGAGCCTTCCGGGCGGATTCCCTCATCTCGATCCTTCTTGTTTGAATTCTGGCATGAGCCAATCTGCGCCTCTTTGTCTGGCTGGCCAGGATCATGGGGTATTAACTCAATGTCATCCTTAGGCTTCCAACCCTTTTCAGGGGAGTCTTCCGGGCAGATTCCCTCACCTTGATCCTGGTTCCTTAACTGCTATTGTGAGGCAACAACTTCCTTCCCTTTCGAGTTTTCTTGTCTGCTAAGAGCGCTTCCTGCCTCGTTGGCAGCTTGCATTACTGGTGTGAACTGCAGCTGCTTGCTCTTCTTGAGCCCTTGGGCTGTGCATCTCCTTGCCATGGCTTGGTCACTGTTGATCTGCTTGATCCCGCCCCCAGGGATGGGATAGCGGATCTTCTGATGTAGAGCAGATGTGATGGCCTCGATCTTGCTGATTCACGGTCGACCCAAGATTCCGTTGTATGGGGAAATCTCGTCGATGACCATGAAGGTTTGCGAGTAGACCACTGGGGGTGAGTGGACATCCAAGTCGATCGTTCCAACAGTGATTGATGTGGCCCCATTGAAGCCGGTGAGCGATCTGGCAAGTTTGCTAATCTTGGGCTCGAACCTTATCTGTTGGATAACAGATAGTTGCAGGATGTTGGCTGCACTGCCCTCATCTACATGAACTCGCTCGATCACAATTTGTTCAATTTGGATGCAGATGACTAGGGCGTCATTATGTGGCAGGTCAAGTCCGATCAAGTCCTTCTTTTGGAAGCCGATGATGGGTGTATTCACAATGGCTGGTACTCCCGTTGTGACTTGGGAGACATAAGTTGCCTGAGTGATCTTTCTCTTGCGCTCCTTGGTGGTCAGCCCGGACTCTTAGGAGTCGGCTAGAATGGTGTTGATTCGAATGACCTTTTGGGGAGGTTCCTTGGCATCTGCATCACGATCCTCGATCTGCTGGATAGCCTTCTTTGCAACGAACTCTGTGCAATGGCCCTTTCTGACCAGCTCCTCAAGGTGACTTTTTCAAGCGTTGCAGTTGTTGGTGTAATGACAGTGCTCCCCGTGGAATGCGTAGTATTTACTGGTGTCTCTTTTAGAGGGGTCTCCCTTCATGGGTGGTGGTCTCCTCACCCACAGCTTGTCCTTCACCTGAGCTAAGATCTGGTGGATTGGGATAGCGAACTCAGTGAAGGTCCCTATTTCTGAGCTTCCCTCTTGGGGTTGCGATCTACGCTTATCTCGGGCTTTTTGCTCGAACTTATTGCTCTTTTGGCTTGCCTGCTTCGTCGGGTGGTCAACTTGCTTGCTAGCTTTCTTTGCGGCGATACGATCATCGTCCCAAAGTGCGTAGCGCTCTGCCGTCGCGAACACTTCTGCCAAGGTTTGACTTGGAGTTATGGCCAGCTCCCGATATAGCTCGTGCTCGATTGGCAAGCCCTTCTTGAAAGCTGAGGATGCAACTTGGTCGTTGCATTCTATGATGTTAGCCTTCTCAGCCTTAAATCGTCTCAGGTAGTCTCGTAGAGACTCGTCTGGCTTCTTGCGCAGGTTGAACAGGTGGTCCGCATGCTTTCTGGCCGTCTTGTAGGAGGTGTACTCCTTTGTGAAAATGATGGCGAACTCCTTGAAGTTGCCTATCGACGCGGACGGTAGAGTGTGGAACCAATCCTGAGCTGCTCCTCGCAGAGTCATCGCGAACACTTTGCACATCAGAGCGTCGTCTGCCTTGTACAGGATCATGGCGCTCTTGAAGTGCCTCAAATGGCTCTTAGGATCAGTGTCCCTTTTGAATAGAGTGATGGATGGCGTTGTAAACCGCTTCGGCGGCGAAGCTCGTTCCACCTCGTCGGTAAAGGGCGAGCAGTCAACTCGATCAATTTCCTTGCACATGGCCTCCTCCGTGCTTCCTTTGAGTCGGAGACCTCGGAGTTGGTCATTTACTAGCTTCTCGACATCCTCTGCTCACAGGGTTTGAGTCTCGGGCCGACGTATTCGGTGCCTCGAGCGCGACTGGCTAACTTCTTCCTCGGTTCCCAATGGTCGATCCCCTTAGGTGCCCTGCCCGTGAGGCAAATTAAGAGATTGAGCTTGTGAGGATTCCTTTGTAGCTTGTCGCTGCGTGTTGGTCCTCGAGCGGGCTGGTGGGCATTGATCATCATCCTCTGCTCGCAAGGAAGGTCGTTCAGGTCGACGTCTTCGGTGCCTCGAGCGTGATTGGCTAACTTCTTCTCCAGCTCCCAAGGGTCGATCCCCTTGGTTGCCCTGCCCGTGAGGCAGATTAAGAGATTGAGCTTGTGAGGATTCCTCTGCAGCTTGTCGCTGCGTGTTGGTCCTCGAGCGGGCTGGTGGACATTGATCGTCATCCTCTGCTTGCAAGGAAGGTCGTTCAGGTCGACGTCTTCGGTGCCTCGAGCGTGATTGGCTAACTTCTTCTCCAGCTCCCAAGGGTCGATCCCCTTGGTTGCCCTGCCCATGGGGCAGGAGAGAAGGTTGAGTTTGGAAGGATCCCTCCACAGCTTGTCGCTGCGTGTTGTTCCTCGAGCGGGCTGGTGAGTGTTAATCGTCATCCTCTGCTCGCAAGGAAGGTCGTTCAGGTCAACGTCTTCGGTGCCTCAAGCGTGATTGGCTAACTTCTTCTCCAGCTCCTAAGGGTCGATCCCCTTGGTTGCCCTGCCCGTGGGGTAGGAGAGAAGGTTGAGTTTGGGAAGATCCCTCCACAGCTTGCCGCCACGACCGCTCACTAACTCGAGCTCCTTGTAGACCTAAGCGAGCACGAACATTGGATTGTGGGCCTAGCCTCTCGAGCACATTGGTCCTGGGACCTAACCTCGAACGGCTCAGAGTACGGCTAGCAGCTGTCTGCGTCTCGTCTGCACGATCTTGCTCTCTCCCCTGCCCGTTTGCCCTTGTCTGACCAGCTTGGGACCTCTCGAACTGCTCGCCAGCATGCTCGTGTGCCCTCCTCTCCTCGTCACGGGGTCCAAGGTTGGGGCCTTGATTCAAGTTGATCTGCCTGAGTAGCTGGCCAATCAGGTTGTTTTGATCATCGACCTTCTGTGTGAGTTGATCAACCCATGAGTTAAGGTCCACCTGACTGTGCGGGTCAAGTAGAGTGGTGAGCATCGGGCCCAACAGCATGTGGGCTAGGGCTCCATTAGACGCATACACAGGTGCATATGTTAAGTGTGATCGCAGAGGAGGGAGAGAATGGATCTGCTCCAAGACCGGGACGACGTCAGAGTAGCCGTGGGGCTGTGCAACTAGTCCGGTAGTTAAGTGGTGTGGCTGCTGCTGTGCTCCAAAGGCATGACAGCGAAGCAGAGCAGCTCCGGTAATCGGCGCTGGCGACTGCAAGGCTGTGGAGGTCCCAGGGTCATGTGGAGGCTGTTCTGCAATTCCAGTAGTTGAAGGCGGCTGCAAAGCACTAGAAGACGGCTGCAAGGCATTGGCAGCCATGATTCTGTGTGGTTGCATTAAGGTTTCCACCACGAAACCATGAGATGGGCCCGTCGTGGTGGCGTTACTCTTCGTACATCTTGTATCAACCATGGTTGTTTGAAAAAATGTGTGACAGATGGATTTGGAGCATGCTTTGAATATATCTCGTGCTCTCAATGAAAGCACCAATTTGTGGGAGCAAATTTCGTCCCACTAGAATATTCGTCTAAGATTCCTTCGTCTTCTCCACTTCTCTTTCTCCTTGCAAAACAAATCGGGGTAAAAGGACCACACCCGGGGGGTGTTGGCCAAAGGCCCTCCGATGCCTAAGTTAGGTAGAGTATTTCAAGGAAAACCGGGTGGCCAGAGCCGTGTGTGGTGGTCGGAGCCTTGTGTCAGAGAGAGAAAGAAAGTGGTGGCTATGGTTTGTGAGAAATAATTTCTGCAGAGTTTCAGTAGGAATTTAGACGTACCTCCACCCTTGTGTGTGACCATATTTTTATAGTGGTCTCGGAGGCTAGGGTTTCAGAGGAATAATTCCGTAGTTGGTAAGGAATTATTCCTCCCCGATTTGGCATTGATTTGATTAATTAGGGATTTGATTTATTAGGGTAAGTCAAATCCCTAATTGTGGTAGGAATCAAATCAAATCTCAATTTAATTAGGTAATTATCAATTTAATTGGGTAACCCCCAATTAAATTGAGTAACTCCCAATTAGGTTGAGTAATTCCCAATTAGGTCAAACAATCCCCAAATGGAAGGAATTATTTGACCTAGGGTTTTGATTTAATTAGTTCCCACATATATAATACAAATCGTAGTCTAAACTGCAAGGGGAGGGGGATTTCTCACACACACCCTATCAAGGTGTCATGAAGATTGGAACCTGAGATTGGTCTTCAAGTCAATGCCTTTTTTCACTGAGCCAGACCTCGTTGGCTTGTATTATTGTACTATATTATATATTGTTGGTATTGAGTTTACAAACTAATAATACCCAATAAATGTGGGTGATAAGTTTACAAACTTTATCACACTTATCACTTTTTACTCTCAAAGACATTGGGATCAAGACGCAAAGAAAGAAACAAGTATTTGAGGAAAGAAATACTCCAATATACCGAAGAGTTACTACTCTTGCTTGCTCATGTACTTCAACTTGAATGAGATGCATAAAATGTAGACATACAGGAAACACCAAAGTCTTCGTAGAAAGTGAATGCTATGGTGGAAGAAAAATCAAACACTGTTGCAGGCAAGTTCAAAGAAACTGCTGCAAATGTGAATGTAAAAAGCTTGTGAGTAAAACTGTGCTGCACACAGAGACCACCGGCCACTTTACTTAACAACCATTGTGCTTTTCATATTTAGTTGTTACTTTCCAACATATGTAGTCCCATGTTTCAACACCAAGTCCAATAAAAGACTTCGAAACCAAACTTCAACTCCAAGTCCAACAATGGGATGCTACCGGCCTGTTTTCTCTCCAACATGTTTTCTCATTTTAGTCCTCACTCTATTTTTCTACTGTTTTGCAACTGCAAAAACCAGGAACAGTTTGGAAAGAGGCTCTTCTCTTTCAGTAGAAGATGATTCTGATTTCCTAATCTCCCCAGATAAGTCTTTCACATGTGGGTTCTATGGGGTGGGCACAAATGCCTATTGGTTCTCCATATGGTTCACAAATTCTAAGGACAGAACCGTCGTCTGGATGGCTAACAGAGAAAGACCAGTCAATGGCATGGGGTCCAGAGTTTCACTGAGTCGAGATGGCTCCATGGTCTTGAGAGATGTGGATGGCACAATTGTCTGGGAGAGCAGTACCTTCACTCCCACTGGTGGTGCTGAAAGGGCAGAGCTTTTGAATTCTGGCAACCTTGTTTTGAAAGACTCACAAGGTAAAACTGTCTGGCAAAGCTTTGATTTTCCCACTGATACTCTCCTCCCAAATCAACCCTTTACAAAGAGCATGAAGCTAATATCTATGTTGGGAAGAGGGAACGTCGGTACTGGCTACTATAGTTTTTATTTTGATCATGACAATGTTTTGAGGTTGATTTATGATGGTCCGGATATGACAAGCGTATATTGGCCTAATCCTAGTTACAGGGTACTTGCTAATAATAGAACAAACTACAACACTAGCAGAATTGCTGGTTTTGATGAAATGGGAAATTTTGTCTCAAGTGATGACTTGAAGTTCAGTGCTTTTGACATGGGTGTGAGAGTAAAAAGGCGGTTAACGATGGATTACGATGGAAACCTGAGACTTTATAGTCTCAGTGGTTCAACAGAATCATGGGTGATCACCTGGCAAGCTCTTACGCAGCAGTGCAAGGTGCATGGGATCTGTGGAAGAAATGGGATTTGTGTCTATACATCAGAGCGGCCAAAGTGCTCATGTCCTCCGGGATATGAGGTAGCTGATGCAACTGACTGGCACAAGGGTTGCAAGCCTAAATTCGAGCCTACATGCTCACAGTCCCAGCAATGGAAATTCATAGAGATTCAGCATGCAGATTTCTATGGATTTGATCTCATTTATTATGAATCCATTTCTTTTCTCCATTGCAGAAAACAATGCTTGGAGGATTGCCGTTGTGAAGCATTTAGCTATAGGAAAGGCAGTTGTTACACAAAAGGTGCTCTCTTCAATGGGTACGTGTCTCCAAATATTCCGGGCGGTATTTACTTGAGGCTGCCTGAGAGTGTGGATACGTCACCACCCACAAATCCTAATGTCTTTAATACGTGCAGGATCAATGTGTCAACTACTTACACCAATACCAGTAAAAGGGAGAGATGGATATATCTGTATTCTTTTACTTCTGCAATTGGTGCAGTCGAATTTCTCTTCATATTATCAGGTTGGTGGTTACTTTTCAGAAGATCACATGGTGTGGCACCTCCCCAAGAAGATGGATATGCTTTGCTTTCAAGTCAATTTAGAATGTATCTCTATGCTGAGCTCAAGAAGGCAACCAAAAACTTTAAAGAAGAGCTGGGAAGAGGGGCTTCCGGGGTTGTATATAAGGGTGTTCTGGCAGATGAAAGAGTGGTGGCTGTCAAGAAATTGGCAGATATTTATAAAGGAGAAGAAGTATTTTGGGCAGAAGTAAGCACAATTGTGAAAGTCAATCACATGAACCTAGTGAGAACATGGGGATTCTGTTCTGAAGATAAACACAGACTTCTAATCTCTGAGTATGTTGAAAACGGATCATTGGACCAGCATTTGTTCCCCCCAAATTTCCTTGGATGGAAAGAGAGGTTTAAAATTGCACTAGGGATGGCTAAAGGTTTAGCCTATCTTCACCATGAGTGTCTAGAATGGGTTATTCATTGTGATGTGAAGCCTGAAAATATACTCCTAGACAGTAATTTTGAACCAAAAATTGCAGATTTCGGCCTGGCAAAGTTATCCCAGAGAGGCGGCCTCAATTCAGTATCCTCTCACATTCGAGGAACAAAAGGGTATATGGCCCCAGAGTGGGCTTTGAACCTTTCAATCACTGCAAAAGTGGATGTTTACAGTTACGGAGTGGTGCTTCTAGAGATATTGAAGGGCATTCGACTTTCGAATCCGGTTGTGGAGAATTCTGAGGAGGAGGAAGCAGAGCTGAAGAGGTTTGTCAAGGTAGCCAAAAGGAAGATTCAATGCGGGGAAGATCGATGGATAGAGGATATGTTGGATTCAAGATTGGAAGGGCAATTCAGCAGGAACCAAGCAGCAAAGATGGTGGAGATTGGTATTTCCTGTGTGGAGGAAGATAGGAACAAAAGACCAACAATGGATTCAGTAGTGCAAATGTTGCTAGAATGTGAAGAGGAGCACAACATTCAGAAGTAATTGCATCTAAGATGCTCATGTCCATTCTTGGTTTGGTTTTAGCTATTAAACTTGCTCTTGCTTTTTTCAGAAGTTTACTTGCACTGCAATTTGTATTATTTACAATTGAGAGATGATTATATAGATGTACAATGAACGCTGCAAACTTGTATCGAGTATATCCATCTCCACATAATGCAGTGACACAAATTACATTACTTCAGTTCTGATCAAAACAAAAGTTTAAATTAGTTGAGAATGAGAGCTCCTACTTAACCTCCGTCCACTTGCTACACTGTCATCTAGTATATTCTTGACGCCATACTTATACTCAAAACCCATCTTCATCAGCTTACTGAAGTCACATTTGCTTCCTTCTTCTGGTCCTTCGAAGAATCTGAAATGAATTCGCACATTCATGATCGAAGAAAATGGATAAAATTGCTGGAGTTAAAAGTTCAAAAGTAAAGAAATCTTTCAAAAAATGAAATTAAGTTGGATCCTTACTCTTTTGCTATTTTGTGTTCTGGGTAATTTTCTTGGAAGTAGCTCGCAATTTCTATGATGTTCAGACTGGAAACTGCGCAGCAGAATCTACCTCTCATGGATGGTTGTTCCATGCAGAAGATATGTGCTTGGCAAACATCTTCAATGTGTACAAGAGGAACCGAACCGTTAACTTCTTGCATCAATTTTAGTGCATTGAAAGAAGGCAAGTCCCTGGTAAGTTGTGATAGAACTACTCCCACGCTTCCAGACAAATATGAAAGAAGAGTTTCTCCTCCCACCAAGCCACAAGGAAGTGTTACCACTTCCAGTTTACCATTATCAATGTCATTATAGCTCAGCACTGCTCTTTCTGCTAATGTCTTTGATATGATATACCCCTTGAGCACATTTCCAGATTAAAAATCAAACATAAGGATTAATATTAATTAATCAAACACAAGGTTGATTTCAAGAGCCAGTTTCATAGACAGAACAAGAGAGGTACCATTGAAAATTCAGTTGAATAAGTAGGTGAGACATCAAGAGGTGTCCAACATGATTCATCAAGGCAGGGTTTGAATCCAACCCCATCTTCTCTCCTCGGCGACGCAGCAAGGATGCTTGCAGTGTAGATGAGTCGCTTAACGGTCTGTGAACGAATGCAAGACTCGGCAATGATCCTCACCCCAGCAACAGCAGCTTCAGCTGTGTCCTTGTACTGCATGTATGTTCAAATTCCCAAACTGTCAAGCACCAGATTTCAATAATCAAACTATCACACAAGAAAGAAAACCAAGGCTTCATTTCGCGTCCGATAATGAATTGGATTGTTGTTCAAGCACTAATTGGACTAAGTTATCCCAGCCCTTTTGTTTGAACATCTTATCCTACAAACATGATATTAGACTAATTAAGTCCAATCCCATATGTTATAGCTAGTATGAGTGTGTAACCTGAGAGCTTTGGTTGTTATGCTGCATCGGAGTGGCCACGTGAAAAACAAACTCACATCCTTGGATGGCGGGTTGAAACTCATTGGGGTCATATATGTCAGCTTGGAAAAGCAACAATTTGGTGTCTGCATTAGGGAGGGACTTGAGAAGGCCTACTTTGGATGCATCCTCTGCAGCACATATGGAGTAAAAAGATACCATAAGAGGGTTACACATATAAAATACAAGCATGCGTAGCAGATGCACAGAGAGAGAGAGAGAGAGAGACCCAAGTTCCTCAGAGTGGCATGGACAGTATGGCCCTGCTCTAGGAGCTTTTTAACAAGCGAACAACCAATGAATCCGGCACCCCCTGTAACACAAACTCTATAAATTTTGTTCTTCTCCATTGTTGCCCTTCGTCTTTGTTCAGATTAATCATTTTTATTTTGGAAACATGTCATACGTAATATGTGGTCCCTAACTAGCCAGCCAATCTTTTTTCAGTGAAGTCTATCTGGGTGCGGGCCCACTGGCGGACTCAGGAATTTTTTAGCGGATGTGCAATTTTGAAAGATTAAAAACTCTTTGTGGATTGGATCTAAGGCTTTTTACCTAGATTGACCTTAGGTCCCTTCATGCATTCATATCATACATGAAAAATTGTTCTATGTAAAAATAGTAACTAAGTATGAAAAATGGTTTTTCGGAATAATCATTTTCTCTTGAAAATTTTTGGCGGCTTTTATTCCTTACACATCAAATAAAAAAACTTGATTTTATGGGATTTTATTATGAAGTATATATTGACTTAATGAGCTATCATTTTTAGCCTAAATCGTATTTTGCACTAAAACTGATTTTTCAAATTTTGATTTGGGGGGAATTTGATTTTGGGAGTTTCACTAAAACACCCAAAATGGAGGTTGAAATTATAAAAAAACCCAACACCCAAAACACTTTATAAACACACCCAAAACCCATCATTACACACACTCAAAACCCATTTATAAACACACCCAAAAAGTTGACTTTGGGGTTGATTTTGGGTGTGTTTCTATGTTTAAATAGTGCTTGGGTTTTTTTATAAATACATGTGTAGGATTGGGTTTATTTATAAATTTGTATTTGATTTTCTAGTATTTTTATTTGAATCCAAATGGGGGGTACTTCCTTATTACATTGTAAACTTAAGTAAATGGAATAATATAAAAATAAATGAAAATAAGGAACAAATGGGCAATTTCAAGCACCCACAATGGTTTTTCTGATGAGGAGATGTGCAGCAGCACCTCCTTGCTCCTTAATAGGTCTGCCAGTGTGCGTGCCCATTTTATAATTGGTCTTTGGTCCCCCCAGAAGATAAGATGTGATCAATAAGTGTTACTCCTTTCGTCAATTGATGCTTACGCGGAATGTCTTTCGTCCACACAAGAAGATCACTTATCATTCTTCTCATCACAAGAGTTGAAGTCTACATGGTCCGCTAAAGTTTGGTTGGCGGACCCGCTAGCTAATACATAACCGTTACAATAAGTACATTACCACTTAAGTTGTACATGTCCTCTTTTCTGGGTTTGGTTTTATTCTACTGTTGCCTAACTTTTCATATATAAACGTTACAATGAAAAATGCTGCAAGCTTTTATATCAGTATATCTATCCCCACATAATGCAGGGATGCTAATTAAATTACTTGAGAAAAAGAGCTCCAAATGAAAAGCCTTCCACATGCTACACTGTCATCTAGTACATCCTTCATGCCATACTTATATTCAAACCCCATCTTCGCCAGCTTAGTAAAGTCACGTTTGGTTCCTTCTTCTGGTCCTTGAGGCAATCTGAAATGGAATTCAGAGTCATAAAATCTATGAAAATGGGAACATTGGCAGAGCCAAAAGTTCAAAACTAGACATATTTTTCATAAAAGTTATGAAGATTGAAAATTAGGTTGGATCCCTTACTCTTTTGCTATCTTCATCTTGTATTCCTTGTAGTTTTCTTGGAAGTAAATTGCAATTTCTTTGATAGTGGGATTGGCAACTGCGCAGCAGAATCTACCTCTCATTGATGAATGTTCCATGCAGAAGATATGCGCTTGGCAGACATCTTCAATGTGTACAAGGAACCAAACCGGTAAATTCTTGCAGTAATTTTAGTGCATTGTAAGAAGGCAAGTCCCTAGTAGGTTGTGATAGAATCCCACGCTTCCAGGCAAATCGGAAATGAATGATTTATATTGGGTGGATGAGACTTTAACGAAAGTATTGCCGGTAGTGACTAAATTGATGTGTGGATCAAAAGATTAAAGACTTACATTAACTGATTAATTGAGTTGAGGGTTTGAGAATGAAAATTTTCAACAAATTCAGGGACCAATAAAAACGAGAAAACAAAACACGAGAGAGGCCAGATAGCTGTCAATTATCTTCATTCAATTTTATTTTCCCAGTCTATTTTTCATAATTGAGTCAATTTACTGGTGATTCCCTTCATCTTTATTTTCATTTGTTTTCCTCTTTTACGCTTCCATAAAAATGACATGTCACTTTTTGTCATGCATACATAATACAATGGTGATAGCGCAAAGCTGACAAAGATTCACCAACAAAATTTCAAATTTGAACCAATGTGTAAAGTTACAATCACTAATATTCATTCTTACTGATCTTGGGTTGCCGCACAGTGCTTAAACCTAGTGATCTAAAACTACGTAGGGCAACCATGTTACCATGAGATTACAAACTGTGTTTTCTCGTAAAACAGAGAATTTGCCATTTTAACATGTAGCAACAGAGGTCGCAAGGGACTAGGAAGTGGGTTCAAATGTAGCCTCTTCATGCCAAACACCGTTCAAATTAGACTGCCACAACCGTACTGCCCCATCATTCCCGGTGGTCGCCAATGTCATCCCACTCATGTCCCATTCCATCTGCCAGACCTAATCATAAAATTAAGGATTTTAATCAATTAGGAAGATTCACAGCCTTGCTTTCATTAGATAATTCACACTGTGCCCTACTAAGGCTCCACAATTGTATCCACTCCAACATACACACTGTTATAATTCCACTTTTTCATGCTCAGATTAACAGTAAGGATTTTGTGCTCCAAAACGAAATGATCGATAACATTTTCAATAGTTAGTATGGATACCTCGCCGTTGTGACCTGAAAGTCGTACAATCTTCTCCAATGAGAGCCTTCCATCTGAGTCAGGGTTTAATCCAAGATGCCATATTGCTATTCCCTTGTCAGTGGCAACAGCAATTACCTCATATGGCCTGAATGAAATTTATACAATTTTACTCTCTAATATAAAATGGAATGAGGCCATTTTTCCTTCAAATTTTAAGACAGGCAGAACCTTGAATTTTATACGATGACAGAAAACAATATTTTCGGATTCCCATCAATTGCTCATCAGTGCTTGCATGAGCAATTAGACAATTCCCTACCTGCCAATGTTTGGTGCCCATGCAACAGAATAGACCTTATCACCGTTGTCATCAGGCAAAGCCAACTCTGCAACTGGGAGCCATCTTTGATGAGCCTGATCAAATTCCCATACCTGTAAAGTAATATCATAAGATTATGTACAATATCATATTTAACAAGTTGACCAAGGTTCTAGACCTGAAATGATACCATAGTTTCAAAATATACTGCAGAAAAGAGAAAGTTGTGTATTGAAGGAGACAAGCCACATAAAATTAATGATAATTGATTAGGAAACAGGATTAAACAGAATTTAGAATACCTTGGAAGAATTAAGTTGTGGTGTGTTTGAATTGAAACCCAAAACAAAGCTGGATTCCTGGCTCTCTCCTCTTTGTGGATTCCAAGATATAGATGCAGCTAAGCACATGGCATTCCCAAACGTAGACACTGAATCAATAACATTCTGAAATTCAGCCTGGGCAAAAAGATCATGAAAAGATAAGGTTACAGAGCAGTTTCAAACTGTAAAAATCTGTAAAGAATCTTTCTGCTTTATGCAGGTTGGCTTTGGAGTTGGTATCTGCATAATATAGGGAGTTAATAGCACAGGAGATGATTTATCATGGTTCAACTGGAGAGATGTCATAAAAAGTAAAAGGGTACAACCATGACAAGAGAGAGTACAAGAGAAAAAGACCCACAAATAAGAGAGAACGAGCAACAGAAACACAAGCTCATGGTCCATTCATTCTAAGTCGTGGCACCAAAACATACAACTAGATGAAAAAATAGGGAAAAAGACATTCAAATATATATACCTCTGTTGTCTTTTTTATATGCACGAGAACAATGTATCATTTTATAAGAAGGAAAAAACACCAATAATCTTATAAGACATAAAACTAGAATTTACCTATAATGTTTCAATTTTGTACAGAACTAACATAATTTGCAAATTTCAGCATTAATTTGGGCTGCATAATAATACTATAACACAACAACAAGACTTATTTCCAGGCTGTAGTATGTTATCAGACTGAATCAGATAAATGATCACCTGAAGTTGCCAATTCTTCAGATCCAAGGGATCTAGTAGCTCATAGACCTTGACATGGCCATCAGAATATGCAGTAACCTATAAAATGAAACAAATTACAGTTCATGACATTTCATTCTCACAAGGCAAATGATGACCATAGTATGTTGCACAGATTTTCTACAAGGGCACCAACTGAATATACATGGCATCCTAAATGATACTAGAAGAAATGAATGAAAAAATTAGTACGACAATAAACATTTGTCACTTCCAAACTTGATTTCAGAACATATAACCGCCAAAACTAAAACGAAGAAATAGTAGCTATAAAAGCTAACCATTTTTAAACCTGACGGTGAGACTCCAAATTGGGTATCTAGCAGTTGAGCGGACCCACTTTTAAAGCTTGTGCAGAGCTTCCATTGAATAGGTTGTGCATCTAGACAACAATAAAACCTAATTTTTCATCAGATACAATGCTCAGTAAAAAAATTAAAAAATTAAAAAACGTTTCGTCAGTATCCCATAAACTAAATTAGACTGATTCAGTTTGAAGTTGATAACTGTGGAAGCTGGGTTAGAAAAGATAAGAAATTCAAGGAAAATACCTTCAGCAGCCTCCTCCCACAGAGACAAAGTTCCATCTGCGCAAACACATGCCACTGCATCACCATACTCTGGAGGAACCCAAACAATTTTCACAATGCCAGCAGCCTCATGCACCTAAAACAAACACAATTGCAATATTTTTGAACACAAAAACACAAGCTTTCAAGTGGAATTGAAAAATTAAGCGGAAAAGAAAAATGAAATGTGTCAATTCCTGATATTTGAAACTAATTGGAACAGGCGGGAGTTAGGGACCTTCGATTTTGAAGTGCAGGAGAAAGAGGAAGAAGCTGGGTCGCGCGTGTCGAAGATGGCGAGGGTTCCGTCGACTGAGCCAGTGGCCAATCTCTGGCCGGAGTAGTTCCACGACGAGCAGGTGGTGCCTTTATCAAGTGCCACCAGAGGTTTCTCCATGTCCGTACAGTCCCTGGAGCTCCAATTCGAGCCCAGGATGGTCAGAGGTGGGAGGAGCGAAAACCTCTTCGTGTAGGGTTTTGGTAAACGTTGGGGCAGGGTTTTAGTCGGGTCGGTTTAGACTCAGAACGGGTCCACCCAGAAATATGTCCTTCAAAAGCCTCTCAAAATCCTAGATGAAATGGCACCATTACTAAATGACAAACCTTTTTTGTTGTTGTCCAAATTGTCATGACAACTTAATACATGTAAGAGGTTTCTTAGATTTTAATCAACAAGTCATGTTAAGCATAATATCTTGTTAAAACTAAGGGCCTGGTAACGAGGTTTAGAGTGAGGGTTTAGGGTTTAGGGTGAGGTGCTACCGTATTATGTGCCAGTAATAAATTATACAACGGACTTTAACGTATAATAATCATTAAAACGACAATCATCAAATGTCATATAAGACTACGAATGGATGGATCTCACATAATTTTACAAGGCACATGTATTTGAATATTTGAAACAACAATCATCAAATATTTTATAAGACTGCTATTAGATGAATCACTTTTTTTTAAAACAAGACATGCATAATTAGTAAACATGTTACTATTAACCCTTATTAAACAAGACAAACATTGCGAAAGGCAAGAAAACCACACAATTGTCGTGTATTAAATTTGTAATTTGTAAAGTGAAGCATGGACGCATTGGATCAATCACTTTAGGTTTCTAGTTCTTCCACATTTGAGTTATATGGACAAGTGATGTAGCAGAGGATCCTTCTTCACTCAAAGCCACTCAAAGCCATTTCAGCTTTAAGTTTGATCTCTTTCATCTTGTTTTGGAGCAACTTCCCCATCAACCTCCATTGGAACACAAACGAGAAAATTTGAAAGAAACCAAAACCCAATCTCAATTGTGGCCCTTCCATATCTCAGCCATCTCAGCCAGTGATTCTGTGGACGACCCTCCTTGGCTCAAGGCCACTTTGGCTGCCTCTTTCAGCTCTTTCATCTTGTTCCTCAGCAATCTCCCTTCATCTCCTTCAATCAATCCCCTTGCATACCTGGCAATATCTTGGCCCTCCACTATGCCCTTGTCATTCATCTCGACCCTCCATGCAATCTTTATATCATCAGCCAACAAAACTGCGTTAATATGTTGCTCTGCATAGAGTGGCCAAGCAATCAACGGCACGCCGTTCACTATGCTCTCCAATGTCGAGTTCCACCCACAATGGGTCAAAAACCCACCCGTTGACTCGTGACTCAGCACATGAACTTGTGGGGCCCAAGATGGGACCACTAGGCCCACCTCTTTGGTCCTCTCCAGAAACCCATCAGGCAAAAAACCCAATGGGTCCTTCTGTTGGGCAGTGGAAGAAGAACTAAAGTAAGTACCATTTTTAGCTGTCTCATTTGGGCTCCTCACAACCCAAAGAAACCTCTGCCCACTCATTTCAAGCCCTAAAGCCAGCTCCTTCATCTGCTCAAGTGAGTGGGTCCCACCGCTCCCGAACGCGACAAATAACACTGACCCACGTGGCTGCCTGTCTAGCCATCCCAAACACTCGTGATCCCCATCCGATACACGGGCTGAATCGAGTTTAATTACTGGTCCGACGGGAAAAACCGGTGGAAACCCTTGTGATCCTTGGGCTTCCTTCAAAGCCTTAAAAATTTCAGGTTCCAAATTTGTAAAGCTGTTTACCATAATCCCTGAAGCCAACTTGAACTTCTTGCATATCCGAAGTGTGGATTTGTAGCCTTGATTGCTCCTATCATGAACCGGGTCCAAAAAATCCCTACCGTGGAGTGGTACGCAACCTGGAAAACGAACCGGTTTAGGCATGTCCCTATACGCACAAGAAGTGGTCTCATCAAGCCACGGCAAATAAAAGCCAAAAGACAAAGCCATAGCGTTCGTTGACCAAAACATGTAGGGCGCCACATGGCATTCATTAGCCACATCAAATGCGTCCGCTCCAAAAACGTCAACTACAAGTGCCACTAGGCGAGTTGACTCAGCTAGGACCTTGAGAGAGTCGCGTAGAGCGGGGAGGGACCGAGTCATGGTGAGGGCGATTCGTGCTTCGATCTGAGCGTCCTCCGGGAGGTCACCGAAGTTAACGGGAGGGAGAAAGGTGGAGGATATGGACTGAGGGTTAAGGGCTTGGAGGACTTTCTTTTGCGGGGTCATGGACGACCCGTCGTTCGGGATGATGAAGGTGACGGTGAAGTTGTGATGGACGACGAGTCGTTTGGCCAGCTCGACGAGGGGAATGAGATGGCCCAGTCCTGGAGTGGGGACGATGGCCACATGGGGTGGGTTGAGTTTTTGCTGGGTGTCTAATTCCATGATTGGTTTAATTTGTGTGGGGTTTGTGTTTGCCGAAGTATTTAAGGAAGATTTTTGTTGACCGTCGGATGGGGGTGTTGATCAGGAGTGAGGATTTGGGACCGTTGGACAGGGGTGTTAAAGGTATTTCCAAGACAGTCATGCTCCATGACCATCAGTATGATTTGATAACCCCAAGGCTAATTTAGTCATTTACACAGCCACTGCCAAATGAAACAACCAAGAGAGTAACCAAGTGTACCTCCCATCCCAAGATAACATATATAAAACATAAACAACAAAACCACGTGGTGAGTCTACGAATGGATAGTTCATGTACGTGATGAACATATCAACATACAAAATTACCCTCTCGTCGATCATGTGATAGATTCGTGTCGTGGGAATATCATGTGACAATTTGGTAGAAATAATTAGGTGAGTTTATTATACACAAGTTTTGGTAGGAGAAATTAGTTGAGTTTATAACATTAGAAGAAAATGATTTTGAATTATTTTACTCGAAGAAAATGCAACCTTGAATAATACATCCAAATACTTAAGAGTACACACTGCGAAACTGCAATAGGGCGGCTCATTAAGTCGCTGCCTATGCTTATCGTAATGGGGGCTGTTTCAGATGGGGCCAATATAGCCCGCAATGGCTCTTTAATTTCCTTGCAATGGATGTACATCTTTCCATCCACTTTTAATAAAGTTAGCTTTCGACTTTGGAAAAAAAAAATACATCTAAATAGTTAAAAGAAAGTGTTTCTTATTTGTTTTGTGAGAAATTCGAAACCTTGAAAGAATGCAAAAATTTTATTTTTATTTTCTAAAAGCCATTAAAATAAGAAGAAGGGAAAAAAGAGGAAGAAGAAGAAAGAAACCAACATGCAATGACTGCTTTATTTGAGGAAGAAATATCCCAATAAGAGAAAGCAATTTTCATACCAAACACAAAAAAGAGAAAGCGCATGGGTTTTTTGTTATAGGTCTTTTTTAGTGAAAAAATTTGGGGTAGGCAGCTGACACTGAGTACTTGCACTTTGGTGCAATGGGCCAAGCTGTCAACTGACCTAATTCGTGTTTGTATTATATGATAATCTTTTTAACTTTCAGGAAAGTGAATCCAATATACCCTACCTTTTCAACCAATATTTTTATCATTTTAAATTCTTAGAAGAGTAACCAAGCTTCACACCAAGCTCATTAAAATAGATAATCCTAATCTAAGCCACATATTAAAATAGATATCCTAATCAAAGTCACATATCCCACATCTGAAGTTAACGTCACAGCCCGTCGACAGCAGCTCAAACTCATTTTGCCTTGGGCTTTGCCCCGCTTGATGGAGCCTATCTCTTGTCCCGACAAGAATTGCACGCTGGAAATAAATTTTAAAACCTATAAGACCTTTTGCCTAAAATAAACTATTAGGGTGGAAATATTTTAAGTAGCTGAGGTGGCATCTCCAATCTGCATATCTAGCATTGGAGAAGCTCTAATACCTAACCAAAAACAAAAAAAAAAAAAAAAAAAAAAAACAAAAGTCCAAAGTCCATGTGTTCGCTTTTGAAAATTACCAAAAAACCAAGAAAAAAAAAAGCTGGATATGTGATTGAAGGGAGTGGGGTACAATAAGTGAGAATGATGAAGGTTTTTTGCTTCCTGTTTGGTGCAACTTCAAAAGAGAAAGCTTGAAGTTCAAGTTTTCATAATAAGCAGTTAGGATGGGACCAATTTCTGCAATTCTTTGATTCTTGGTGACCCTTGAAATCGATATAAGATTCAAAGGGAAGGGGGAAGTGTCACTGCCATGATAACAGTAAATTTTCTGACTACCAGTATAATCTGATCTAAGCATTTGTCTTGGCTCAAATAAGATGTGAGACAAATTAATTAACAACTAAACAAGGGTTAAGTCTAGAATTTGAAACTCCAACTATGAAATGACCTTTTTGAGGTACATGCATGTAAATGAAGGATTAGATGAGAATAACATAAATACAAAAATACAAGTTGTTATAATCTGATATTACTCACCTGAAAAAAAAGGAAATACACTGTACACAAAAAGCAAGTGGATGTGACGAAAACAACAAGGAGTGCGGGGCCCATTTGGATGAGATATGATAGGCTGTCGGAAAGAGACTGATCCATTTGTCCAGTTGTAATTGCGGTGGACCTACCCCAAAGATCGGAGAGACTTTTCATGTCGCTTGTGCCATTTTTTTACTTCCCTTTCATTATCAGCTCGACATTGGGTCACGTCGCTTGTAGTTTTTTTATTTCCTTTTTCAAATTTTTAATAGGATTAATTTTTTCCATTAAACTCATTTTTATCAACTTTTTTCTTCCTATGCTCGACATTAAGTCGCTGCCTATGCTTTTTGCAGGTTTTTTTGTTATAGGTTTTTTTTTTAGTGAAAAAATTTGGGGTAGGCAACTGCCTACCCTACCCTTGTTGTAGGACTGCCACTGAGTACTTGCACTTTGGTGCAATGAGTCGAGCTGCCAACTGACCTAATTCGTGTTGGTATTATATGATAATCTTTTTAACTTTCAGGAAAGTGAATCCAATATACCCTACCTTTTCAACCAATATTTTTATCATTTTAAATTCTTAGAAGAGTAACCAAGTGACGAGTCTACGAATGAAGTTAACGTAAGTGGTTTTGTTCGGTAGCTTCTTATCTCTGCATGTTAGAGTTGTGCATTAAAATAGATAATCCTAATCTAAGCCACATATTAAAATAGATAATCCTAATCTAAGTCACATATCCCATCTCTGAAGTTAACGTCACAGCCCGTCGACAACAGCTAAAACTCATTTTGCCTTGGGCTTTGTCCCGGTGGAGCCTATCTCTTGTCCCAATAAGAATTGGACGGTGGAAATAAATTTTAAAACCTATAAGACCTTTTGCCTGGAATAAACTATTAGGGTGGGAATATTTTAAGTAGTCGAGGTGGCATCTCCAATTTGCATATCTAGCATTGGAGATGCTCTAATACATGACTAGTCGTTGACCAAAAAAAAAATAAAATACCTTGACTAGTCCAAAGTCTATGTTTCGCTTTTGAAAATTACCAAAAAAACCAAGAAAAAAACAAATCTAACGATCATCATGGCTTTAACTGTAGCCTGGAGAAATTTCAATGTGAGGTTTACATCTTGTTCCCTAAGAGCATCCACAATGGGTTCTCTAAACCACATTATTAGACAAATTTTAGAGAGAATTTGGAAAAATACAACTCCAATCATGCTCTCTATCCACCTCCTAAAATAGGGAGTCATCTAGGAGCTTATAAATCTGAGGAGATGGAAAGGACTCCTAGTAGCTCCCTATAATTTAATGTTGCTTTATTTAATGAGTATTTCAAACATTTATTTAATGCTAACTATTTTTTATTTTATTTTTTAATAGAGATGGATCAATCAAAAAAGAGTTATAGCATTTATGACTCTCCAAATTATGGAGTATGGTTGGAGTTGAAATTTTTTAGAGAGCTCATAAACTGGTTTTCTTATATTTTTAGCTAAATTTTAGCTAAGAAATAGATAACATCATTGTGGATGCTCTAACAACTTCTAATGATAGAGCATTTAACATATAATTTCAATGAAAGGTTTACATCGAATATAATGTTATGTCAGAACTCAAATATAAATACCATGATGAGCTACAAGTTCTTTATTAATTACATATCAAACGTCGATATCCAAAAACGATGCATATAATGGAAAGTAATGTTTTGATGACAGAATGAAGTGGGAAAAGATAACAAATTATTTTCAATAAAGATAAAGGCTAAACCACATATGTTCATTCAATCTGTCATGAAACCATTATTAATTGACACATTAGGTTAGATTAGATCTTGAGGCCCTTCCATACCCGAGCCACCTCAGCAAGTGACTTGATAGAAGACCCTTCTTGACTTAAAGCCAATTTGGCTGCCTCTTTATACCCTTTCATCTTGTTCCTCAGCAATTTCCCTTCATCACCTTCAATTAGGCCCCTAACATACTTAGCAATATCTTGGCTCTCCACTATCCCCTTATCATTCAATTTGACACCCAAAGCAACCTTCAAACCATCAACGAGGAGCACCCTATTCATCCTTTGCTCTGCGTAGAGTGGCCAAGCAATCAAAGGCACACCATGCACAATGCTCTCCAATGTTGAGTTCCATCCACAGTGAGTCAAAAACCCACCCGTCGCTTGGTGACTCAGCACTTGGACTTGTGGGGCCCAAGACGGGACCACTAGACCTACCTCCTTGGTCCTCTCCAAAAACCCATGTGGTAAAAAACCAGAAGGGTCCTCACAGCCTTGGACGTTAAAATAATTTGCATTTTTAGCTGTCTCATTTGGGCTCTTGACAACCCAAATAAACCTCTGCCCACTCAATTCAAGTCCCAAGGCTAATTCAGTCATTTGCTCTTGTGAGAAAGTCCCACCACTCCCAAATGAAACAAACAACACTGACTCGTTGGGTTGCTTATCAAGCCACTTCAAACACTCATTCCCTTCGAACCCATCTGCTGAACTGATCTTTATTACTGGTCCAACCGGATAAACCGGTGGAAGACCTTGTCCTTGTTCCTTGAAAGCCTTGAAAGCACCCGGTTCCAAGTCCACAAAGCTATTGACCATAATCCCAGCAGCCGACTTATACTTCTTGCACATCCGAACCATCACTTTATAGGCCTCATTGGACCGGTCTTGAACCGGGTCCATAAAATCCCGACCGTGAAGGGGAACACAACCCGGAAGTTGGACTAGTTCAGGCAAGTCCCTATACTCACAAGTAGTGGTCTCGTGAAGGTGTGGGAAATGAAATATAAGCGACAAACTCAAGGCTGAAGTGGTGAAAAATATGTATAGGGGCACGTGGAGTTCATTGGCCACATCAGAGGTATCAGCACCAAAAAGATCAACAAGAAGTGCCACTAGACGAGTTGACTCGGTTAGGACCTTCAGTGAGTCGTGCAGAGCGGGGAGGGACCGAGTCAAGGTGAGGGCGATTTTTGTTTCGACCATAACGTCGTCAGGGAGGTCATCGAAGCTCACAGGAGGGAGGAAGATGTAGGATATGGCCTGAGGGTCGAGGGCTTCAAGGAGTTTCTTTTGGGGTGCCAGGTGTGACCCATCGTTTGGGATGATGAACGTGATGGTGAAGTTATGATGGACGACGAGTAATTTGGCTAGCTCAACGAGGGGAGTGAGATGGCCTATACCTGGAGTTGGGACAATGGCAACATGGGGTGGTTTGATCAGATTCTGCTGCTGGCCATGGGTGTCTAAAGCCATTGTAGTGTAAGTAAACTCTAGGGTTTTTGGGTGTTGAAATGAAGGAATATGGAAGAAAGATGGAGACAATTATTATAAGGAGGAGTTTGTGTTGTTGAATTATTTGATGGGTTTGGAATCTTTGGTGGGCTGATAAGGTCATGGTGAAATCTTTGGTGGGATGATAAGGTCATGGGGAATGTTTGGTGGGATGATAAGGTCATGGGCTCATGAGTCATGACCGAGACTGCGTGGCTTTTTGTTTCTCTTTTTGCTTTGAAATCGTCAACTTTAACCAAAAGCAAAACCCCTAGAAAGTTTTTTTTTATAGTAAAAAAAAGGTAGATTTCTCTCTCAAATCTGACATCACCACTCACATCATGCACACGTAAAGTATGTATCATTGTTCAGTATATAGGGGTCTACTTTCATCTTCATTACAAATTTCAAATTTTAAAAAGCTTTTGTGTCCTTGGTATTATTGAAAGAACATATGACTTTTCAAACATTATAAAAGTATACAAAAATCTTAATATACTTTTCACTTTCTCTCACAATAATTTGCTTAAATCCAATTAAGAATACATGAAAAACGCGAGGTTTGTTTTCTTTTTTGTTTAAATTCATTACGTACTTAGTAAACTCTACTAATTCTTTTCTTGGCTCCATTAAAAATGTAAGTATGTCACAATATCAGTTGATTTAAAACAAAATTTACAATTGTTTTTTGGAATCTCACAAGTCTTTCCTAAGTCAATACATATGGTCTCAAAATGGAGAAATTATAGAATACTATAGTAGTATAACCGCATAATAAGTATTGGAATGATCTCTAAGACCGTCCCCAATGGAAGCCTTAAATTAGGCTTTACCTCCTTAGGGCTCATAGATATATGAGTCCTAAATCTGTGGACTCTATATCATGAAACTCGCCGAAGATAATCCTAAATCTGTGGACTTGTATAAGGCCTTAGAGCCCAAGCGGGCCCCATATTTTGAAAAACTAAACCTGCAAAAGCATGAAAAATCAGCGAGCCCTACATATTGAAAAGTATTAAAAATTACTTTTCATGTTGCAACGGTCCTTTGTTTTTTCCCCTTATGTTTACTGTTTCATTCTTCTTCTTCCCCTTTTGTTTATTAAATAAATTAATATGTTTTTTTTTTTTTTAAAAAAAGAGTACAAATTTGAAACATTTGGACTTTATATTTTATTGTGTTTACTTTCAAATTATGTCTTTTTAATCTTTTCCAAATTTTAATTTTTTTTGGGTAGAAATGCTAGTAAAAAAAATACTAATATAACATAAACATACATTAAAACAAAATAAGTTAACAAAAAAAAAAAATTAATGCGTAGAATAAATTACATCATAAATTAAATATAAAAAAAACTTACAGAGCCCCGGATATAGAGCCCCCCATCATAAGAAAGATACATTTAGAGCCCGTAATATTCCATCGAAGCTCTAAATAGGACTCTATCCACCATATTTAGAGCCTCAACCATTGCGGATGGCCTAATCTGCCGACTTTGCATCTCTAATTTCAAATACAATAAAGTTTGAAATGACAAATTAACCCTCAAGTCCTTTTCAAGAACACGAATCCAAAGCCTAGAAAAGGACGTATAAGCTTTTCTCTGTTCTTCCTCAAATGCTGCCTGTTATGTTATGTTGGAGGAACCAAAAATAAAGAATTTCCAAAAGCAATTTATTTCTTTTGGGTCAAGTTTTGGACATGATGAAAAGCCCAATCTTGCTAGAAATCGACCAATTTTGGGCCAGATTAGATCCCAAGGGGAAGGACTAAATTTCTTCATTGATTTCTTCTTAAATACAAAATTTTCTTCATAGTGAGAATTAATTGATTTTTTGTTTGTTTGGGTTTTGAAATTTTGAAGTTGTGAAGATTGTACTCGGCCCAAATTATAGCTCATTTACTCACTTTGTCATGTATTTGATGAGGAGGACACTGATCTCGATAGGTCACTGGTCTAAAATTTAAGAGGCTTACCCACCTAGATGTGTCAAGAATGGCCTTCTACATAAACAACCTGGTCCCACCTAGATGTGCTAAGAAATTATTGTGTGGTACTCAAACAAGATTTTATGACGTGTGCGATCATATGACGTTAAAATTAAAAGCATACAAAATTAATAAATATTTGCTTATACGAGTTATATTGCGTTGTCCCACTATGGTTACTCCATTTCATTCTCAGTAATAAATTCTGTTAATGAATTATTAATATTTGTTAGTATTATATTTTTATCGCCATCATCATCCTCTAATTAGGTCCTTAATTGAATAAGGACAAGTATTCAAATCGCTTTCATCACATATGATATGATGATAAAGATGCACTCGAAACTCAATAGATACATTTCACCCACTATCTCTATCGTCAATTTCTTCCAATATGATAATTGGCAAATAGATTTTGTCTAGTTAAAGCACAGTTCTGTAAAATATCATGGATATATTATATGATTTTTATTTGCCAATTTTATTTATTTATTTATTTATTCCCAACTAAACCCATGCATAGTACTTGTGTCATGGTAGTGATGCTAGCTAGACTATGTTTTTTGTTTTTTTTGTTGATAAATTCTAAAATTGCATTCATAATTTAGTCAAAAAAGTAAATAGTCATAGAGGGCCAATACAAACTAGCCACAAAGGGCTATTACAATAACAGAACGGTCTAATATCAAAATTAAGACAATCTAGTGTGCCTCTATTAACAATAACGCAGAAACGAAGAAATTTTAACATAAGTATTTCAACTAAGATTGCAAAGTCAGAATAATTAAAAAATATAAATAAAATTCTTATAAAGGAGAAATGAAAATCTCTCATAAATGAAATTTATGTGATGGATTTGAGGCGACAATTGTAAGAGTATTGGACAAAGAACAAGTAGCCTAACAGGTGGGAGTTAAATACTATATTTGAACCTAGATCGAAGCCATGCAATTGACCGAGGCACATATACATTGACCACATAAAGCAGTCAATAATACAAATGGATGAACTTGTCAAAGTTATAAACCCCAAGAAACATGATCACATAAATAATTAACCAACAGCATCGATCATTACACATTAATCTCTTCTTTTCTTTACACATAAAATTGTAAAAGCCATATTAAATACTTATAATATATGCAAAAATTAGTATTATTTTATAGCTAATTATATAATAATTAAACTACATATTCATTAATTAAGCACATGAAATACCAATATTAGAAGTACTAGTAGCTGTAAATCGCTCCGAGGTTGTCCTCCTGACCAACGCCCCAATCTCCGGGGAGAGACCACCGAAATCAAACTCATGAGGAACCACCTCAGGAATTGTCGTAAGTGCACCTGTCTTGTCGTACACAACAAAAAACCCTTCCTTGATGTTGGCCTGCGGATGATCTGGTACTCTAAAAACGACACCAGAATTGTTGTTGTTGTTGCTGTTGCTGTTGCTGTTGCTTGATTTATTTGGCTTGAACACGGACCTCAGAAGCTTCTGAATCGAGCGAGAGAGCTTGTTTGACGAGGGTTTTTTGTCGGAGGCTGTTATGGCTGGCTGTGAAGGAGGAGCAGCAGGAGGAAGAACTCGGCGATCAGACAGATGAGGCATTGACATGGTTCTGCATGATATGGCCGAGTCGATTTGGCGCTTGAACGAGTCGAGCTCTACCGAGTCGTAGAGTGAGCTGCCACAATCCCACACCGGCCTGGAATTGTTGAGAACCAAGGCCTTAGATTGATTTTCATCGTGTTGTTGATCTTTCTTTTGATTCAGGGTTGGACGAGAGTCGAACTCTTGCAGTGAGCGACGACGATGGTTTGAGGCTAATAAGTTATCTTCGCCACTTGCTTTATAAGCTTCTCCGACTTTCATCACTTTATATTGATGTGCCTTGTGTTCTTGTGATTTCTTTTGGTTCATCGGAATGGCAGGATGAGAGTCGAATTCTTGCTGTGTGCGTCTGCGCGGATTTGAGGATAAGTGCTCTTTGCCGCTTGAGGTATAAGCACCGACCTCCATGAGAGAGAGAGAGAGAGAGAGAGAGAGAGAGAGAGGTGGTGTTGCTTGGAAGCTCGAGAAGTTTTGTGGATGTGTATATGTAGAAGTTTGGGTTTAAAAAATGGTTGGTGAAGATTGAAACGCGTTAGTTATGAGTTATGATGACATGAAACTAAAAAGAGGGAGGTGGAGTTGGCAGCTACCCTGCTTTGCAAATTGCACAGTGTTCACGGCCATCATATTTGGACCATAACTTTACCTTCAGGCCTTTGCCGTGTCCAAGCTTTCCATTTATTAAGCCCTCGGCTCATTGAAAGTGAGAAAGAGACAGAGTTACCTTTGACTTTTCCCTGTCTTATCTTATTATCTCCAGACAAGAAACAGAAAACAATACAAAACAAAAAGGAAAGATAACTAAACAACGACCAGTCTTTCTCTTTTCAGGTCATAATCCAGTTTTCTTATTATGAATTTTATTTCAACGATCTCAAAACTTTAAAATATAAATAAATTAAAAATTATTTAAACATCTAATTGTGACGAAGAGAAAAAAAAACCATTGATCTCGTAGTTTTTCTCTTTTAATATTAAGTCCAACGTCCCCGGATAAAAATAATTATTAGGAATTGCAGGTAATGGAAGCGAGTGACTACTTTTTCCATTATTTTTGTTTCATACAAATCAGCAGAAGCAGGTATAATAATATGTTATTGTAATTATATATATTTATTCCCTTTCTATGCGTCTTCGTTTTATATTAATTGTTGATTGATGGGCACGTTGCTTAGACTTTGTCTAAGATTTCAGATCGAATTTGTTCAAGTATTTAATATGGTACATAACATGAAAAGGTGTCGTCGTATCCTCCAAGTGCTTGTTTGTCAAAATTGTTTAGGTTTATGGTTCGATTTCCTCCAATATAGCTAGAATAAGAAAATGTACAGATGACGGGACCACGGCGGCAATCGTATCCCAATTTTCATTTTGGTATAAATATTTTCTATGTAGTTGGGTCAATAAGGCTTAAATTAATCAATGGGAATGTGCCTTTGAGAGTCCACCTAAATTAAGGGACGCATTAGCACAGCAAGGCACAAAGTCACATAAGTAACCCTCTAATCACATGTCAATGACTCAGTGTGAAAGGATCAATTATGAAAAACCATGCTTTTAATTAATATTAAATTGAGATATTCATATCCTACATGATTAAAATAAATAAATAAAACTTGGCCCAAGTTCTAGAAACTGTACAGGTTTGCTTGCACAATACATCACACCAAACTGAGATTTGGTAGCAACTACTATTTGGTCAAACATAATCTCTCAGATTTGAATATGTACTCATAATTTGTTTAGTTTAAGCTTATATTTGAGTAAATTGCAAATCAGCTTAATTAGGATATTACAAGGGCACTAAACGGTACAGTTTCTCCCTGGCAAAGGGGGTTAATTAGATTGTACATTTCACAAGCAAAGGCTGCTGTGTGGTTTTATGTACAAGCTTTTAATCAACCACATCATCACTAAACAGCTTAAATTTGCTGGCATCAAGAACCAGTTTCCTTACAGATGAAAATGTGCCCAAAAGTCCGGCGCCTGTGAACACGATCATTATAGATAAGTTGATCCAATAAATGAAGGTTGATTTTGGAGGCTTATAGGTCTTGTTGTAGAGAAGCATTGGCAGGATGAAATCTAAAGGGATGAAGCCGACAGCTCCAACCACACCGCTTATGTCTCCGAAAAATGGAAGCATTGCTGCAAAAAAACCGCAGAGCATCATGTACAGGGATCGGAGAATTATTCGAGGAATGAGATTCCTTTTTGAAAACATTCCTTGATTGACATCAGCTGATTTCTTTTCCATGATCTCATAAGCAACTTGAGAATAAACCTGCGTCATATTGGAGAAAGATCACCTCAAATGCAACTTTAAATAGGCTTGAAAAATCAGACAACTGTACAGAAATGTTTTCCCTCCACCATTGTAGTAATTTTCCCCTCCTGTTATAGACTGTAATTTTCAACTTGGTATGAAAAGCACATGAGTAAGCTTACCAGGCCAATGGCTAAAAGCTGAAGGAGTACGAAGATCACAGTAACCGCAAGAACCCAAGTTGGAGCCAGAGAAGGTCCCTCATCTGGCATTAGGCTCTCTATAATGTTTGAACTAGCTTTGTTCCCAAACACCCAGTACCCGGACACTGCAGTTGAGTAGAAGGTAATGAAAATTACTGTGTAACACATGACAAGACCTTTTACCATCTTTCCAGTAGCTGGTGGCGCCAAAGTTGCCTGCATTGATCCATGGGCACATGATAGAATTAAATAAAAAAGAATATGTCAAACAAGTGATTGCTTGACCTAATTTTTAGATGTTTATGATTTTCACACTAAAACTAGATGGGAACTTGCGCACATGTTCCCAAGCATTCTAGTTAAATCAACCAGATCATATAATGGATGTGCCAACTAGCATGAGAAAGCTTGGAATTTTGCAACTAATAGAAAGTTCCAAAGAGGCTGTAGTTACTTGTATTTCAGGAAGAATTCCGTTCCCGAAGATAGCAGCAATTATGGAGATGGAAGTGAAGGCATTAAACAGCTTTGCTGAATTCGAAGATTCTAAGGAATAGTCCCTCGCAGGGGCATTCTTAGACGTACCTAGAGGAAAAAAGAAATGTTTACCACAGGATTAGGACTTGCTTTCTTAAAATAGATAAATAAATTTCATGATCCAATAACTCAACTGGTTATCTGGCCCCTTTAGTGAAAAATAAACCGTCATTACTGTTGACAATTGAAAGCTCCATGTCTAACTGCTTTACTTAGAAACTTGATAATCGTCGAACCCCTTCTCGAGGATTACACAAGGCATTCCCTTGAGTATTTATTAACAATAGAAGCCCATGCTAACATGCATGATGCATGTCATACAAATTCAATTCCACATTCCTAATTCGGAAGGGTAAAAGTTGTCAATGACACAATGCTAGTTTTGGCACCAGGGAACAATTTGTTGCTCTAACTCGTCCAGAAGAATCAAGTTATTTTCTTTCTGTTTTGATGATGCATGAGTACGATACAAGAGTAAGATACAAGAGCGGAAAGTTACAAGCAAGATATACAGCAATTCTATGCATGAGTGGTACATATATAAATGATGATGCTGAAGGGATGTTGAAGGATTCAGTACCTGCATAAATACAAGCACCAACCACCAGGAATGAGTAGCCCAAGCTGAGAAGCAGCGAACCGAAGTTGATGTGCCTGAGGGAGTGGAAAGTTGGAAGCTGAGAGATGACTATCATTACCGCTGTAACCATGGCTATGAAGTGGTACAATTTCAGAGATCCATTGGGAGAAAGTTCTGAATACATAATCTTGCCGAAAAAAAAGAGACAATCAAGATAATGCAAGGTTACTAAAATAGGAATCAGTTCACAATAAACCAATTTTCTATTGATACTTTTGGAAGCTCATGTGCTGATGAGATATTAATGATACCATACCTTAAGGCATTCTCCAGCCAGCAGAATTGCTCCAATTCCAACCCCAGTGTTTATGGCCGTTTGAATGAATATCACAAAATAAAACATCCATCCTGACCCTGTAAACAAAATCAAAACGCCCCACACACTTTCAGTTAATACAATTAAAGATTCCACATTTCTAATTCAAGCAGGACAGACACAGAGCACCACTAATAAACAATGTAGCCTTTTTTGTATTAATCAAATCCAATTTGTGCACCAATTTCAGACTAACGTTTAACAAACAGAATAAATTCCCTGCTGCTTTGCAGCTTTCTCCACTGACAGAAAAATAAAAATCAAAGATTGGTAGTGCTTTCAAGTTTTCAACCTTCCCTACCGGCGTCGGAGCCTAGGCCGGGTTCTGGACGACCAGGTCAGACCCGACCCGACCCGAATTGACTCAATTGCAATTACATTCACACACCACACGTTTTGTGGGCAAGAGCCACGTGTACTTCAACGTCGTCAGATGGAGAAGTCAAAGTTCAAAGAGCAGAGCACCAGAGAAACAACCGGAGCAAAACGTGTAAACGAGTCTGCCGCCGCCCCAAAAGGACGCAAACACGACCGTTTCGATTTCATTTTTAAAAAAATTCGCGCAACAAAAGAAAAATAAAACAAAAACATGCAAAATTCAAGAAGTAAGAGGAAAGCAAAAACATGTGGTGGTTAGTTAATTAGTTTTTTTTTGGGGCAACAAACATTACCGAATTACCAACCATTTACCAAACGACGTCGTGTTAGAGTTTTTGCTCAGAGTTACCTAAGACATCGGCGGCGAGTTCACGGAATCGGATGTGGCGGCGGCCAGCCTTCTCGCAGTGGTCGAGCACCTTGGACATGAGGTAGTAGGAGTAGAAGGTGACGACGCCCATGGTGGTCAAGCACAGGAACCCTGGGCCCCACCCGAGGCCTCGGAACGCGTACGGCAGCGTCAGTAGTGTGGGCCCCACTATCGCCGTCGTCAGATGGAACCCCGCATGCCACCACTGCCCTGTATAATAAATAATATTACGTAACGCATACATAATAAACCAGATAAATTAATAAAATTGGATGAAAACAAAAACAAAATTAGAAGGAATTTGAAAAATGTGCGACCTTTTGATTGGAGGACGAAGGCTGCGCCGGCGTCTTCGTCGCGGCTGGTCTCCAGGAACGGTGCCGGGTTCGGAGGCTCCGGCATCATTTGGTGAGAGCCGCCGAAAGAGGAGGGTGTCCGTGGTGCAGGGGTGCGCAGGTTAGACTGAGCTGAAGGCTTAGTTTTTTAGGTTCTTCCGCTCGGGAGGAGTAAACTAAGGGCTAAAGTGCGCGGGGTGCGGAGAGAACATTTGCCGCCCGAGGGAAAACACAAACACAAAGGTGGTTACATAGCGGAATGGTTTTAACTTATTCCAAGTAAACCTCTCTCTCACTACATGATTTTACAGAATTGCCCCCTTCTGCTTTGTCTGTTTTCGTTGCAAGTGGGGAGGGGGGGTCGATTTGGTCTTTTCCTTTAGCGCACACGTTGGTGTGAAGGAATAAATTATCTATTTTGTTTGCAACCCAGTAAAAGAAAGTATCTTAAACGGCGCGTTTTGGTCACTGTTTGTTCGTTTTTGGAAGCCCACTTTCAAACAAACCCACTTGCGGCGGCGTTGTTGGTGTTGGTGTGAAGCCTAAAGGCACTTTCAAACAAACCCACTTGCATTGTTGTTGTTGGTGTTGGTGTGAAGCCTAAAGGCACTTTCAAACAAACCCACTTGCATTGTTATTGTTGGTGTGAAGAGTGTTAATAGCCAATAATACTTCATTGCAAAAAATAGATGGGGCCATTCATTCATTGTTGCAAAGGCTAAAAGTTAACATCAAAGTTGAAAATCTAAAAAAAAGTACAGAGATCAAAGTCAGATTAGGGCGCCTAAGGCCATCAAACTGATGGACATGACCTACTACATGTGCTCAAGAAACACTTGAGCATGAATGAATGAGAATCAACAGAGAGAGGTTGCAGCAGCAGAAGCAGCAACACTTTTGTTGTATTCTTCTAGTTCCTTCTTGTATGCCTCCATTGCTTCAGCAGCCTTGTCATTCCAAGGCTTCCTCTCTTCTTCACTCAATTCCTATACAACCCCCAACAGAAAAAGGATGAGTTTAATTAATCAATCAAAAGAAAAATGTTACCAAATGCAATTTTGAATGAAAGGGAGGGAACCCACCTTCCATTTCACTGAAATCAGTGCAGTGATGGTGGAGCTGTTGGTCCCTGGTCTCTCCTCCAGTAGACTCTTTCTTGCCTCCTTGCTACAGTATTCAAAAGAAAACCACGAATCAGCTATTTTTCCCTTTTACAGGGTTTTGCAACATTTACTGAGTGAGTTTTTTTTACCTGAACAAGATGTATGAGGAGGCAGGCTTCTTGGGCTTGTTGGGATCATCAGCATTCTTCTTTTCTTCCTTCTTCTTCTTCTGTTCCTCCTTTGTTTTCTGTTTATTGTACAACTTGATTAGTAATCATTTAGAAAAAGAAAAAAAAACATGTGACAGAAACAATACTAATCAGTGAACAATTTGACTAGCAAACCTTAATGATGTTTTCTGTCTTCTCCTTCTTCTTAAGCAGCTGCAAGGCTTCATGCTTTTGCAGTTTCATCAGCTCTTCCTCTTCCTTTTTAAGACTGGAAGCTTCCTCTTCCTTCGTCTGTTTGTAAACCTCCATCTCTTGCATATACTTCTCCTTGTTCTTCTTTGCCATCTGCAAGTTTCGAAGAAACCCATGAACTCATTATGTTAGCTGGCGCAGGGAAAATAACATCACAAAAGAGAAGGAAAAAGCTTTGATGTGCTTGCTACCTCTTCATATGGACTTTTTTGTTTCTCTGTCATGTTTTTCCATTCTTCACCTGTGATCTTTGCAATCTACAAAATAGTCCCAAAGTTGACAAATTAAAAGAGATCAAATGAGTAAATACGGATGGAGCTTTTTCAAATGGGGATGGTGATTTTCAATTACCTCAGGGACAGTTTTGCTCTCTGCAACCAGAGCTGCTCGCCTCTCATTTGTGAACAGGAAAAACGCTGACATCGGTTGCTTGGGTTTCAATGGATCCTTTTCTTTCCTGTAAATCCAAAATAAGTAAAATTATCAATTCTATAGTCTCCTAGATAGACAGCCACAGAGAGAGAGAGAGAGAGAGAGAGAGAGAGAGAGAGAGAGATGAGTTTTACTTGGTTTTCTTGTTGTCTTTCTCTGCTTCTTGTTTGAACTGCAGGTATTGTTCAAGCAACTCCATAGCTGTCTTCTGCTTGTGCTCCTCCTCCAATAGATGCATTGCTTCACTCTCGCGCTTCTCTTTTGCTGTCACTTGCAAATAAGCTTCCTTCTCAGCCTGGTACCTCTCTTCATAAGGCTTTTTCTCTTCAGCAGTGACGTTCTTCCACTTGGCCCCCAAAATGTTTGAGATTTCTTTGAACTCTGCCTCAGGGTTCTCCTTCTTGATCTGCATCAAAATCCCAAAAGAGAATTTAGAAACTGTTTCACATTCAAATCCCCAGAACCAAATTATACTCTATCTCTTTACCTCATTCCATTGATCTTTGCACCATAGGACATAAGGAGGGGCTGGCCTTTTCTTTTCAGGACACCCCTTCTTTTTTTTGTCGTTCAGTGATTGAACAATTGGGAATGCCTGACAAGGATATAATAACAATTGTGTCAAATCCCATTTCAAGATTATAGCATTAATTTGATCAAACACCTAAGAACCTATATATCAAGAACCCTTATGAAGCTTGCACATTTTCTCACAATTTACCAGTAACCAAACAAACGAAAAACCCAAAATCAAGGATCATCAAACCAAATTTCAGGTTTTTAATGTTTTGCCCATTCTTTCAGAAACCAGCCAGAGTCTAATGCAACAAAAGAATCCATGAGAAAATAAAGATAAAATTGAAGAAAAATAAAGGGGACCGACAAAGAAAACCCTAAGAACCTAAATCAAGAATCGAGGTTATAATTTTTTTTTCAAAAAATACCCAAACAACATATAAGAACCCTTAATCAAGAATCATCAAACCAAATTTCAAATCTTGAATACATTTTCTCAGCAACTACACAACACAAGAACAGTAAACACAGAAACGAAGAAACGAAAGGGGATCAAGAAATACACACCATGGTGGGTTTGAACTCCTTCAGCTTCTGCAGCTTCTTCAACTCCATCTGAAGCTTGTCTTGCTCTCGGCCCTTGGTTTCTAGCTCTTCCTCCTTGAGCTTCAAGATCTCATCTTTCTCCTTCAACAGCTCTTCAGTCTTCTCCTTCTCAAGCCTCATTTCCTGAAGCTTCTCTTGCATTTCTTGCAGATCTTTCTCGAAAGACGATTGGGTCTCCTTGGACTGTTTCTTGGAGGCCGCGGCCTTCGATTTCGATTTCTTGGGGGATGCGCGAGTCTGAGAGAGGCTCTCATGGTTCTCCTTTGCCAGGTCGGCTTGAGATACCGCTTGGATTGGGCTGGGATCGGGCTCGGAGACCTTGCCGGCCTGGATATTGGCTTCGTTTCCAGATGGGTTTTTGTCCTTGAGCGCCCTTCGATTGGTCCTTGCCTTCCTTGTGGGCACTTCGGCAACTGCAGTGTCAGCCATAGCACAGAGAGAGAGAGAGAGGAAAGAGAGAGAGAGAGATGGAGGTTGGAGGATTTTGATTTTGAGTGGTTGTTGAGTGGAGGAGAGCGGTGTTTATATGGAGAAGGCGGGGGAGACCCAACGGTAAGATTTTTAAAATTCAAATTAATTTTTGAGATTGGATAGTTGTTGGAGGTCCGGGACTTAGCCTTTTTTGACCGTTGGTAGAAACTAGGAAGCGGGCACAAGTTGTTACCATATAGAGAGCACAATTTGAATTATCTTCCATGCATGGTTCTTTTCTCTTTAATTTGATACTTTTCTTCCATATTGGCCAAAAGGAAATGATAAACAAAATTTAAAATAATTCTTCATTTGGCAAATCCCATTTCATACATGTTCATGCCAATTTTAATTTTACAATTAGCGTTCTCTGAATCAAAGGTTGTTAATATAAACTACTGATTATATAAATTTTTCCTCATATTATGTAATGCCAAATTCACAGTCTAATAATTTAATACATACGCATCTGACGATAGATTCGATTTAACAATAGGGGTAGGATTCACCGGAACCTTACGTTCTTGGTGGGATAACAGATCATTCATGCAATCAAACTAAACGAAGAAGGTCTCCCTATTTTTGATGAACAATTAGGAAGATGGAGTCAACACTTTGTTATATACAATAATTGAACATTTCATAAGAACACCCAGTAACACGACAGTCAGAATTCATGATCTACTTAGTAACCTAAGGTGCCCAAAATTAAGTGATTTCATATGGTATAAAGATGTCTTCATTTCCAGAGTCATGATTAAAGATGATAGTAATCAACCTTTTTGGAAAGAAAAATTTATTAATGGTCTCCTTAACCTATTTGCTCATAAAATACATATAGTTCTAAGTAATGATCAAGGTCATATAGATTTCGATAATTTAACGTATGGTAAAATTATTAGTACAATTAATCAAGTAGGAATGAAAATGTGTGTCGACATGAAGATAGGTAAACAAATTCAATCAGAAAGAAATTCAGCCAAATACGAACTAGGAGATTTTTGTGAACAGTATGGTCTAGCTTCCATTCCCCCATCTAGAAAAGCCAAGCCTAGTTACCATAACTGACAAACTAGTAAACGTTTCCAGAGAGGGGAACGGATTTGGATGGGAACAAGTCAATGCTGGATATTATGCAAGCTTTGCATAAAAATTTGATGATTTATTCAGCAGGGCCTAATTGGAAAAAAATCATGCATTCTTTTTTTCTGCATAAGGGTGACATGTATGAAATACCTCAAATTTTACTCATGTCAAAATTCTCAAATATGAATATTCAATCAGCTTAGAGACCATTATGATCATTTACAACGTAATGTTTCACACTTCTTGGCTGCAGATAAAGGAACAAATAATCTTAAATAAGATGAAAAGAACAGATTTCTGAATTAAGATCATAAAAATTTGAAGTTTATAGCTTGTAATAGTGACAGAGGTTCCAGTCCTTTCGTTGCTCAAAGGAGGGTCTAAAGTGGCTGAAAGTCTAGGGAGGGGAGGGGAGAGTCAAATTCTCACTGCGAATGTGGAGGTAACTGCTCTTCCACTACAGCTATGCGCCTGGACAACAGAGATAACAGTTCATACAACATGATGATCTTTTTGCGGTATTCTAGTCTTTGTAAGCACGTATGAGGATGTCAATGACAGGCCAGTTGACACTGGTAAAGGTGCAGTCGGGGCAAAGATGACCGATTTATGTGGAGAAGAATGAAGAATTGTAGTATAGACAAGGCATAAAAGGAATATGAATCATGATGTAGAAGGATCCAATATATATGCTCTCATGATCTAGAAGGGGTCACAAAATAAGAATTCAGGCACCAAACTAAGCTGATGTTCTCAGCCATTTACCACCATCTCCATTAATATATCATTCCAAGAGTCTATTGGCCCTGGTAAGCACCAATGCAAACAATCAGTCTGAACCTTTGCGTTTTTGTCGTGGTCAAATGGATGATAATGTCTATATGGACCTGGATGCCCATCAGGCCTCATCAAAGAAAGCGGGACAAGGTCAAGGAGTTTGAGATTCACCTCACTTTTAGAAGCTTCTGCAGCTGCCTTCTCAAACACCTCTAGTTCAATTCTACGCAGAATCTTATGTACCTCCTTCAGTTCAACCTCACCTTCTTTAACTGGGGCTGTTCTCTTGCAATTTCCCCCATTAAACCACTCCCCGTTCTCAAAGTGATCAGGAGTGGACGTTCTAAAAAAGATCATGCCTTTGTAATCAGACGTTACTATATAGTCCATCACAAAACTCAGGACTTTGCGATAAGAAAAATCAAACCCCAACTCTGTTAGGTTCCTTTTAGGACAGTAATGGCATCCCAGCACTTCATTGTTCTCATAGTAGATTGCAGTTTTGAGAAACCATTTCCCTGTTGAAATTACCATGTAGTCCCAACTGTGGTATTGATCCACCCATGTCCTATCAAGCTTGTCAAGATGCAGCTCAACTTCAGATGTTGCCACACCATTATAGTCTTCAAAAATAGCAGCTTTGGCAAGAAAAGGGGACCAAATAACTGAGACACTGAAATTGTAAGATGGAAAGTGCCATCTTCGGGACCTATAATCCTTGTCATGGTACACTTGAACTGCTCGTTCAACCTAAAGCACAATGTTTCAATCAGATTTGGCACAATCTCTTTAAAGAAGTTAAGTTCTAGGCTTAAACAGTCAAAATAATCAACACTGAATCCATCAACCTAGAATTGAACATTAATGATGGCATGTCCATATTGTAAACGGATGAAGCATTGACCAAATGCAGGAGACAAAAGTAAGGTACAAGCCTACACTTGTTCATGTCATATCTATTATGGTAGCAATAAACATGTGTCTCTGCATGCGCACACACAGACAGAGGGTGGGAAACAGCTTTATTCCAACTCTATTAACTTCGTTAGATCAAACAATTTCATTGGAAAACATTTGTATATCAGGACCCTACTTCTGTAAATAAATATATTTCTTTTCTATGTTTCATGTGGTGGGTTTGCTTAAAGCAATAAATGAAGGCACAATGAGTGGTGCAGCTAAAAAGTGGTAGCAGGCTGGGGAAATTCATAGGCAGTGCAAAAAACCAAATTCTACGGAAGCTAGTGAACTGAGAACAACAGGCATCAATGAAGACTAGGGAGGATGCATAAAGAAGTTCTTCACGATTTATTCAACAATTCTCAGGATTAGAAAGAAAAAGGTTCTCAAGGGGATCACATATACTGGAAACTAAAAATTTTACTATCACTGAAAGTTCGCGTCTTATCTCTACGATAACTTGACTTGTTCTTACAATTCAGAGATGCTAACACTGATTCAGGTTCAGTAGGAGAGGTAGACAAGCCATGTAAGTTGTATTAAGGAAAAATAGGAAGGATATGAAAGGAAGAATCTAGGTGTCAAATAAACACAATGTGCAGATCCTAACTCTTTTAAGCTTCTAGGAAAAATGGAGACTTCAGATTTCAAGATGTGATGGAATTTTTTTAACACTAAGCTTCTGTTCATTTATCCAAAGGCAGCATTTATATGTGATATAGCAGTTCTAACAAATACCGTAGAGAGCATGCACAGCAATGATTGGACATGGTTGCGAGATATCGAATCACCAATCAATGCCCATGCTTTATTCCTCATCATTTCAAGGAATCTCTCTGGATCAAATTTTGGCATTTCACAATCTCGCGGATTCCACCTCCAGTATAGATATCCTGTATCAGGCCGCCCATTCCTTATACAATTCTGAGGATTTTCAATAATGGGGCAGCTCTCATTGTAAGCTGGACCTGAAGTATTTGGAACCCAATCCCCAGTGAAAAGATCACACTTTCCTGCACAAGAATGTACACAAAATTTATTTCCATTGAAAAATACATCACTTCATACAATTCCAAATGAATATAACACTATCTGAAATAAGAGATTCCAGGAATAGTAAAAGGGGCATTCAACTGAAGTAGATAGCAGTAGATCAATCCAACTACTAGCATCAGAATAATATAACACAATCAGAAATGTTACTAAAATAAAACAAAAACTACACGATTTCCCAATATATAGAAGCAGAAGGGGCAATTTCCCAGCTGCAGATCTCAAGTACACTCAAGTGTCACTCACATAGTCATAGTTTCCAATAATAGCAATTTACTCCTAGCTACTTTTAGATTTCTCATGCATACAACACAAAAATAGAAAGAAAAGGATAAACAACAAGAACCCAGCAAAGAAAAGCCAAATTACCTTTAAGGGGAGGTATCTGATCCTGATCATTTTCTGGAACTTCTGCAGAAATCGGTGGCTCTGAAACCACAGTTTTCTCAGGAAAAGGAGTTTCTTTTCTGGGTAAAGGTATCTGATCCTGATCTTCATCTTGTGGAAATCGTACAGGGATTGGTTCATCTTGTGGAACTTTTACAGAGATTGGTTCATCTGGGGGAACTTGTACAGAGATTGGTTGCTCGGCAGCCACAGTTTTCTCAGGAAAAGGGGTTTCCTCTATTCTGGGTGAAAAATACCCAGTCGAGGTAGAAACAAAGAGACGAAGAGCAATACCCATTAAGAGAATTGCAACTACAAACTTCACCACCAAATGCTTGTGCTTGTGATTAAACGATAGATTCCAGTTCAACTTCATTGTCTTCACCACTTTCTCACTGCTCTCTCTGAAAAAGATAATGCAGTCGAGATCTTTGAAACCAACCAAATGCTTGCGGTTGCTGCTTATTTAGCTGATGGAAGAGTGTAGTAAAAAGGCTTAAAACCCAGATTATCACTTAAAAAATCAAGAACATATTTTTTTTTATTGGGATTACAAAATGTAAGATTGGATCGAAGAGGGATTTTCTTGCGTTGTGGTTGCTTTTTGTCTGCTTTGGGATACTTATAGTCTTATAAATAAGTTCAAGCTGGAATATAATAAGGGTGTACGAATAAAGTGATTAAAGTGATTATTGGTGATTATTGACGAATTATTAGAGAGATCGTTTATGTAGAACAAGAGAAGCGGCCTGGTAAGTAGGAATTGCATTTACCCCTGAACCCTTTCTTTTCCCTAAAAAGAAGGCGAACGGTGAAAATATTTATTCTTGCACCGGAGATTCTATGTTCGATTTCTTATCTTCCAATATAACTTGTATATATTAAAAAGAAAAACATCAAGAAGTAAAATGTTGGCACCTGTTTTCACAAATTGTACAAGTTTTATATTAATGTGTTGATTTGTATTATAGCATATTTTAAAAAAATTATGAGATTTCTGTTATTGCTTGAAAATATGAAAATTACCGTTCTCTGTTGCACATTTGCTATATTTGTTGCAGATAAAACAGATTTACAAACTATTGCTAGATTTGTGTGAGTAAGAACATCCTGTTTACCAACCAAATAAAGATTCAGACTTTAATGTCTGCCCCACAATTGTTAATATATATGTCAGCTTCATGTATGGTGGGGCGATAGCCACCTCACTTTGGACTTGACCACAAAGTTGGATATGACATGCTTTCCTGCCTCTGCCATTTGGGGTTTTAAAACCACGGTATCTTCTTTCAAGTTTCAATTATTCCTCTCTTTTTTTTTATAATTATTATCTTCTTTTTTATTCTGTAATGTTTTGCTTGGCAAGACTGACAACAATCTTAGAATATGTCTAGTTGTTGAAATTTTTTGCCAACCAAACAATGAAGCTTTCATCTCAATCAGATCCAAATTTGTGTGCAAGAATAGCAAACTGTATTCATCTTCTCTTACAGCAAAGCCACCCTTTTTTCAATTCAAAAGATGAAATTAGCAAAATCTTGCAATCTAGCTGGGCCAATCAGGCTCAACATGAGACAGAATGTATGAACAAGCATGCTTATAATTACACAAAATTGTATTGTTGCAAATGCAGCAAGTTAAAAATTATCCACCCTCAAACAGAAATGGATGATACAATGGACAATTGCCGCAGCAATTCCAATATGCCTCACAATCTATATGAACAAATCACATCACTCAGAGAGATGTATGAACAAACACTTGAGATTATGAAACTGTAGTCACAACATATTCCTGGATTTTGACTTTGCATCCAACCAAAAGGAACAAGACACCTTAGGAAGTAAACAGGCACCAAGAACTCAACTGGTGATTGACTTGTCATTATCATCTTTAAAGACTCGAAGCACTCCGGTGTTTATATCAGGAAATCGAAACCGCAAAAGTGAATTACACAACCACTCTGGGGACTTTCATGCCAAATCCATGCTTTGCCTTCTGAATTCTGTCCAATGAAATGCATATGGTCATTAATGCAACAATAAGAATACAGATTAAGCGGAACGGGTAAAAAACGGATAAATAAGTAAAATAATTGAATTTAATGGGCTGCTTTCGAGAATTGGCTCTCTTTCAAATCACATCATTTAACAGACAAACTGATGCATAAACATCTGTAATTATGAGGGTTGATGTGTTACCAAGTGGTTTGTTATCAAATTCAGGAGGACTAGCTGGCATTTCTATTATTTAGTCCGTTTGATAGGATCCAGGCCTTCTTTTACAGTTAATAAACAAGCAAGAAAATGACAGTAATTTTAGTGTACACTTCACACACAGGGAGATGACCAAGTGAGGATCAAGTCAAATGGTTTTGATATCAGTTATGCATTTTCTTTTACGGTTGGAATCTCCTTAAATATTGTTTTAGCACGCAACTATAGTCAACTGTAGGCAAGTACAAGGACTTACGTGGGAGCAAGTTTGCCAAGGCTACCTAGCTCTTGCCCTGAGCCCTCATCCGTAACTTTCCCAGAAATTTCAATGATGTAAAATTTATTTTTTGTAGTTGGTAGTCCTCTGCTTGCAAGTAGGTCCAAATCTCTCTGATGTAGCTCTCTCCCATTTACGTAGACACCTGTGTTGCCAGCAGCACAATTTGTTGGCATGGGGTAGTAGAATTCTTCAATAAACGGCTGCAAGACAATAAGAATGCTTTGTTTATAATTTCCCATGAACCTGTACAAACAAAAATTTATAAATGAAAAGTAAATTGTTCTCACAGGAATTATTCCAAGGCAAGTTTGGCCCATCACGCCCCAGAATCCGGCTCTGAAGTCATACCTAGTTTAAGATGCAGATGTAACAAAAGTTAGTTTTCAGCTAAAAGGATTGTAGAAATATCACACTCTTAAACTTGGGCATGAAACAATGCACTAAATGGGAGTCACCATGCTGCCTTACCAGTAATCTCCAGGTTGAATTGGGCCAGCACGCTTTTCGGCTTTTTTAACAGCATGATCTGGCAAAGGTTGCCCATTAATAAAAACACTAGGCCTTGTTCTCTCCACTGCTTGATTAGATTTCGCGAAATCTTTAAAGCTCTTTTTGATGAGACCCACCAAGAAGGAATCAGCGCCCCTGCCAATTTTGGGTCGATCTTCATCTTTGCTTCCCTGTGCAGAGTCTTGAGACATGCTGGTATTGAGATATTCATTGAAAGAAGCATCCACCTCAGTTTCCACTGACCTATCTTTCACAGAATTCTGTCCACATGTGATCTTACTAAAGAGCACCTTGTCTTGGTCAATACATTTACTCTTGTTTCCCTTCCCATCTATGCTTACTGCATGCTTAGAAGGACTATCATCAGACTGCTCCCAAAGAGGCGAACCGGGACGTGCTGGAGAAAAGGAATCTTTTGTTGGCAGCTCAGCAGAGTCAGGCACATTTCTATGAGCAATCACACTATCTGAGATCTCCTCTTCCTCCTTGGAAGGGATGGAAGATGAAGAAGAAAGGCATTTCATTTTCTCAGATGTATCTAAGTTCCGCCTCTGGTCATCTGCGAGTGGACTGTCTTTGGTATCTATGGACTGCAAGTTATTACCAGAATTATCTAAATCATCACAGCAGAAGTTGGTGTCACCTGCATTCTGACTACTGTGAGAACTTAAAACGCTTCCCTTTAACACCTCATTAGAACTTGGATCAATCTCAGGAGATAATTGGTTGGATTCTTTAGGAGCAGAAGTAATAAGCTTCTTGTTCTTGATTTCAAGTGAGATTACAGTTGAACAGGAACCACAGCGCAGTTTTGACTGATTCTTATTTGTCATGTTAAGTTTTCTCGGCAGTTTCAGTAATTCAAAGCAACTAAAGCATGTGATGATTGGGGCACCACCTGCTACAGGATGGAAAATCCGTCCATGCCTATTGACTGCCGTCGGTCTTCTTGGATGTCTATCACCATCATCGTCAGAAGCAAGGTCACTTTGCCATCTTGTGTGGAATGGAGGAAGACTAGCATTTCGGGGATTATAATTGTGCAGCCGCAATGTTGCAGGATTGACATAATGATAGGAATTCAAACTACTTGGAACATTTGGAACCCCTTTATTACCAAAATCAGTGAGCGGAACTTGGGGAGGAAGTGCAGAATTCTGGTTGTAGCAGCTTAAACAAGAGCATTGAGGCGAGTGAAAAAAATTCTCATGGTGATATGATGCAAGTGGATGCAGATTGAAATCCATGTGCTGCTGCGCCATAAAGTATTCATGAGGTGGTGGTCTTGGATATTGGGGTGGATGATGGGGAGGCCTCCTTTTCATCTGTAGCTGAGATGGATCCTCATATTCTGGAATCACATTCAAGGGATGCCCTTGAGGAGGATAGAAGTTCTGCATATCCATGCTATCATGATCCATAAAAGGAACAGGTCCATGGCTGTAGTTGAAGTGAGGAGGTCTTGGCATCGGCTTGTCTACAGCATATGGCTGCATTGAAAGATTATACGTTAACCGGTCACCATAAGGATCAGGCGGTGTCCTACTCCTCTCTATAGGAACCATTTCCCTTGGTTTATCTGCCACATCGTAAGTTCTGCTAAGTTTCTCCTTCAACTCATCCAACTTCCTAAGAAGCTCAGCTCGATCCTGTTCTAAATTTTCAACTTCACTCAGATCACCCCTATACTTCTGCCCACCATGACCCTGAAAAGAATCAAGCTCATAGTTTGAAGGTCCCTCGTCAGGATAAGCAGATATTGGAACTCTTCCACGCTCAGCAACAACCCTGGGGCTTGCATAATACCCCTCAAACCGATCTCTTTCTACACCCCACTGGTCCATGCTTTCCCTTGATCTTAATGACCCAGCAATATATTTTGACTGGGTTGAAATATCTCCTACACTTGAATTTACAGACGAAAGCCTACTCATGTTCATGTCAAGGTCATTTCCAGAGATCCAATTATCAATAGGGAATTGCGAATTTCGACTGTATTTTTCAACAAACTCAGTTTCTTTTGCTGCACCACTTTGGTCAAGTTTTAAACCCTTAACCCCCTCCCTAACATTAACATAATTATCAACCAAAACCTCTTCGTTATTATCTGTTCTTGATGAACTACCACTAATGGAATCGAACTTTCTTTCTCCAAAGACTCTTCCTTTTCCTCTACCTAGCCTCAAATCCATCACTCTCCTTTCAATCTCAGAATCAGAAATTCAACTATCAAGGCCTCCAAATTTCATCTAATGTCTCCGAAAACCTATCCAAAGGCCAGTTCTTGTTTGCTGTACCATCAAACAATAATGAAAAGGTCCCAGAATCACCAAATTAGTACCTTGAATTTCTCATGAATCATAAATAGAAAGAAAAAACTGAACAAAAATGAAAACTTTGAAGTATATAACATAGTTGGAGCTGCAATAACAGTTCAGATTTCCAAATTCATTTCTATTTTCTTTCCTTTCTTTTCATTTTCTCAATTACCAAGCAAAGATGAAAAGAAACAAAATGCCAAAATGGGAAAAACATAGAGAGCAAACAAGACATACCTCAAGAACAGAACCATAGGAGGCAGGGAGCTCTGGAAGTTACCACCACACTTTAGTCCCTTCAACCATTATTAAGCATCAAAAAACGAAGAACCAGAACACCAAACCAAACTAAAACTTCAAGTTCACGTCCAACTAACCTTGAAACCCACAAAGCTCTCTCCCCAACAACTATAAAAACAACAAACAAAGACTTGTCTTTTTTAAGCTCAACATGCTTCCACCAAAAAAATCAAAGGACACACCAGAAAACAAACATAATCTGATAAAAGCAAAGGCATCATTAAATAAGACACTGATTCTACTTTGGGCTTGGCTGTTGAGAGAAAAGAACACAGAGGCTTTTGAAACTCCCACGTCCTGCTTGGAAACCAATAATTAGATTTCTCAGATTTAGATAAAAAAAAGATAAAATCTTTACAGAATCAAACAAAAGGGTGAGTTTGAAGGCTAGGAAGGAATATGGATTTTGTATATTGGGTCCGATTCCCGATAGCTTCCCTGGGAAAGTCAGTACGTGTGGTTCGGCAAAAGTCTCTGTTTGTGTCTGAGACTAGGCAGCTGGCGTGAAAAGCCAACGCGTACTTGATTTGATGGCTTGTAAGTTGGAAAACGGAACAGCTTATATAATCGTCACGAATTATGCTTTTCTGTTACATCTATGTTCTAGTGAAGAACTCATTTTCTTTTGGAGAAACGATGGATTGGCCGGCGTTAACCACTTCACGACTTGGTTTTAAGAAAATTTTAACTTGAAGCATTTTTTTAAATTGAAAAGACGAACACCCCTAAAGTACAAGTTAGTTAATCATGTGCTTTTAATTGGTCAAAAAATCGTACAATTATAAGTTGAAAAGACAATGAGACTAAAAAATTCATGTATATAGGAAGTTAAGAATTTGGGATAAACTTAGCTTACCAAACTTATCATTAGCATCACCATGTTGGAAAACATTTTGCGGCTTATGGTTTATAAGGTTTTCTGAAAGAGTCTAATGCTTCAAGACACGTTGTTGCAACGCTATCTTTTATACTTTATTTGCCTCACAATTAATGTGTAAAGAAATATGCAAATAAACCTTGTGGATACAATGAAGCTCCGTTTATATACGGCACAGTAGTATGCATTATTACAAGATGACTCAAGATTCTTAGAAAATAAATGTACACTGTACCAGTTCCTAAATGTGTTGTAAATATGTTTTTCATTATCTAGAATATGCATAAATTGACTCTCTTATATAGAAGCACATGTGCCCCTTCAAATGTCATGTAACCCTTCATTCCACCCACTAATTTGTGTACATGTTGCATCCCCAAAGTCTGTATGCCTCTTGAATTGTGATGATAAGTAAAAAAACATCTTTTAGCTTAATAATTTTGCAGAAATATATTTTTCCAGGATTCTTTCACTCAAAACTTGCACCTTTTCATTCCATAAAAGAGATGTCGATGAGAGACAATAACTAAAGGGTTATTATAAAATTTAATTTTTTCCTTCTTTAATCTCTATATATAGAGCAAAATGCAGAATTAAAACAGTGTGATATGTTTATTCTAATATTTGAAATTATAATATAACGAGCCAAAAGTAGGAGCGAGCAAATGTGTCACCTCGGATGGTACCATTTGACTTAGCCCTACATTGAAAATTGAGTTCGATGTCTGTTGACTTTGTAAACGAATAAATTATTTTTCTAGGTCAAGACAACGACGCCTAAAAGAAAGGAATATATTGCAAAAAATAATAAATAAATAAATTTGTTGTTAAAACGTTACTTTCTTCCAAACGCGTATTGTTGGGTTACCCAATTTATGGTTTTGGGGCTTCAACCCAAATAATGCTAGCAGCTGGACCCTCATTGCTAGTTGGCCAGGCCCAAATAAATGGTTTTTATTTCTTTGCCCAACCAAGAAATAAATGGTTATAGTTTACTAAACACACACATACTACACGGATGCTAGGATTCGAAGCCAAGATCTTTTCTAGAGAGAGTATTTGCTCCAAACCACTACATTAGTGGGTCATTGCAAAAATAAATTGTTTATTAGCACATGATTCATGAATTTTAATAACCATCTTTCTACATTTGAATTTGGAGTTAAATTACATTCCATATTAGACTTTTAAGCCCTGTTTGGTTCGTGAAAGAGATTTGATGGGAAATAATTTCTCATTTCTTTCCCACATGATGAGAAATAGAAGATTCGTTTCTATGTTTAATGCTATATTATAATTCTAAATTGTTAATTGGGACAAAGTGCTCATGAAAAATGTATATTTAATGTTGGCTCATTTTGGTTTAGGAGGAAAACAAAACCCAAGTGGGAAGGAGAACTTCACTTTCCCCCTACTTTCCCATGTCTAGATTTACCAAACATGAGAAAATAATTAATTTCTTATCTCCTAACCTCCTTTTCCATGAACTAACGGGGTCTTAAGGCTTTCTTTATCCACTCTTTACCATGTTATGGACAACACAAATTATCCCACACATATAGTGAAAGCTTGAATATACCGATTGTGATCGACTTGAGTGGATCGATGTATTGTGACGTATTCTGTGTATGCTTGTGTAGCTTTACAATTTTACCCTTATCGATGGAGGATGGATTTTTGGATAGAGAAGTCCTATTAGTTTGACAAACTCTATTCGAGTCAATGGTACAAAGCATAGCCATGATCAACATACAACAATAAGACCTCTTTCTATCTACTTTTCACTTCTATACACATCTCTCTTCCTGCAAAAACGAAACGTCCCAAGAAAACTATGAAATCCGGTCCTTAACTTCTTCCATTTCTGACCACCATTGCTCTCCTTCCTCTTCCACAAACCAGACCCTTTCGTCTTTATCTTTGTCATGCGGTCCTCACCACCAGAGTCCCTGCAGAAAAATGGGAAGGCCATCGTGTGCCGCTCAAGAATATGGCCAACCGAAGCCAGCTCATAAGAATCATACAAGGGGCTCCCACAGTCCCAAATTTTAGCCACAGAAGCAGCAGCTTCTTCTTCTTTCTCTTCCTTCTTCTTCATCATCTCTGCATAATTTGGTTTCTCCGTTTTGAGGCATGTGAAATGAAGATTATATAATGTTCTTGGTCACTAGCTAGATATATGATTGGAACACGTGGCATAATAATATTTGTTGGGCAGCCGAATTTGCTGTTGTTAGTTGTGTGGCAGGCAACATAAAATTAAACGTGTGCCAATGCCATGATAGTGCTGACGAAATAATTTAAATTATTTGGTAGCTAATTAGATGACAATTGATAACCATAAGCTGTGTATATGAACTACAAATTTTTTGAACACTGAGGGATAAGATAGAGAAGAGTTGGGGCCACGGATCACCTAATCATTATGAAAATGTTATCTAACTTTTAAAAAGAAAAAAAATTATTTGGCTTATCTTAATTTGATCTAATCATGATGAAGCTGATTATTAGGGATCCATCATAAAGTTATATTGTTTTATTAGTTGACTGGTTTTATATATCTCTCTTCCGCTAAAGGATTGTTGTGAATCATGATGGACTGATATAATTTTCTAAACCTGAACTTTGGTTATTGAATATCAATCTGCAATACCTGATACATTCTCGAGATTTCATACCCCGAACCTAGGTGATGGAATATGGAAGATCAATTCATAATACTTGGATTAAACTTAGTGGATGGATTTGAGAGGATGTCTCTACTAGTGTCCCTATCATTTTTGAACAAAGTGGCCATTCTATTATATGGCCTTACATATCCGTATTGGTTTATACTTTTTGGATTTTGATTCCAAAGGTGAGGTTTAAGGTTGGTTAAAGCTGGTTGCCAACCAGTAGTTTGAAAGTAACCAAATGGACACAACACAAAGCATAGGATCTTTTGCATTTAAGAAATAAAAATAACAAATAAAAAAGTTCTTTGCATCTAGTGTTGGTGTTGTGGAATTATTCCTTATTTGTCTGAGTGTGCAGGCAGAAAATTACAGCATCAACTTGTGTGTAAAGTAACAGATCAGATTCCAAATCCCTTTCCAAAATAGACTCATCTCTCTTTTTTTCCACCCACATTCATGCCATGACATATTTTTTGTTTAATTTAGGTTTAGGGTCAAACACTCTAGTGCATATAGACCACCTTTTAGCAAACAATTCTATATTTATCTTAAATTTTGTTTTAACTATTTCCTTTTTTTGCGCACGACTGATGTTTTCAGTTAGGAATGAGTTGTTCAATTCTTAAATTTTTAATTTACTATATATATGCGTCTTAATAAACATGACACGACACAACACGACACGACACGACTTGACTCGACTACTGTGCTAATTGTACTGTCAACACATGACTAAAAAACCCATGCCCCGAATAAGTGCATGTTTTTCATGATTACAAGGTTTTTTTCAATGTGTAACACAAAAGAAGTGGCAAAGGCTTTTAGCCAGAACTCATGAAAATCATATGAACAGGGCCATGCAATTTTTTTTTCCAAGTATTTCCTTTGATTTTGTGGCCTTCATGTTTATCTCTTGCAAACGTGTGCGGCTTGAATTTGTTTGTCTAAGACATGGATAAAATTCCGATATGGACAGTTTTGACAATTGATTTATTTTCATCGACCCTTCATTTCATTGATGCTGAGACGTGACAAATGTCAATTTTTCATTTTGCATTTTGGATATTGTGTGTTTTGTGGACCAACAGCATCAAATTCAGCCTCTAATTTAATTTATGAGCAAATTTTATGTAAAAAAATATGAAAAATAAGATACTTTGAATTTGACTGTTCACTCTCTCAAATCAAAGCACCAAAAGGAAAGATAATTTATTGGTTGGTAGAATTAAAAATCTTTTGTTCTTCCTAAAATGATTAATTGATTTTTATTCACAATCAATCACGAAAAGGAAACAAGCACCAACCACAAATAATCATGACGTGTAATTATATGTTGTTATTTATATTTTGTGCGACTCGTTAGTTTATTGCGTTTTGGTGACGCTTATATCGATTATACTTTATAGTATTTTGATTATGCAAAAATGAAGAAGAAAAAAAAGTTAATAAATAAGATTTAACACTTTGCCACAACATAGAATTGTTTTCAAATTTTAAGATTTACCATTTCTCCAACCCATATGATTTTATAATTGGGCGTACTAACTGATTAAGTCCGTTGATTAGTCTCACCAAAACAAGATACACATGTGACCTATCTAAAGAAAACGCGGCTATGTACAACGGTGCAAGCAGATTATTTTGGTCTCAAATTTAAATTTGGGTTAATGCGAAAATAAACACGCACCAAAAATAGATTAGTAGGAATTAGTTGTAAAACCCCAAAAAATAAATAAATAAAAAAACTCAAAAATGGAAAAGAAAAAAAAAGCAAGTAGCGGCAGTTAATACTTCAGTGACAACGGCCCCATGTATATAAATTCCTCAACGCACAAATCATTTCTCCCTATTTCGTCGTCTCTCTACTCGCGTTCTCGTACGCAACGACACGCCGTACATGCGGCCGCTTACTCGCCGATAAATCCCCGGAAAAGCTCCCGAGAAAATCAATCGGCGGCGGATTTGGTCCGGGAGTCCTAGGGTTCCGGCGAGTCGTTGAGATTGTGTGTGGGGTTTAATGGCGTCGGAAGACGTGAAGAGGACGAGCGAGACTGCGGTATCGACGATCGTGAACCTGGCGGAGGAGGCGAAGCTTGCGAGCGAAGGAGTGAAGGCGCCGACGAGCCATGCCTTACTGAGCATCGCCAAGTCTCTCGTCGCTGGTGGAGTCGCCGGTGGAGTGTGAGTTCGCAGCAAATGCTCTTTTTTTTAAATAAGTAAAATTATTTTCAAGTTTTGATTTTTCGTGGTTCTGTTTAGTTATTGGTTTTTTTTTGTTTCCCTGCTTTGGCTTCGTTTGTTTCGATGCTGAATTTGCTTTAGGTTTTGTTTATTTTCATTTTTCATTTGTGGCCTGAAAAATAAGTAGACTTAAAAAGCAACCAAAAAACAAAACAAAAAAAAAGAAAAAAAGAAAGAAAGAAAAAGAAGGCTTCTTTTTTCAAGTTAGTTTGTTTTTCATTGCCTGGAAGTGGAAAACATCTAGTTTTTAAATTTGCATGCAGTGGTTTATCTGTTTTTGGTACGTTTATCACTAGTTGTTTTTTTTCTTTGTTTCAATAGAAGCGATAATTTATTCAAAGCAAGAAATCAAGTGCAATCCTCTAGAAGAACATCCACAATGAAGTTTGGAGGCTCTTCAATGTTTGTTAGAAGTATATCATAAGGAATCGTTTATATTTATGACCATATATTTCAGGACCAAAATACTTGTGGGAAATGAATGGCACACTTGAATTTTGTGTATGAAGATTGTGTGTCTTATAATCTCTATGTTGTTGATTAGCTGTAAGCACCAACTGCTAGTTGCTGGTGCTGTTATTTTCATTAGAGGTTCTTGAAATGGATGTTAGATTAGCAAGTGTGAAGGACGAGTTATATACCATGCATGAAAGTAGTTGTCTCTAGGAATTAGAGAAATTTTTGTTGTGTCACATATAACATGAGGGATGTGGGTGAACTTCTAACCTTATATCTATCTCTTATTGACTACAACTACATGGTGCAGGTCACGAACTGCTGTTGCTCCATTGGAAAGATTAAAAATTTTGCTGCAGGTACTTCTCTTATTTGCACATATGGGAATTGGTATTTGGATCCTTAATCTCGCAAATAGCAGATATAAGCTATGATTATTTTATAATTGTAATGTAATGCATGCTGGCATTGCCAACCCTCTGTTTTTTGGGGTATGGAGGGTGGAGTGCTAGTTGGGACCTAAGCAGTATGCATTTTATATTATTTTAAGCTGGAGTAAATTGGATTTGTATCTTCTTCCATTATGCAGGTTCAAAATCCTCATAGCATTAAATACAGTGGGACAATTCAGGGCTTGAAGTATATATGGAGAACTGAGGGTCTCAGAGGCTTGTTTAAAGGCAATGGAACTAATTGTGCTCGCATAGTCCCAAATTCAGCAGTCAAATTCTTTAGCTATGAGGAAGCTTCTAAGTATGCTTCTCCAGTTCCTGCATCCTCTCTCTCTTCTCCCCCACATTTTTCAATATGATCACTGATCTGTATAGGCAGTTATCATCCGTTGATTCTCTTTCTTCCCCCACATTTTTTAATATGTTCACTGGTATTTGTTTGCAGTTATATTCATTCATTAGTTCATCTTTAGCATAAAGTTTTTTATAGATCAAATGTCTATTTTCATTTCATGTCAGCAGCGTTCTGATAAGTTCTTTACATCTCTATGTACTTTTTGTTAATAGGGGTATTCTATGGTTCTACCGACAGCAAACTGGAAATGGTATGACCACCTTGAGTCTATTTCTTATGATAGTCAATTGAACATGACATTATAGGTAGTTTCATTTGGTATGATTCAATTCAATTACATTTTTCTTATCCTTATTGTGTAGCATGTCAATCATTACGTAGAGGATCATAGTTTTCAGTCTTGATGGGGGTAAGTTCATGGTAATATTTTGGTAAAGGTGTCATAATTATATCGCTTTATGCTTGGGTTAGCAAACCATCCCTTTTTTGGTTTATGGTGTTCACCTAGAGAAGCACTGTAAATTGATTTATGTGATTTCTTTGGCTGAGTTCATTCAGTCTGTGTTTGTTTGTTTAAGCCCTGATTCGGTCAAATTTGGATCAGTGTGTGCTCTATGTGATCAATTTTTTTCCTATTGTATTTGTACGTCTTCTGGGTCCAGTTTTGGGAGGAGACAGAACAGTAATATAGGTATGACAGTTGTGGCTTTGATGGATTATATTTGCTCTACTTCTCCATCTCTTGCAGAAGATGCTCAACTCACACCTCTTTTACGCCTTGGAGCTGGTGCTTGTGCTGGAATTATTGCCATGTCAGCAACTTACCCTATGGACATGGTACGAGGTCGTCTAACTGTCCAGGTATCTTTTGGAGATTAAATTTAAGAGATTTTTTCCTGTGAATGAGGCACTTTTTACTATACATGCACTTTGATGGCTTAAATTTGTTTGAACTTTATTTCTTTAGACAGAAAGGTCTCCTCGGCAGTATAGGGGAATCGCTCATGCTCTTTCAACTGTTTTTCGGGAAGAAGGCCCCAGGGCTCTGTACAGAGGCTGGCTACCTTCTGTCATAGGAGTTGTAAGTGGTGTTTGCTTATTTCTGTATTCTCTATAGTGCTAACAATAAATTGAAACCTCTTATCAATTTTTCAATTCATTCATTACTCATTTGCGTTGTCGATTCAATCATTAATCATTTCTATTGTCGAAGTCTGAACTTCGATGACCGTAGGTGATAGGTTTCATTCTGATGGGATATTTTTTTTCTAGGGTGTATTTGTTTGCTAATTTATTATGTATATCTCTCTTTTGTTCCGTGAGTTAAGACTTTATTCTAATTTTTGTATGAGATTTCTTAATGTTTTTATTTTGTTAACAGGTACCTTATGTTGGTCTCAATTTTGCTGTTTATGAATCTCTGAAAGACTGGTTGATCAAAACTAGACCTTTTGGTTTAGTTGAGGACTCTGAGTTGAGTGTAACAACAAGGCTTGCATGTGGGGCCGCTGCTGGAACTGTTGGCCAGACAGTTGCTTACCCTCTTGATGTCATCCGGAGAAGGATGCAGATGGTAGGCTGGAAGGATGCTGCTTCGGTTGTCGTTGGTGATGGGAAGAGCAAGGCACCCCTCGAATATACTGGAATGGTTGATGCATTCAGGAAAACAGTCCGTCATGAGGGGTTTGGAGCACTGTACAAGGGTTTGGTCCCTAATTCTGTTAAGGTCAGTGTTTCTTTCCCCCGTAAATTTTCTTTTTGTTAAAGGGGAATTTATGCCGCATTACATTCGGACCCATATATTATGTTTTCTGGAAACATTATAATGGTATATTGTCGTTCTTTTAGGTGGTGCCGTCCATAGCAATTGCGTTTGTCACATACGAGGTAGTGAAGGACGTTCTTGGAGTTGAGATGAGGATATCTGACTAAAAGCAAAGAGAACCTTGAGTTGAGCCACATGTTTAGTGTTTGCTCGTAATTTCAGAAGTGAAAAGATTAGTGGACTGCTAGGAGAAGGTAAAATGTCAGGATTTTTTAATAAGTAGGAGGAAGTTTAGAAATAGCCCTATCCTATGTTGATACTCCTTCCCATCCCGTCAATACACATATCTGTCATCAGCCAAAGGCCTATAGTTTTAGCTATCCTATTATTCTTATGCTCTTGGCATTGTGACAATAAGTATTTTGTTTCAAGGAAACGATGCATTTTATTTCTATGGATTTCTGGAGAATAAGTATCAAATCAATTAATTGCTCAGTTTTTTTAAAATTTATTTATTTTAATTCAATATGCTGCCTCCTGTTTTGTGAGGAATGAATTGAACTTTGGACAATGTAATGGTGCCATGAACTTATGGTTTATGTTATGTAAGTGTTTCCACATTAATGTTCTCTCTTTTAAAGTTTGATTATTTTGTGCAAGTCAACTTTCAATATTTACATTTAAAGATAACTAGCTTGTTTCATATGCGGGGCACGGGGGTATCCCAAGCCCCTTGGCAACAGATGATTGGCTCAGGATAGCACCAAATTGGTATCCCTGGTATACGTAAGTCTTTCTCGTATGCATGAGTCCCTGCTTTTATATTATCGGCCACCCGGCCGTTTGATGAATCCAAGAAAATCATTATTTTTCTTAAGATTTAGTAACAGTTGACGCAAATAAGTTAAAACTTAATGATAAATTCAAATCTTATTTTAATCCGTAAATCCAAATGCAACATTACGGTTTGCACTTTCACAATAAGAAAAAAATTAAAAATCTGAAAAGACATCTTTTGATTATTAGCAATACTTCTTGGTTTATGATATTTCATAAAATGATACTAACAAAATTTAAGGTACCAAAAGTTTCTGAACTTTTAGACGTCTTTTCTTCTTCTTCCTCTTTTTTTCCTTTTTTTTTCTGTCATATTTCACACTATAAAAGTGTTCGAATAAAAAAAGGGAGCCATCTGCATTTTATACATGCTGCATTAATGGACGAGAAAAAAGCAGCAGCAAAATTTACAACCAAATTCATGCGCATACTTACTGATACGCTCAAGCTCTACCTAAAATGTTTTATCAACACTAGCCAAAAAAAAAAAAAAAAAAAAAAAAAAAAAAAAAAAAAGAAAAAAAAAAAAAAAAAAAAAAAACAACAGACTAAAATGGTCATACTGCAATGGAAAGGGAAAAAAAAAGAAATAATTATCCCCAAGGACGAGGAAACTAAGCCCTCCTCTGGCCTCTTGCAGCAGTCATCTTTGAGAGCACTTCCTTGAGATCATCATACCGGCTTCGGTGATACTCGATCCACATGCACAGCTGCCTTATGGCTTCCCTCTTCTCCTCCGCCAATCCTAGTAAGCCCTCATTTTTCTCTCCCACCGTCTTCTCCAAGTCCTCTACCGTCCTCTCAAGTTGCTTCACAGCTTTGATCAGACCCCCCTTCTCCACTTCCTCCCCGCTTGCAGTTGCCCTCAACTTCTCAACCTGCTCTCTGAACACCAATGCTTCTTCTTTCTTACCACGCAGTTGTTCGATTAGGTCCCCTACCTCCTCCTTCAACTTCACTCTTTCACCATTTGTTTCCGCAACCCAGTTCTTTGCAGTTTGAAGCTCCCTTGTTGTTCCTAGAATACACTTCTCATACTTTGCATAGTCATCCAAAAACTTCTTGATCACAGATTCCAATACAGTCAAAGAACTGTTCACATTTTCTGAGATATGCGTGATGTTTCTTTGATAGGCTTCATTGTTTGCAGAAATTGTACCAGACAATGTAGCAATTCTGTCTTCAAGTGCTCTTTGTTCTTCCTGGAACTTTTGTTCTGCGCGTCTGAAGCTCTCTTCCTTCTCAGCCAATAGCTGCTCTGTAACACGGAGCTTCTGGTTTGACAACCGCAGCTTAACTTCAGTATTCCGGGCATTATCAACCAAAGAACTAAGCTCGTCCCCTTTTTCTTCAAGATCTCTTTTCAGGTCTTCAGTTGCTTGTTCCAAATCAGCAATTATCTGATCTTTCGATTCAACTTTTGTACTGAATTCTAGCACCATTTGCTCAATTTTCCTTTCTGCAGAGTCTCGATTGACCTTGCTGTCCAGAAACTGACTTTCAAGCTGTTTATATTCCTCATTTAACTTCTTGTATGAATCCTCCCGTTCATTCAGCAGTCTCTGATGATCGGTGATCTTGCTCGTTAACTCCGCTTTTTCATTTTCCAATTGCATCAGGCTCTCTGAATGTTCTTGTTTCTCCTTCTCAAATTGCAACTCTATCTGCTTCTTCTGGGTCTGGAATGAATCCAAATCCTGTTGTAGACTGTTAACCTGTGACACCATGGCTTCTATTTGAGCAGATGCATCGTTCACAGAACTTTCATGTTTCTCCCGGAGAGAAGAGAACTCGACCTCCATTTGCGTTAATTTCTTCTCAAATTCAGAAATTTGATCCTTTAGCTCCACAATTTCTGCTCTCAACTGATCGTTCTCAAGGACTTTAGTTCTTATCTCCTCTTCAAGTTCACTTTTGTGGTTGTGTATCGAGTCCACCTTTATCTCAATGTCTCTCTTTTCTGCCGTCAAACTCTCTTTCTCTTCCACAATCCTCTGATGATCCGTTATCTTGTTTGTTATCTCCTCTTTCAGATTTTGTATCTGTATCAAGTACTCTGAAGTTTCTTGAGTTTTACTCTCAATCTGCACTTGCAATTCAGTTTTCTGGCTGAGTAGGGACTCCAATTCTTGCTGCAATACATTTACTTGTTCCATTAAGCCCTTGACCTGAGTTGATGCTTCATCACCTTTACATACTATCTGTTTCTCCAATTCAACTTTCTGGGCACGCAAAGAATCTATGTCAGCTAGCAGATTACTGATCTGTGCTGCCAAATCTGCTATTCTAGATGATGATTCATTACTGCTGTCCTCAAGTTTCTTTGTGAGAGCAGAAAGTTCAGCTTCTCTGTCTTCTGATATCAATTCAAGCTCTGAAACTCGGGCATGTAGTCCTGCATTCTCCTCTCCCAGTTGTTTTGCTTCAGTTTCTTTGCTCTCAATCTCTACTTCCAAATCACTTTTCTGATGTCGCAAAGATTCCAGCTCCACTCCCAGTTGTTTTGCTTCAGTTTCTTTGCTCTCAATCTCTACTTCCAAATCACTTTTCTGATGTCGCAAAGATTCCAGCTCCAGTTCCAGCCCTGAAACTTTCTCCTCTAATCCCTTTATTTGAGCCAATGTTTCATTCTCATGCAGCTTGTGCATCCCAGACAGAGTTAAATATTCCTTTTCCTTGAGACCCAGTTGCTCATTTAGCCGACTATATTCAGTATTGCTGTCCTCAAGTTTCTTTGTGAGAACAGAAAGTTCAGCTTCTCTCTCTTCTAATGTCGATTCAAGTTTTGAAATTTGGGCTTGTAACCTTGCATTCTCTTCTTCTAGTTGTTTTATTTGAGTTTCTTTGTTCTCAAGTTTCTCCTTCAGCTGAATAGATTCACTATTCTTATCCTCAAGTTCTTTTGTTAGAGCAGACAGTTCAGCTGCTCTCTCATTTGATACTGATTCAAGTTCTGAAATTCGGATTTGTAGTCCTGCGTTTTCCTCTTCCAGTTGTTTAACTTCAGTTTCTTTGCTCTCAATCTTCACTTCCATGTCTCTTTTCTGACCTCGCAAAGATTCTAGTTCCAGTTCCAGCCCCAAAACTGTAGCCTGTAATCCCTTTATTTGAGCCGAGGTTTCGTTCTCATGCAGCTCATGCCTCTCAGACAGTGTTGAATATTCCTTTTCCTTGAGACCCAGTTGCTCGTTTAGCCGACTACATTCAGTATTGCTGTCCTCAAGTTTCTTTGTGAGAGCAGAAAGTTCAGCTTCTCTCCCTTCTAATGTCGATTCAAGTTTTGAAATTTGGGCTTGTAATCCTGCATTCTCTTCTTCTAGTTGTTTTACTTGAGTTTCTTTGTTCTCAAGCTTCACTTCTATATCTCTTTTCTGACCTCGCAAAGATTCCAACTCCAGTTCCAGCCCTGTCACTTGGGCCTCCAATCCGTTTATTTGAGCCAATGTCTTATTCTCATACAGCTCATGCATCTCGGACAGAGTTGAATACTCCTTTTCTGTCTGACCCAACTTCTCCTTTAGCTGAATAGATTCACTATTGTTATCCTCAAGTTCTTTTGTGAGAGCAGACAGTTCAGCTGCTCTCTCATTTGATACTGATTCAAGTTCTGAAATTCGGATTTGTAGTCCTGCGTTTTCCTCTTCCAGTTGTTTAACTTCAGTTTCTTTGCTCTCAATCTTCACTTCCATGTCTCTTTTCTGACCTCGCAAAGATTCTAGTTCCAGTTCCAGCGCCAAAACTGTAGCCTGTAATCCCTTTATTTGAGCCGAGGTTTCGTTCTCATGCAGCTCATGCCTCTCAGACAGTGTTGAATATTCCTTTTCCTTGAGACCCAGTTGCTCGTTTAGCCGACTACATTCAGTATTGCTGTCCTCAAGTTTCTTTGTGAGAGCAGAAAGTTCAGCTTCTCTCCCTTCTAATGTCGATTCAAGTTTTGAAATTTGGGCTTGTAATCCTGCATTCTCTTCTTCTAGTTGTTTTACTTGAGTTTCTTTGTTCTCAAGCTTCACTTCTATATCTCTTTTCTGACCTCGCAAAGATTCCAACTCCAGTTCCAGCCCTGTCACTTGGGCCTCCAATCCGTTTATTTGAGCCAATGTCTTATTCTCATACAGCTCATGCATCTCGGACAGAGTTGAATACTCCTTTTCTGTCTGACCCAACTTCTCCTTTAGCTGAATAGATTCACTATTGTTATCCTCAAGTTCTTTTGTGAGAGCAGACAGTTCAGCTGCTCTCTCATTTGATACTGATTCAAGTTCTGAAATTCGGACTTGTAGTCCTGCGTTTTCCTCTTCCAGTTGTTTAACTTCAGTTTCTTTGCTCTCAATCTTCACTTCCACGTCTCTTTTCTGACCTCGCAAAGATTCTAGTTCCAGTTCCAGCCCTGTCACTGTAGCCTGTAATCCCTTTATTTGAGCCGAGGTTTTGTTCCCATGCAGCTCATGCCTCTCAGACAGAGTTGAATATTCGTTTTCTTTCTGACCCAATTTCTCCTTTAGTTGACTAGATTCAACCGTGAGTTCTTGTATCATGTTCTGTGCCTGCTGAATTTCATTTGACATTTCCAAAATTTTCAAGGTCTCTTCCTCCTTAGCTTTGCTTACATCTGACACCTGCTGTTCTGCAGATTCCAGCTGCTGCTTCAAATTGGAGACTTCCCCTTGAACGGATTCTAGTTCTTGCTCAAGGGTTACTTTTTCATCTTTCAGCTGATCAACCATGGTTCTTAACTCTGCTGTAATATTTTCTCCATCCTCTATCCTTCTCAGAGCAGTCTCTTTCTCCCGAATCAAGTTATCTCTCTCTCTTTCCACATTTTCTACTCTTTGATTCAGTTCAGCTTCTATCTTTCCACCAGTTTCCAGTTTTTTATTTAGTTCATTATTCTCAGCCAAAAGTTGAGATTTTTCAACATCTAACCTTTCAGCTTCAGTCTTCAAGTCTCTGGCAATTTTTTCTGTTTCTTCTATCTTGGTCAAAGCCGCCTCATATTCTAAGTTTAAAGCTTCCTTCTCCTCACTTGTAGCTGTCAATTTCCTCTTCAGGTCAGCAACTTCTAGATGTGCTGATTCGAGTTCATGTTTGATCCCATCAGTTTTCTGAAAGTCACTTTCCAACAGTCCATTTTTACCGCTTTTGTCATTTGAAGAATACTCTGAATCTGAGTCTGAGCTTGATGAAGATGAGCTGTCCTTTTCTTGTTTGCCATTAACTTTTTTCTTTAGCACTCCGGTTAGATGATCATATTGTGCATAGAGTGATTGGTACTCTTTGTGGAAATCCTCAATTAGCTCAACAAGAGGTTCCTTTTTGGAGTTCTCTACTGAGATGGCATCTTTTTCTTCAAGATCTTCCTCTTTTAGAAGCTTCAATATTTTATTCACCTTGTCATCAATACCTGCAATCAAACAAAAAATTCTTAAATTTCCAATTTGTTCGATCGTATGAGATGCAAGAGCAAAACATGTAATCATATTGAAGTTCATTTCAAAATTGCATTCAATAGTTCCTGTAATGTCATCATCTCAAAGCCTTAAGAAGAATTCTACAAGAAGGTTTACCTATTTTAGTTCCTTTCAGCTCTTCATGCTTCTCTGAATTGATGTGACTCCCAAACAAGGACTTAATGGATTCCCTCAAGCGGTGCTTTGTCATCACTTCAGTTTCCAAACTTCCCTACTAGGTGTGAGTTAAGATGGAGCAATATCCATCTCCAGCTCAAAGTCTGAAACACAAGAAAACGATCTCCTTTTGAATCATAGCAGAAGCATAAGCCCATTTTAATTTAAAAGTAAACCTAACTACCTCAAGACTATGTGATATAACATGATGATGAAGGTCAACTCCTGAGATGAAAATAGATAGTGTATTTCAACGACTGAAAGATTACCACAAGGGAAAAAGGAATGCCGGACAATAAAAATTTAGGGCAGATGCAGTTACAGGGCAAAACTTTATTGTGATAAATAAGCATTCTTCAGAGATTTCAACAGACAATTTACTCTCTACTTGGCTCAAAGAAACATGAATGTCTTAATGTGTGAACAGTATCCTTGATATGGGATTTTTTTCCTTATATAAAGATTTAAATCTACGATTTTTTTTCCTTATGATGGGATTTTTCTTATCTATATATATATATATATATATATATATCAACATGTTCTAGCTTGAAACCTTCCCAGTTGTTTTTTTAACTCCAACATGGAATCATGGATCTCTTAAGCATGAGAAAAAAAATTAAAAACAAAAAACAAGGCTCTGCTTTTTTAAATGTATCATTGAATCCAAATTAGTAAAAGTCCAAAATCTGATGCCACGTCATATTTTTAAAAAGGGGAATCCCCCATAAGTCGATTTGGGATCCAGAAAAGACAGCTATCATCATATACCTGAAAATATGAGCTGTTCTGTGTATGCACGCAAAATAAAATAAAAATGAGCTGTTCTTTTTGTTTATTTCCTTCCTATAAAGAAACTTAAAAGGCAGACAATTTTTTCTACAAATTCCAGAATATATTAAAGTCGCAAAAACCAAGATCAATACTTTTCTTATTCCGGTTCTTACCCTCGGACAACTAAAGAATTACACAATTACCGCTTTGCCCTTCGACCCAGCTGACAGTCAAATACGGTAAGAAATTATTTACCTTAAATTCTCTTTTACTTCTTCAAGTCGTCGCCAGGAAGCTTCGTCAAGAATTGCTTACCTCAATCCTATCAACCACGCTGAGAAAAAAAAGTAGATGGAAAATCTGAGTTATGAACAGAGTGAGTGAAGAACTGAACCAAACAGCTAAATATATCAATTCAATTTATGAAGAATTCTAATCTGAATGAAAAATCAATTCAATTACGAACAGAGTTCATTCTGATCAGATTTCAGATTATCTTCAACAAGCTTAATCAAAAGATTAAAATCAAGCGACTGAGTAATCAGAGGATGAAGGAAAAGAAAAATCAAGCATGCAGAATTCAGCTCTTGCGTAGAAGAAGATGGTTGATGATCTGATCAAGAACTTAAAGAAAAATTCTACTGTAAAAACAATGGACTTCAATTCTGAGAAGAAAAGCAGTTGCAAGAGTCAAAGATCATCACCTGAAAGTCAGAGACAATTCTCGAATCGTACGATCAAGCAGAGAGAGAAGAGTTCCAGTTCTCCGATGAGCGAGGGAGCGAGAGGGAGAGAGAGAGAGAGAGATGGAAATGAAATTCGAAAAAAAATGGATAAATGGAAAAAAAAGAAAAAGAAAGCTGAAAAGAGGTTTTGTTTGGATTAGAAAATTCAAAGTGAATGGTATGCCATTTGTAGCTTCAAATTTCAGAAGGTGGAATCTTTGGGAGCTTCTACTTCTGTATTTGCCCTCGGGGTTGGAGGAAAATTACGGCGATGCCATTCTAGCTGGCATTTAACGCCATTGAATTTCTCGTCCGTGTTGCGGTCAAAGTCTCGGGAGTTGAGATAATGATTGTGTCGTGAGAATAGTGTTAAATTATTGGGCACTTGATGACGCGTGAGCTCTTGCCACGTCAGTCAGTTTCCCGCGCTCGTTTGGTGGTTGTTGTTTCTGTTGTCCCTCTCTCTCCCCATTTCGGCCTGGAGAGTATTTATGACGCAATAATTGCAAGAAATGGAGGGATGGAATGGGCTTACTGTGGTTTTGGACAATGATCCAACTTTCAGTTAGGGATACCGACAACGTATGACGGGTTCGGGTTTGCTGTTCCCATTCTTATCCTTAGCGGGTTAAATGGGATCCTGTCGGATAGCACAGGTAAATTACATTATACTCGTAATTAGTTTTGAGCAGAACTTCCACTTTCTTCATTCTTAACCCAAACAAAAAAAAAACTACATTATACGCGCTCAAGAGTTCGAACCTCCTCCTCATTTGGTCTAATTGGTATCTAGAAGAAAATTATACATTAACTACACAATTTGTTGTATAACAACATAAAAATGTGAAATAACACAATTCATTTCAAAAGAAAAACTAAGAACTTGTAGCTCAAGTTAAATGAATTAACAGATTTGGGGGAAGTTTTGGGTTGATGGAGGAAATTGTCATCCCTATAAATAATTCACTTCTAGAAAATTCGAGACAATTACTGCCCATATCTGCAATGGAGTCCAAGAGAGGATTGAAGACATTAAAAAATCTGCGAAAAATTTAGTTAAAGTTTATAAAAAGAATGAGGTCCAATTATTTTTTGCTTCAAAAAGGTGATTTTGTTCTTCCAATCGTATTAAAGTAGGCTGTCTTGATGTTGTTTTAAGGTTCAAACGGAGATGGCATGACCCATGTACATTAAATAATGTCATTGCAAAATTGACAACATGCGACAAAACAAATTTGGGGAATAAATTGATATGATGGACAGTGATGTGGAGAAATAGTCTTTGAAGAATTTACATAGGAAACTGACTCACTATTTGGACGTGGTGCTTGTCCGTTTGCTCAAGGTAATTCAATCCTGAACCCTTCCAATAACATATCCCCCACTACGTAATTTTACCAGAAAAAGAAAAAGGAAAAGAGAAGTGAAACTTTGAGTGATCACATTATTGAAGTCATTTCAGACGAAAACTCGGAAAATTATATACACTTTTGTTAATGATCATTTGGTCTAATGGAGTCCAGTCTCTATTTTGTTGGAGGATGTGATGAGTTCAAATCTCATGAACGACAGTTGTTAAATTAAAAAGTGAGAAATTATGTATACATATGTCCCATGAGTTCAATGTAGATTAATAGGGAAAGCTTTTGCCACTCTTTTGGTGAGCTATTAGCCAATGCTAAGCAACACATCCGCTTTCCTTGTGGGAAGGAATGAATAAATTGAATAAGGTTTATATATAATGCTAAACAAACATATCATAACAATGGCCCTTGCCTTAGAGCCTAAGTAACTGCCCTGCTCCTAGCAGCAGCTGCCCTCTTTGAGACTACTTCCTTAAGATCATCGTAGCGGCTCCGGTGATGATCAATCAAGACACAGAGCTGCCTTATGGCTTCCCTCTTCTCCTCTCCGAGGATCAATAAGTCTTCATCCTTGTCTTTCAATTTCCTCTCCAGATTTCCCACCTGCTCCTCAAGTTGGCTCAAGCCTTTCGTCATGTTCAACTTCTCTTCAGCTTCCTTGCTTGCCAATGCTTCTAACTCACAAACTTTGTCTCTTAACACACCCTCTTGTTCTTCCTTCTCATTCAGTTGTGTGACCAAGCATTCTGCATTGTGCTTTAATCGTTTCATCTCACCTGCTGTCCCTGTAACCCACGTTTTCGCAGACTCAAGATCATTCGACATTTTGGAAATCTGGTTCAGAAAGTTCTTATGGCCCTCCTCAAACTTCAGTACCACCAAGTCCAGTCCATTTTGGAATGTGATTTTTGCTGTTTCTGATATTTCCTTCATCTTTCTGGCCGGATCTTCGTAAGTTGCAAGCTTTTCTTTAAGACCTCTAATTTCTGTCTCATACCAATCTTTCATCTTCTTGTAGCCTTCTTTGTTCTCATTGTGTATTTGTTCTGCTACTCGGATTCTCTGGTACAAGAGGCGGACGTTATCTTCATATTAATCCGGTACTTCTCTGCCAATTCTTCCATCTTCCTCTCTGCTACTTGTAGATTCAATTTGGACGACGGAAACCAAATTTTAGCTTGTTTATGATCCTTATTGAACTTCCTGATAGTATCTTCCTGTTCCTTAAGAATTCGCTGCTGTTCGGAAATCTTAACTGTCAAGTTATTGTTTTGATGTTCCATCTCAGTTAGTCTGTCCAAATATTTTCTGTTCTCTCTCTCAATCCGGGCTATCTTTCCTGTCAATTTACTGTTTTGATTTTCCATCTCACCCAGCCTTTCAAAATATTGTCTGCTCTCTTTCTCAATCTGCAGGTGGCTTTTCTTAGTCTGCAAGGAATCCAATTCCTGTTTCAAATTGCTGACCTGTGTTGTTAAATCCGTAAGTTGAGTAGAAGATTCATTCTTTCCATCCTCGCATTCTCTTCGAAGAGCATAAAACTCATCCCCTCTGTCATTCAGTGTTCTCTCCAACTCAAAAATTTTAGAAAGCAGACCCTCATTTTCCTGTCTCAACTTATTGGTCTCCTGGTTTCTATTTTTTATCTGCTTTTCCAAATTTTTCTTTTGGCTGCGTCGAGAGTCCATTTGCATTTCCAACTCCTTCATCCTCTCAAGAAGACATTGTCTTTCATCCATCATTTTCATTTCAACTGTGTCCTTTCTATTTAGTTCCTCTTTCAGATTTTCTATCTGAAGCAGGTGTTTGGAAATTTCTTTGTTCTTCTTATCCAGTTGTGCTTCTGATTCGGTTTTCTGCTGGCGTAGGGACTTTAATTCCCTCTGCACACCATTGATCTGATCCCTTAAGCCCTTCACTTGAGCCAGTGATTCATTTTTTTTACTCACCATCTTTTGTTCCAGTTCACCTTTTTGCGCACGCAACGAATCAACTTCAACTTGCAGATTGTTGGCCTGTGCCATCAAGTCTGAAACTTTTGATGCTGAACTGTCCTCATTTTCCTTGAGTTTCTTCTGGAGATCAGATATTTCATCTTCTTTTCCTTTTAAACCTATCTCAAGTTCCAAAACCCGAGCATGCAGTACAATATTTTTCTCTCCTAGCTGTTTAGCTTCAGCAGCCTTGCCTTCTTTCCATGCTTCCAAATCTCTTTTCTGACAGCACAAGGATTCCAACTCAATTTTAAAGCCAGTTAACTGGCCCTCTAACTCTTTCACCCGAGCTGATGATTCGTTCCCATGAGCCTCGTGCGCTTCAACAAGAGCTGAAAGTTCCCTTACTCTTTCATCCATTTCATTCTTCAGATCTTTGTCTACATTATCTGCTTGTCTTATTTTTGTCAATGCTTCCATATATTCTGAATTTATAGCTTCCTTTTCTTCATTTCTAGAGACCAGTTTTTGCTTAAGATCAGCTACTCCCGAATTCTCAGTGTTAGCTTCATGCTTAATGCTGTCTGCCAACTTCTGATGCTCATTTTCCAATTTGGCATTGTTACCTTCAACGTCCTCTGAGGAATAATATTCAGAATCTGAGCTGGAGGGAGACAAGGCAAAACCTTTTCTCTCTTTTTGCCACGAACAATTCTCCCCGACTCTCCCACTAGATGATCATACAAAGCATATAGTGACTGGTACTGTTGGTAGAAGTTCTCAATGAGTCCAACAAGTTCCGACTCATTCTTTGAATCTTTTCGACTGTCTTCTTTCTTTCCTTGCTCTTCATTTTTTATAAGCTTGAAGATCCTTGTCACATTGTTTTCAATTTCTGCAGATAACATAAAATCTTCTAAATAAAAAAGCTAACATCAACTGAAGTGCCAACAGAAAAGAACAATATATACCAACTCTCAAAATCAAGGGCGGAATTCAAATTTAAGCACATGAATCAGACTGATCTTTTTCCAATACGACACGAATCATTGTGCGAAAATGGTAACGATATAAGGGCAACAACCAGACTCCTATTTATTTATAATCCTACATTGGTTGTTGATAATGATAAAAGCCATCATAGCCAGCACTGCAGTACTGGAATTTTCAGAAAAACTGGTGCCATTTATTTGAATTCTAGATACTGAATCTGCTTGCAAGACCACACCGACTCAAACAAACGATGAGTCCATGACCAGGTTCAGAAATACTAATGAGTCATTGATCTTTTCGACGCGGTTGCAGAAGCTTTCTTGGTTTGGTTCTTTATGATAGCACAGCAGAAACAGGAACTTGATACTATATTATACATTTGCAAGGCAAAAAAGCTTTACAAGTCCCCAAGAATATCAAAAAGTTGTGGTTTGGAAGTACATCGTTGAAATGCATTATGTTTTGAGATTCATACATCTAATTTTTACAGGGGTTCTTAGATCTAGGTCCAAAACGATTAGCTGTTATTAGGTTTAGTCCACGCATTTTTTGTTTTAGATGTAGGTACTTTGACTTTTATTACTCTTTTTATTGTGTCGATTTTACCCTTTGAGGTACATAAGGAAAACATTGAAAATCTAAATTTAATGAATTATTTACTTGTAATTAAATTTCAGAATTTAAATTTGGAATTCTTTCATTGATAATATTTACCTAATAAAATAGAAATTAATCAATTGAAGTAAAGGCCCACATATTATACTAATCAATTAGGCAAGCACCCACATTAAATTATGTACCTAACATAGGGTGAACAAAAATAAAAATAATGGCATATAAATTCTCATCTTACTCATTTTAGACAATAGGGATATAATAGGAACAAATTTTTTTAATATAAATCAGTTAAATACAAAAGTTTGAATCAACATGTCAAAGATGGAATGTAATCTACGTGACAAACTAATCAAGGGACTTGTATCAATAAACAATAATTCGAGGACTATACCCAATTATTGGTTGGATTTTTGGACATCTATCAACTTTTCTAATTTTTTTACCACCATTTTATTCAAAGATCAAGGTTGATAGGAGAGAAGTTGCACCTGATTTAGTCCTCTTCAATTGTTCCGTTTTTTCAGGATCAACATGATTCCCAAAGGACTTAGCTAGCTCCCTCCAGCGATGCTTTATCATATCTATTTTGGATATTTCAGTAAATACTCATAAATTAGCACACACAAGCACAAGGCACTATCCATCCTGAGCACAGCATATTGAAGAACTGAAAAACAAACCAGAAAAAAATTAGTTTCAATCCAAATTAAGCTTCTGCTATAACCTCCTTTGTTCCCCTCCCCACAACTTCCCTCTTTTTAAATAATACAAAATAAAATCTCATTAAATAAAAAGGGCAGTTTAAGGCTTTAGACAAGTCGGTTAGAGCGGATGTGCTCTTCACTATGCACTCGAGTTTGAATCCCCCTCCCGTAGTTTAGATTAGATTAAAGTAGAATATCTCTTATATCCAAAAAAAAAAAAAAAAAAAAAAAAAAAAAAAAAAAAGGGTCCCGCCCCGGCCCCCTATAAGAAGTCTGAGATTAGGTCTGAGATCTTCTAATGGCACTTTATGGCATATGGCCACCAAATTCACCAAATTAGAGGAAAAGCTTTTTCCTCCATATTTACATATAGCAAATTGACACCTCTTCCCTAGCTATTACCAATATCAGAAAGATTGAACCCCTTTTCAATAAAGCTTGAAAGAAATGTTGGGTTGGTGCTTACCTTTCCCTTGTTGCTCTTAAGTTTTCCAAAATATGATTTTTTTTATATTTTTTTTATATTTTCTTTCCAGCTTAGACAAGATGAAGTTTATTTCTTGGGATTCAATTGCATTTTTTTTAATGATTAAAAAAGAGGGACATAATTAAGAAAAATTAGCTTTTAAGCAAGTTTATGATTTACCAATTCATAGCAGCTAGATGATAGATACAATCAAATCAGAGAGAAAAATAACTAAATTGCAAGTTGAATCTTTATTCACAATTAAGTGATCAATAAGGCAAATAATTACCTTCCCTCTTTAAATCAAATCATGCAGTAAAAATAAAAAATTATCTGCAAATATTTACCAGAAATTTATCTGTAAAAATAAAAATTTACCTGCAAATGGAATGCCATTTTCACCCGGGCGATTATCTGAACCCAGCTGATCTATTGAAATGAAGCTGAATTTTGGGAGAAAAAAAAAACGAAAAAGAGAAGAAACCAGAAATTTTGGGAGGTAAAAATTGAAAGGGGCAAAGGAAATAACTGTAACTCCCTTGGGTTTTTTTTACTGTTCATTCCTTTGTCCTACATGGAGAACGAAATATTGGCGCTTCTTTTGAGGGAAACACCCTTCGATTTTGCTTGTAATTACCACAAAAAATCACTGGAAATCAATGTCTCAGTTTCTCGCTATCTCAGGACCAAAAAAGCGCGAGAGGTTAACACTTGGCAGTATCAGATACTCATTCTCTGAGCGCCACGTGCGTTATTTCCCGCCGCCTTAAACACCTTTTGCTTATAAGAATGTTCTCTACGGAACATGATGGAGCCATTTGCGCTTCTCTTTGTTATTTATAAAATGTTTTGTTATTTGCTTGCGCTATTTTATCCTCTGAAACATTTCTCATTTAAAAGGTTGTCACACGACGCGAGTGAGCAATTGTCAACTGTTTATGAATATAAATTTACAATGTTTGTCATTGATGTATATGTAAAATTTATACATAAATCTAAATGATTGTCGTACTGTTCATCTCGTATTCAATTAATATCCCTCAAGTACAAGTGTATGCACAAAATTTATCATGAGCCTTATTTGTCCATGAAGGCATTCGCCCAGTTTAAGCATGGCATTAACCAAGTTTTAAATTTTCTTATTGACAAAAAAGAAAATACTCGAATTTGGAATCTCTTTCAACATTGAAACGAGATGTACCAATAGAGCTAGTTGGGTCCAAGAATTTCAATTAAGCAAAAGAAGAATTATGAAATAAATTTATAATTATTAGCCAATGGAAAAGACAGGGAGCGTGTGATTGTGAATTTGTGAGTGAGACACATGGGCTTAGTAGGTTGTCTGACTTAAAATGAGTTTTAATGGGTATTTCTAATTTTCTATGTCCATATATATATATATATATATATATTGCCAGTTCTGTGTCCATATGTAACTCCAATAATTATGGCCATGAAACCCTAATCTTATTTTGTAGTTTATAAACTTTATATCATATATCACCGTCTGCTGGAAGGTCTAAACGTCAAAATCAATGGGAAAGGAGGAAACCATGAAAGGCAAAGTGCAAGAAAGAAACAGGGGCAGAGTAGAAACCATTGATAAATGGACAAGGGCATATGATGGGGACCCCTTTGTAAGTGCAAGATAAGGGCAAAAAGGGCCCATTTGTAACCTTTATAATTCAAATCAGTAGGCACTTGTGCAAGAATCATTTCAAAATCACTGCAGGAGTTGGCCAAAGTACCCATTTGTAACCTTTATAATTCAAATCAGTAGGCACTTGTGCAAGAATCATTTCAAAATCACTGCAGGAGTTAGCCAAAGTACAATTACCATTCTCTCTCTTTTTTTTCTCTTCTTTTTCTCTTCTTTTTAAAGGGAAGTCGCAAGCCATGAGATGCATTCGTAGATTTAAACAAGTTCATCAACACTTCTCCGTATTTACACAGTAAAGAAGAGCTACAAAGTGCAAAAAAACAAAAAATCTTAGTCCTCGTCGTCGTCAGAAGAAACCTTCCGCTTCTTCCACATGTAGGCCGCTTCCAATATTTTGAGGTTTGATGTCTGAGCTTCTTCTGGGAACATGTAGTCTATGTACTCCTCATACCTGCCAAGTTCCAAGACATTGGTTAACATATCAATAAGAAAATCAGCTCACCAAATGGATTTGAACACAATAAAATCAAAACTCTGCCACATTTTGATAAACAAGAAAGTAAAATAAGAGAACGAAAAATGTGAGTTGGTCACGTACCCAGCAGGCCCATCTTCAGTTATTATTGACCTCCTCTTCTTCAGTTTCTTTGGTAGCTTAGATTGGACTAAGCTAACATCACCAACCTCCCCAAAGGAAGCCTCCATATTTAGCCATTCATCAAGCAGCATGCCCCTTTCCTCCTTCAACTCAGGAGCTGAAGTTCTATAATAGTTGAGAGCTTTCTCAAAAACCCCTGATGTTACAGATAATTATAAATTAAGGGTGAGACTTTCTCAACTGTAAAGGAACTATAAATTAGCCAACTATCATATTAAGATTCTATCTTTATACAACTGCTTACTTCGAGCACGCTGAACACATTGCTCCTTTTGTTCACGAGGATAATCCTGGGCCTGATCTTCTGCCGCATCTGAATCCACACCATCTTCCACTATAGCAGACGCCTCAAATTTCGCATAACTGATCCACACCTTCAGGTGCTTTGTCCGGTCTAGGAGTCTCTCGTACAGTTCTCTAGTTCTCTCAAATTCACCCTCTGATAGTTCAAAGTCAATGTATGCCTGTTATCAAATTATCAATCAAATTAGTAACAAATATAATGTTGTCATATCAACCTGTACTGAACAAATTAATAATATCAACCTTCGTCAACAAATATATATTATCTTGAAACTTTCCTAGAACCAAGTCACATTTCCTATATTCAGTAGCAAAAGAAATTGTTTCTCTGTCTCGAAACATAAGCGATGGAGACAAAACAATCCAAAGATAGGTTATAAAAGAAATATACTTCAATGTGAAGGAGAATAACAGGTGCCCAAAATGGTGTTGCTTCTATTATTTCTTCCAACTCAAGTTTTAAGAGTCAAGAACCAAAACTGTGCATGGAACCGGTGCAACTAACAAGCATGGTATATTATATGTAATGAAACATCATAGAAGAGTGCAAAAGTGCAGAAAGGTAAATGTGTTCCAGAAGAAACTACCAAAATTCAACCAAAAAGAGTTGTAGCTTATATATGTTTATAAATAAGGATGGCAATATGCTTATACCTTCCACAACAACTCAGGCATGTCAAGTGCTGGTTGGGCGATGGCAAGTTCAAAAAGCGCCCTGGTTCGTTCTGTCTCACACAACGATTTCTCTAACTCTGCATACTTGGTCCATGCATAGCAATTTTCTGGAGACCATTCCAGATACTTTTCATACAATTTCCGACATCGATCAAAATTCCCAAGGTTCAGCTCGATCTCAATATACTTCTTAAATATCTGTTTTTAAGGTAGCATATTATGAATACTTAACAATACATTTTGACTTGTTAAATGGACTTGATTAAAATGAATATATGTATTGCTAAATATACATTACCTTATCTTTAGGTGCTTGGCCTATTGCAGTACCGAGGATCTTGCGTGCACCCTTGAGATTCAGCTGTCGTATCTCAAACTGGGCAGCGAGAAGCCATATTTTTGCAAATGAAAACTTCCTATGAGGAATCAGTTTAAGGCATTCCCTGGAAAATTTCTAGCTCGTGAGAAGTCTGGTCAATGTCTTAAGGATGTGTCCACTCATGTTAATATCAGAGGAAACAAATGAAAATCATCTATACATGTCAATAATGTGTTTTAGTTTGCATGAAAAGTTTCACTGAATAATTGAAGTATGAATTGCACAATCTCCAAATTGTAAACCATCAAAATGATTGTGCACCAAAAACATGTTTAAAAAACTAACTACAAGAAATCATGATTACTACAAAACTGACAAGCTCATCAGTCCTAACACTGTCATGATAAACTAAAATGGTAAATACAAGTTAGCCAAAGGGACAAATTTGTTACCTAAATTATTCAAATGTAAAATATGAGTTGTATTTGGTTAATAGTTTTCAAGCTTATCCTAGTAAAACAAACATCTAAAATATAACTTCTTTTTTTCAGTACCAGAGCACAGCAGCAAATCATGTACTGACAAACGACATTTATTTATCATTCACGTATCCTTATTGAGTTGACTAGTTGCAAAAGAAAAATATGGCAGGGTTCAGGAATAAAATAATCTCTATGTACATCAACAAAACCATAGTTGAACAAATCAGGCATACCTATATACATCTCGTGTACGTTCCATGTCTCCAGCATCAAGCTCTTCATATAGTGCATAATTGATCCTAACATTACAGAAGAAACAAACAATCAGCAACAATTATTCAAACAAAAGAAGCAGCAAGGAATTCAAATCATAAGCATAATCACTAATTAACCAAGACTCAGCATATGTACCACATACCACAAATAAATGTAGCGCTGCCAATACCGCTTCTCTGGAGCCGGAGGAACATTAGCAATAGCTCGCTCATAAACCTCTCTAATTCTGCCCTTATTTCCAGCACTCTCTTCTAGCCTTATATAATCAAACCAGGAATCGTAATTAAGAGGATTCTTCTTAACCTCATCTTCATACTGAAATCTCCTCTTTCCCACAATCGCATCCTCAATGCCTTGTCTATCTCCATATTGCTTCTCGAAACCCACAAACTTTTTATATAAATCCTCGGCCCTTCCTTTGGGTATATGATCAAGCGCAAATTTATAAATAGACCTTGCTCGATCAGTTTCTTTGCACCGCTCCTCAAATTCAGCAAAAGCCACAAATAACTGCTCGGCCTCCTCATCATCAGCCAGGATCTCCACTGCTCTCTCATATACATTTCTCGCCCTCACAACCTCACCATTCTTCATCTCAAACTTGGCATACCGAATCCAAGCACCAACTTTCGGATGACATTGTACGAACCGCTCATAAATCGCTCTAGCACGCTCAACTTCATTATACCGAAGCTCAAACTTGATGAAGGAGAGCCAGCCTTGCTGGTCTGGCATCCAATTCATCCACCTCTCGTATATTTGTCGAGCACCAGCCACATTCCCTATTTTCTCTTCCATGTGAATGTACTTGTACCACAGCTGGTCAACTCTAGGCAAGAGCGTGACAGCACGGTCCCACACATTCCTAGCATGATTGATGAACTTGTTCTTCATCTCCACCTCGGCATACTTGAGCCACAGGGTGTGGTTCCGGTAATCAACCTCAAGAGCACGCTCCCAAACAGAGCGAGCACGTTTGAAGTCCTTCTGGGACTCCTCCCACTGCGCATACTTGATCCAGACATTGACATTCCACCTCACACGCCGGATTAGGTCTTCGAATTCCTTGCGCTTCCGGAGACGGTAATCAGCAAGCTCAGTGGGATCAGTTATCTTCTGCTTGGGAGGTCGGATTTCAGCCTCCTGGCGTTCACGTGCCTCACGGAGGATTTGCTCTGCGGTGATTTGAACAGGGGCTGGGGTTTTGTTCTTAACCCTAGTGGGTCGTGGTAGCTTGACCTCAGTATCCTTACGGGTTAAGAACCCTAGGGTTGGGTCTGCGTCCTTGAAGGAACCCATGGCTAGGGTTTTACTCGCCTGGAACAAATATAATGCAGTCAAAATCTAAAAATTCACAATGTTTTGCAAATTTTCTGCATTCATCAATAGCAGGCGATTAAGTTCAGCAAATATCTCCGCATCTAAATAACAGACTGAAAATATTGTTAATTTCAATTGGAGAAGTAATTTCAATGCTTCGAATGGTATTTATTGTATTGAATTCGTATTAATTACTTAATTTCGTATTTTACAAGAACAAGAAAAGCAAATTAGAATCCAAGTATTGAATAGAAGGTTTTAGTTTACCTGGATTTTGGTTAAAAGGTCTCGCAGTTGCAGAGTTCAGACTTGCAGGAGAGATGAGAAGAAATGGCCGTTAGGGTTTCAGAAATAGAGGGAAGGGTGCTCGTAGAGCCTCGTGTAGGAGAAGGGACTCGGGGAATGTGCGCGCATAAAATTTCATGGGTTTAGCGTTTTCTATTTATTCAAAACGGCCCCGTTCCCCCTATGCTATTGTGGTCATCTAAAATTCTAAATCTCAGGTTTAGAAAAACTGATTTAAAAATCAATGTGTATCATTTTATTTACTTTTTATTGTATAACATTATTTTTAAAATAAAAACTAAAAGTTAAAATAATATATCTATATCTGCTGTCAAAGAAAACTTGAAATGAATTACTCAAAAAAAGAAGAAAAAAAAATATGGAAATGAAGTATCACAGCTTAATAGATCTGTCATTTACATTCCCAATGCATTAATTGTTTCAACACAAAGGCTAAAAAATAAGAAGAAAAAAATATTTCCAACGTTCAAGAATGACCTAAACAAAAAAAATAAAACCTTTTTTTTTGCAATTATATTTTTCTGAAGGTCCGTCTTTAACCTTAACTATGTTCGATTGAAGAGGGGCCTCTAGAAAAATACTATTGCGAAAAGATTCAAAAATAATAATTATAAGTTATGCATAGCGCACTAAATTTTTTTTTAAAAGTATTTTACATACGCTTTTCGTGTACAAAGAAGTTAGTATATATAATTACTATTTCGACCATATATATATATATATATACAATAACGCTACGGGCACCAACTTGTTTACCAAATTTTGGATACCAACACATGTGGCACATGACATGGCAACCCATGTCATCTGCCACCTCATCTATTTTAATTACATAATTGATTATATAAATAAAAGAATTTAATTATTTTTATATTTAACTATTTTGTTTTCGGTGAGAAATTCTTTTATTTATATAATAAATTATGTAATTAAAATAGATGAGATGACAAATGACATGGGTTGCCATGTCATGTGCCACATGTGTTGGTATCCAAAAGTTGGTAAACAAGTTGGTGCCCGTAGCGTTATTGATATATATATAGAGTAATGCTACACTTACCACATTAGTATCCCACATTTCTATACCATATGATGTGGTATGTTCATAAATTTTTTTTTAAAAGTATTTTACATACGCTTGTGTACAAAGAAGTTAGTATATATAATTACTATTTCGACCATATATATATATATATATACAATAACGCTACGGGCACCAACTTGTTTACCAAATTTTGGATACCAACACATGTGGCACATGACATGGCAACCCATGTCATCTGCCACCTCATCTATTTTAATTACATAATTGATTATATAAATAAAAGAATTTAATTATTTTTATATTTAACTATTTTTGTTTTCGGTGAGAAATTCTTTTATTTATATAATAAATTATGTAATTAAAATAGATGAGATGACAAATGACATGGGTTGCCATGTCATGTGCCACATGTGTTGGTATCCAAAAGTTGGTAAACAAGTTGGTGCCCGTAGCGTTATTGATATATATATATAGAGTAATGCTACACTTACCACATTAGTATCCCACATTTCTATACCATATGATGTGGTATGTTCATATCATATGACATATCAATTAAATGAATGAAGTGTATTTTAATAAATAAAATTAGAAAAACAGAAACTAGTATTTTACATGATGTGGTATGTACACATCAGTCGCCACATCATGTGGTATAAAATTATGGTATAAAAAATGTGGTAAGACTAGTATTATTCATATATATAATCGCTCAACACCAAAACACGTAGTAAAAAACCAATAACTTGTTCTTATACCTCTTGTCGTTGAAATTAGCAATCTCATTGGTGAAAAGGAGCAAATAAATCAATTTGAGGAAGATGAGTAGTCACTTGATTATCATCGGTTTCATGAAATCGGTAAAGAATTACCTTTTCCTCTATGGGGTAATTTTTAATTGCCCCTGACATTTGTACTTACCCCTATCCAAATACATTTCTTGATTACCCCTAAGATTTGGGTACCCCTAAAATTTGAACTTGCCCCAATCCAAATGCATTTCTTTTGTAACCTATCTATGGATTGTTTTTTCTTTATTGCTTATGAACAAAAGAAGCAAGCGGTTGTTTAACAGATGGCTAATTTATTATTTATAGTTCCTTTATACTGTGTTTGGATGAGGTACTTAGAGATAAGATTTGGGGTATGTGTAACTCAATTTGAAAAAAAATCATATTTATAAGAAATTAACTAATTATATTTCAATAACTAAGTAATTAACCAAACAAGTGACTTTACTAAATTAATTACTGTGAATCCCCTCATTTCAAAATTTATCACTTTGAAGTCCTCTCATTTCAAAATCTCATCACTTTGAAGTTCCGTCACTTCAAAATACCTAATCCAAACACATTATTCTTTGTTTGGATAAGGGAAAATAACTCAGAATTTAGCTAAAAGTCGGGAATTTATTAGGAGAAATTGACAATTCCATTATTTGGTAACTTAAGCGCAGAATTTATTAAATGATGTGTGGAAAAAATTGTAAAAATTGGGGCATCAAGTTCCCAAGTTTAAAATAGGAGTCATTTCACAATTTTCATAGTGTCATTTATAAAATTCTGTCATTTACAAAATTCGATACACATAAATCTAAACACTAAAATCTTCAATTGCATTGAAATTATGGAAATCTAAATTCTGTCATTTTATAATTCTATGTAATTTTCAATTCCTTCATCCAAACGATGCATTATAGTTAAGAAAGCCTCACACTTATTTTATGTTCATCTTATAATTATCATGATATAATATCGTGCATTTATTAACACTTTGTAAATACGTTTTTTTTTATATTATAAGTAATATTCTAATTTAATCTAATCTAAACTACTACAAGGATGAAGATTCGAGCTTGGATGCAGAATAGAAAGCACATCTACTCTAGCCAAACTTGAGTTAAGCCCATATATGTCTTTCAAAATACGTTTTAAAACATAGGCATTAGTCACTAAAAATTGTGTCTTACCTTATTTTATTTTTGTATTTTGACATTCGATCTATACAGTTACAACAAATTGTATTCACACAACAAAGAGGCTTGGTCAATTAATAGTAAGAAAATGTGTATCAATGTTACCAAAATCCCAGTATCCAAAAATTAAAATTGACAAAAAGATGTTAAAACCTTAAGAAAATCCCACTCAGGCTCAAAATGTCCCAAAAGTCCAAATATGCATGTGTGTTTTTTTGTTTTTTTTTTGTTATGAAAATATGCATGTGTTTCTCCTGGGTTTTCGAGGGCAATAATAAAAAGAGCAAATGAGTCAATTTGTAACCGTAAGATCCTGCATGTTAACAACACATGGCTCTATCTTGTTCACCCATATGTACACTCTGCACTAAACGTTGGTAATGCAAATGGAGGTTGAGACACGACTAACTCCTTGTTCTAATGGCCACGATGACAAAGCTGAAGCCGAGAATCAGAGCATTTCAGAGTTGGTTTCGGTGCTGAGAGCGGAGTCTCGTCCTGAGGATTTCTGCCGAGTCGAAGAGGCTTTAGCAGCGAGAGAAGCAAAATTGAAGTGAGAAATCGAGAAACAGAGGCACAAGAATGCAGTGTTGGAGGAAATGCATGAGTTTGAGCGGCTCGAAAGGTTCAAAGTAGAGGACGAGCTCAAGTAGTCCATGGTCAAGGCAGACGCAATAAGCAAAGAGAAGCTCCCGGAGGAGAAAGACCAGGGCAACGAGGTAATTCCAGAGAAGAAGAAGCGGGCGTTTGGCTTCAATGAATAGTGCTACAAACAACAATGGTTGTGCAAGCTCTGCTGCTGTTGAAGGAAATGGAGGTCTGCGAATTTTAGGTATTTGATTAGGGAATTATATCATATTTGCAATTTGATTTACTATATGCTAATGCTTAGGTATTGGCTAATTAAGTTTAGAGCCTTGAATTTTGTTGGTAAATTGGTTAATTTTGTTGCTTAGGTTATTTTATTTTAGTTTATAAGACAGAATCTTACAAAATGAGTGGCTCCAATGAAATCCTTAATTTCCTTTCGAAAAACAGCTATATATTGCACAACCTCTTTAGTTTTCCCTTCACCTCATCAACCTTTAAATGTCACTGTCTTTAAACCTATTTAAGACCATGAAGAAACTTATAATTTGCACTCATAACTTTTTTTCCCCTTTTCAACAAATCCTGGAGGATGCTGCTACATATATCTTCCGTGAGATCCCCTTTCTAACTTCTGAATGTTGATGAAATTCAGGAAATTGACACCAAACACTGAAGACTTGTTAGATTTCATAGAAACCATTACAACAGAAAACTATGACATAAGGTTATATGTTGTATTCAAAGTATAGAATACGGTTTCACCTTTGGGCAAGAAACTATTCTTATAAGTTTTGCATAACCAAGCATAAATTCACAAGAAACAAAACTACAAATTCCAACACCTTTAGGCAAAATGAAATTTATACCTTTCAAGTTCTCCATGACTTACTATACATTAGTTTATAGTATAACCTAGTAGATAATTTCTTTGGAAATCAATCTAATAGTCATATTCCATAAACTACAAATTTGAGTTTTCTAAATAATCCTCTCAAAACAACATCAAATAAGCTACTTTGGTAGATTATTCAGTTGGTCCAAAAAAAAATTAAATAGATATCAAGTTTGTGAATAACAAACTGAAATTCTTTTAATACTTTAAAAGAACATAAAGCCACCAGCCAAAACAATTGAATGAGTAAATTGAATCATGGTGTTTGTTAATGCATTAAGGCCCAGTTTGGGATTGCCGTCACTTTTTAAAAAAGTTGCTTCTGTTGTGGTTTGAAAATAATTAGCTGTAAAGTAAAGCAACTCCATGTTTGGTAAACAATATTTTTGAAGTGCTGTTAGTATAAAAAGCAGTGTCAAAACTGTTTGGTAAATTTTTATATAAAATTATTGTAACTGTGAATAATGACTAAAATAGATATGATGTCAAAAGTGTTATGTACTAATCATGTGGTGGTAGTGGTAGTGATGGAGTGGAGGTAGTGGTGGTGATGAAGGTGAGTTGGTGGTTGTGGTAGTGGTGGTGGTGGTGGTGGTAGGGATGGGGATTGTAGAGGTGGTGGTGGTAGTGGCAGCATGGTGGTGGTTGTGGAGGTGGTAGTGGAGGTTTTGGAGGAGGAGGTGGTTGTGGTGGTGGTGGTGGTGGTGGAGGTGGTGGTTGTGATGGTATTGGCGGAGGATGAGGAGGAGAATGATGTGGTGGTGGTGGTGGTGGAGGTAGTGAATGTGGTGGTGCAAGTGGTGGATTTGGATGTGGAAGTGGAGGTGGTGTCATTTTTTGAAATGAATGATGGTATTTTGGTAATTATAAAAATTCATTAAAAGTTCATCTCTGCTTCTTTTGAAAACAGCTTTGAAAAGCAACCCAGTGCCTGCTTTTAAAAGCTGTTGTCAAAAGGCCACTGCTTTTAAAATAATTCGGATATTTTATTTTTACCAAATACCTTAAACTGCTTAACTTTAAAGTGAAGCAGGTTTTTGACGAAAAAAAGCAATCCCAAACGGGCCTAAGAAACACATAAATCATCACTTAATTGAATCAAACTCAATAAATAATTTTGTGATGATTTTGACAATAGCTACATTTTCCCCAATCATAAACAAGATAAATAAAAAAATAAAAACTCTTTGAAAAGCTCTTGACCCGTTGCATTGAGATAGTAACATGATATAATTATGTGAAAAGCTCTTCACCTTCCATGCTTCTATGCACCATGATAATTGGCCTAGGAGTTCAACAATATGGGGAAGCAAAAATATCCAATTCAGTTGATTTCAAAACAAGGAGGATAGATAAACCAAATCAATTGAAAAACATGGGAGTTGATACTAATGGAAAAATGATGCAATCAATCACAAACAAATTAAGTAGCATCTCAGTCACATCAATAGAATGTGTAAAACTCAAACTAAACAAAATTATACCTTATGTCATAGGCGGACGATATTCAACAGTGACGTTAGTGACGAATATACCATAATAGTTGGTTGATAAAGTTGATTTGTGCCATGGAATGACAGATTCATCATCAACATTATTGATGAATATAGTTAGTTTTATTCATTAGGAAACCAACATCAAAATAGAAATGTGTCAATGCTAGATATATTGACTTGAATCATGAAAAAGGCTCCTGCAAAGTTAGTTCATTATAGAAAAGAACTAATGCATGCTTGGAAACAGAATGTAAAAGAAGAAAACAATTAAACTATAACATAAGCTTTGAGCAAATACAAAGTTTTCAATTACTGCAATTTTTCAGTGTGAATCTTAAAGTGATCCAAATAGAGCATAAGGACAAGGGAAAGAGCTGTGAATTTGGTAAGTCTCGTTTCTCTATGAGGCTTAAGTACATTAACTGAAAAACTTTATGGTACAAAGATTCTAACTTGTGCCAAGAAATAAATTAACCCAAAGCAAAATAATAACATATTGATCAAAAGAATCATATATCAAAGTGTCTTATATCCAATGATGACCAAAAAAAAAAAGTTAAATTGACAAAATAAACGATGAGAAGAAGTCAAAATAGACAACATAAAAGATCTAAACAACAAAAGCAAAAGATTTGAAGTACTGAGTAATCATTTCAAGTCAAATCCAACATCCAATACGAAGTGAGCAACCCTAAATTCACAGCCAAAACCCATCAATATCCAAACTTTTGAATCAGAAATCGAAACCAAAATTTAAATTAATCTTAACCAAGAGGTTGAGTTGTTGAAATAGATACTACACAATAAGCCAAAACAAAAACTGGTGAATGAAATCATAAATAATTGCGGAAGCAAAACCAAAATCGAAAAAACAAAAATGACATGTTAATATCAAAAACAAAACCCATGCCATTTTATCCATCTTATTTGAGTTTCATTAAAGGATATTAAAAACTGAACCCTAAGGATGTTGAGTTGGCTCTGATACCACATGTAAGAATACACCTCTAGCAGCATATCAACATAACATAGGATTACAACATGAGACTTATGCAATATTAATAACAGATTCACTATTGATGCATACTTGACAAAGAATACATAGTTGGAACAAGAACGATCTTCTACTCTATGCAAGTCTTAATATGTTCTAGCTATCAATAGGTCATGCCCAAAATAGAACTTGGAAACTTGTGAGCTCAGGGATCAGTTCCTTTTATATTGATCAAACCTTAACCATATCTCTCATATTAAAGATAGAGTTAGTGTTTAAACAAAACTAATAAACGTAAGCAATTGAGTCCTTATCAATATAATATAGCTACCAAGTATGTATGTATGTATGTATGTATGTAGGTTATACAAGGGTGGCAAAGATGCAGATGAAGAGGAAGTACATGAAAAAGAAGATTCTAGGAAGAAAGAAGAAAGGAAATAAGAAAATGGGAAGAACACAAGAATATGCGCAATACCGTTGTAATATGCAGTCATTTTTCGACACAATGCAAAGAATTAAGGAACGCTTGACCAAAGGGCACTTGGAGTTGCTTCAACAAACTCCATTTTGACCACTAATATCAGCATTTTACAATGGGATGATTTCTGAAGATCAGTGTTGGAAATCGGAGAGTGACATCCACAACATCATCAGCTGCTACAACTCAAGAATAATGAGTTTTGATTTTGGTAGCACCTCTGCATCGTTGACAGTAGAAGACATTGCTGAATTTTGGGACTTCCGCAAGAAGATGAAGAAGTAGAATTAAAAGGATCAAGGGGATATAAACAAGATTTTATGGAAAGATATTTCGACGTCAGATTAGTGTCCAAAAAAAATGGTGGATGCTACTTTGGAAAAATCATTGAAAGGGAAAAGAAAAACAGATGCAGAGGATGTTGTACGTCTGATTTTAATAGAATTATGTATTACCTTCTTATTATGTAACTTGAACCATATGGCGACAGGGATTGTGATACAATATTGTGAAGATTTAGAAAATATTTCAAGATATTCATGGGCAAAAGTAGTGGTTGACATTCTACACAGGGCATTGAAAACAAAGGCCAGCCAATTGAAGTCGTGTTCTGTTCCTGGATGTGTGGTTGTCATAATAGTAATTGACATACTCTTTCGTATACTTATCTTCCTAATGCTTAAGAGTGTTTACATACATGATTTAATTATTTTTCATTTTTATCATAACAACTTTGGTTGTGTGAGAAAACAAAACTTATACAACCAATCAAAGGAAATGAGGGACACACACCAGCTCTCATAAAATGAAGCATGCATGAGCTACACTTGAAACTAAAATAGATAGATGTGGCAGACATTCAGGTAAATTTATACTTTATAATATATTAGCATTTACATAATGATTGTTATGCAATACAGTGTAGTTGTAATTGTGATGTCGTAGCACATACACTATTGCGCAAGGAATTACTTGTAGATGCTGATACTCTATTTGTCTGCATAATGCAACTCTTCAGTTGAGCTTTAAGGAGGACAAGGAGAATAAGAAGAAAAAGGAAGAAAATAAAAAAAAACAATCGAAAAAGCTAAAAGTGACGGACAAGAAGAATGGGAAGAAGGGGAAAATGTGTTTGATGATACAGTGAGCTCATTAGATTACGAACTTTGAGCTCAAAAGACACAAAAGGAATTCCCCCCAGCTGCCACTTTTTCAAAAAGGTTGAACAACAACAATGAGGACTTGGAGAAAAGATTTGAAGATTTATAGGAAACTATTCAAAATGCAAGTATGGAAGTTGCAAAAGCTTAAGGAAAAGTAAATAGGCTAACTGAAAAGTTAGAGATGAGGAAGGAAAAAACAAAACAATTAAGGAGAGAACTAAAAGAAGAAAAGAAGGAAAAGAGAAAGCTGAAAAAGGACACTGAGATCTTAAATGCTGAGAAGAAAACATTGTTTGGGTCTATGAAAAGTGTGGTGAAAAAGCTGGAACAAACTCTTGAAGCTGAAAGGGAAGAGGTGAAAAACCTAAAGAAGGAAAAAATGCAGCTGATTAATGAAAACCAAGAACTGAAGGATCAACTCAATCATGGGACTCCACGCATCTCTACACAATCGAGAGCAAACATGCAAATGGAGGTATCTCCCTTTCAATCCTATTTGGCAAGACTTGAGAAAAGCTTCATAACGAGGGGATTAGATCCTAAGTTTGAGTATGAACAAGGGGGAAAAAAGAGAAGGAGAGTAGAACATGGAAAAAAATGCTCAACCTGATGCCAATCCTGCAGGCATTTGTGGATGAAGAAGTTATATCAGTTGAGGAATTTGGGCCTTTTGAGCATTTTATATGTCTTGGAATATATCTCCACAATGGGTGTGTACCTGATATTTCTTATATTTTGCCCTATTTTATTACATGCTTTGTCTATGTGGTTTAGTTGGTTTTCATCATCTTATTGAGAGAAGAACTCTTTCTTTATGTTTGAAATGCCTTTTTATTATAGGGATCCCTACTTATGAGATGTAAATTAATGATCGGAATCGTTCAATTTTTATATTATCTTTCAAGGATTATCTATGAAAAAATCAATGGAGTCAAAAATTATATTGCAATTTGATAATCTATATTTTCATTTTAGCTTGATCTAATGTATTATGTATTTTGCACATTTTCGATAACCAAACAACTTTTGATACGAATGATTTTTTGAAGGAATAAAGAAACACTCGAACAAGCTAAAAGTCATGGACAAGAAAATGGAGAAGAAGGGGAAACGGTGTTTGATGATACAATGGGATCATTGGAAGACGAACTTCGAGCTCAAACGGCACAAAAGGAATTCCTCCCAACTCCCACAATTTTTATAAGACTGAACAACGGCAACTTGGAAAAAAGCTAAGAAGATTTATGGGAAAGTATTCAAAATGCAAATGCAGAAGTTGGTAAAACTCAAGGAGTGATTAGGCTAACTAAAAAGTTTGAGAGTAAGAAGGAGAAAACAAAAAAAATTGAAGAGAAAGCTAAAAGAAGAAAAGAAGGAAAAGAGGACAATGAGATCTTAAATGCTAAGAAGAAAGCATTCTTTGAATCTGTGGAAAGGGTAGTGAAAAAGCTGGAACAGATTCTGGAAGCTGAAAAGGAAGAGGTGAAAAACCTAAAGAATGACAAAAATGGAGCTGATTAAAGAAAATCAAGAACTCAAAGCTCAGTTCAATCAAGGAGTCAATGCACCACAATACAATTGAGTGAAGACATACAAATTGTGGTATCCCCAAATGAATCCTATTTGACAAGACTTGAGAAACCTCTTTCCTTATGTTTTGAAATGGCTGAATAAAATTTTCAAGCCTCAAAATTCAAACAAAGTTGACATAAAGATAGTTGATCAGACAAGGCATAGCTCATTATTTGGCTATGGATGTTGAAACTTATAAGATGTATGCATTGTGCTCCATTTTGATAGCATTTTGGTTATTGTAAAGAACCAACTACTTCAAGTTGCCAAAGACATCAAGTTTACCAATGCTTCCTATGCAGGGATGGCTGGCAAAATTACATCACATGTCAAATGTTCAAGCTTCATGAAAATGGAGCTTCTACTGGTCACTGATCACATGCTACCATATGCACACCAAAACCACCTATCCTATTAAAACAATTGCCCTGAAAAATTGACTAGTCATATTTGGTAGCCAAAATTGACTAGTCATATTTGGTAGCCATGGTTGGAGAGGCTCCTTCAATATATGACCCTATAAAAGATGACAAAACCATTTCAATTTTCAAGCAATCGAAGTCAATTTCTACCCAAGTGTGAATTAATTGTTGCAGTTCCGAAGAGATGACCTTTTACCACAGTCTATTTTGGAACAATCAATTAAATAAAGTGAAAACAAATGACCCAAAGAAAAAGTGAAAATAAATTTACTTTCATGTTTACCATCACACGGCATGACACACTCACCAACCCAAATAGAGACATATCGTATCTTTTAGATGTGGCATTCCTGTTGTGTTTGTAGTGTTCATGTCGTCTTTGTGTCAACACACTTTTCTTAATGGGTTGACACGACACGACACTATAAAAAAGGAGTAGAAAATGTCAAACACGAATGTGACCCGTTACAATTTATGAATCACACGACATGACCCTTTTCACCCATTAAGAATTAATAAAATATGAAAATAAAATAATAAATAAAACCACGTACAAAACCACTTCACAGCCCCCCTCTTCCTCTTTCTCTCCTCCTTCCCTAATCCATAAACCTCCATTAATGACACAACCAGTGAGAGAGAGGGTTCGTTGAATGAGGATGAGAGAGAGGGGGGTGCAGTGAGAGAGAGAAGAACAGAAAAGAAAGCTAGAGAAATACATACAAGAAAGCTATGTTCAGTTTCTGAGAAAAATAATGAAAATAGAAGAAACTTACACATAGAGAAAGACAATGGGAGAGTTGGGGGAATGGGGGAGGAAGAGAAGGAGACAAAAGAAAAAATAAATTTATAGAAATGCCCCTGAGTTTAACAAGTTAACGGATATTTGAGAATTTACACTATATAACCCGTTAACTTAACGTGTAGCTAACAGGTCAACACGATATCAACACGGAGTTTTTATCAAAAATAGCTAAAATTTAACCCTCAAATTCATAAATGTCAATTTTTTAAAAAACTTTCAAATATAGCCAAAAACTCACTTAAATTGACCCAAATGCCATCTAAATTAAAACCTAACCAAAAAGTATGCTCTTCCAAGCCGTAAGCTACTGAGCACAAACCTCCCTCTCCACCAAGCCTGCCCTTAAACACAAGGACACTGCCCCTTGCCAATCACCCTTAATGGAAAGCAAAGTTAATATAGGCAAGTTTGTATTGTGGGAAGATAGTCTATGAACAACGAGTGCCTTGCAATTTTTCTAGACCTCTTGTGCTGAGGGAAGGCAGTAGCACATATGATGGTTTGCAAGAAAGTTTAACCCCCCATATCATATGCAGACTAGCAGTATTTATGATACGAATTTTGCAAGAAAGTTCAACTTTTTTTCTTAATTAAAAATTAGGCTTTTTATCACAAATGGTCCATAACGTTTACGAAATTATCACGAATGGTCCTTGACCTTTTTTTGTGACACTAATAGTCCTTAACGTTTGTGTTTTTTTATCACAAATGGTCCATGCCGTTATAAATTCCGTTAAGTGTGATGTGGAAGGTAAGTGGAGCCCACATGTCCAATCACATTGTGACATGTGAATTAAAAAAATAATTAAATACATTTTTAATGAAAATTCCATTTTTTTTTGCAACTTTTCATCCCCTTCCTTACTCCGTCTCTCTCCCCTTCTGCCCTTGCTCTCTACCCTTTGCTCTCCATCTCTTCTCCCTCTGTTTTTTTTCTTTCCCTCTGCCACCTGCAAGAAAAAAATATAAGATATACAGTTGCTCTTAGGGACGGATCCACAGAGGAGCAAGGGTGGTCAAATGACCCCTGCAACTCTGGGATCTGCCATTAGAGGGGAGAAATTTGATCTCTGCAAACTGCTCGATGAAAGTCCCCAAAGAGCAGCGCTCTTCTCCCCAGTGTGCAGCGCTCTTATCGACCTCGCAATCTGATGCTCGTTAGCTATATGTGAGTTGCTCACTGATCTGAGATTTCAGTTTAGCTTGAAGTATTTGACAGAAGTGAAGATAACTGCTTGGTGATAACTTCACTTTGATCTTCAATATTCTTCACTTTGAGTACCCATTGGTTGGTCTGTAGGGAAAATTTTGTTTTTTTTAAAAAAAATGGCTTATTTTTATTTTAACTTTGATATTTGACAAAAGTGAAGATTACTGCTCGGTGGGACTGATATTTGATGCTTCATTTTGTATTTGGTTGATTAAATATTGATGGAATTATAAAATTAAGATCTTGAAGTATTGGGCTTGGGGAAATTAAGGCATTCCCAGCTATTTGGTTTGTCTTGGCTGAAATAGATTTCTTAAGAAAACGAAACAACATAGAGGCTCAATTTGTCTTGGCTGAAATAGGTTGGGTTCTTGAGGCAACAAAAAAACAGAGGGAGAGGGAAAGCACAGGAAAGAGAGAGGGCAGAGGAAAAGAGAGAGAGAGAGAGAGAGAGAGAGAGAGAGAGAGAGAGAGAGAGAGAGGCTAAATGATTTTTTAATGAATTTTCATAAAAAAAAACATTTCTTTATTTATTTAAAACAGAGGGAGAGGGAAAGCACAGGAAAGAGAGAGGGCAGAGGAAAAGAGAGAGAGAGAGAGAGAGAGAGAGAGAGGCTAAATGATTTTTTAATGAATTTTCATAAAAAAATATTTCTTTATTTATTTAATCCATATGTCACGATGTAATTGGACATGCGGGTTCTACTTTTCTTCCACCTCAGACACTTAACAGAATTTTTGACGGTAGGGACCATTTGTGATAAAAAGTCCAAACGTTAAGGACTATTAGTATCACAAAAAAACCTCAATGACCATTCGTGATAATTTCGAGAACGTGAAGGATTATTTGTGATAAAAAGTCTAAAAATTATAATGTCAAAAAACTGACTTTAACTGTTTTTATTGTCACGTCTAGTCTCTTCAATCTCTTGCTTGCTTCGCTTCAAAATCCCTCACAAACAAAACCCGCGACATTTTTTTTTCTTCATTTCGTAACTTTTTTCAAAAAAATTTCCCACAACACAATGCTTCGGAAGCCTATTGTCGTTTCAAAACCAAAACCTCAGACTTCTCAACGCCTTCATCTCTGCCGACAAAGGAGTTCCTCATTATCACGCTGTTGGGTCGCCTGTTTCCGGTAAGTTTCTCAAAGACTTACTTTTTTCGTTTTTGAAATCATGGGGGTTGAGTTCCTAATTTTTCTTTACATTGCTTGATTTTTGTGGCTTGTTGGGTAGTTGAAGTGACCAAAGATTTTGTCTTTGCTGGTGGGTTTTTTGGGTTTTAGGTTTTTTTTTTTTTTTTTGGGTTTGTTTTGTTTAGATATAGCGAAGGGAGGGTTGAAGATATTTGCTTTCCATTTCTGGCAAAAAGATACCAACACCTCGGCTCCCTTTTCACTTTATTCTTCAGCTTAGGTTGAGCTCGACGATTCTTCCAGTTTGGACTTCCTCTAAGGTGTACTGCGTCAGAGAATTGAACCCTCCGGGCTTCGCCTTCTGGTGTGGAAACTGCTTTTTCGGAGCCAAATCAGGTCAGCTATGCATTAATTGGAGCATTGTTACCTTTTTTTCTTTCTTCCAGTTTTAATTTTATTTTCTGCTTGGATGCCGATAAATGAAGGAAAAGAAATGTTGTTGCTGGTTTTAGTCTGTTGGTATTCTAGGATGTGAAAGCTTATTAGTCCAATTATTTGTTATTACATGTGGGGCTACTTTTGTTGCATGTTCTTAGAAGATGAACTGGACATCACTAGGGATAATACATATTAGTTATCAAAGGTCCTGTAACATTAGTAAATTGTTTTTTTAAATGTGTTTTTAAACAATTCAGTTTATAAATGTTTTGGTAGATGATTCATTTATTAGTGTCTGTAATTAAGTAGCAAATTGCTGATTGCCAGTATGTGTAACTTATGTATTTTAATCTGGTTTTCTTATTCAGAAGATGTTTCATTCAAGGTTGATGGATTGCTGCTTGAATTTCACTTCAGAATGACGGCAGCTTAATTAGATTTATAGTTTATAGTTTTATGGCTCTGATAGTTTATTTGTGTTTCTGGATGTAGGTACTTCCACATGTTTCCTCACTGAACAAATTCCTTTATAAGGCGTCAATCTAGAGTTGTGTGTGAAAATGGGGTTTCAGACACGACCCATGAGTAGAAATTTCAGCCAAGATGAAGCAGAAGATGATATTGCTAGCATTTCGCATTTGATTTCGACGCTGAGATCGGCATTTCTGACTTCTGATTTCGACCACGTAGAAGAAAAATTAATAGCTAGAGAAACTAAACTAAAGAGGGAGATTATTAAGCTGAAGAGTGAGAATGAAGTGCTGGAGGAAAAACACCAATTTGATAGGTTGGAAAAGCTTAACCTTGAGGAAGAGCGAAATGCAGCAAATGAGAGATACAAGAAGCTACTGGAGGAGGTGATGAGGGGAGTGGGATCCGATGATAAAGTTACAATGTTGGAGCTCAGGAGGAAGAACGATGAGTTGGAGAGTGAAAAGAAGAAGCTTGAGGCTTTGCTTCATAGTAATTTTGCAAGATGGGAGAACAACATTTCAAGGTTAGAGAAGGATACAGAGGAATTAATGAATGAAAGGCGTATGGGTTCAAGAAAAATGAGAGGAAGAAGAGGAAATGGTGGAATGATTGTTGATGGTAAAAAGGGCAATTGTAGTGTAACCCGTTTCCCTGTCATAGATTTAGAGAATGTGGTTGAGTTGAATGAAAATGGAAGTGTGGCAGCTAGCGCACCAGTCTCTCCTTTGAGTGATCATTTGCATTCTAAAGGCAATAGTCATCTGCAAAATTCAGGTATCAGAGAACTTTATGATATGTCATTTTAATCCATTCTAATTGCCAGCTGTTGGTTAACTGAATTTACCATTTGAGTTTTGTTAGGCTTTATGAAGTATACATCAGTGTGTATGAACTTTGAAGTACCTTGGTTAATTGCTACTACTGTTATAGATATTACAACTTTGTTGTCATTAAAATAATCGTGAATACTCTTTAAAGGAACATCATAAATGTAGTACAATAATGATAATAGGTGTATATGATTATTCTTAGGGCGAATTCCCACATGTTTTGCTAGATATGCAACGAATTATATTTGTCATCTTCAAAGTTTCCTGGAACCTTGTTGCCAATGTCTCTGCGATGCCTAACATAAATCTTCCATGCCAGGTGCTCGCAAATTTTCATCCGGAGGCGCTGGTTTTATTGTCTGTAGTGATGATGATTGTGCACCCAGAGAAAATTCAGGTTCATCTGGGGTACAAAAGAAACCAAAGTTTCTCAAAAGAAAATGTACTTCATCTCTGAGCAGTGGTGATAAGGAGAATGGTGATGACAATTTTGAAGAGATGGAGCAACACTCTAAGTTAAACCTTGAACCCTTTGGTTCTAAGGTGAATCACTGCTCAGAAGCGGGTGTTACTTCCACTACTAATGACCCATCAAGTCGTGATCCAGTGAACTTAAGACAAGCTGAAGAAGAAATAGAGCCAGAACAGAAGTTATTGGAATTTATTAGGCCTCTTGCGGAGGCGAGGGTTGATTGTGATAGTGGCAGTTCTAGTTCCAGTTCTTCTGACTCTGAGGATGGCAATAGACGTCAGTTTTTATACTCTTATGCAATGCAAAAGGTCAAAGAAAGAAAGGTAAATAAAAAATGACACATGTTGTTACTTGATGCATTTGAGAAAAATCCTGAAAGTGGGACAAATGTTGTCTCTGCTCTTGGCTCGCAATAGATGTCGTTTAAGTTGCATGCCATTAAATGTTCTGGTCATTTATTCTGTTTTGTGTTTCTTCTTTGTGTGTGTATGTGCTGCTATACTCCAAATGAATATCCTTATGCATTTAACATTCCTTAGTTACTTGAGCTGTACGATACAAATTTGTGAGTACCAGTGGATGCTAAACCAAAGGAAGCGAAGGTAGCAGTTGGCTTACAGCACACTTGAACACATACAGCGTATTAAATAATATTTACTTTCTAAATGAACTGTAATATTTTTTCACAATTACTTTTGCTGTCTGGATTTAAGTTTGTATCCAGATCCTGGAATACATTTACCTGCATCTGTAGTATTCTTTTTGTTACAAAATGCATAAAATCATTGAGCTATTCAGCAATAAAAAGTGGGATATTTTAGGGAGAGGTTCCTTTTATACCTGTTCCCCTGTTGATGCCCCAGGTTTTAAGCTTTTCCCAAATCCCAGGAAATTTGTCATCAATGAGGTTCCACCTTATTGTTTCCAACAAGATAATTTTAATGTATGTGTGGGACATATTTATTTTGAGTGATCAACTTCTATTTCGAAATTTCTCCTGTTTTGTATTGTAGATAGTTGAGTGGTAATCTTTGATCAGCCATTTGTACTTGTTCTTACTGTTGTTAGTATAATTTGGTTTTGCACATATGCTTCAGGAATACTTCTCAAGAGATTCTTGTATCTGAGGATCCATATGGGAGGCTAAAAAGGAACTGTCAAGGAGATGTAGGTGTATGCTGGAGAACTTCTTTGTGACTGCAAGAGACCTATCAGTGGTACTTTGAGCACTTTTTTGAGATATGCTGTATGCTTGACAGAATTTGATCTGAGCCCTTTACTTTTGCTATATTGTAATTATGAACTTATAATTTCGACGGGAGCAATACAAACCCGAGTAGTAGACAGTTTTCGTATTGGGCTGGTCAGTGAAATGGTGTGGTGACTATTCTGTTTACTAATGTGAATTTGCAGCTATGGTTGTTCTAGTTTCTATTTATATATCTCTTGCTTCTTTTTTGGGTCAATTATATTATCTCATGCTTAGCTTTGTAGTTATGAACCATTCAAACACGCAGCACACCATTGCAAATTGTCTGCAGGTCCTTACTTTCCAAACGTGGGCCCAACCACAGCTAAATAATACCTGATGGAATTGAGCCTTTTGCACGAGTTGGGCTGGACCCGAACCCAACCTAAACAAATTTATACTTGTAGCTTCTACCACCTAGGCCCAACAATGGGTGGTGACGTGGCATGGGTGAACCGGTAGTTTAGCTCTCTCTGTGGACCCATGACGGGCCACGTGATAAAATCGTGATCACCTGTTGGTTTGCACGTGCAGCAGCCCATTTCTTGGACTTGTACCTACGTGCACCTTGGAGCGCCACTTCTTCTTCTTAGTTTAAATTTATCTTTTTTTAAAATAATTTTTTATAGCTAATAGTTTGAATTTATCTTTAAAATGAATAAAAACAACAAAAATTGGCCACCCACTCCCCTTTAAAATGACAAAAATCTATATGATTTTATTGCTTTTGATAATGACAAAGTCTATAAGTTAGCTTTAGTTGGTTCAATTATTTATCAACGTGGACCATCTTATTGTTAGGAATCTGATTTGATTGAAATGATCATATGAAAATGATACTGTCTACCTTAATTTTGGGCTAATTTGTGATAATTATTGGCCAATTTTCATTTCTTTTTGTTCAACTTTAAACAGGCCTTATCCCCATATTACATTAATATCCCACCGACAAACCTATTATAATTTTTTAATGGTACTTTCAAAAAAACGCAACTCTATTTCAAAAAAAAGGATTCATAAAAACATTTGGAAAATGAAGCTTCTTTAGAAAGAATTTTCATTAAGAATTAGTTAAGGAGTTCTAATCTCCACTATCCATTAGACATGTCAGTGAGTTATCTCACAACTGAGCTTCTTGATCCTCAATCAATTCTTAACAAAAACATCTTTAATGTTTTTCTATGGAAAAAAAAACAAAAACAAAAGCTAGGATTTGTTCTAACACTTTTTTTTTTGCTGATATTTATTCTACCAAAATTTTAGGTCATATTTATTCTAACACGTTGAAAACATGTGTTGTTAAGAGAAAGAATTTAACACGAAACCATTTAGTGTTAGAGTAAAACGACCCTCATACTTTACTTGACTGATTTATTGAAATTATGGTTTGTTTGTCCAAAAATGACAATATCAATTCCAATATTTCTAATCGAAACACATGCAGTAAATTAGAATAGCAAATATATAATTTTTACCCTTAATATGCATCCATCCATTTATCTTATATTATTGATTTGAGAGAATCTCCAACAAAAGAAAAAAACTGTATGATGCAAAGAATATTGACAAAATAATAAATACACAAAAAGAATCTTGAAATTTAACACATGTTTAATAATTATACGTGACTAATAAGTGTAGATACATAATTACACATGAAATTATGGCTCGGTTTAGTCTTGCTCTTTTTCGTTCGACTATTATATTGACTTACTGGACGACACGTCTAAAATTTAAATGTTTGAACGAACGCGCCCATATTCTAAGGCAGCCTATCTAATCATCTCTATTTTTTTAAAACATAAAATTAATTTGAAGTTATGTGAAAGTATAAAAGCCTTTTGCTATATATATATATATATATATATATATATATTCACATCCGTTGAGATCCATGAAAATCATGAAAGCTAAAAACATCAATGACAGGATTACATTATTAAGCAAAAAGAATCATAATTTTTTAAAACGTGTATATATATATATATTTCATTTTCTTTTTAACTACTCACGTATACCGTGGCCCAAACATGCGGCTGGATTCGTTGTTGCTTCAGATATCGGAACCGTTCTGTGCCGTTACTTTTAATAAAAAAGAATAATTATCATAAAAATAAACAAACAAATAAATAAAAATAAATCAATCAATCCGCTGGATATTGCTGGCTGTTCCTTTTCCGCGTTCCAATTCAGAAAATCACCAGACAGAAGAAAAAATATAGAAGAAAATTAACAGAAGAAAATTTCCTCACTGAATTTTCAAAGAAAAAAAAGATAATACAGAGAGTGAGAAAATTATCCGAAAATAGCGAAGGGAGGTTAAAGATATTTGCTTTCCATTTTCTGGCAAAAAGATACCAACACCTCGGCTTTCTTTTCACTTTATTCTTCAGCTTTGGCTTCTCTTAGGGTTTTTGAGCTTGAAGATTCTTCCAGTTTTGACTTCCTCTGAGACTTACTGCGTCAGAGAATTGAACCCTCCGGGTTTCGCCTTCTGGTGTGGAAACTGCTTTTTCGGAGCTAATTCAGGTCAGCTATGCAGTAATTGGAGGATTGTTAGCTTTTTTTTTCAGTTTTGATTTTAGGTTCTGCTTGGATGCCGAGAAAATGAAGGAAAAGAAATGTTGTTGCTGGTTTTAGTCTGCTGGTATTCTAGGAAGCGAAAGCTTATTAGTCCAATTATTTGTTATTACTTGTTGGGCTACTGTGGTTGCATATTCGTAGCAGATGAACTGGACATCACTAAGGATAATACTTATCAGTTATCAAAGGTCCTGTAATATTAGCAAATTGTTTTTTTAAACAATTCAATTTATAAATGTTTTGGTAGATGATTCATTTATTAGTGTCTGTAATTAAGTAGCATTTTAATCTGGTTTCTTATTCAGAAGATGTTTCAGGGTTGATGAATTGCTGCTTGAATTTCACTTCAGAATGACTGCAGCATAATTAGATTTATATTTTATAATTTTATGGCTCTGATAGTCTTATAGTCTTATAGTCTTACTAGTGTTTCTGGATGTAGGTACTTGCACGTGGTTCCTCACTGAACAAATTCTTTTATAGAGCGTCATCTAGAGTTGGTTGAATGAAATCAGTATAGGCAGCATGGATGATCTAGTGGCTGAGGAAGTGACCTCATCAGATCCAGCAGAGGGCGCACAGCTCCAAAGGAAAGATAATGAGTTTTCACTGAAACCTGAAAACAACACATTAGAATGCCAAGAGATGCGTATACCAGGTGAGGACAATTATTCCCCAAGCTCACGTCAGGAGTTTTTGGAGATGTTTGACAGTCATAGTGTAGATAGGAATATGCGCCATGTGAATGGATTAGAACACCAATATAATAGTCTAGGCTTTATGGAAGATGCTGGTTTCACGGTGGAAGAGTTAACTGTGAGAAATTGCAATAATCCAAACTTAGCTATTCTTGATACATCAAACAATCAAGGAAAGATGCAAGCTAGGCAGAACTCGTGGCAACATTTATATCAGCTAGCAAGTGGATCAGGAAGTGGGAGTTCGCGGGTCAATACTGCATTCAGGGATAATGGGCAGGTAATGCCCAATGGCTTGGAGAATGGGAGGTCCACATCTTTCCCTGAGTTTTTGACTCAGAAGGCATTTAGTGACAATCACTATGAAGTTGTGGAAGAATTGACAAATACTGGAAATAGAGGGGTTTCAGGCAATACTTACGCAGGTATCCGGACAAAAATCCTATCTAAATCAGGCTTTTCTGAGTTTTTTGTTAAAAATACATTGAAAGGTAAGGGTGTCATTTGCAAAGATCCATACCATGCGAGCTGTCATGTTGAACCTAGAAACCTGAATAGAGCAAGTGTGGTTGATGGTTCTATATCATCTTCTTTGGGTGGTGGTTCTATGACAGCTTCTGATCCAATGCTGAGTCTGGATGCCAATATTTTTATGCCTTCTTCCAATGGTGAGAATGTTGGGCCCAGGCCTTGTGGCTCTGATCATGATGGTATCAGTTTGAGAGAATGGCTGAAAACTGGACGTCCTAAAGCAAATAAAGTTGAATGCATGAATATATTTAGACAGATAGTGGATCTGGTGGATCACTTCCATTCTCAAGGAGTTGCTTTGCATGGATTGCGGCCTTTTTTCTTCCAGTTGTTGCCTTCAAATCAGGTCAAGTATGTCGGCTTACTAGTCCAAAAGGAGATGTCAGCGAGTATAATGGATGAAGATATTTCTCATTCAGAAAATAGTTCAATTGGAAAAAGGCTAGTCGAGCAGGAGTTTTCATCTGTTGGTTTATCTGCAAAGAAGCAAAAGATCAGTCAGAACACTAGATTGCAATGGCCTCAGTTCCCAACCACTTCCTACGTCAAACGTGAAACTATGAATACCAGCTGCATCAACATCACTGGTCTGCAGAACAGAAGTGATGCATTTGATGAACGTAACCCAGGTACAAAGCATGGGACACGTACCAAGTCCAGCAGTCCTCATATGCGTAATGCAGCTCAACAGTTGACTTCAATAAGTGATCATTTGGAAGAGAAGTGGTATATTAGTCCCGAGGAACTCAGTGAGGGGAGCTGCACAGCTTTATCAAATATCTACAATCTGGGTGTTCTTCTCTTTGAGGTGCAAATTGAATAATTTTGTTGCTGCACTTGACACATGATATTGCTTCATCAAATTGAATGAAAAGTCTAATGGATTAATTTGGGTATTCGTTTCAGTTACTTGCTCATTTTGACTCAAATAGCGCCCTTGCTGCAGCAATGTCCAACCTACGCCATAGAATTCTTCCCCCTAATTTTCTGTCAGAAAATGCTAAGGAGGCTGGATTTTGTCTTTGGCTACTTCATCCAGATCCATCATCACGCCCAACAACAAGGTAGTGCTGAACCCTTGTCATGTTATTTTATAACATTTTTATTCACATCAACTACATGGATTTTGTATCCATGACTGTGAAGGTGTGTATTTTCTGGTAAATAATATTGAAGGATGTAATATTGGGAAGGAATTATATTCTGAAAATTTATGCCATAAAAAAATCTTGTGTGTAGCAGTTGATAGAACAATAAATATATAAAAACACAAAATGCAGTTGAATTGTGCAGTTGAAGAAAATGGGATGACCTTTTATATGATGTGAAACTTGAATCCAAAAATCTTAAGCCCATATCCCGTTCTAGGGCTACTGTTATAATTACTTATTTAATGGTACTTTGAATAGCAATTGAAATTTACCTTGGTTCATGGATCTTTTAGGAAATTTCTCATAGGTTGATGGAGACTTCTGAATCTTGGAAATTTAATTTTATTCCTTTTTAAAAAGAAATAATATTCATGCATGAAGGGGTTGAAGCTTTGTGTGCGAACCTCATGATCCTCCAGGTTTTTTTTTGGGGGCAACGATCCTCCAGGCTTCTTGTGGATATATAAGTGATTAGAGTTTGATGTTTTATTATTCACTCTCTCAATACCCTACTGGAGTGCACTATGGCTCCTTGGTTGAATATTTGATGGAAGTGTTCTAAATTATGCAATTGCTTTTCTCCCACCCAAAAAAATAAAAAAATAAAAAAATTTCAGAATTCAAACCTCAATTTGTACTTATTATACTATTCTGACTTCTGAGTTTATGATCATTGGTGATGACAGGAAAATTCTACAATCTGAAGTAGTTAATGGGCTACAGGAGGTTTGTGTAGAAGAATTGTCATCTTCTGTGGACCAAGAGGATGCAGAATTGGAGTTATTATTGCATTTCCTTACATCAATGAAAGAAAAGAAGCAGAAGGCTGCCACCAAGTTGATGGAAACCATTCGGTTCCTAGAAGCTGATGTTGAAGAAGTTGAGAGGAGGCACTGTTCAAGAAAACCCCTGATTGATCGTTGCTTGTACAATGAATCCCTGAATGGAAGGAAAAATACATTGGTTCTTGAAGAAGATTCAAGGTCAGAGGGGCTTTCTCCAATATCTTCTGTTCCTAGTTCAAATGATTCAAGGTTGATGAGGAATATTGATCAGCTTGAGAGTGCTTACTTCTCGATGAGATCAAGAATTCAGTATCCTGAGACTGATTCTACAATACGCACAGATAAAGATTTACTAAGAAATCGCAAGAATTGGTGTGTGGCAACGAAGGATGAAGAAAAGGAGACTGCCACTGATCGACTGGGAGCCATCTTCGATGGTTTGTGCAGGTATGCTCATTACAGTAAGTTTGAAGTACGTGGCATACTAAGAAATGGAGATTTCAACTGTTCCTCAAATGTAATTTGCTCTTTGAGTTTTGATCGGGATGAAGACTATTTTGCTGCTGCTGGGATCTCAAAGAAAATTAAGATTTTTGAGTTTAATGCTTTCTTCAACGATTCTGTTGATATTCATTATCCGGCGATTGAGATGTCAAACAAATCAAAGATCAGCTGTGTTTGCTGGAACAACTATATCAAAAACTATCTGGCTTCAACTGATTATGATGGGGTAGTCAAGGTATGTATATCTTGTGCTACACAGAGTTGTCTATTTTGCTGGAAAAAACTACTTCTGTCAGAATTTTGACCTGACAGCCTCTGCAAGTTCATCCTTTTGATATGTTTCACAGAAATAGTGCAATAGAGATGTATGACTGTTTAGGGTGTATGCTTTCTATTTTATTTTTTATCATGCATTCATACTTGGCTCATTTTTCCCTAATATATTGGTTTGCCCCTGACTATTTTTTGTCCTGATTCTTTAATGATTTCTTGCATTGCACATGACATAATTTTCTTATATGGAAATCCAGTTATGGGATGCCAGCACTGGTCAAGAATTTGCTCAATACAATGAGCATGAACGGAGGGCTTGGTCTGTTGACTTTTCTCAAGTATATCCGACAAAATTAGCCAGTGGAAGTGATGATGGTTCTGTGAAACTATGGAGCATTAATGAGGCATGCTCTCTCTCTCTCTCTCTCTCTCTCTCTCTCTCTCTCTCTCTCATATGTATTTATTGTGCATAATAATATATCAAGATAAATGCTTCATGATACGAGAATTTTAGTTGAAGAAGGAATTGTTCTTTGTTGTCTGTTAGTTTTACCGTCCCAGTGCCTTTGTAATTCATGAAATGATTTGAGTTCTTTAGAAAATTAACATCAAAGTAAGATGCTGTCTATCATTTTTCTGTTAGTTAGCTATCAAATTTACCATTATGAGAAACTCTTGTTTGGTTTTTATGATTCTTATTTAAATGAAACTCATGTTTGCTACTGATGTACAAATGTTGCTGATTGAACTAGTAGTTGGGTGTCCTTGTGATGGTCCCTAGTGCAGATGCTATGAATTTTTTTTTAATAGATATATGTCAATTTGGGATTTCACATTTTGTGTTCATTTTGGAATTTTAATATGTAGGGCTTGCTTAAATTTTAATTGGGAACTACTAGGGTTTGTTTTTCTTTACTATCAGGTTTCCTTCTTAGCTTTATTTTGTTACTGTGCTTGCCAATAACAGTAAGAGCTTATTTTTATGATAGACAGCGCAAACCCAATGAGGGAGGGAATAAAGCTAATATAATATGAAAACCCTAGTAAGGGGAAAACAAGCCCTAATAGTTAAAGAAATCCCAATCAAAATTAAGCAAGCCCTGCATAATATAAAAATTCCGAAATTAAAATAAAATATGAAATGTTAAATTGACATAAATAAACCATAATAAAGTGTCTCAGTATGATCTGCATCAATCCCTGAATGCTGATGGGGCTTTTGATGCTCAAAACACAATCCCTGTAAAGAAATTGTGGCCAAATGATGCCTGACATATCTTTCTTTCATTTCGGCTCTTCTTCATCCTAGCACTGATTACTGCTTAAGATATTGTGAGATTCTTCTGAAATCCCTTCTTTCGTTTTCTTTTCAGAAAAAATGTTTAGGAACCATCAAGAACATTGCAAATGCGAATGTATGTTGTGTGCAGTTCTCAGCACACTCAACTCATTTACTGTCCTTCGGATCTGCGGACTTCAGAACCTATTGCTATGATCTTCGGAATACTAAGATTCCATGGTGTGTACTGGCTGGCCATGAGAAAGCTGTAAGCTATGTAAAATTTTTGGACTCTGAGACCCTTGTTTCTGCATCCACTGACAACACATTAAAGCTATGGGATCTTAACAAAAGCAGTATAAATGGTCCATCCACCAATGCTTGCAGCTTAACCCTTGGGGGCCATACCAATGAGAAGGTTGGCCACCCCACTAATTTTTTTTATTGGTTCTGTATACTAGAATCTATTTCTATTTCTGTCTTGATTTTGAGATCTAGCTAATACTTGCTTTAACTACATCTTAACTATCTAACCAAGTTTTTTTGTTTTGGGGTCTTTCTCTCGGTTGGTTCACTTCACACTTTGGATGCTTACTCCCTCAGAACTTTGTGGGTTTGTCCGTTTCAGATGGTTACATAGCTTGTGGTTCAGAAACAAATGAGGTATACATTTAATTTCCATGCTATGTGGTTCATTATTTATAAAATGAAAAATGAACGGACTTCTAATTGAACTAAAATGAAGTTTTTAACAAAAAAAAGGTAAAAAGGAAGTACTGACTTTCTGGACAGTGCTTATGTGGGATTTGCAGTTTAATCAAAATATAATTAGCTTCTTTAACTTTTGGAGTTGATATCTCATATCCTGTTCCAGGTTTATGCTTACTATAGATCTCTGCCTATGCCAATCACTTCACACAAGTTTGGCTCTATAGATCGTATTTCTGGAACTGAGACTGATGATGATAATGGACAATTTGTTTCGAGTGTCTGCTGGAGAGGGAAATCAGACATGGTTGTTGCTGCCAATTCAAGTGGGTGTATAAAAGTGTTGCAGATTATTTAAGGAAAAGGTAACCCCCTTGACATCAATCAAGTAGTCATTATCCTTTTGAAACCTTCTTGATGGCTTGTTATTCCCTGAGTTTCTTCTGGGAGGCCTATTATAAAGCTGAAACTGTAAGTTCATATGGCGAAACTCCCGGAAGTAAGTTTTCATGGAAAGACTATGAATCTTAGATTCTTAGTGCATCTCGGATTCTAGCCATCAACGTTTGATAGAGGGGCCGAACTTGACTAAATTACTCACGGTGAACATTTCAGCCCCAAAATGTGGTATCTGAAGGACATCCATCGGGTTGTGAAAATATTTTGAATCTTCAAATCAGAAGTTTGTGATACCGGCACAAGAACTGACCGACTTTTAACAGTGTCGTATTGCAATAAATTAAAGGAGACTTGAGGATTTCTTTGTGATACTCAGCTTCGAAAATTTTAAATTGTGATAACCATGACCAATGTGAAATCCGGGTGAGCGGTTTGCAGATGAAAATAGATTCTTGGAACAGCAGTGTCAAGCATAAGTGATTAAACTGGGGAATAGAAGTCTGAGCTCCATCCCTAAGCTAAGCATTTATTCCTCAACAGTTTCAGTTTATGCAGGAATGATGTTACATAGATCATTTTCGGATCACTATAGCGGTCAACTAATTTGGTTAGAATGTATGTTCTTTATACCATTATTCATTTCAAGTCCTATTCTTAAATGGACTGTCATATAATATATGACCAAAGTGTTTGGTGAGAAAACAACTAAAAAGCATTTGTCACACTTTCAAAGAGGATGATCCCTCTTGAGTGGTTTTCAGTATATATAGCGTAGTACATAGGGCCTCATGTTGTAAACTTTAGGAGATTAGGTTTTATATGAACATCCTTTTTTGGGGAGATCACAGAATTGAATTGTATCTCATTTACGATTGCGCGATTTCTATGATATCTTGCAGTTTAAATTTTGATAAGAGGGAATGGATTATATTTAAGATTTATTTATTCATTGACGAAAAATGTTGCCATTTTATCTTGCCTCTTGATATGCTCTGTTGTAGTTTGAATTAGAAATCACCTTATTTCTGCATATTATGCATAATTCTTCTGGACATAGCACTGTCTGATAATAACTGTGTGCTATATTTATACTTGCACGGCAAATTAAAAGAATTGGGTGGTGATTTTCCCACTCCCCTTTTATCCACTTACACTTCCTTTTGTTTTTTAATAGTTTTTACTATAACAAAAAAGGGAGTGTAAGTGGACAAAAGAGGAGTGGGAACATACAATTTCTAACAAAGGGAGTGTAAGTGGATAAAAGAGAAATGGGAAAATCAGCTCTCAAATCAAATAGAAGTGCAGGGATCACGAAAGTATATACAGGCCATGCGAGAACATTATATGAAAAGAAAAATATAAGCAAAACTCTATACTATTATCTTCAAACCTATGGACCTATATATAAGAACTTGAAAGTTACACATGAAGCAGACAATGAAAATTCACTGTTTCTATGTCTTAAAATCAAACTAGCATTTTTGTTTAAGGGTAACAAAAACTGATCCATACTTGGTTGAATAATTTGTGGAACCTTTTACTGTGTGCCTATTCTATTCAATGCCAGCAACTCTTCTGGTGTTGTGAGCAAAAGGCTAATGTATCTCTGAGTCCGAGACATGACCACACGGTCTGTGTCTGCCGCTCGCAGTACTCTTTGTACTCAAAGGACTCGGTAGTGGACTGCTCCCATTGTTCACCTTCGTGCTGCTGCGACGACATGGTTTTAATGGCGTCGAAACTTTTGGTGGTGGAATTTTTGGTAATGGAAGTTTTGGTGGAGGAATCCTTGGTGACGAAAGTCTTGGTGTCGAAAATCTTGGTGTTGCTGGTGATCTTGATGTCCCTGCATAACCAGATCAGCATTTTTCTAGTCAAGATTCGAATGGTAATTTAGAAAGCACAGAAGCGCTTAAAGTACTATGATGATCAATGTTTCTCATCAATGCAGAAAAGAGTTTAGGTGAAATTATTAGCTGACCTAAGCCTTTTCTAGCGCTCACTCCTGGGCGTTTCTTTGCAGTGAGAGTTTTCTTGGTTGGAGCCTCGGAACATACTGACCTCAAATCAAAAACAGACCTCAAATCAGAGCAAACAGACCTCGTATCACTTAATGGTACAAATGGATCTTCGACGACGGACATACTGTCATTTCTGCAATTTGGGGCTTGCCTGCTCATCGAAGTTGTATCACTTACAGAATCCAGACTCTTAATCCTGATGAGGCCGGGGCTGGTCTTCTCCTTCTCCCCAAGTCTATAAGAAAACATTTGAAAGGGAAGTTGTGATATTGAGGATAAATCAGCATACCCTGCTGCTGAACTATTCTTCAGGAACCATGTCTCTATCTCACAATAATCCATAGGAGGGGATTGCAGTATAGGCTGATCGTCGTCGGGGTTCAAGGTAAGAAAGTTCTTTATGTAGCGTAGAATTCGACAAATGGATGAGAAAGTCAGGCGCTGAGATGGGTCAGTGTGCCAGCATCTCTTGGTTAAGTTGACAAGGTACTTTGGTGAAGGGAAAGGGAAGAGAGGCCTCCCTCCTGCTCTTATAGTGCGACTCATCTTGTCCCCTTGGAGATGTGAATCTTCAAAAGGAACCTTCCCAGTCAAGAGCTCAAAGCAAAGCATTGCAAAGCTGTATACGTCTGCTTTCTCTGTGTATTTGGTACGACGGTTATTCCCTGGTTGTTCTTGCTCAGCCAGGACTTCTGGGGCACACCAAATCAAAGGGTTGATCTCATTTTGCTGCTGTGAGTATCGTGAAGTAGGTTTGTGTACAGATGATAAACCAAAACCTGATACTTTTACTTGAAAATAACCTTCTGTGCAGCTCCTTGCCTTGAGAAAGACGTTACAAGGGTTCAACTCTCCATGGTAGATCTTCCTAGAGTGGAGATATTCCATGCCTCTTGCAATCTGAAGCATGATATCAACCACCACTGGGATCGAAAACAAAACCTGCCTTCTTGCACCACGGTTCTCCTTCATGTAGCAGCGCAGATCCTTGCTCATCAACTCCATAACAAGAAAGCACTCCTTCTTCTCCTCGTCATAAAACCCACATAGGTACTGCAGTACATGGGGGTGGGAAAGTGAGAGGAGAGTTGAAATCTCCGAGTTCAATGGTTCAAGATCCCCGAAGAAGTGTCTCAAGGCAAAGTTTTTCCCCAACCACTGGATTTCCTTGTACTGGCTTCCCCCTCCTAACCGCCGCCTAATTTGGTAGTCCTTGGATGCTAATAAGATTGTGCTTGGAAACAGCTTCCCACAGAAATCTGACCCATGTAGCTTCTTCACCAGCAAGTCTCCAAGCTGTTGCTCATTCCTTGTCGAACCAAGGGATCCTGAAATTTTGTTCTCTTTGAGCGTTTCAATGAGCCGCCATCTATCTTCCCTCCAAGCACTCTCCAACCTTTTGCAGATGGCCTTTGGGACCAAATACTGCTTCCCAAATCTCCATTGGAAAAGCTTGGGGTCATTCCACTCCCTATCATACTTCCTTGTGAGAAAAATCCTCTTCTTGTGCATCACATCCTGATCAAGTCCAGCAATCTCTCCAGCGTTCTCAATTGCCTCAATCACAGCCGCGTAGTAGCAGAACAAGTTATGAATATGAAATTCAACACAGTCCTTGTTCTGATGGAGGAGGATTGTTTTGCTCCACCAGTTACTGGCATCCATGCAGTGCCTAATGTAGAGCTCCCCTTCTTTGAAAACTGTGTGAAGCTCCCTCAACGGCTTCTCAAGAGCTTTCCATTTGGTCTTTTTCTCTTCGAGCTTTAGGTTCAGCCTGATCTCCTCTCCAATTGTGTCAAAGGCCATACTGAATACATCATGCAACAATGAGCACTGACATTGATTGATCAGAGTCTCATCTTGTACCATCAACAGAGCCTTCATACTTCCCACAACCTCTCCAATATGCCGGAATTGTTCCATTCCGGCCCCAGAAAACCGAAAATTTTCTCAACACAGTAGCTAACCAGATGTATAAATTCAGCAACAAGTCCAATCAAATGCTCAACAACTCAAGATGCTGTGCCAGAAAAAAACAGAACAAAATAAGCAAATAAAATAAAAAGGGTTACATTTACTCATCAAGATTACAACTTTCCAACCATGCATCAAGACCCACATGCATGCCAAACTTGTTTCATATGAGGATTCTAAATATTATGAGAATAGGGGTAAAATAAATGATGAGATCATAAAATATTATGTACCTGGAGTAAAAAATCAAACTTTCTTGCTGTAGAATCCAAATGAGCTAGCTAGCATCCAAGCAAACACCAATTCACATTCAACTCTGTCCCCAACCCAAAAATCTGATCATCATCATCAAGCAACACCCCCTATTTCCAATGGGTACCCCAAAGAAAGAGAAATTAATTAACAAAAACTGAAAATATTTAAACCCCAAGAAGAGAAAAACCAGAGCAGAACAAAGAAAACAGACCGGTCTGGTTCAGGTTCTAGTTCTGGTCCAGATTCAAAGTCGTGCCTCCAAAAACCAGACGAAGAAGGTGGTCAATGAATCAATCAATCTGAACCGCCTGATCAGGCGGTTTTCTCATTAAAAACCAAACAAGAAATGAAAACCAAGTTAGAAAGAAAAGAAAAAAAAACGGATTTTCCGAGGCGGCAGTTTGTCACGTTCTGTAACGAATATTAATTTTGGAAAAACTGAGACCCAAGAACAAGAAGAAGAAAGCAGTTTTTTTGTTTGTTTTTTTTAATTTTAAAAAAATTGGTTTGAAGAAAAGAAAAAACAAATTTTCAGGTTTTGGAAGAGAAAGTGAGGCGTTGTTGAACAGGTCCGTTTTCTTTGGACCCTATTTATATTTGTTCCCGCGATTTTCGTCTTCCGTAGAGAAAACGAAAAACAACGTTTATTAATCAAGTCAAAATTAGTTGTCATTAGGTACCCTGTGTGAATAAATTAAGCAATCCTATCAGCTCATTGATGAAATACGTGAGCTATTAATTTAATTAGCAAAACAAAAGAAAAGAAATACATGACATTATTAGTAAATAAATATGAATGAAGGTTCCAATAAGTTCATTGAGCTAGTTCAAATGGAGATGAATATTCGACCGTACGCGATAATCCTGATATACGATATAGAAGTCTAATGTAGGATAATGTATTGATAAATAATATCAACATGATATCGATACAATATCAATAGTCTGTTTTTAATAAGAAACGAACATCTATGAAGAAATAGAAGAAATATAATGCTTTTCCATCCATCCTCCCTTCTTCCTCATGTTCAAAAGTTATCTTCAACATGTCATCTTCGTCAATTCCACATTTATTAAATTTATTTTTAATGAAAATTGATTAAATTTATGTCAAATATTTCTTTAGGTGAATTATTATGCCAAAGGGCTGCATGCAAGGGTGTTGTGTTGGCGTGCGCGGCACGTTATAAAGTGTTTGAGCTTGACGTGATCCGACGGTCCACCAATGCTTAATTTAGTGGCCATAAATTAAGGCGGAAAATAATTGTCATATATACATGGTAGCTTCGGTGCTTCCAGTAAGCCAATGTGGATATGCCACGTTGACAACTAATTGTTGCTGGTTAGGTCAATAAAAGCACACGTCTGACGGTCCGAGGGGATGTGGAAAGACAATTCTCTCACCCCAAAAATTGAAATGTTCTTACTATTATTTCAGTTGTTTTTTTTAGATAGTTTTCAAACTTGATGATTAATTATGGTAATTACAGCTTTCCATTCGGGGGCTATGGGCTGTAGCCTTTTCACATCGTTGCCTCTCCAGGGTGTCGATTGCAAGAGAAACGAGTGAAAGCCAACCTTCTTGCCTTCACTCACAGCTATAAATACCCTTTTGGTCAATTTGTTTTTCACGAAAATTCAATTTGGTCATTGAGAAATTTTTTATAGCCAAAATAGTTACCTTGTTTCCCAAATATGGGGACCAAAAATCCTATCCCGCGTAGTAAGGCCCAGTTAGACCTCCCTCACACTAAAGAAGTGCGGAGCAAGGAAGGCATAACCCGATCAAACTCCCCACGATTATGGAATGGAGGACGGGACGCGCAAACCTAGGAGGTGGAGCCTTGGAGCGCTATAAAAGCCCAATTGAGCCTCAACCAAGGTACGATAAATTCAATCAAGCACTAAGAGATCTCTGCACAAACATTGACTTGAGCGTTGAAGTGTCTTTTGCAGGTACTTTCCATATTTACATCGTGCACTTTCGAAGAAGCAATCTGGAGTCCTTTCCAATTAAGGAAACATGCGGATTTTAGTTAAGAACATGTGGATGCATTTCTTCTTGAAAGAAATCCTGCTCCAGAACCAAAGTTTACAATTTATAGACATGTCGTTATCTTCTTCCTAAGATTTCCCCCAATTTATTAAACCCTAATAGCATAATATACCATAACTTGTTGAGTTAAAGGAAGAAGACTGAAGGTGCTTTCCTGAAGGAATAAAAATAAAAACTTCACTTAATTGAAGATAACAAAATGTCTATAAATTGTAAACATTGGAAAACATACTTACCAATTTGGCTAAATTTTTACTCAATAATCAAATTGAATTTTCATGTAAATTTCAGTGACCAAAAAAGTATTTAATCCAATAAGATAATTTGTAAAAGTCACCATCACTAGGATAATCAACAAAAAAAAATTACTTGGATAGGTAAATTCCTCAAGATATTAACTTTGCTTTGAAAGTAAATTCTTTGGAGTTGAATGTCATGTTGTGAATAAAGTTACAATAAGATCAGCTAGTTCAACGGGTTTCTCATTTCAATATTCGAAGAGGTCCTAAATTTAAATCTTCAATTTTTATTTAGGTAAAAGAAAATCACATGGAATCTAAAAATTCTCCTTGCACGATATTTGTATTTTGTTAAATAACGGATTTTACATTGATACAATAATGTATCGATAACATGTAAGTACGTTATCAACAGTCTACCAAATACCATATCCACTAGTCTATTATCCTTTCATACGTAAAGTCAAGCTTTTAGTTTGGGCCTCATGATAGAAGATCATCCAGCCTTGTATCAGTATTTGGTGTAGAAGCCGAAGCCTGACTTGACCAAAGCCCATGGATTAAATTGGATCAAATCCTAAAACAGCAGTGGAAGCTAGAAAGATTGAACAAAAATAAATAAATAAAACAATTATAAAAAGAAAAAGAATCAATAAAATTGATCTCACTCTCATTAGATTTCACTTTCAGTCTCTCCATCTCTAATTTCCCATCTCCATTTCCCAAAATCTGGTGTTTTTTTCATAAGCAAACGAAGATTAAACATTCGCACTCAGAAGAAAGCCAACTGAAAAAACAGGGCAAAAAGCTCCTCCACAAATACAATGCCCGATTCAGTGTGTAAAGTTCTTTAGAGAAGGCCCAAGATAGACACTTTACGCGCGCAACCGCTGGTCACTTAGGAGAAGACGATGCAGTGGTACTTTGTTGCCGCGCTGCTCACCGTCCTCACCAGCTCTCAGGTCTGTGAACCTCAATAATCTACAATTGCTGGTCGTTTTGTTGCTACTTTGCGTTTCACTGTCTTCTGGATCTCTCTTTGCTCTTTAACTACGAGTCTGACTTCTACAGTGTTTGGATTTTGAACCCATTTTCAAAATTTGGGAAATTTTTGCTCCAGTTGAGCCCAAATCAATTTAGTCAAAGATTTTATTTTAATTCTGCCCAAAGTTCTTTTCTTTTTCAGTTTCAGTTTAATTTTTGTTTTATATTTACCTTTCTATTTATGTAATATGTGTGGTTAAGAGTGCCAGTGTGACAATGGCACATTGATTCTAACTGAAAATGATAGAAAGAGGCTTTGAACTGTTATTACTTTGTAGCTTTGCATGCTTTTGTTGATTGAAAGAGCTGGTGATGGAACATTATCATCCAACTATGGCTAATACTTAAGCTGTGAAAAGTACAACCATGCGCTACATTTCTTGAGGCTTTTTAAAGGACAAATCAATATGAAAGGAGATGTTGTGCTCTTCTCAAATTCCAAGTACTTGATCATTTAAATAATTTAGAGTAAAAACATGTAAACTTGATGCTTGTAAGTTGTATCAAATTTTAAGGATGGATGTACTTGTCTGCAGTTTTGTAGAATTAATGGGTAAAGGAATCAGATGGACCCTCAAAAATTCATAATTTTAATGTTCTATGAAACTGTGTAAAGGGTTTGTGATATAACTGCTGGTTCTGGATCAATTCGTGGTGTCTGAGCTGGCAGACTGCTATAGAACACGTTGGTGCAACAAACTAACATTTATCTGCAAGAGAGTGAAATTTCTCTTAGACAAAATTATTAGCTTGTTTCTTTTCAAATTGAATTGGTTAGTTACAGCTCGAGGAATGATCATTTTTCAGTATGGCAGTTTTAGCATGGATTTCTATGTGTTGCTAGAGAAAAAATTTCCTCAGCTTTTGATAGACAATGATAATGATTTTCCACTTCCCATGATGAGTGAAAACTTATAAACATAGTTATTTTCTGGAAGTGGGCTTCATTGCCTTTTGGTATCATAACAATGAGCGCTGCCAACCTAAACTTTTCTAGATGTATTTCCCAATTTTTTCTTAACTTTTCATGTCTGTGAAATACATGGAGTGAGAGAACTGTGGATCCACACTTTTATTTATTTATGTTGTGTTGGCAGAGATTGACAGTATTGGTTTATAAAGTCAGTTCCAAAGAATGATCTATTCTTCAGTCTCCCAGAAATGAATATTCATTCATTCATAATTTTATCTATGTCAGGGAATCTTGACAACCCTTTCTCAAAGCAATGGAAAATATAAGTATGACTATGCAACTGTTCCGTTTCTTGCTGAAGTATTCAAGGTACTTCACTTTACCCATCTTCATTAATTGCAGCACTTCTAAAGTCACAATGATTTTCCTCTTTTAGCCATCAAATTAGAGATAGTTATCCGCTATATAATGACTTATTTTCTTTCCTCAAATATTTGATCCCTTTTAAGTTGTACTAATATTCATTGTTCTGTTCTTTAAATTACAGCTAGCAGTATCCAGTTTACTTCTTTGGAGAGAGTGTCGGATATCACCTTCTGTACGAATGACGACAGATTGGAAGAGTGTGCGCTTATATCCTATTCCTTCAATCATATATCTAATTCATAACAATGTTCAGTTTGCTACTCTTGGTTATGTGGATACTTCCACATATCAGATAATGGGTAATCTAAAGATTGTTACTACTGGCGTATTGTTCAGGTGCTTACTTTATTAGTTTTATCAGTGACACAAAATCTGAAGAAAAAAAAATCTATGTGGACTTTTACTATGTCCGGTTATATCTTCATTATTAATTGGTCGGTTGATATGTTTTATGTGATGCTTCAGGCTATTCCTGAGAAGAAAGCTGTCTAATCTGCAATGGATAGCAATTGTTTTATTAGCTGTTGGAACAACCACAAGCCAGGTGATAATAAATCAGTATGCATAACATATGTTCTTGCTTTCTATTGGCTGACAAAAAAGCTCTGATTCAGGAATTTCTTGAATGATGCAATTTTAATATGCTCTAGTTATTGATAAAATATCGTGTATTAGAACAAACAATCATTTATTTATTGATTTACTTTTAATCTTATAGGTTAAAGGTTGTGGAGAAGCGTCGTGTGATTCTATGTTCTCAGCACCAATCCAAGGATATATGCTGGGTATCCTATCCGCTTGTATGTCAGCATTAGCAGGTGTTTACACAGAGTTTCTGATGAAGAAGAACAATGATAGCTTGTACTGGCAGAATGTACAATTGTATACGTAGGTATCTTTTCTCCACACCATGCCTTGCTTTCTATGACTAACGTCAACATGCTATTTACTACTTTTACAGTATGACTGGTTACTGTTTCAAGGCTCATCAAGGCATTTTTCAATTTGATTTTATTAGGTTATATATATTTTCCTTTTTTTTTTATACAGTACAACTAAGAATGTAGTCCTATTTATGCTCTTTTTAGGACATGGAAAATGTAGCATAATTTTTTAATTCATTACAGTGTCTTGTCTTGTGATAGTTCAGCAGATAAAAATTTCTTTGTTTGAGATGTTTGTATGAGTTTTATTTACTGTCCTAGCACGATTAACTGTCTGTTTTCTAACAATCCCACTATCTTGGTGTGATGGCAATCCCTTACAGGTTTGGTGTCATTTTCAACATAGCACGGCTTCTCTTCGATGATTTCAGGGGTGGATTTGAGAATGGACCTTGGTGGCAACGCCTTTTCAATGGATATAATCTTACAACTTGGTTGGTAGTGTTAAATCTTGGATCTACTGGCTTACTTGTTTCATGGTTGATGAAGTATGCTGACAATATTGTGAAGGTAATTATTTGAACTTCGGACTTATATACATGGTTCTCTTGTAATAGGTATTATTGTTATTATCATTTATTTCAAAATTTCATTTTAGTGGTAAGCGATCTGTGTAGTAAGGTGAAATATAGGGTTTAGCATCAATTTAGTCGTTCCTTTTTCCCGTGTTCATTCTTTGCTTTCAAATCCAGTACTACCGACTGCAGGCCTGACTTTGTTTTTGGTCCTTTTAACTTCCTCTGTTCATTTTTTTGCTTCTTGCAGGTTTATTCCACCTCAATGGCAATGCTGCTGACAATGGTTTTATCTGTGTACCTTTTCACTTTCAAGCCCACATTGCAGGTATGTTTCCATGCACTTGTGATCTCTCTCTCTCTCTCTCTCTCTCTGGAGATCATATATTAGATTATTAATAAACTTCATTCTCTTTCCTTCTGTCGTTGCAGCTTTTCTTGGGTATTATTATCTGTATGATGTCACTACACATGTATTTTGCCCCTCCGAACATGCTGATAGACTTACCATTACCTGTAAAAGCAACCACTGAGAGTCTGGAAGAAGTTTCTGTTGAACGAAAATCAGATTCATGATGCTTCTCTTCTTCGAGTAAACAAATAACTTTGGAAGTTGCATCTAATTGTACAAACTGGAATGTAGTACAGTTGGTTGATACAATAGCATGCTTTGAGAAGTTCTATAGCTTGAATCAAACACACCCTTTATGTGCCTGGATTGGGAAAGAGAGCAATTAAGCCTAGCTGGGATTACCGTCTTGAAGGTGGACAAGCCGATTCAATCGTTTACTTTAACAGATTGACTGGTTTGGTTAGGGGCATAAGTTCTTCATTTCTGTATGTGCTGGCTATGCCTGTTCAAAGTCTATATGTACTTGTGACTTCTTGAAACAATATCATGATTTTTTTCTTTTAGTATTCAAATTCTTCATTTTAATGAGGTTCTTATCCTAATTAAGGCAATTGCTATTGGTAATGGGACTAAGATAGATGCATATATTAGTGTGCATACTTGTGGTGTATGCATATAAATATGTATACATGCTCTTGTATTCCGTATTCGCTATTCAGCATACACTGCCAGTATAGATTTGAAATACCAGATTGGTGTGGTTTTTATTATCTTTTAAGCAGGGTTAGTTTTGAAAGTTACAACTTACATGTCAGTATGAATTGTGACTGGAAGAAATGTTTCCCTATCGGATTCTGATTTCTCGAGACTACTTTCTGCTTCTAGAGTTGTAGAAAGCTCTGGATACCTAATTTGGTCCAAGATATGATAGAAAATCCGCGTTACTTGGTTAAGACTACTGTCAGCATTATGTGAGTTTGGGGGTGGTATCTGAAACTGTGGGCCAGTTTATATCTGCACACTGGTGGGGTTAGGAGAGCGAGCAGCCATAGGCAATGCAAAGGCCACCTTGCCCTGTTGAGTCATGACGCAGTGAGAGTGAAATTACTTGGATCTTTTTCCGTCTAAACAAACACTCTCGTCCATGAGATTTGAACTTTCCTATACAACATAGAGACTAAATGCGGCTAGACCAAATTGACATTTACATACTTGACCCTTGTTACTGAAATGTCCTAGGATAAACTGAGGAACCCTACTTGATCAACCACATCGTTATAGTTTAATAGAAGTAGTTCTCTCTACTCTATTAGAATAAGTCTTTTTAAGTTCGAATTTCTCATTCTTCGTATCAATTTAAAAAATCACATTATTATATTGTTTGGCCAAGTAAAAATCCAAGGTCCATGTTTTGCCAACACCACTAAGTGTGAACGTTAAGACTTTTCTTACAACCCTACAACTTTGAGCTCAAGAACTTTCCTCCAACATTGTGCCAATAGTGAATGGAGCTAACACTTCCCTTACGGCAGTGAACGGCAACTGGGTATGTACAGAGTACGCAGGAAAATTGAAGTATCAAGTTGGACATTATTTCCGCACATTGCATTGAATGTTTGAAAGATCTAGAAAAATGGGTGGTGGATGTTTCAGTTGGAACTCAATTATAGAATCCTAATCATTCTATCTTTGTGCATTTATTTGGAGATAGGTAAGTTTCGCTGTATGTAAGTTGAGAATTTGAATTGTGACTCTCAAAACCCTCAAGCTTGCCCGGTAAAAGAGCCATCACCATCCACAAAATGTTTTACTTTCAAGACATTAGATGTTCTCTCACTATTTCTTGTCTTCAAGCACATACTCGAATAATCTTGCTCTCTCTCTCTTGCTCTCTAGGATGTCTATAAAAGGCCAACTTTGCAACACTAAATAGCAAGCTAGCAACTTTGCATGAGTTTTTTATTTGCTAAGTAGATTTGAGAAAATAAAATCAGTGAGAAGATGAGTACTGGAGCTGGCCTTAGCAACCATGCCTTCGCTATGCCCCGGCTCGGAGGACATGATCAAACCAGTAAGAGCAACACCACCTGTCAGTTCCAGATGCCTCTGCACTACCCGAGGTACCAGAAGCGCGACTACGAGACCATGCCGGAGTGGAAACTGGACTGCCTTCTGAAACAGTATGGCCTGCCAGTCATTGGAGATGTCAACCAAAAGAGGAAGTTTGCCATGGGGGCCTTCCTTTGGCCTTCCCAGTATGAATGAGAAACAATAGTATAAAAGCTTTGGTATCGTATCCTATATAATATTACTCATGACTAGCAGTATCCTTAAGTACTGTATGTGTTTTCTGTAATATATTAATCTGTCCCTTTGTATTTAATGTAATCAAATAAGGTTTGCAACTTAAATGTGTTATGTTTGCTGCAATTACTTGATCAGACTATAACAGCTTCACTATTTCATGCCTTCAAGTTCAACTCACACACAAGTTCCCTGTCTTAATGAAGCAGTTGTTTATGCTTAAGTTGAAATGGTCTTACCAACGTGGTGTTTCTCACTATTTCGTTGGAAAATGTCATAAATTCGAATCATACCTCCCAAAAAAAGGTTGTGAAGGTCTCAACGAAATTTTACGAGTTCTCTTCTAGTGAAATTAATGAATAAACCTCGGATAAGCCGTAAAAGAAGACACACACACATGGGTGTGTATAAATGATTAATAAGGCAATGTTTATTTCTGTCACATGAATTCAGTAGTTGCAAGTTTGATTGATTTTTCCGTCTTATGAAAAAATTACTGGATTATGAAAAAAATTACAGTTTTAATCCACATAATATAACCTGACCCTCTTTCAGTTTGATCCACGCTTACATTACATTTAAAATGGATATAAATTTGTACCAAAAAAAAATTGGGATAATGGGTTGCTTTACAAATATATATATATATATATATTCTCTTATGCGGGCAGCGGACGTCCGGACGTTATTATCGTGTGAACACCATGTATTTTTTACCATCCCTCCCTGCTATTCTCCTTGTTTATAATGACATTTGCACGATAATAACGTACGGACATCCGGATGAGAGAATAACTAATATATAGAAATTCTCTTATGCGGACGTCCGAACGTTATTATCTTGCGAACGCCATGTATTTTCTACTATCCCTCCCTGTTATCTTCCCAGTTTATAATGGCATCTGCACGATAATAACGTGTGGACATCCGGATAAGAGAATAACTGTATATATTACTATATATATATATATATAAATTAAAAATCTGATAAAGGATGCCACCACAGTTAGGTAGAGTGGATTTGGGTTTTTATAGTTTCTTCATAGTAGGTTTTCTCAATAAATATGAAAACAACACATAACCTTTCATCCACGGCACACACATTCTGCCACAAATTACAAAACAGGAGATAAAATTTGTCTTTATTGATGCAGGTGCAGCCATCTTCCTCTGCAATATTAGATCAATATAATAGCCTTTTATATCATTTGGTTGGTACTAGAATGTTCCTAGCCTGCTGCCTAATTAGCACGAAATCTGTCTTTTTGATGATCAATGTTAAGCAGTAGGGCCTAATAATTATTCTAAGGAGTTCTGCATGACTTTCTGATAACTTATTAATCCCAGTTTTATTAATGGTTTCTTGCCTTAATCATTTTAGTTTCCCAGCGACGACAACGATAGATGATGATAGACCATTCTAGCGCACGCTTATCTTCGGTTTGCTGTGATTGAATTTGAGAAAGAGATGGCAGAAGTAATATGAGGTTGGTTTTGGCTTGCAATGCAGTGCACTAACATGCATGATTGATTGAAATATTATGTTTGAAATGAAGGCAGATGGATGACATGCATGTGTTGTAATTTTAGTTGCCGTTGAGCTTCATTTATGGTTGGATGGATGAGAGATTAATTAGATGTTTATCCACCAGATGACGCATAACTATGACAGGTTCATAATTATATTAATTCATCAAAAATAAAATAAAACTAATTTTGGTGTTCTTATCATTAAGCAACATACCCACACTTGATCATCATTGAATGGTTGTGTGAGGACTCTTTCCAGGTTTAGTAGCTAGAGATAGAGGGCCAACTTGGCAAAGGCCAAGAGTTTAATTTGACAGGGAGATTGCCTTTTAGGGTGTTTGAAGTCAAAATTGACTTCCATTATATCCAGCGATACAGATCGGCCACTAGGTCAGATTAAAAAACAGTTTTTTTTTTAGCGCTTCAATTGAGGGACTCCTCAAATGCTTGTAGGCCATCACACATTGTTTTTTAATGATTCGAACAGTCTCATTTTTAGATATTCCATCAAAGATCATCTCTACAAAAAATCTCCTGAATCCGAAACCACTTGTAAATAAACAAATTTACAGATGTGATGCAGTTTGTAAAGAAACAGTTTACAGCACAGTCATTTTCCATGGCCCTTTTTCTCTCTTAACATCACCAAGGAGTTTTAAAGCAAAAGAATGCATTGGTTAGCATTTGCTGGTAGTTTGAGCAGACTCTACTTTTAGGATTGAAATTAGAACCATTGCATCTCTTACAATGAAAAGGTTTCACAAACTATTGTTGTCCAATAATTATTTGCTAGATTAATCTTTATACTTTCTATTATCCATGACCAAAAGCTTCAAGGTCTACAACTTTTGTATCACCTCCCAAACTCATTAGGTAGATACAGTCTTAGCTGAATGCACTATTAGAAAATGAATTCTACATCCAAACACACACATAACTAAATACTCAAAAAATCAATGAACATAATGACAAATAATGTCCACGGGACGGACCTAATCACAGGTTAACCTGAGCTATAGTCCAGGTGGCTTTTATTATTTTCCAGCCCAAAGTCACATGTAGCCCACCCTACAGCCTTCCTCACATCACGCATCAGCCCTTCAACATGTTCAATTTTCTTGGTGGTCATATTTTATTGGTTGAATGTTAGCAAAAAAATATTTTATTGGTGGAATCTTACAATTTTCTCTCCTCAATTTATTGTTACTGAAATTTGGGGATCTTTTAAGATTCAAGAAGTATAAATTAGGGATTTTCAATTCAATGTTATGAATTATCAATTAGGGATTTGCAATTAGGTTATGTGCGTAAGGTAAATTTAGCCCACATAATTTTGAAATCATGGATCCGTCCTTGACGATGACTTAGTATTCAAGTTTATCAATACGTGTGACTTGTGAGTAATTGTATGTATTCAAAATTTGAAATAAAATTACTTATAATTCTCGTTGGATTTACCAAAGTACGAGCACTATTCGACAGTTATACCTTTAAAGGAAAATTAGGTTTCAGCCAAAAAAAAATTTTCACTTTTGGAAAAAGCCAAAGCTTTTTCAAAAAAGACAGAAAAACCTTTCAACTTTCAAATCAAAGACATACAAATGTAAATGATTCTTTAGGAAATTCAAAAATAAATAAGGGCAATTTTGTCCATTTTGGCTTCTTTTTCAAAATTTCTCTCTCCTTTGTGTTTTTCCAAAGTCTCCCTACTTTTAAATGGTTTCAGAAAATTTCCAAGAAAATTATTTTAAATGGTGAGAAGAAAAAAAATTATAAAAAATTTAAAAATTTAAAAATTTTCCCGGGCTGAGGTTATGTGCGTTACATGGGGATAGGGGATGGGCAGGCAGAAGAACACAGAGGCTCTCTCTCACTCAGACAATCACCGAAACAGGCGCATGGACAGTGGACCCCACCCCCACGATGCTAGCGGCATTACCGGCTTTGTCTCTGGGCCTTTGCCCAAAATTGTAACACAATAACAGAAAGCCTCTTCTTCTCACCATTTTCTCTCTCTTTTTGCCTACAATAAGCGCCATTGGTCTCAGAAGTGTTCGGCTCTTTGGGTTTCTTCTCTCTACCCCCTCATTATTTGTATCGCTCTCTCTTTCTCCGAGGGGGCCTCTCGGGAGCAGCCATTTGCATTTTGTTGCAGGGTCTCCGAGAGGGTGAGAGAGAGCGAGAGGGTGAGAGAGAGCGAGAGAGCAACAACAATGGCCATTCTTCCCAGGCCTTTAGGTGTTGTGGCTGTTGCTGCTCTCGTTTTTGCTATTGCCATCTCTGCTGTTCAGGCAACACCTCTGCCACCGGGTCCCGCCCCAGCTCCCAGTCACAGCGGCACCGATGGTTAGTTTAGTTTAAGCTCCTTTGGATCTCAAATTTCATGGTTTTGGTTCATGAGATCATGCCTTTTTTCATTTAAAAAAAAAAATTGTTTGTTTCTTTAGATAAACAAGAGTCTAATAGAGAAAGAATGTGTGCCTTGCATTGTAACATATTGCAAAAAGGGATCCATCTAGGTGAACCCATTTGGTTCTTTGAGTTTATATGAGGCTTCTTTAAGGTTGAAATCTTTTATGGGGTCTTGGAAATGTGATTGCATTTGTCGCATCTATTTGATTATATCTTCTGTGAACTGGGATTTTCTCACACCTTATTTTCAGGGACAACCCTTGACCAAGGGATTGCGTGCGTGCTAATGTTGCTGGCCCTCGTGCTCACATACCTCATCCACAGTCCCGATGTTCCCGTATTCTAAACTCAGCTCATGACGACGGAGGGAACGGATGGAATCAGGGTTAGGAATGTTTGTTTAGTCTAAGACTTGGGCTGATGATGCCAGATCACGGTTGTGTATTACATTGCATGTAGCATTCTTTACTTTGACAAATTGCTGTTGTTGGGGCTTTGGTGGCTGATGCTAATGTTATCACTCTGTTTCATGTTGGTCTAATTCACATTCATATTTACCATTTCTTATATGGAGCATCGCTTTGATGGCTCTGCTCTTTCAAAACCCATGCTTGCAATCAGGGCTTCATAAAGTTCCTAGCTCTAGTGCCCTTGGTCAAGGAATTGTGGCTGCATTTCCATATTCATATTCTCAATCGCAAATCCGTTTACCGAATGACATGAAGCACAAAAGTAGAAGAGGAAGGAAAGGTTTGATTTTCTGCGAGAAGAAAGTTAGGATTGATTTTCCGGATGAGATAATATGGCTTAACATCAGATGAAATTAGCAGTGATGCTGTTGGCATTCCTCTATTAATATAACTATTACAATGAAAAGATCTGACCCTCTTGAATAAAATTTAACATAATAATAAATGGGAGTTTCAAATACTACAAAAAGGGGTGCCATCCGTCTAAACTCCCAAATGAAATGCCCTGAAGATCCAGATCAAAATAACATTTTGCAAGCATCAATGGCATGAGGGTTTCCGATCTCAGATACACAACCATCAGTTAAGTGATAATATGACCTCAACAATTGTTGAACATAAAAATGGAAGAGGGGAAAGAAAGAGTCATCGACATGAGAAAAGACCTCAGGCCTAGCAATCCTATCAATACCGAATGCAATCAAGCTTTCTTGTCAATTGGCTTTGCATCCTTCTGTTCCTGGTCAGCTAGTGAAAACTTCTTCACTTTCTGTCAGGAAAAAAGAAACATGTGAGTGTTTGCATAAATGCAAGCACAAATTTGCCTTCAGAAATTAGAACGATACATCTAGGTAAGGCCACTGGCCTAATAAGCTCATAGAAACTCAACTATCAAGATTGTAAAAACGTTACACAATGAACAGCTTGAAACGAATCACAATTTCTATGGTTAATATTGACTTTGGAGCTGTTTTATATTTGTGAAAGACTAAAGGAGCATCTATAGGCTTGATTTCTCAACAGCATTTGGCATAACTTGAAAACCCAAAAGAAATCAGGAAGCTAATTGCCCTTTTTACACACTGAATACCAAGTTTATGCATCCAAAGATCAATTTCATGGCTACTTCACTTCAATTCCCTCATCTTCAATGTCATAGAACTTCATTAGAAGGAGAAAAAATGAATAGACTTGAGGAAACATTGGTGTCAAGTTCAAGACTTAAAAAAACTCCAGTTGCATAAAAACGCCTTCCCGAAAATTAAATGGCTTCCCTAAGATTAGATCCCATCAACACTACAAATGATTGGAAAAGAAACTGCCTGGAAGAGTCAGAATCCCAGTCATCAGTCAGCCTAGGCTATGCTAGTTATTTCATTAGACAATAAACAAATCAGGACCATGAAGCAGTTTAATTATTTCAAGCATGCATCATAAACCGGTTTTAAGCGGAATATTGTGATAGGATTTTGTCTTTGAACATAAACAAGCTTCATGCTTTCCAATAAAAAAAGAGGCATAAATATTGTGCAATCTGGGTTTCCATCTTAGCCCTTTTTTCAATCAACTTTACCTAACAGGACTAAGTAAAAAGAATCCACAATCATATACTCTATTCACTCAATCAATGGGAAAAGAGAAATACTGATTTGGCAATCCAACCGTAAAGGCATTCTCAATTATGAGCGACTAATTTGATCAATTACAAAAACAAAAAACCAATTAGAGACAAATTTACATACAAATTCAAAATAGAGAGAGGAAATAAGAAAAAGAATGTGATTTGAGAGAGAAAGAGGGAGTGGGTGACCTTGTTGAGCACGCATTCTCGCAAGGAATTCAAGAGGCGGACGCATTTTTCTTGATCGAAAGGAGATTGGGTGACGCAGTTGAGCAGATCCAGAGCCTCCTGACCGCACACCGCCTTACCACGACCGTCCTCCATTGCTCTCTCTCTGTAGCCTTTTCAAGGTTTAGGGTTTTAGAGTTCGAATTAAACCCTCGCAGAGTCTCTTAGCTAGTTTTTTTCCTTGGATTGGTTGGTTCTCGAGAAAGAAAGAAAAAAAGTGCGAGAAAAATCGGCAGTCCCGCCTCCATGCGTAAGTTAGTCAATGTCGGTCCTCTGACCCGCGTTTCCCTTGTTTCCTTCCTTTTGTAGTAAACGACACCGTTTCCGGAGTAGTTCAATGGGAATGATCTCGCGGGAGCATTTTTATTTTCCAAATGAGTTGGGAAAATTGTATAACTAGATTTTCCAAATGTGTTGTTTTGTACGGATACAGATATGGGGACACAAAAATGCGACACGGCAACACAGAAACTTTCAAAAAATTAGGACACGAATATAGATATGGGGACACGGCAATATTAATTAGGATTAACTACACTTTAGTACCCGGAGGTTTAGTGTCAGTATCGAAATGGGCCCCGAGGTTTCATTTTAATCAATTTCGTACTCAACATTTCGAAATATTACCAATTTACACCAACCGTTACATTGACCGTCAAAGTCAGACGTTAACTGCTGACGTGGCAGTCGTGGGACCCACCTCATAACCAAACAGTAGTTAGAAAGAGACGAAATGAATGGCAATTTCGGAAAAAAAAATAAAAAACTCTTTAAAAATATTATTAAATTAGATTTTTAAAAACAAAAACAAAAAATCCCTACTCTCTCTCTCTCTCTCTCCTCTCTCTCTCTCTCTCTCTCTCTCTCTCTCTCTCTCTCTCTCTCTCTCCTCCTATCTCCCTCCCTCTCTCTGCCCAGAAATCTCCCTCCCTCTCTCTGCCCAGAAAGAAGTAGTCCCAAGCCGTGGATTATGACATCAACAATAACCACCGCCTCCCTCCTCATCATCCTTCTCTCTACGATGTCGTTCAGGCAAGCAGGCCCACCTCTAGCAGCCTCAGCAACACCGTCGAGTCTTTCAGTGGGCCCCGCCCCTAGCCTAGGCACACCTCCGATGCTCAGCTGCAGCGGAGACCCGTGCACCCTGTCCAACTCGACAACTGCCACAGCGACTGCGACTCCTCATCCTCCGTCGTAGATGACGGCGATGATTGCGTCCTGACGTCGTCGTTTCGGAGAGTCTCGCCTTTGCCGTTCGATCTCAACCTGCCGCCGCCCCCGATGATGGACGGCCTCGATTTATTCAAATCGGTGAGGTTTGTGGTGATGAGCATGATCTTCAAGCCACCGCTTTGTGCCTCTAATTACCGTATGGATCTCCATATGGCCCCCCCCCCCCCCCCCCCCCCTTTCCTTTCTTTCGTTTTTTTTTGTCTGCCCTTATTTTCTCGGGAAAAATCATTAAAAAAAAAAAAAAAAAAGAAAAAATCTGGTACTTGGTGATTGAGAAGAAGAATTTGAGTTTTTTGTCTTCTTGTTTTGTTTTAATTCTACGTTGTTAGAATATTATGGTGTAGAAATAGCATCTGGGTTTTCTTCTTCCACTGTGATGGGTTTTGGAGGAATATTCTGTGTATTGTTGAAGCTAATATTAGATCTTGTTTACCCAGCACTAGATCAAGATCTGATCTGGGTTTTTGCCCTCTTCATCAGATTCTCAATACCTTTAACGGCATGGCTTGGGACTACTTCTTTCTGGGCAGAGAGAGAGAGAGAGAGAGAGAGAGAAAGTAGGGATTTTGTTTTTAAAAATCTAATTTAATAATATTTTTAAAGAGTTTTTTATTATTATTTTCCGAAATTGTCCTTCATTTTGTCTCTTTCTAATTACTGTTTGGTTATGAGATGGGGTCCCATGACTGCCACGTCAGCAGTTAACGTCTGACTTTGACGGTCAATGTAACGGCTGGTGTAAATTGGTAATATTTCGAAATGTTGGGTACGAAATTGATTAAAATGAAACATCGGGGCCTATTTCGATACTGACACTAAACCTCCGGGCACTAAAGTGTAGTTAATCCTATTAATTAAGTAGTAGTGAGGCGTTGGTACGGAGTTGCGTCAACTATAGATATAGACTAGGCTAAGGGACGAACTTCATCTCTTCTATTCTCATCTCCTTTCTTGCATAACCTCTTGCTGCGAGGGAAAGGGTGGTGACTTCTAAGGCGAGTAGTTTCCAAGTGGAAGGCTCTGCACCTGAGCCTCGTTAGACTTAGCGGAAGTGTAAGGTGTATTTCAGTTTCAGTCTTCTGGTGGGCTCCCTAATTCCTCACCTAAAACATCCCGTAGGCGACAAAGAAAAGAAGTGATTAAAATCTCCTCGTATAGACAAGTAAGGTAAGGGTATCTGTTGTTTTCGGTCAAAGCAAGAGTGTTGATCAGAAGTAGTAAAAAAGGACTCTGTTTTTGAAATAAAAATAAATCCTAATAAAATTATAATAATATATACTTATATTTATAAAAAAAATTCATATTCAATGCTTTAGTGTCATAATACAATAAAACAAAACAAAGTATTCATATTCATCATTTATACATAATAATTAATGTACCCCAAAATATGATTGAGCATGAGAGGAGACCTTATTTGAATTAGCATTACTCATCTTTCCTTAAATAAAATAAAGCACTATACACATATTTATTCACACATAAAACGATTTCCCACCTCATAAAGTAAGAATCGGCTTAGCATTATAAAAAATAAAAAAAATAAAGAAACAAAGTGAATGAATTACCCACTCAAAAAGATGCTTCTCTCACGACCAAATTGAAATTGTTATCAATATCTTTAGTCAACCAAAAATATCAGCTCTCCTACAAAGGAACAAAGAAAAAAAAACATATTGAAACAAAAAATTGACGCCAGAAATCTGATAAATCTGATAAAACTGAGATAATAAATAATAAATAATTAGACCCTCGCCTTCATCTACAGTAGTTTATAAGCATTTATTGATGTTTCAACTGCAAGTAATTTAAAATAAGATGAGAAGAAAGAATATGTGGAGAGGGAGAGAAGAAAAGCTGGGTTTTTTTAATGAAAAATGCAGCTGGCTGGGAGAGAAGAAAACCCACTTTTTAAAACTATTTCAAATATGCCCACAATTGTTTCAATAATTATGTTGTGATCCCAGTTTTTGTTTCAAAATTTCCAAAATGGTCCCTGTCATGTCTTGACTTCAGTTGATAGTGTTCAAAACGTGTCTTGACCGTTGAGGTGTGTCCGAGGCATGTCCACATGTCAAACACTCTAACACTAAAAACAAAATGGAGTGTCTGTGCTACATAGGTTGTACTACTTTGCTGGTTATACCTATTACAGCTCATTATCATGTTTTTTTTAATTTTATTTGAGGGTTATAAATATTTATTACTAGTTACGAAAGCGTTGTCTTATAAATTTAACTATTGATTCAGTGATATTTCTCTTCACTATGTTGGAAAGAAATTCTAAGTTGGAATCGAATATACCATCTCTAAAATCAAAATTGTGGGCTATGACTAATGAGAGAAGTTGATGCTTCAAATGTGGGTTGTAGCAACACTAAAACGCTATTTCCCTTACTACCAAAGTGAAAAATATTATGCAAATAACAAAGATACATTTGTTACATCCAACACACCTACAATCAAACCGAATACTGAATATGGAAAATTTGAAATCCAAATCATGTTGCAATGACAAGCATGTCCAAGATGAAAGTTAACATGTGTATTGTTGAGACATAACATGTGACACTCTTGAAAACATGTGCACTTTGTAGATAAAACATAACATACCAATTAGATCTTAACCATGATATTTTTCTTTCCGGTAATGAAAACGTCTCAAAATATGCAAAACATGTTTAAGAAAGAATACTTTCAATAGGCCAAGCATATGTGGTTACCGAAATGATACGGGTCTAACTGTCTAACTCACCCATGTTTTATTAAGTTAGGTGTCGAATCTTGGTATACTAATGAGTATTGCCTACCTTGAAGAGTTTGTCAATTGTAACATGTGGTGGTAATGTTAAATGCAGTTCCTGTCTATAAGTGGGTGATTCTCAGCCGGTGATGCATGTAATGCGAGTAACTTTTATTTCAATTTGTTATTGTATTGCTCTATATGCATCAACGGTTGGAAGTCATCGTGATAAAATTAACATGCTCATGATTGACAAGAGTAATAACTGACCTTATCGTCATAATAGATTAAAGTCAATCTGAAGTTCCTGAAAATGATGATTTCGTTTCAAATATGTCAACAGTACATTCTGAATCACAAACAACCAAATACTGTTACGTGATCTTGAGGCTTTAAACCCCTGTAAATTGTTTATTAATTAGCAAATTGCTGATTAAAGCTGAACAAGACACCTAATTCTTCAATTAGGTATTTGATATTTTTACCACAATTAGCTATAACACTGCATACAGATGGTTAATTTGAGAGCTAAAAACACTCTTCTCCTCTGAAAAGAGGCAAAATCCCCATCTCATATTTGCAACCATATTAACAGTTGACCTTGTCCAAAACCTTAAAATACCAAGCATTTTCCATGCAATATCATACAAGCTAGCACCTCCAAACACTTTTAATAGAAGGCATCCATTTCACTGTTCTTTTAGCCGTCTGGTGTTGAAGGCACACAGACATATATTACAATTAATTTTTTTTAACCTCTTATTATTACGGTGATCCCCTCCTTCAACACACAGGCGGCTCACTAAGGTAATAAAAAAAAACAAAAAAAACCAATAGGTAGAAGGCAGGGAAGCAAGAAAATGGGGACGATTCAGCTTGCAGTGTTCATGTTGGCAGCAATAGGCTGTTTCTGGATGGGATCAGTGTCTGCAATGGATCACATTGTTGGAGGAGGTGCTGGCTGGACTACTCCTCCAAACAAAACTTTTTTTCAGGACTGGGCTTTTCCAAGAACCTTTGGTGTTGGTGATAGACTTGGTAAGTGTAATTCATTGCCTTTTTTCCCATGTTTTTCTTGAATGATGTTTATTAATTTGTCTGAATGCGTGGTCCAAATTTCAGTTTTCCCATACAGACCTGGCTCCGGCAACGTGGTAGTGGTCAACAAGGAAGACTTTGATAAATGCACTCAGAAAAATGTGATCTACATGTACTACAATGGGCCAACCATCATCAACTTCACAACCACAGGAGACAACTACTACTACAGCGGCGTTGGCAAGCACTGCGAGGCTGGCCAAAAGCTCCACGTCAAGGTTGTCAACCAGAAGGGCTCATCTGGCAAACTTTTCCCATTCAAGCTCGTTTCCAAAGATACCAAGATCGCCGCCGCGCCTGATACCACTGCTGCCGCCCCTGCTAAGTCATCAGCCTTGGATGCAGCACCCGCACCTGCCAAGTCATCAGCCACCGCCATCCAAAGTGCTGGCATGGCTTCTGGCTTGTTAACCATCTTCTTCTCTCTCTTCATCTAAAGAGTCCCTACATATATCATGTAACTGTATTGAGTTATATCTATACCATGTTTAAGAGATGATTATTTGGGAAGTACTGTATGGAAGTTACAGTAAATAATTCTAATAATTTTTTTAAAACCTAGAGTTATTGTTGTAAATACACACAACCCTGATTTTCTCTATCATATTTTTAAAATGTTATCGTTTGGCGATTTGATTTGAACTAAATTAGAGTTTAGTTCAAACCAGTTCTTGTGAATCCCTCACCCCTCTATAATAGATCAAAATTGTAAAACATAGTATGTTGGACTGTTATCTAATTTTCAGTCTCAATATACCAAATGCCGGTCAACACAATTGCATGATCCTTATACTTACTCTTCTTCTTTCTTCCCCTTAATGTTTTAGTTTGGAATTATGATTTTATTTCAAAGGAAATAAGTGACACCAGTTCAGCCCATTCCAGCTACGAAGGCAAGAAAATTATTCGTAATTGGGCTTCCATGGTGGTGTAAAACAAGTAGAGTCCAACTATGAGCCCAAAACAAAAGCCAAGGGGCATGGAATTGGCACTCTTCAAGACACAGCCAATTTCAGATAAACCAAATTGTTAGATGAGAAACTGAATAATAATATGTGAGGTCCAAAATGAAAGAAGAAAAAATAACCAGGAAAAAAAAACATTTGGATAAAGAAAGGCACATGAAATGCATGGTGGAGTGTGGGCTTTTATATTGAATATGAAGCAGCAGAAATCATGAGATATGAATGCCTGCATGTACGTAGATGCGTATCCAAGGGGAGACCCACAGAGGAAATCTCACTCAATATTCTGCATCATCACTTTCGCTGTCGGATGATTGCTCTCTCAACTTATACCCATTTGACCCGACCTGCCTAATTTTCCACACACATTGCATGACTTGGCATAAATAGAATCTCAGATTTTAATTTGCAGCAATTACTACGATGCACATATTGTGTGGATATTTTTTGGTTATAAGATTGGACGGAATGGGAAGCTATAAATTTAGATTGGGGACAGCCTCCCTCTCACATTAGTTACAAACTTAGAGGCACATCATGACCTACAAGCAACACTGGCAACACCTAGTAGGCAGGGATTGAACTACCTATAAGGCTACCCTATGCTGTAGCCCAGGTAGCTTTATGAAGATTATTATTTTGAAAAAACCCTATTTTAGCCCATGTTGTTTTTAAAGAAAAGCAAAATTAAATCTATATAGCCTATCAACTTGTTGTTCCCACTTGTGGTTGGGGTTCTCATTTTGTGGTCTTCTTAACAGTTTCTCTACTATTTTAATGAATAGGGAATATTATTTTTCCAACGATTGTTTTGCGGTCTTCTTAACGATTTTCTCATTGTTCTTGTGTTAACCATTTCGTTGTATTTAATATATATATTTTTTATATGCTAAATTTATTGGAAATTAGTTTATAGGGTTATGAACTAGCATGGTTATATTAAAACATATCATTAGATTTTAAGCACTAGTCCACTCTTCGAAAAATTTATAGTTTCGTCTTTTTGCTAGTACGGCGATCTGATTGGGAGTCGAAAGATCCATAGCTCCTAAATTTAAATCGCCCTTCCTGCTTAATTAAAGAGAATAGTTAGAAAAACATTATGAACCCTAATTTTGAGTGAACTATCCAGCATCAAACTCACGGAGTTAGCTCCCACAAGCGCAACCATGACATGGCAGCCCCCCAAAATTTAACAATAAACAAAAGATGCTTGGGGTGGTTACCATTGCAACATCCAAACATCTTGTCCATCATATAACTAACAAAAGACAAAAAGAGGAGAGATATTTTTGGATTTGCTATTCATCTTGCGATTCATATATATATATATATATATATATTTTTTTTAAATTTAATTTTTTTATGGTGGGTAGGAAAAATAGGTGAATATGACCAAAAAGCATGGCTTGATATTAGAACCACACATTCCATAAAACTACGGACGCGGAGAAAAGAAAGCTCCCCTACCAAATCTCATCCCATGCCTTGCCGAATCTTAGCCTCACATCACAAATGGGCCACAAAAGCCCATAACGTGGTGGGCCTTTGTCCTGACGCGTGAGCCCAAAATCTAAATCCGTACCCCTCATCGAAAATCCATGGCCACGTCAACAAAATGGGAGCTGGTGGGCCCGCAATCGCAATCAGAGGGCAGAGACACAGTGAAGTCTGAGCTGGAGGGGGACCAAGGGAGGCAATGGGGCCAAGGCAAAGGCGAAAAGGCCAGTTGGAGCAACACTTGCGCTGCGCTGCTCAAGATGATGGCTCAAAACCGTTAGCCTGACATGACGTGTACGGCGCTGATTGATCGTATGGATAATGGAGGTGGGAAACAAAGAAGATCTTCTAGGGGGCTGTGGTTGCCCTCGGTGAATCTGCAAAAGTTTGGAGCTTTATGCTTGAAGAAGAAGAGTTATATGTGCCTCTCTCTCTCTCTCTCATGTGGAAGAAATTTAATTTTGTGTGGGGCTGAGTTTTTGCATGTGTTTTGTGTCTTGTGACCTCTCCTTATATTTGTGAGTGTTCAGACAGAGGGGGCAGAGGCGGCCTAGCCCAGAGTCAGACAAAGCTTGAGGTGAGGGGTAGCTAGCTGACCCTAAAAACAAGTCACAAGGGCATTTTACAAATTTGGAGAAAACCCAAATGATTAAAAACAAAATTGTAAATAAAAAAAGGACGGTTTGGTTTGAGTTACAAATTTTCAGGTTCAGGGGATGATGATGAAGTGAATTTCGTATGGACCATGGTTGGTGATATTTTAATTTTGGTTTGGCATTCTGCATTTGGTTTGGTTGGTTGGTTCATGCATTTATATGGTTTCATTTGATATTAATGTGTACCTGACTGTAGTTGAAACTTGAAATCCATAAACATGTACGATTTTGTCTCAATTCAATGTGAGTAAAGCTATTTTGTTGGTTCACAACAAAATTTTTTGTCATGTTTGACAATATTAAATGCAAACTTTGAACTCCAAAGATTGAAGCTTTTCAACCAGGCAACTGCTGGCTAGCTATAGTTTACTGGATTTGCAGAATTAGAAGTTAATTGCACAAGGCAACCCCCTAATAAGAGAAGAATGGCATTGTGTGTAGTTGTGCCGTAGCGTCATCCTCGTGGCAGTCCTAATGTTGGTTTAGAGGTCATCTTTGTTGATGATTATAAAGACTAGGGTGATTCAACTGCGATTACTTTTTTGCTACTAGTTGTTTTGATCTTAGTTGTTCGTGTAAATCAAAATACACAATAACAATGATAATATTCTAAATGATGTGACATATTAATGTTGTGCCTAGCTAAGCCTAAGGCTTCAATTGGGCTAATAAGTCCTTGAGTATCCCAACAGAGGCTGAAAGTAATGCGCAAGAGGTTCTACGAGGACTCGAGAACTTACAATGTTTATGCTTTTATTCTCTTTATTTTTATATTTTACAAGAGACCCCTTCTAACATCAATTCCTCGCTCTCCCACTGGGCCTTGCCATAGGGCATAGAGACCTACTCAGAAAAAATCTTATTTCACTCCATTAGCACAAAAGCTTTGCATTTGCAACACTTAAACTCCATGATCTACCAGAAAGTGACACCTCAGTCCTCTCTCCCTCATAAATACCCTTCATGCAATTTAACATGCCTAGAATTTGTCACAAAAGTTGTGTATAAATAGCTAGAAAAGAAAATCCATAAAATAAAAAGGGCCTTTGAAATGCCAAAAAAAATCCAAATAGATTGGCAGGCAGGGTGAAAAGAAAACAAAGAAAAAGACACATTGGGTCTCTCAGGGTATATTTGTCAATGTCATATTAGGTCAGCAAGCCAACGAGGGCAGGGTGTGCTCAGGTTTATTTTCAGTGTGGCCAAAACCTATTTAATATATATTTTGGCTCTTGTTTGAGGAATAAGCTAGCATTCTTTTGGCTTTTGTGGATTGGGGCATCTTAGTGTTAGCCAGCCAGAGTGAGTTTTCAGCTGCTGCTAGCTGCAGTTGGGTCTGTACTGCGAGCCACAATGTGACAAAATATATATGGTGGCATTCCGGACAATCTCATGGACCACTGGATTGCTTTTTATCCAACCATGACCATTGATTTAGCCCTCACTCCCTTTTGTCACCAAAAATTTAACAACTGTGGTAAATATAAAGAGTTCAATGACTATTAATACTTCGAACAATTTCAATTAACAATCTAACAACATAATTTCGAACAGTGAACGTTTAATCTATATCATATAATAAATAAAATTAACAAAGAAAGATATTTTTAATCTTGAGATACTCTCCAAAGTCAAACTATGGATGGGTATATGAAGCTCCGAACTCATGCTTTAGAATTAGATAGTCAAACATGACCTTTTCCTTTTATGTGCTCCTTTACTCTCTTTATCCTTTTTCTTTCCATCCCCTATAAGATGCTCATTTTCTCTAAATTGTACCAGCAGACAAAACACACAAGTGAGAGAGCTCAATTGGAGCAGAAAAACCCGTGTGAAATGAGGATAACATTGAATTGCTATTTTCGGTACGTCAATTTAAAATGTTATCATATGTGACATACCCGTGAATCCCTGATTAACCAGAAATAACAAACTAATGTTATCCATATTCCACATACAGTGTTTCTTCAATTGGAGGCTCGGCAGTAAATCATCACCAGAGCAATATGAGCCTGACCCAATACTTCCATTAATCCTATCAAGCCATGGTTGTATTGTATCAAATGTGTAATAAAGCTATCAATAATTGACACATCTTTTTATATTTATATATAATGTTTTAGATATTTAAAAATTAACATTCAAATTGCTGTTTTTTGGTCTCGGACCCCCAATTGGCCACTCTATATAATGTAATGTACCAAACCAAATTATATATACATATACATGTATGTATCTACGTGTGTGCAAACCAAAGCCCCCCCAGAGATGGATGAAAAGCCACTATCTGGATCACAATTTGTAATATACAAATACCAAGTCCTCCAGCCAAAACAGCCATAACACTGCCACTATGGTCATGGATTTCCACATCCCTAATTCCATCACAACGTGCCACGTCTCATTTTAATATAAACACTTAGTCGGATTTCCCGCTCTACCCTCGCATTTTTTTAGCACTGTTTTTTCCTTTAATTTTATTGTAATTATTGGGTTGATCACGATTAGACAATTACTTTTAATTAATCTACTAATGATAATTACATTTGTAATTTGTTTATTATCCAAAGATCCCTTTTTAGAGCTAAAAAAGGATTTAAATCTGTCATCCTTAACTGGAATATTGCGCATGAATCTGAAACAAGCACAAAATCAAGATACCTTGCTTATGTTTCTTGTACATATTGTACTTATACTAAAAAAGACTCGGTTTTGAGTTTGTGCTTATGGTTTATATAGAAAATAAATAAGTGATAAGTCTAAAGCAATATTTTTAGGTAAAATGAACTAATGTCAACAAAATAAATAATCGTATAAGCTGTTTTATCGGGATACTTCAGTGTTTGGGATTAAATGCTAATGTTTAAGGAAATAATTTGATTTCATCAAATACCTTCAAAATTAAGAACAATAAGAAACTACGGTCACGTGATACTCCATCCTTTGTAACACCAAAAAGTTAGCTAGCGGAGAAGAAGAACCAAACGATATTAATGAGAGTTTACAATAAAAGAACCAACGCAATCTTTGCCAACTTCAAAACGTTAGGTACAAATAGCATCATTTGTCAGTTTCACCTATTTGCCCCCCACCATTTTAGTGAACCTGAAGTGAGTGCACTGCTAGCTATGTAAAATATTAAAAAATAATAATAAAAAACACCAAATTGATTGTGATTTATATCTTACAACTAGTCAGAATTTTACTAAATTCGGGCCAATCTTATAATCCTGACTCAAAAATAAAATCACCTTTTAATTTTACAATTCAATTTATAAACACACCACGTGTGCTGCTCCACATGTGTTTGCAAAAATATTATGGGACGGTTGGTAAAGTTTATATTAATAAATCGATTTTCACCTTCTATGTTAGTCACGTGCCAACGTTTGGCACGTGGGTTTAAAAGATAAACCCAAAAAGAACAGACCACCGTACCGTAGCAAAACTCTGGTTCATTCAACGTTAATTAATAAACAATTACAACCAAAACTGATAAAAACAAAAAAAATTAAATTAAATTAAATTAAATTAACGATAGGAAAAAACACATTCCGATTTTCTTTCCCGCCGATATACAAAACTTGCCGTCAAACAGGCAAAACACGAACGGGAACTGTCCTTTGTCACCGGAACGATGTCGAACTTTCATTTGTCACGGAAACGACCTCGTCTTAAAGGGCAACCAGAGGGTCCGAACTGAAAAGATCGCCGATGTCTTGGAAGTGGTCATCCACACACAACGCAGAGGAACCGAACCCGAAATCCCGAACCGAATCAACAAATATGTCGCCGAAATTTCCAAAGTCGCCGAAATCTTCCTTCAAAATACCAACTTCTCGCAGACTCGTTTCCTCCAAGAAGTCAGGTATCTGGAAATCAAAAATGTCGTCCGGGATAAACGATTCGAAACTGGTGTATTCCGAAAATTCGGAGAAGTTCTCCGATACACAAGAGTCGTCTCGGACATTTCGGAATTCGGCGATGTCCGGAACCTCCTCTTTCAAACTCGGCGAGTCGGCTTCTTCGTTCGAAGGTGATGGACACCGCAACACGGAGGTCGGGGAGCAAAGATTGTTGTGAGACTCGTCGCCGGAATTGTAGCAGGAGCTAATAACCGGCTTCACGTCTGGCAAGGACTTCGCCGGAGGAGCAGCGAAGTTGGTGAGCGCGTCAGGTCCACGCAGCTGAATAGCGGCGTTGTCGTACACCATGGCGGCTTCCTCCGCCGTGTCGTACGTGCCTAACCAGAGCCGTACACGTCGCAGAGGATCTCTAATCTCCGCCGCCCATTTTCCCCAGGGCCTCTGCCTCACGCCTCGGAACTTCTTCCCGGCGGGAGCAGCAGCTACCGCCTTTAACGTCCGGCGACTCGCCGGCCCTCCGGACTTCGGGGAGGCTCTCTTCCTTCCGGTCCTCGTCGTCCGGCTCTTCCAAACAGCGTCAGTCTCTCTGGAGCAGGACTCGATAGTAATCTCGTTGATGAACCTCTTGACTCGGCGGCGCCCGCAGAACGACGACTCGGCCGGTTCGTCGTCGCTGGATGAGTCGGTGGCATCTCCGTCGGTGACCGATATCCGTACAACTCTGGGCCTCACCGACTCAAACTCAGCCGCCGAATTCGCCACCAGCTTCGTGTGGCTGCGGTGCTGCGTGTACTTAACAGCCGGATTCATAGTTTCAAGTAACAAAGCAAATTAGAATTTGAGAGTCTTCCAGCAGCTGATTCGCATTGAAAGCGAGATGAGTGACGGGAGCTAAAAATAGAGGCTGCTGAAGAAGAAGAAGAAAGGAAAAAGGAGGGAGATTCTCGCAGAGCACACGAGGTGAAGAGAATAAAGAGAGAGAAAAAGAGAGAAAGACACAGAGAGAAGGAAGAAGCGTGACAGAGAAGCTGCTTGTGCTTGAAACGGAGAGAAATCACCTAAAAAAGTGTCATCAAAGGACGAGAAATTTCACGGAAAGTTTCGCCCGAAAGAAGAAAAAAGTGGAGAGAGCGAGCGTGGAGCTCTGGACCTTGGCAAACGGTACGGAAAAAAGAATGGCAAATTTTTGAAGGGGAAAAAAAGCGAAGCTTTGAAAGCCAAAAAGAGGGATGGGGGGGGTGAGTGGAGCAAAGCTTTAACCGGAAAGGGAAAGGGAATCGGAATCGGGCCTTTAAAAGCAAGAAGCAAAAACTGAGAGAGTCTCTGAGAGTGGTGGTGGGTTTAGTGAGAAATGAGGGAGCTAGAGAGAGAGTGTGGAGTGAGAGTGAGGAGGTAGAGAGAGATAATAGGCGCAGAGAGAAAGGAGCACAGTTCCGCTGGATACCAAAACTACCTACTTTATAGGATCCCAACAGCCGTAATCGGTAAACCCGGTTTAACAGCCATCTTTAAATTTCCAAAATATTTTTCTTTTTCCCAAAAAAAAAATTACAATTTACAATTTTTTTTGTTTTTTTGTTTTTAATTTTGGTTTTTTTTTTTTTTTTTTTTTTTTTTTTTTTTTTTTTTTTTTTTTAAATGAATGGGTGGGGCCAGGGCCCACCGGGAGAGAGTCCGGCGAGGCTCCGAGATATTTTACGAGGCGCCGCATAATTCGGGCAGGGGTGAGTGACACGTGGCGGGTTGGGCCCGGTAAGAAATGGAGATCCAATGGGAGGGGAGGAAAGGGAAAGCTCAGGTGTGGGGCCCGGAGCTGACTCAGCAGCTAGAAAAAAATTAAAAATTATTCTTGGAATTTGGGATTCTGGTCACGTGAGAAGACACATGGGGTTCAACTTTGACTGAAGAAAAGATTAATTAATAGCATTAATTACCCACTGAGTGGATGATAATTACTGCTTAACCCCCCGTTACGGAAATCAGCACTCGGGGTGTTTTCGTCATTATGTGGGTAAAAATCACAAAACTGGCGTTATGAAGCTGGGGAGAAAGTGTACCGGTTTTCAATTTTAACCTTATCTTTCTGTATATTTTTACAGCTAAGTGTAACGTGGCAGGCAACCTCGACTGTGAGGCCCATTTTTTATAAGTGTGTTTTTATCTCCTCAACCATGCATGCCATGCCCTCCAGCGTTTTTATCTCTGTCTACCTCACCACCACCACCAGCAAGACGGTTTTGGTTTTGAATCGTTATGTTGACACGTTTCGTGATGCGATTGGACTGAGCCGGTGACTGTTGTACGGACGACATCATCATTGTTGCTTGGCGCACAAGTAGATGAGAATTTCATTTCAAGGGAAACAAAAGCGTTTTGTTTTCTTATTTAATTATTGGGAGTAAATGTTTGGGTCATTTAATTCACATTGAGGAATTTAGGATGATGCATTTATCATGTAAGGCGTTGGATCATAAAGATGGTGTTTTTGCTCCACTCGTTATATGCTTTGAAACGGATATGCATGGTTTTATTAGGGCAAATAGGAGGAGGAGGTGGTATTCAATGTCAAGGCGCCCCTCGCATGTTGCAAGTGGCGCCATCGCACAGGGTCCTCAATTTTTGAAGATCCTATTTTTTTTTTTACTTTATATTATAAAAACTCTATATACTCCAACGTGCAACAATTTGACACCAAAGTGTATTTGATGGAGCTGGTTTCTAGCACACATCCCTTGGTACAAGGTCCAAGTTCGAGTGAAAAAAACAAAGGGAAATATCCAACTAAACTAACAACATTATATATCATACCCATAAGCTTTCTCCTAAAAACAAAAATAAAAAAGTACTTTCTTCCACTCAAAACAAAACCGAAAAAGAAATTCATGCAATTCTTCTTTCTCTTGAACTCTTATTTTTTTATCGAACATACTAATATTTAAATTTATCAAATGAAAATATTAAAAAATTTATGAATCTGATTTATGATTGTTATTACATACTAATTGATGAATTTTAGTTTTAAAAAAAATCTATTTTATGATATTAAGTTATGACCATTTATTTTTTTAGTATTTTCATATTAGACTATGTGAGGACTCTAGTTTAAGTTTTGCGCATAGCACTCAAAATATTAGGACCGACCCTGCAATGTGAGCAAATTAAAGAGTAAGGGAACATTTTAATTTCTTACTTAGTTATTTGTTTTAAATAATTACCGATGTCACTCATACAGTAGTAATAATACGAGAATGGTCGTGTAAAAAACTTCGTAGACATTGACATTCTTAACCTACTTTTCTAGTTAGTATTGTTCATGTTTTAAGATTTATTTATTATAACATGACAATATTAGGTGATTACAATAAACAAGTAGTGTCATTTTCTATCAGAAGTTAGGCCATTATTAACACCATACATATTTATGAAACGTGTCAGACTCGTGACAATTTGTTTCCTCATATTCTACATGCATCTCACCTCTCCCACTTAACGAAGAAAATGATTGATAATCCCCTTCCCCTAATCTCTATTTTATCACATATGGTTTCCTCATCCATTATTTACTTGACTATTTCTCCTCACTTTTTGTAGCAGCATTACCTTCAATTGAGAATGTAGGCCATAAAATGCCTTGGCTATGTCAAAAACTTTGCTTAAAATAAACACACACAACAGAAAAGAACTGAAAGACTTATCACAACAAATGTGTCATGTTCAAATAACGTCATTGAATGCGCTTGCTCAACATTTTTAGATCAAAGTTCGGTGCGGTTTGCCTGGTACAAAATATTTTTAAATATAATTTCAAAGAGGTGGACCAACTAATATACTTATGTGAAAAATAAGTGCGGTAAATATGATACATGAAACATCACTCTCGGGGATACAAGGGCAGAAAAGTAATTTAACCTACCGCACAACTGGGCTGAAAAGAAGAAGTGAGAGCATGGGCCAGGCAGCCCATCTTTTAAAGTTGGTTGACTGCAATGCTGACTGTGGGGGGCGTTGCCTAACCAGTCCTCGAACAACGTGTCAGACAACCAAAGCCGTCCTGCTTGTTTCTTTCGTAAAATTGTCTACTTGATTTAAAAGCACTTGATATTATTTTAATTTCTTTTTACTTATTTTGGTCACACTACAGTGAGGGTTCCCATGCTGATTGATACTTGGTATCAGAACGCAAATATGGCAGTCGTATTGGGCAACTCGCTGTCTTTCTTCTAATTGAGTTTTTGTTTTTGTTTTCAGCTCTTTAGCATTTGTTTTTTTCTTTTTGTGTTGTTTGTGTTCTTCTATCTAGATTTTAACTATAGTTTTAGCAGAATTAATTAGAAAACTAGCTTGGATAATCACTTTCCAAGTATCCAAACAATTTTCTCTATTTCAGCCAATTTCGTATAAATTCGAACAAGTCTACATAACTACGCTATTGTTTCTTACCTTTTATTTTGGAGAGTCAAAAATGGCATTCTCCAAATCCAAAATGAGGAACTCTTTGAGCAGCTAGTTGATAAACAATGTTTGTCAACAACCTTCTCAAATTGGCTAAAAAGTTAAGATAGGGAGATTTATTAGGTATCCTTACGACTTCATAAATTGTACAGACGCTTTTATGTTGATGATTTAACATATTGTGTTAGTATTATTCATTTAAAATATGATATGTTCGTCGATCATATTATATAATTATCACTTATGATTTATAGGGTGACAATAATTATGTACATAAGTTTAACACGTTAAATCTTAATCTCGTCTCGATTTTCACAAATAATTTGGTAGTTGGGGCCGTCACAACCATGCTAGGCTCTTGTCAATACATTTATTTTAACATGAGAATGGAATGTGAGTTCGACAATTTGCAATGATTTGCCGCTTTGTTGTATAACCAAATTTGGATTATGTCACAGCTGCTAGTGCTTACACTTGTATTGATGCACTAGTCTCTTCCAATTATGATGGATGGCAACGTTAATTGTTACAATCATCAACAAAAAACAAAATTAGTGGGTGCTAATGGCTATTTATAATTGAATACGGGCAAAATTGGAATGCACATAAAATAAAGAATGCCAACAACATTGGGCATTTAGCTACCCAAGCAAAACAATCACAAACTTTGTCTCAACAATATAGACACAATTTTTTTGTAAAAATTATAATACATATAACCAAATCAAATTCACGTATATATATATATATATAAAAGATCTTATTTGTGTTTATGAGAGTAAAGAGAAAGTGAAACCTTTCCTAAAATATCTTGAACTTAGGAACATGCAAAATAAAAATCAAAACTCATATCAGCTTTTTTTTTATTAAAAAGAAAAGCGATAATTGTATTCAATAATTGGGCACAAGAAGCAAATACTCATAAAGAGTTAATACAAAGATGGATACACACGAACCGAAAAGGTTAATCCATATATAGGAGGATACACCAGCGACATCACACAACCTGTATCTCTCTACTAATAGCTCTAAAAGACCAAATACATTTCAATGTAACAATCACACGCATGAACAAATCAGACATGAAATACAGCATCCAAAATTACAAATACAACTACAACTAACTCATACCAGCTTTATTTGTGCCTTCTATATATATTTTGGAACTTGTGTGTGTTTTTGAGATCCAATAGATGCATAAGAAGAAAAGGGGCATTTTCTTTAGCATCTGGATTCTCAAAAATAATAAAAACAAAAACAAACTCAAACGTAGTAGCTTTCTTGAAATCTGCCATGCTTAATTAGTAGCCGTATGAAACCATAGATAACAAACAATTAGCAAAGACTACACGGGATTCGACAAATACATGAGAGAGAGAGGTCATCATGTGTCTGAGTCTGTGAGCTACACATATAACAAATGATAATATTAATGTATAATTAAATGTTTGGCTTTCTCAAACCACTAACTTTCAAACATTTTCTTATTTGCAATTTGTGCGGTTTTCTAACCTTATGTTAGAAAGAAGTCAATTAGCATCGTGTCCTAGATGTGCATTCTTTTGAGCCACAAAAATAGAGAGAACTCCAAGTAATAATTAATTGTTGTTTTATGGGTTTAAGTGGGATTAATTATTGGTTTATTTGGTCCATTGCGAATTAACCGTATCCCTATGTTCTTATACAAGTCAATTAATTATCACTAAAACCTAGATGAACTTGTCTTGAGTTTGAATTATTATTATTCCACAATCATGGTGTGTATGAAACATGAGAGAAAGATCCAACTCTCTTCTCCTCCTTCTCCCAACTCCCAAGTCTCCCAAAGTCTCCCCAAGTCTCTCAAGTCCCAAAGAGAAAATTTTGTTTTTGTAATTATAAATTAATAGGGTACAAAGGTTTGTTCCTTTTTTGCCAGCTACCATATTAACTTCATGAAACATTGGATGAATTGTACCCTCCTAAGCTTTTTTTATTGTCATCTACATCCGATCATTTTATTCTACTTCCACATATAAAAAATTAATTAGCTTTAAATTCGTATATTGTGGATTATGTTCTTGTTTATGGGGAGTTTTTTTTAAAGAGAAAAACGATAATTGTATTCATAAGTTAAGCACAAAGACCATAAGCCACAAGGGCCAGTATAAATACCCACAAAGGAATATAAAGATGAAAGCATAGTAATCACGCACGGTTAATTCAGATACATAAAAAAGACAATGGCAACATCAAGCGGATAATGTGTATCTCCACTAATAGCCTCATTAGGCCAAAGAAATTTCGATATAAAAGCCACATGCCTGAACAAGCCAGACGTGCACTGCAGTGCCTAAAACTACCAATAGTAAAATTTCAGTAGACACCCAACTCACCAAAGAGTTTAATAATGTGAGATGAAGTGGACTCTCATGAAGAAATTGGACTTTCACTAGTAAGATTTAGTTTAGAAAATAAAAAAAGACTTTTGCCATGTGAATTACCGGCAAGTATTTAATGGCCTCTGCTGATATGTGAACTTCAACTTTTGCCATGTGATCGTGACGGGGCTTCCTAATTTTTATAATTTCCAATTTGCAAAGCAGGAACTATGAAATTGTTGTTTTATGAAAAAAAGTAATTCGAATTTGGAAACCCTGAAATTGAGGGTTTAAGGGTTGAGAAAACAGCCAACATTTGGGAACAAAATCACGCTTGGAATGTTAAACCCTTGTTTAATGTGTTTCTTTCTATGGGTTTAGGTTCAAAGACTCACCAAATTTCACTTTTGGACCACCCATTTTCTTAATTAATCCGACCGTCACTTTATGCCCAAAAAGAGTATTCATTCAAGCGATAAGGCAACAATGATTATTTGCTATTTTCATTATTGGGCATGTTTATATAATTCACGACATGTTTGGTCCATGATTTCAAACACAATTATGAAGCCTCTTTAATGCATTGCATCTACCGTTTTGTGAACAAAAACTTATAACACGTTGTAAATGTATATCATTCATTCTATCACGTGTGACAGGAAAATATCCAATAAAATTTATCCTCATAGATGAATATGCAACGATATTTCAATTAACGATCGAATGAACAATCAACATTACTGTTGAAGAATATACGTCCCACGTCGGAAACTTGAGTAAATAAAGTACAATATATAATGAACAGTTCAACTACTAATATTACCGAGGCCTTTTGTGATAAAACTCCACGCTTACTGGGCTTTGTAGATGGTTAAATTAGATAACAATTCATTGTTGCCCGTCTTTATGAAATTTAATAATTACAACATGATTAAATGATTAGACTCCGATCAACAAATGATTAAAAGAGCCATTAACATCTCAACATTATTTTAACCAAGCTTGGGTTGAAATCCACTTCAGAAACTGCTAAGAGTTTCTAAAGAAATGGAGACCAAGCTCGACAGTGGCCACATCTCATATATTTGAGTGGGGGTCAACAGCTTGTAATAGTCACTCTTGTCTTCAGTAGAGACAATAATAAGCCCTCCAAAGTACACTAATAATTTTATTTTAATTTTAAAAGTAGAAAACTAATTGTGATTAAAGTAGGAATTAGGGGCCTGATTTTCTGGGACCAGGGTCCTTTCCAACTCCTAAGCACGACCCATTTGCCGGGGGATAATTCATTAATTTGGATTTTTTTTCCTTTTCTGCATTAAGCTTTCCACGTGCAATTCGAATTAACTACTCCAAATACAATGGTGTTTTAGACATAGAAAAACATGATATCTCTGTGCCACTAAGATACAACTAACTAAGCTTCATTTTGCTTTTTGTTTTATGTTTTCATGGGGAACAAAACCTTATTAAATTACGAGTGTTAACAGGCCATGGTTATTGACTCCATAGTTTCCGGCTAGTAGATTCTTGTGTTCGTATGGTTTACGTAGACAATGTTGTCAGATTATCAATTCAAAAACTGATGAAGTTAATTCTTGTTTAAACATATTATGCAAATATGAACATGCATGACAATTTCAAGAACACAACTTTTATGTTTTGTGTCATAGGAATAAGTATTTTTAAATTTCTTTTTCTTTCATATGAACAATAGTATAAATTACTCTAAATAAATATAATTTATAAGAAAGAGAATTCGAACTTGAGTACAAGAAAGCGGATTTACTACCCCCAGCTCACATTCGCATGAAGAAGTTCTTTATTCTGGTGAGAACTGGCACCACCCAAAGAGGCTCCCCTAGATAGTTGGGCTGATGTTCTTCAAAGCTGTCTCTAATGTTTTGACTTTGAATCAATTAATTCGAACCTAATAACAATAAAGCAAAAATGATATCTTTTGATTTAAAATAAAGGCTCATGTGGGAGCATAAAATGGCTTTTCAACGACACAAGAGGTGAAAAAAGCCTACCTAAAGGCCAAGGCTACACACACAGCAAACAACAACAACAACACTATCTGAGTAAAGAAAGCGAGACGTGAGGAGAACAACTCTCTCTCTCTCTCTCTCTCTCTCTCTCTAGGGCCCTTGGCCCTAGGCTCTAACCCTATAGAACCAACTTGTAGGGCATGCCCTAAAGACCTTGATTTCAGTTTTATATTGGTAATTTATATTTACCACGTTGAAAATGGGAAAAAGACCAGGGTTAGAAAACAAGGGTAAGGGTTAGGTCCTGTTACGTAGGACTATGCCCTAGGATTGTAGCCCTACATTTTTTCCCAAATTACTGAATTGTCATCTTCTGTTTGTGTGGGATTTGATATCCAAAAATTGATATGCAACATGTTGATAATGTACTGACAAAATTTTTACAATTTGACCGATGTCTTATTCATCCACTTGTTCTGATGCTGACCACAGGGAGAGAAAAAAGGGTGTGGGGGAGCTAAGGTTAGATTTTGGATCATTAATTAACAAGATTTTGACTCTTTTTGGGGTGTTTTTTTCATCATAAAGAAGATTTTACCATTCTACTTGTACTGTCACTTGGATTTTTGCTCCTGTCATTGTTAGGCTTAGGCCTCCTCCTCTTCCTCACTTCTTTTTCTTAGATTTTTGCAGGATCCAGGAAACTTAAAGAAATGGAAGCCCAGTAGCCCCAGTGGGCCACCGCCTTCTAAATAGCTTTTTACTTCTTCCTGCATATATATATATATATGAATCATATATCATCATCATCACCCATCACACACCATCAAGTGCTATGAGATAAACATGCAAGTGTTTTGCCAATTTCTTGAAACTTCATTTTAGTACCCAACAAATCTAAAGAGGGTTGTGACTTGTGAATGTTCCCCTTACATGATTTGGTCTGTAGAAAACTAAAGAAGTAGAAACCTCCAAGTTAATCCTAAAATAATTACAAGAGAAAATAAAATATCAAACTTACGACTTCATGTATATAGGTACATACTCGTAACCACTTTAACTACAAGCCTCTTGCAGGATACCACTAGTTATAATTCTTTATCAATTCACAAGTAAAACTCACCTTCTAAGTTCAAAATAGATTTCTTGGGCCCAACCCATTTACCCCAATGGGAAATGAACTCCTTTCCATCCATGCGTCAAGACACAAGTGTGACAGCTTGATGTTAATGGTGATGGCCCATATGCCTGCACAGAACTGGGCTACTTTTTCTTCCCAATTTTATTCCATGTCTTCTCTTTAGTTCCATTAAAAATTTAATTGGTTCAGATGAAAAATTCTTTTGTATTACTGCCAGATTCAACCAAATTCAATACACATGATATACAACATAACCTGGCCAAAACTTTTACACAGATAATCAGCTCAACATGAACTACAAAAACCTGGCCAGTCAATCCATTCTCTAAAATCCCCAAGATATCATGGGATTATCTAATACGTTCATAAAGTGATGCAATTATTATATGGGTTCATACTCTTAACATGTTTTCAATGGCATATCTATCTCGACTTTGTGGGGCCAAATTTCATTTTCTTTTGGGTTGTTAGGGGGTTTCAGACACGAGAGAGAGATAAGATGGGTTTCAATGTCTTATATATAAATATTGCATAACAAATTAACAATTCAAAGCAATTGCGTTCCGAGGGCAGAATACTCTCCCTATTGGTCCACTTATGTGAAGAACAGATCACACCATTCATACATCTGATCACCAGATCAATGCCACAGGGACAGAAAGCCCTCCTCTCAGTGACCTAGCAGCTCACACTAACCCATAGCATACTTCTGAGTCCAGCTCCTTGCGGTGGTCTCGTACTTGTTCTTGTCAGTCTTGTACATATGAGCAATCTCCGGAACCAAAGGGTCATCAGGGTTGGGGTCTGTCAACAGTGAACAGATTGAAAGCAATACCTGAAAATAAAGTAAAACCAGTTCCCATGCTTCAGTAACACAAATAACATAACATTGCATCAACTATAACAGCACCAAAATTTCCCTGTCAAACCAGGTTCAATGAATATGGCACAATTGATTCAACCATGTTTCATTTTCAGTATACAGCATCATAACAGTTGCAAAATGCAATGGGATCCACAAGATCAATCAGTACTTCACCATGGAAAATTTCTTGGACACAACAATTAGCACAGATGATAATTTGTTATTTTTCTTTTTATAAAGAAAAGCAAATCATTTTGGTCAATAAAGGATTGTATGCTGTTTCATTGGATAGAGCTCTTTATCTTTTGTGCAAATCTACTTGTAAAACTTCAGAGTAATACAATTGCAATTTCTGTATGTAAAAACCTAAGTTTCAGTCCTATTGATTAGCATTTCCTGTATTGACACATCCGAAATTATAGACATAAAATGGAATCAATCCCAATAGGGGAAACAAGTTTCCACAAAACGCTCAAAATTTATGAAAAAACTATTCCTGTTTAGGAATTAAGCATTTACCTTGGATATGGTCAGGGCAGGGCTCCACTGTTCTTTCAAAATGTCAAGGCAAATGCTACCATTGCTGTTGATATTAGGGTGAAACACCTTTGTCCTGAATGCAACCTGCACAAAACATCATATAAGTAGCAAAAAGTAATGAATGAATGAAAAGTTGGACAACAAAATCTTCAGTTTGTCGTGCCAATTTTACATGGAAAAGATTTTGAAAACAAACAATGTGTAAAAGTTCAGTATTTCCTAGTCATTTGTTAAAATTTGGGATTTTTTAAACTTCAGGAACACCATCTTACTTCATTGCTAAATAAGTTATAATTGTCAATTTCTACTATCACAATGTTATCAACTCCCTCGGGAGTCTGAAAATACATTTGACATCAAACATAGGTGTGATAGGCCACAAAACAATATGTACCAGATTCTCTCTCTCTCTCTCTCTCTCTCTCTCTCTCTCTCATGAAAGCAATAAAGAAAGGAACTTCCATGCAACAGAAGACAAATTTGATGTGAAATTTATAGAAAGCTAGCAAGTACCTTGGGTGGTTTAAAAGGATAGTCTGGAGGAAAATGTATAGTGACAAGGAACACTCCACCGGCATATGGACTATCAGCAGGACCCATTATTGTCGCCTGCCAGTGGAACATGTCTTCTGCAACTGGGCCTAAAGATATACATTAGAGCAAAGACAATCAAATTGAATATCTGCTGAGAAGAATGACGTTAAGAGTCATTTATCAGAATAGTTTCATTGTGTAAATTTCTCCTGAAAAGAAAAAGCAGCCAAAAGTTATCAATTCATTGAGAAAATTTGATACAAAAGAGTTCCAATTGCCTAAAAGATTTGAAGGGTTGTACTTGCACATAGATTTATCGCACAGTGGATAGACTGTTGTGGCTATAAATGAGTGACTTCATATTCTCCCAAAAGAATGAACTTTTGCAGCCATTAAAGGTATTAAAATCCAGGGTGGTGTGATGATGATGACAAAAAGATTCCAACCACAGTTGAGTTATTCAAAACTCAAAAACAAATGTGTATCATTTATAAGATATCCATATATAAGACAAAGTAATGGTAATCTTCAAATTACCAGCAAAATAATATAGCATTTATGGCATCAATGGTGGCAAATGAGCCAGTTTAGACTACCATTTATTTGCCACTTATATCTAATGCCCATAGCCATCTAATCCAATTTTAAGGGTGGGTAGGTGTAGGTCCATTATGGAAATATCCAGCACAAGATACTATAATTCACTCAATGGTGTAGACGGTATTCCAAAGGGGAAATATATTAAAAGAAGAAAGAGAAAGCATTTGATCCTTCACTTGCAGAGCAATGCTATTTCAGAGAATCTATTGACGTAAGAGTCAAGAAAGAAACCCCGAAACAATAATCAACCACCCACCCTGGTCACAACATTTAAAACAATACAACAGCTGTACCAAAGGATAACATTGTTCCAACTTCAAATTACCAGCCAACTTCTTTGACTGCCCCAACCTCCCTCTTTAACACCTTTAATGTCTACTCAGCCCTCAAAATCATACAAGACTCAGAATGACAAAAATCAGTCCCAACCGCTGCGGATATACAGATAACCAGGTGTAAAATTAAAAGCTTTTCTTTCTGAGGATTCAATGGGTCATTACAGGTCCCCACAACCCAGACCATTTAACAAGGAGTTAAAAGGGTAATTACCCATTTATACCCAAGATGCTAGGTAGGAGGTCTATTGCCATTTAATTAGGGCAGGGAAACGGGTATGGGTAACAACTGCCACACAATAGCACCTTCAGTATCCCATATCATTCACTATTTTCTTTCATATTCTCTGATGGTTCTTAACGTTGAAATTCAGTTGACCAACTTAAAAATAATGCAATTCCATTCGATTATGAGACAAACACATAATTTGGCATGAGAACAATAATACAAAATTGATATGACCACCAAATCGGTGCAAGACTGCAGCTTTGCACAGATTTCCTGGTCTGGGTTAATAAAAAGGGAGATTCACTAATATACCCAATATGAGAGCCCAAATTATAAAAATACCCCATATGAAATGAATTTTATAAACACACCCAAAACTCATTTACAACATAACAAAGAGGCTTTAACTTCTTATAAATTACAAAACCACCATAAATTTCTTAAAACAAGCCCAACCCCAAAATCTCATAAAAATACCCAAAACACTCAATAGGGCATTAAAGTAATTTAATAATCAATATTAAATTCAATATGGCCAACTATCATTTTTGGGGTTTTTTTTGGGTTTGTTTATAGAAATTCAATGATTGAGGGTTTATCTATAATATTAGTGCTAAGAATGGGTATATCACTAAATATCTCTAATAAAAATAGCAAATTTCTAAAAATAAGCATAGATGGAAGCTCAAATCAGATGGTACACATGAGTCAAAATCTCCAAAGAGGATGCAATCAACAAACTGCTACATAATTCTTACCCAAAAACAAAAAATTAAAACTTTAGCAGAATTAAAATGAAAAAGAAGAGGAAACGGATCGGGTTTGAAATGGAAAATACCAGCGCTGCATGAAGTAGGAGGATCTTTCTGGAGGTCCTTCAGCTCCTTCAGGATCCGTTTCGACGCCATCACCTTCACAAGCAAACAAACAAACAAACAAACAAACCAAACCCTAGATGAACCTGACCTTAATCTAACAAATTCACACACACAACAAAGAAAACCCAAATTTCATTTATTGTGTGCAAGTAGCAGAGGGATGGTAGAGAGAGTACCTTGACCTGAGAGACCCTCCTGCTTTATTACTGATTTAGATTTTATGTTTTTTTGATCTTTTTAATCTTTTGCGTTTATTGAGAAGGTGGTAGCTCTTGAACAACCACTCAAAATGAGTTTATATATTATACCTAGGGAAAGAGGAGGGGACAAGACTGTAATTTTGCTCCACACATCCCTCCAATCAAAGTTTGCCATTCTATAGACCATGGATTATTGTACAATGAAAAAAAAGAAAAAGGAGTGATTTTTATGTTCGAATCTTGTCCTTTGTGACAAAAGAAAATAAAAAATCTTATCATTTGTTAAAAACATGTGTTATTGTATGAAGTTTTAGGTAATCATAGTTAAAATGTAAGATTATTTTGTTACTAAAGATTAAATAATTTAGTGTGTAACACTCACATTATAATATAGTTACAATGATCACCTAAATTTTTCTACGTGTAAAGGCCAATATGAGAACAACGTTAGAAAATCAAGATATTTTTTCAATAAGGACGGCTAGGCAATTGATTTATTCTTAAAAATAAGTAAATTCTAGTCAAAGGATAAGATGCATCTTAGAAATTAATTAAGAAATATGTCATATTGCAGATATATCTTAGGTAAGTTAGTCATGACAATGACATGACAAATCTCGATTACAACTCAAAATTTGACCACATCAAAACCACCTATATATATATATTTTTGTTTATACCCAATATTCTTGCAAGACTCCATTTGGAATGTTAGATTTCAAATCTATGAAAGCTGATCTTTATAGTTAGATTTTCTTCATTATAATCTTAGCATGAAAAAGAATAGAATGAAATCCATCCATTGTACCTAATCATTTTCAAGGTCATAATAGTACAACACTGTACCCAGTATTTTCAAACGCATTGCATCCAGCATCTCTTTCAACATTTTTCTAACCAATGTAACCATATTATCAAAATCAAAATTCATTGTTTCTATCCAAACATACCCTCGTATAAATTTTCCCAAAAAGGTATTTTGTAAATGGAAACCAGGAAACGAAGCAGTTTTTTCTCTCTCTTTCTTTTGGACTAAACTTGAGCAAAACCCTAATTCGAAATGTATCTTTTTACATGTAGATTATGGACACTGCTTTGAAAGGTTGAGCAAAAGCAAAAACAACTTTTAGATTTTGTTGGTGTGTTGGATTTTTCCCTCCAGTATCTTTCACATTCTGATGAGCTTTTTGCCAGCATCGAACAGCTCTGAATACTTCACGTGCAATAGCAGAATATGACCAAATAAACGTCCAATCTATGCTTGTAGATCATGATGCCCTCTGCTGTGAGTTGCTTCGGGAAAAATAGTTGATGATTGAGATTAAAAAAAACACAGTTTTTACAAAAACACCCTTCTATGTATTAACTGGAGTGGAAGAATGTAATAATCAATTTGCAAGACAGATTTTGTGAAAAACTGTTGTACAAACAGTTGCATTGCATCCTTCAGGAAAACATAGTAGGACCCATGCAGAACAGTTGCATTGCATCCTTCAGGAAAACATAGTAGGACCCATGCAGAGCCCAGCAGGAAGTTATTCTTGCAGTCAGTTTTTATATGACACAAAGATCTGTATAGCATCTTTGGCATGATTACGCCTATGCATCCATTCAAGCAAAATGTTTTTTCTGCATTCTCCTTTTAATGTGTGTGTGTGTGTGTGTGTGTGTGTGTGTGAGAGAGAGAGAGAGAGAGAGAGAGTTTCAAGTACCAAAAAGCACATTTGAAATGCCATTTCCAGAATTAAAGTCACTACTACATTGATACATGACCTAGCTCTTCCTAAATGGGATAAAGTAGAAAAAAAAATTTGAAACAAATTTGTTCATTCACTGGAGCAAAACGACATTTTGAGATGAAATGAAATACATCACTAGATGGGAAAAATGGCAAATGGTTCACTCATTGTGATGTTGGATGTTCTGTTCCAACCACCAGTGGTGGTGTTGAGCTTTCAGATCTGTTTCCAGATGATGGTCGATTCTCATTATCATTCCGGCGGACACTGTCTATCATCTTCACTAAATCCAGCATTTTAGGTCTTTGATCAGGCATCCTTACCACACAAGACATGGCAATCTGTAACATCTCTACCATTTCTTCCTCTATATTTAGATACCTCATGAGCTCTATGTCAAACACTTCTGCTGTCCACTCCTCTCGGACAACTGAATGCACCCATCTGACCAAGTGGACAATCTCATCACCAGCAGTAGTATGGATAGGGGATTTTCCAGTGAGGAGTTCCAGTAACACAACCCCAAAACTGTAGACATCAGCTGCTTGTCCTGCTTTCCTGGTGTCTGTCACTTCTGGGGCTCGGTAACCAGCAGCACGGGAGATTGGGGGAGCTAGTGAGCTCATTATAGTTGCCAGGCCAACATCAGAAACACAACCATACTGTTGCGAGTTTACAAAGATGTTTGAGGCTTTGACGTTTCCATGGACAAGCTTCCCACCATTCTGTGTATGTATATGAGCAATTCCTTTTGCTGCTCCAATAGCTATTCTCAGTCGGGTATCCCAATCTAAAGGGACTCTGTCCTCCCCTCTTCTACCTGAAAATCGAAACAGCAATGCAAGATATATATTAATCTCTACAGTGGGTGGCAGTGCAACATGCACAATGGAGTTAGAATTCCCAAGCATGACACCAACCAAATATTCTCATTCCGAAAGATGTCAAAGCCGACAAATACAATAGATTTTCTTCAATAAAACTGAGTTCCTCCCAGTTACCAACTTACAACAGATGTTTTTTGAACACAGAAACTTTGGGGGTTTGAATGTTCCTTGATCAAGATAAAACTAACAGTGCACCAAAGAATGACACATGATTCCCTAAATACAACATTCACATATCTCCACCCTTGGAGGAATTAATATGTCCGATGCACCACATGGTTTACAAACAAACGACCCTAGAATGGAAGAACCAGATAAATATCATTTACACTAATAGGCTTTTCTTAGAAGATATTTACTCCCTAATGTTCAACAGATCATTTTATATTGATAGCATGGACTTGGTCAAAGAAAGCCTCACGAAGGTACAAGGCAACATAACATTAGTATGGATGCCAAAGCCTGTTGGTACTTACTAGTTAGTATTTTAATGCATCAATTACCACTGGACTCATTAGCAGTCACTATAGTTTTATTGTCAGAATCAACAGTAGCTTCTAAAACTCAAAATTCAAGTATTAAACAGTCCTAAGCTATTGGCATAGTAGAATTGCTATACATGACGGAGTAAAGTGAATTATCCAAATCTACATAATTTAGCAGCATAATATTTTCACAAGTGATGACCATATACTACATCCAGCAGGCCAAGACACATTCTAACATTTTGACAGGCCCAGGATCATCTCAAAACAAGGACTGCAGTATAGACCAATAGTATTCCACTATGTTTCAGACTTGTTCCAACTGGCATCTATCATATACTTAGTAGTACAGTTCCAACAAATTATTCAGAATGATTGAAGTGAAAAATACTCGAACAATTTTAGCTACAGATGACTACTTATAAACAGAAAACTTCTATGATGTACAGGATCTAAAGGTTATTAACTTCCAAAATAAGAAGTACAACAATCAGCTATTTGCATTCAACAATTTTCAAAACAGAGAAAATTAAAGTTATCAAGTTAACATTCATCAAGGATGGAAGATAGTAACATACCATGTAACAAAGCAGAGACGCTCCCCTGGCTGTAGTAATCATATACCATTAGCTTCTCATCTTTGGAATAATAATATGCCTTCAGTTCAACCACATTTTCATGCCTAATGTTGCCAGCAATCTCCATATGTTGCTCGAAGTCCCGCTTCCCAACATTTACATCCTTCAACCTCTTCACCACCACAACGGTTGCATCTTCTAATATTGCCTTATATGCTGTACCAAATGTTCCCTTTCCAAGTACCTCGGCGGAAGCCCTCAATAAATCCTCCAGATCAAATGCGTAATGACAGCCCTCAAAGAAAACCAGTTTATTATTCGCATCTTGACTCCTTGAGATCACTTTTTCCGGTGACATTTCTCCCTTGTGCAACTTTCCAGAAAGCCCATCTTCCTTTTTTCTTCTTGAGCAGAAAACAAGTATTAGAAATGCAAACGCCACAATGCCCAAAACAGCACCAGCAACTATAATTCCTAATAATGCTGTCTCACCAAGCTTCCCACTATTCTTAGATTTCGGATATGGTTTAGGGGCGGGTGGAAGAACAGGAGGAAGACTGGGTGGGAAACTAGCAAAAGAAATGTTGTTACCCACGAAAACTGACCTTGGAAACCTCTGAAGTGATTTGGGAACACTACCAGTGAGATTGTTGTTAGATAAGTTTAGCTGCTGCAACTTGCTTGATTCGAGATCAGGAATTTCACCAGAAAGTGAATTGTTAGCAAGATTCAAGCCTGAAAGCTGAGTCAAATTGGAAAGCGAATAAGGAATGCTCCCATTGAAGTGATTGTTAGACAAATTGACAATGGTGAGGTTCTTCCAAACTGAGAAGTCCCCGGGCAATGGCCCAGAGAAGTTATTGAATTGGAGATAGAGGAAAGACAAGTTTTTGAGGTTGAAGAAATCAGAAGGGAAGTGCCCACTTATCACATTGGATCTAAGACTCAAAATTTGCAGCCTTGAGAGGCGGCTAAGCGTGTAAGGTGGTATCTGGCCAGTAAATCCAATGCCGGGCAATCGGACGGCTACCACATAAGACTTATCCTCACTACAAGTCACTCCAGTCCAGTGGTCACACACAGGAGAGCTCACATTCCAATTAGAGAGCGGGAGTGAGGGAGATTGTTCACAAAATCCAGCAATGCTTGCTTATCTTCAACTGGGTCTGCATTTCCTTGCAAGAAAACCAAACCCAGCAAGAAAATCCAATACAGAATGCAACGACCTGCCATTTCCCTCACTCTCCCCTTACCAAAATCCCAAACACTTCAAGCAGAGAACGAGCTGTTTCTGCAAAGTTTCTCTCTTTTCATGGTTCTGGCCCTTCAGGGTATTGGCTGAAGATGCACAAACAAATATAGAAAAAAATTAAGTTAAAAACACAAAAGACAGAATGTAAAGCGAAAAGAGAAAGGGAAAAAAAAAAATCAGATTCCAAGACTATTGTCGAGAAAAAGTAGAGGTGACTCTGAGAAACTTCTGCTATAAAAAAATGAAACTTGCAGGCTTTGAATATCGTGTTTATAGTCAAAAAGGAACTTATTTTATTATGCAAAAGCAAAGTATGTACCACCAGAAACCGAGCTTTCTTTTTGTTCTTTGTTCTTTGTAACTTTGTTTCTTTCAACTTTGCCGTTCAAATTTCAAAAATAGCAGAAACCCAAAATTTATACATGGGGAAACATTTCAACAAACAAGTAAAAATGAAAACCAAAGTACCCAGAAGCTCAACTCACCTGCCCACCATTTCCTTTCAGTTTCAGATCTGACCCAACAAAGTCCTCTGGTTTTAGAGTGAACCCAAGTCCAAAATTAGTGCAACTCTGCCTCTGGGACCAAAACAATTTAAAAAATTCACTCTTTCAGAACACAAAGTAAAATGTGGAACAGCAGAGTATGAGTGCAGAGAGAGAGAGAGAGAGAGAGAGAGCAGTGGAAACGTACATGTTATGATGACTCTCAACTGATGGTGCTGCTAAAATAGCATCCAAGATGAATGAACCTGCAAACAAAAAAAACTGTTACCCAATGGACCAAAAATTTACTCTCTTTTTTTCTTTTTTTCTTTTTTTCTTTCTTTCTTTAAACAAAAGAAAATAATAAGAACAGAAAAACCACTACTTAAGTTGGCAGTTTTTGACCCAAAAAAAGTTGGCAGTTTCGAAGGGCTCCGGGGATGAAGAGGAGGTTGGGGGAAGTGAAGGCGAGTAATTATAAGGTCATCGTAGTGGGAGCGAGGGGATCATGAGTTCGTGACTAGGTGGACGGAACGCCGTTATTGTGGGTAGGGTTGCGATAGTGACATGGTCTCGTCTACGTCTGATATGTGGACCCGCGTGAAATTAATTTCTTGATAAATATGAACCAACGTGCTCTCGTCCCCGTGCTGTCGTTTAACGATAACGACGACGAGAGGAGGTCTTCGGTTAATCTTCGCCGCCGATTCGGGCTCCGAGTTTTGCGTGGGTGCATAGAGCCCGTTCGATTGCATGACGGCATTTCGTTGACTTCTTTTGGTTTTCAAAATCTGACCAGAGATAATTTTACTTTTTGTTTTACAGTGACTGAGAGATAATATTTACTGTGGTAACTCATTATTTTCATCTCTGCTTTTTTTAATAAAAAAATTTCTCGGCTGTTAACCACTTTATCCTATCCAAATAAGGCATAACATTTTGTTTACATAGTAATCTCTATATTATTTTTGTTACCCAAAAAATCCCATGTTTGGTGACTTGGAGTTGAACTATTCTAATTAAATTAGACAGTTTTTCTTGTTGAGAAATTTTAGGATTACATTTATAATTAAGTCAAAAAAATCACTAGCCACAAAAGGGTCGATATAGATTAGCCACAGAGTGTCAATACAAATTAATCACAAAGGGCTATTACAATAACGAAGGGGTCTAACATCAAAACTAAAACAATATGGTGCGCCTCCTTCAACGATCACACAGGATCGAAAAGAGATAAAACTTGAATATTTTAAACTCAGAATAATCAAAAAGAGATAAAACTTGAAAAAATCAAGTCATAACAATACAAATAAAACTCTCACAAATGAGAAATGACAACTTGCACAAAGAATGGGTGAAAAGCTCTCATAAAAGAAAAAATGAAAATTACACAGAGAACTCAAAGAGTCTCTGTGACTTATTCTAAATATAAAGAAACCGCAAAAAGAATGGTGATGGAAATCTAACGTCAAAACGCAGGTGGAGATAAAATCATAACAAAATGAAGACAAATAAAAAGAACCTTTCGTCTATGAAAATGATGGAAAAAGAGAGGGAGGAAACAATCTAACTATAAAGGTAGACAACAATCACTCTTTAACGAACTTAAGACAACAATCTAACATATTATATTTTACAAATTTCATCGAGAGGGATCAAAATTATACAAACATTTACGAACTCCACTTCAATCCAATCTAAACCCAACAATTTTCCTTTGTGTTTGAGCACATGGATAAAGTTGAACGACATGAACAATAAATAGTTAAAAAAAAAAAAAGCAATTTGATTTGATTGGAGAAGTTCCAATCTTTAAAACATTGGTTGATAAAAGTCAATTCTTCCATTATGTTTGGTTCTTTATCTCAGCACACCAGTTACTGTTATGTATGTATGCATAGGTCCCATGCCATTATTATTAAACTCTTTACACCTAATTAGAAATATATATCCAGCAAGGCATCAACCACCATTGTCCAACGCCCCTATTCCCTAAGCAAAATTAATCTGATAAACTAAAGAAGAAATACTGTACAAAAGCATCATTCTCTCTCTCCCCTCCTGGGGCCTGGTGTGGACTTAAATTTCTTTATTTTTTATTCCTTAGAAAGTTGAACATGAATAGCATTATATGAACTTCATTAAACATAATTATAAGATAAATAACTTTAAAATATATATTTAAAATTGACAAAGAATATGGCCAATCATATATATTGCTACTTTTGACAGAGTTGAAATTATATGTCCACTCTATTTTTTTTGGCCCCTAATCTGTCTTCTCCTTTTGTTTCTTATGGAAACACACCCACTCTTGTCCAATGCATGTCTAGCCCCTAAACCAACTACGAACTGCCTTTTCCTTTTCAAGGGCTCTCATCACAAATAAATTCTCAACACCATGGCCATTCTTGTCCATGCTGGTTGGTGCAAAATGCTTTATTATGGTTCTATTTTTAAAGCTAGCATGGAGCTAGGTTCCTAGTGTGGTGCCCACCAGTGGATGAATCCACCAGATTGTGACAGGTGTCAAGAACTTCTCTTTCAAGAGGGCATCCAAATTGTCAAAGGGCATGTTACAATTTGGAAGTTTGCATGATTAGCTAGCTAGAAGAACCTGCCCCCCTCCTGTGTGCTTTGATTTGGGTTGCATTCTTTGTTGTAGAGTTGGAATTGCATGTTTGAATTGGAGGTGAAAATGGGAATTAATTAATACATGGTAGAGGAGCATACAAAAAAAAAAAAAAAAAAAAAAAAAAAAAAAGATGACAGCTGTCTGTTATGTGTTTAGCAGTTTGATTTGCCAAATCTGGCCTCATATACTTTGGATAGGGAATATTAGAATGCTTCTTCTTTAGTAAGCATTGGGAGACTCTTAACCTTGAGCTTCAGGGAATTAGCTTAAATGACAAACTGAGCTCAATTAATCAATGTCTTTGAAAAGTCATCAAGAGTTGAAAACCCCATTTGAGCAATGACCTGCTTTAAGAAATTACTGAACAAAATTTTGGTAAAAATAATGATGATGTGTGTGGAGAAAGAGGAGTTTATAAGTCGATACTATTTGTTTAATTTGGAAAGTAAACCCATATTTTACAGTTTTATCCCAATTCATATCTTAAGAGATTTTGGATTTATCTATCCAGACTATATGTGCAATATTGACTGAACTTTGACATCAATTTTAGGCTTTAGCTATCAGTACAAAACCTGAATGACTGACAAAAGCTCTAATGAGGTCCATAAGGAGTAGAGGTTGGTAAGTATGCAGTTTTTAATGATCTGATTGAGGAGAAATTATTGTGTCCGTCGGCGGATCATTATATCTGATCACCCTCACAAAAGTCAAATTCTCTATGTATTTTGATCCTATCCAATCCATCCAAGAACTTCTCCATTAAGAGGGACTTGATGATTTTAGCCCCACTGCGCACTTGTTATTCCATGGATTTAATTAGTAGCCAATGAGTTGTTGGGTGAATAAGTTTGGTTTTGTTGTTCCTCCTAAAAGGTTGGTAAGTATGCAATTTTTAATGATCTGATTGATGAGAAATTCTTATGTTCGTCGGTCGGATCATTGTATTTAATCACCCTCACAAAAGTTAAATTTTTTTATGTATTTTGATCCTATCCGATCCATCCAAGAACTCCTCCATTAGGAAGGACTTGATGATTTTAGCCCCACTGCCCACTTGTTATTCCATGGATTTAATTCGTAGCAAAGAGTTGTTGGGTGAATAGGTTTGGTTTTATTGTTCCTCCTAAAACCTTAAACCAACACATCAAAGGTTGTTATTAATTCATGGACATGTTGGACAAGTTTCTCTATATATGGTCCCATTTAGTAACTAAACTAACTGACCATCTCATTGAAGTATAATTGTTGGTGCAACCCAACCCAAACCACGTGGAGGCTATATTGAGGGGTAAAAATAAGGGTTTATAATGAGGGGTTCCTTAATAGTCGGCCGATCTAGTGCAAAATTATTATTGGACTGCTGAATTGAACACCCTCATTATAACCCCTCACTTTTATCCCTCATTATAGAAGCTCCCCCCAAACAAATTGATGTGTTTATTTATGATATGTTATTATAAAATAGTGAGTGAGGCACTGAGATGGGCCTTTTTTTTTCTTCTCTCTAAAAGTATTAGGGAGCTTCATTATTATACCCAAAATAGAGGCTGAAATTATATATATAAAAAACCCCACATTGAATGCACTTTAGAAACACCACCAAAACTCATTTACTGCATAAGAGATTAGTGTTGAAGTTCCTATAAATGATATGATTGGCACTAATTAACTAAATAAAAAAAAAAAAAAAAAACAAAAAAAAAAAAAAAAAAAAAAAAAAAAAAAAACCAAACCCAAACCCATTTTTTTTAAAATAAAAAATAAAAAACAAACGGTTTATTAAAAACAAATTCACAAAAACCAAGCAGGGGCTCTTCATAGAAGTACATTGTTAATACTATTTCATATAACTATCTTGTGGTCTATATCGTAGAAGTACATGTTAATACCCTGTCATAGAAGTACATTGTCAATTCTCTGTTATAGAATTATTTTGTTAATACTATGTCATAGAAATACATTGTTAAACAAAAATGAGATCAATAACCTAAATAGTAGTGATAAATTTATCATCAAACCTTAAAATACATTCCTCAAATTAATTAAAATTCGAAGAGAAACACATAATTGAAGTAAAAGATAAAAAATCTCAAGTCCAAACCAAACGACGATGATGACGATGCGGCTAAATCCCCATCTTCCTCCACAATTGAAGACGACTAGTTGCTGGTATTGTGCGGTACTCTGGAACAACCAGTGAGGTCCTCGGCTGTTGTTTCCACCGAGATGACGACTTGTCGAGATCGAGATAAAGGTTCCTTTGATATCACTGTAAAATTCCACCATAATCTCAATCTCATACCTTCGTCCACAAATCTACAAGTAAAAACAAAAATATGAATAAGAAAGTATAGGAGAACGACCTTGGAGAGATCAAGATGATCCGATTTGGCAAGCTGAGGCTTGGTCCCTTGAAAAAGTGTCAGAGCCAGCAATGGAGAGGAGACATAGACATCCGCACAATCCAAAAAGTCCAAAGAGAAAGTTGATTTCAAAACAAGAAATGGAAGAACAAAAACTGAAAACTGGGGCTGAAGATGAAGATGAGAGACTAGAGCTCGTGAAATGAGTTTTGCTCTAGCTTCAACACAAGATAAAGAGATTAGAATTCCAATTTTATGTTAAAAGGGTAATAAAGGCATTTCGTCTTATTAATTAAATTAAAAAATGTATAGCTGTAGATTTTGGGGTTTTTTTTTTAGTGTGTTTTTAAATAGTATAGTGTTTCTTTATAAGACTATGTCTAAGATTAGGTATATCTGTGATATGAAATTAATGACACAATAATATATGTGGTAGGCCTAACATGTGCTTTTGTTATTCGGGAAGCCTCTTGAGAATAAAGAAGGTTCATTTAGATCAAATTACAAAATAGTAGCAACAAATCAGAGTGGCGCAGCGGAAGCGTGGTGGGCCCATAACCCACAGGTCCCTAGATCGAAACTAGGCTCTGATATATTAGTGTCCTTTTTCATCAATTTTTGGCTCCATTATTATCCATGGATGAAATTCAAACCAAAACCAAAATGATTTTGCAACTGCAATACATGAATAGTTGTATTTTGAAAGGGGAAAAGTGGCAATAAAGTGAAATTAACCATTCTTTATTAACGGATTTCTTGTGCAATATATACGACTAATATTATCTTTGGTTGTGTGTTATTGTTTCATTCCAGCCTTCATAATTAACCAACGTAGAGGTATCAAATGGGTCGTGATATATCAACCCGACTTATTTAAAATTGTGCCACTAAATTATTCAGGTCGTGTTGTGTCGTCCCATTTAATTAATCGTGTCTTATTCTGCTGACTCATTTATAGAAAAATATTGAGCCCATCTCAGTCCAAAACCCAAGGTCATATTGAAACAAATTATGCTTGTTTTGTTCTTGAACCTAGCTCGAGACCGGGCCAAACCACCAGCCCATTTAACTTTCTTTTTATAACGAGAATTTTCTGTCATTGGCATCAAGTCAAACTAGCACCCACTACTTATTTCATTGATATTCCTGAAATCCTACAGTGACTGAAGTAACAACTACGATGGCCTGCTAGACCACAACCTTGGCTAGATCCTTTTCGATGGGAGGCACTTTCTCATAACCAGTTATCTACCAAACGTGTTCATTTGCATCATGAGCACATTGTTTGATGATGATACGTTATGACAAGTTTGAGTTGTCTTTCTTGGAAAATTAATTAAACTTTATGTTATTAAATGAAAATTATATTAAAAAAGATGTGACTATCCAAGTTTGAAACAATGCATATTTTAAGTAAAGAGAAACATCGTTTACCTCTTCAATTTAAGTCATATACTTTGGGAAATAGCTCTTCATCATCCATAAATAAAGAAGCCCACTACATCATGTGGCATTCAATCCATTCCAGGATAACTAGTCTTCTAGAAATTTATTCATTGCATACTAGGGTCTTTATGAGTATAATAGTGTGACGTTTGCCATTGAAACTTTGAAGCTTTAGTGAGGGGCAATTTCGTCTTAAAAGGATAGAACGAGGTTCTAGACTCAACCATATTCTGGTTTTTTCTAAACTTCTCTTTATATTAATATTTGATTTATTTTGATTTTTATTGGCATGAATTAAATTATGATTTTTCTATAAATATAGCAATTAAACCCCTACTTTTACTAACACTCTCCAAGTTCCCAAAAAAGTGGTTTCTCTCCATTAGTTTTTTTTATGAGGTTGCACTCCTTGCTTCAAATTTGCGTGGTTCTATTCCTAGCAAGCTTTTGGCCTATTTCATTAGGAGCATTGCTAGTAACTCCTCCTTAAAATTAATGCAGTTTTGACACTCATATTTCCACATATAAATAGTAAATTTAGCTTTTTCTCTCGAATCTCATTTTTTCTTATCTACAACCCATCACGTTATTTTTCCATAAATAAACCCTGACTTTTATAAGAAAAACACGATGACTAAAATCCGACTAAGCTAGTTACCTATTTAAGCTACAAATCTAATTATTATACTTTTTAAATTCCAAAAATACAAAACCCCATGAGATGGGTTTGTTTGCTACAAATATTTGCATGTGGTCTGAAATTAATGACGTAGGTAGCAAATAAATAGATTTTCTACTGCATCTATAGCATATGGTATTGCTTCTGCTGTCTTCTTATATCTTGGTTTGGAACGTATGATTAACAGATCAGAGTGGCGCAGCGGAAGCGTGGTGGGCCCATAACCCACAGGTCCCTAGATCGAAACTAGGCTCTGATAAATTGTTTAATTTTTTTTAATTCTCGCTTCAAAATCAAAGCGGACTTGTAGAAAAATAAAATTAAGGACAATAATAAAATGCTTTGCCAGAAAGGCCTCCCTCCGCACGCGGTGGCTAGTGGTTTTATAAGAAGGGTTTGAGACTTGTTGTGAAACAGTGTCATGATTTGAATTAGCAATGACTTTCTTCTTCACTCGTATGTTATTCATCATCATGATTTTGGTAGGGACTTGTGTGGCTTCTATATCCCAATCCCAAGCAACAGCAACGGCCGTGAACATTACGGAGGAATTTGAGCGATCGCTGACGGAGATTGAACGCAGCTTCCTGAACAGTGAAGAGAGGGAAAGGCGTTTTGCAATATTCAAGAACAATTTCGACAAGAAGCAAGAGCAAGGGGATGATGATGATAACTCCTCCTCTTCCCATACCCCGAGGTTTTCTGGTAGTTGTGCAGGAACCTCCTACTTCAATTCCTCAATGATCAACTTCTGGTTTAATATTTTTCTGCTTGTTTTCATTTGTCTGTTTTTCCTCACCATCCAATTAAGATCTGTTGCCATTAGGCTTTTCAACTCCACCAAGCGAGCGTTTCTTTAAGCTCACGGCGGCGGCGGCGGCGGCGCGTCTCTCTTGGTGGCAATTCTATTTATTTATTATTGTCTTTTTATTCGGTCCTCTGTCTGTCTGTCATTGCGTTTTGGGTTTATTTATTTATTTATTATCCTTTCCTTATTGGCAAAACAGTACTCTATATATCCTAATATACAAGTTTATTGATAAAACAAATCTTCATTGGTTGTAACTCCCTTCAATGGCAGATCTAGGATTTTTTACAGGGATTGGCTAAATTTTTTTTGGACACCTATGTGATTCGAAATACAGTCTGGTCCTCCACCAAAACACCCACAAGCTCAAGCTGGTCAAACCACCTGTTCAACATCAGCTCATAACATATTCCCAACATAAAACCACCATCAATGCGTAAACAGAGAAACGCATAGAAAAAGAAAAAGAGAGAAACATGGACTTAATAAAACAAAAGAGAAACAAATAGAGAAGACAAAAGGAAAGAAAGAGAAAATAAAAATGGTGGAGAGAAAGAAGAAGAACAAGAAAAGAGAGAGAAGAAAGAAAAATAAGAGAGAAAGGAGAGGGAAAAGAAAGAAGAAAATGGGCAAAGGGATTAAAGAAGAAAATGGGCAAAGGGATTAAAGAAGAAAGAGAAAGAAAATAAGAAAAAGGAAAGAGAAAACGAAGAGAGATAGAGAGAAACTTTGGGTTAAAATTTGATTTATCTAAATTTGGCTTACAAATTAAGCCTACTCTAAAAAATACGACTGGACTGGAGCCCACTACAGTCCTAACGTAGGTCCACTCTTGCCTCCCTTTTTTTTAGAGAATCTCGATGAAACCAGAGAAACTTTATTGGTAAAAGGCTAAGTGCTACACTGCATGCTGAAGCACTGGTCAAATCTCACTTTACCTCTTTAAAGTCAAAGTGACTTACTTTACCTCATTGACCAAGATTTGATGTTCTACATTGTCCAATACCATTAACTTCATCCAAAAATCCGTTAAGTTTGATGACGTGGCATGAGTGTTTTAGTAATTTTGCGCACCTAGGTCATTTACTCCAATTTGAGTAGGTGACGTGGCAAAGTGGAGCCCACCTCCACATAACACATAATAAAATATTCTTAATATTTTCAAATAATTAAAAGATTTAAAAAGTATTGAATAACAAAAAATAAAGTTTAAAAAAAAACAACAACTTTTATTCCAGCCATAACTCCACTCCACTCCACTCTTCAACCCGCAACAACCACCCATCCCTAATCCATTGTCGCCAACCCCAATCTTATCGACACACCCACTCTGAATTGAATCAAATACTGGGTAAAACTGAAAGTAGTAAATGAAATTAGAGGGGAAATTTTTTTTAGAGGAAGTGAGTGTGATGATGAATCTACAATCTATGGGAAGTTCATGTTGAAGAGAGAGAGAGAGAGAGAGAGAGAGAGAGAGAGAGAGAGAGAGAGGAGAGAGAGAGAGAGAGAGAGGGGGGGGGGGGGGGGGGGGGGATAGGGAGGTGGGGCTGGGGGGTTGCGGACTCGCGCCTGAGAAGGAGGTGGGTGGGGGGTTATAAGGACAGATAAGAAGGGGGTGGATTTGGTGTGACTCGGGAGAAGGGATGGGTAGGGTTTTTTGTTTTCAATTTTATGTTTGTATTTTAATTTTTAAAGTAAATAATATTTTATTAATTTTTTATCCATGCCGGAGGTGGGCTCCACGTTGCTACATCACCCATTCAAGGAGTAAATGACCTAGGTGCACAAATTACTAAAACACCATTATCACATCATCAAACTTAACGAACTTTTTGATGGAGTTGACGGTAGGGGCAATGTGGAACATCAAACCTTGGTCCATGAGCAAAGTGGGTCACATTGACTTTAAGGGGGTAAAGTGGGATTTGACCAAAATTTCAGGGTGCACTATAGCAATTAAAGATAATTCCCTAATTAAATAGGATTTAGACTTATTTACATCAATACCTCCTGAAACTACGGTCAAATCTCACATTGCCCTCTCTCCCTCAAACTTAAAGTGGCTCACTTACCCAACTTGATCGTGTTTTGGTGACCCACTTTACCCCATAACGTCAACTCCATCCCAAGTTCCGTTATTTTTTATGACTTGGCATGGGCATAATGGGAATTTCTTCCACGTCCATTTTTTTCTCACCAAACGGCTGTCTGATGTGGCGAAGTGGTCCCCGCCCAAGCCCTAACCCTTCCTCCCACTTTTGCCCGCCTATTTTCCCACATCAGACAGCCGTTTGCTAAGAAAAAAAAGGGAGGTGGATGAAATTCCCATTATACCAATTTCATACTGACTCAATTCGATAACCTATTTCATGAGTTGCTAAGAAGTGTCGGGGCTTTGAAGAATCAATCTCAAAGGAAATTATGTTATGACGATAATTCGGTGAGCTTGGTAGTAGGGTCTTAGCTTTATCGTGGAAACTACAAGGGCTAAAATGAGCTACTCCATTTTTGGCTACCAAGTCTTTACATCAATGAGAGCTTTTGACGTGTAGAATATTGGATGTTGGGCCTTCAACTCTTTTTGGATGAGAGTTGAGTTGATTGCTGACTCAAACACCGTCAGGTAGGTGAACAGGTCCTCGCCTAGCAGGGGCTTGGTGGACAGAGCTTGCGATGGATTTTTTATGGCTTGTCATCGTGAATTAGCTCTTTTAGTGCGGGCCGGTGAACGTTTTTATTCACATACCTCATGAGGAGGATTGTGAGGCTGATCTCATTGTGGGCCTAGCTTTGAGTGAACATTTCTTGTGGGTCCATGTGGGCATGAACATCGAATCATAGGCCCAACCTTTCATGCACGTTGGTCCTTAGACCTAATCTCAAAAGGAGACTCGTTCTACCTTGGATGGAGCTTGCGGATGCTTGTGACATGCCAACGTGCTGGGTAGCACATTCTTGTCCTTCTCCTTGCCAGCTTGCACTTTCTCAACCTGCTTGTCGGTGTGTTCGTCCATCATTCTCTCTTCATCATGGGATCCAAGTCCAAGGTCACAGACCAGGTTAATCTGGCTGAGGAGTTGACCAACCAATTGGTTTTGGTCATCGACTTTGTAAGTAAGTTGTTTGACTCTGAGATTGAGGTCTGCTTGGCTGCTAGGATCAGGATGAGAGAATTGTGTGGAGTCCAACTGCACGTGGGCTAGGGTTTCGTTGGAGGTGTGCTAGAGAGCCACAAACGTCATGCATGGTGGTAAATGAGGGAATTGACGTATTTGTTCCGCTGTGCGTCATGGCGGCTCCATGGTGGTAGTCCTCGAATCCAGCAGTGAAGCCTAGAGGGTGGTGACTGTTGGAACTTGCGGTTGGTCGTTGCGGCTGCACGGTGATGTTGGCCACAAGACTGCAAAGAGGCATAGTGGCTGGCATGGGAACAGTGCTCTCGACCATGGGGCCGAGAGGAAGGACATCGGCGGTAACTAGAGCCGTGATGGCTGCTGTGGTGTTGAGAGGTTGAGTCGTGGCCTCGACAGCGGAAATTGGTGGCTATCTCAATGCCGTGACGTCATGGAAGCTTGGATCAGTTGTGGATTGATTCGTCGCGACGATCTTGCGTCTTGTGTGCTTGCTTCCAAACATGGTTGTTTGGAAGACTTTGGTTAAGTGATGAACGGAAGGAAATAGATTCCTTAAATTTGATAGCAACGCTTCAAGTATATTTCGAAGCTCTAAATGAAAGCACCAAAATGTTAGAGCAAATTTCCACAGGGGGGAATATTCGCGTGTGATTCTTCCACCCTTTGAGCTTCCTTCTCTTTCTTCTTCTTCGGTAAATCTAGGTCAATGGATCACACCCGGGAGATGTTGGCCAAAGGTCTTCCGATGCCTAAGAGTTAAATGATCTTGAGAAAGATGTGGAGATAACATAAAGGTCAGAGTTTTTTCTCATGGGGAGAGCCCAGTAGCCTTAGCTGTGTGTGGTGGTGTGTGGCCGTGTGAGGAGAAAAAGATATGAGAAAGACGGCGAGAGAGAGAGAGAGAGAGAGAGAGAGAGAGTGAGTGATTTCTCTAGGGTTTTTGAACTACCTCGAATGTGTTGTGTAGCCATCTATTTATAGACTCTTTGCTTGCTAGGGTTTGAAGAATAATCCATATTTAATAGGATTATCCTTACCCAAAAAAGATTATAGGAATTAATCAAAGAGATTTGCTGGAAATCGGATTCTTGATTTAGGAAGATATTTATATCTTAAATAAAAGATAATTCCCTAATTAAATAAGATTTAATTAAGGTAATTAATTAACATAAGGAATATTACTTTTTCCACGTGTCATTTTCTTATTGGCCGCCAAAAGATTTGTTCTCACACAAGGTAAACTTAATCAAAAGTCATCCTCCAATAATTAAAGCTTGATTTCTAACACCTTAAACAAAAAAAATAGAAGTATGAGAAGAAGTCTATAAAAACCATGCAGCATAAAGAGAAAATTAACATTAATACATCGATCAGTTGAAAAACTAAGCAATGGCTTGGATTATTTTATGGTTCATCATCTTGTTACTGGGAAGTATTCACAGAGGTATGTCACAAATCACCTCGGTGAATATTTCACAAGAATTCGAGAGATGGATGATAGAGCATGAACGTACATATCCGAATAATTCTGAAAAAGAGAGACGATTTGGAATTTTTAGAACCAGATTTGAGTCGATTGAACTTTTCAACATGCAACAAGAAGGGAAAACAAGTTCATTTAAGAAAGGCATTAATATGTTTTCTGATATGACAGCTGAAGAGTTCTTGTCAATTTATGCTTCATGCCATAACGACGACCCCTCAAAATATATTTCATCATTTGGAGTAGATTCTGCATATGTTGCTGAAGACGACTATGCAGATATTCCTCCCGTAAGCATTGATTGGAGGGATGAAAAATTGGTCACTCCGGTGAAGGATCAAGGGCATTGTGGTAAAAGAAGCATTACATTAGATACCATCCATATAAATTTTCTTCTATATTATTTTGACCTTTTTTTGGGGTATAATATATATATGTAGGTTCTTGTTGGGCGTTTGCTGCTGTAGCAGCAGTGGAAGGGAGTATGGCTTGGAACTATGGTATCAATACTTCACTGTCCGAGCAGCAAATTTTGGACTGCAGTGGAAATGCCGACGGCTGCAAGGGTGGTTCAACACAAGCCGCCTTTGACTATGTAATACGAAATGGAGGACTCAACAGTGAAGCAAATTACGGCTATGTCGCTAAGCAGGGAACATGTGACAGCAGCAAGACGGACCAACATCTTGGACAGATAACTGGTTATGGGAAAGTGCCTCCCAGCGAATACGATCTAGCTAAGGCTGTGGCCTGGCAGCCCATCCCAGTTGTAATTTCAGTCGGTGCAGGATTTCAGGAATACCAAGGTGGTATACTTAGAGGTGGTTGTGCCTATAACCCGTATAAACACAAACACGCTGTTCTAATTGTTGGCTATGGGAGGACTGAAGATTATCATGAGGACTACTGGATAGTAAAAAATTCCTGGGGCGAAGGCTGGGGCGAGAAAGGCTATGTCAGAATGTATAAGGGTGTCAATCTGTGTAATATTGCCGACAATGCTATAAGCCCGTTGAATACTTATGATGTGGAACGGCGTAAAACAATAACCCGCAATCGACGTCCTGTTGGATAAAACAAAAGCACAAAGCCGACGGATGATTATGGATGCTGGAATAAAACAATACTAGTCATATATTATATATGCTGGGATAATATTAGTCATATATATTATTATTAACATAATGGAATGATGGGAATGGATGCGTAAACACAGGAACCACTTGATCATTTGAGCATCAAACCAAAGTTGATTTGAAAATCCAATCCTGGATGCACCACAAATTAATCTTCTAGTATATATGTGTTCTGAATACCAAATTTAAAACTAAAACTTGATCAAAAGCCTTGGGATCAATATGCAGCATCTGAACAGATTATGCAGTTGATCAGATGCTGCATGTTGATCCATATCTTCTGCTTCAAATTTTGGGTTTCATGCATGATCAGCAAAAGATTTAGTTCTTATTTTAGTCTCTAGCAAATTAAATAAAGGTGAAAAACAAATGTTTGTGCCAGGACTTGCAGAAAGAAAAAGAATTATTACTGACTCTGCATTCAGTGTACAAGTTTCACAAGTAAAGATAACCCATTTACATTTTAGGGTATAGCTACGGTGGGGAGGAGAAAAAAAAGATATCTCCACCTCCTTTGAAGGAAAATCTGTTATGAAAATCATAACCACATTAAAGGTGATCATGTTCTTATTGATTTCCTTATTGCACAGTCACATTTTGACCCTAATACTTCTAGTATATTTTTATTTGCTTGCCTTTTATCTTCGAAAGCCTCTCATGGCAGGATAGAGAGCTCCAATCTGCCAGTCGATTCATTAACTTGAAGGGACAACAGAGAGCTCCAATCTGCCAGTCCATTCTTCACCAGGCTTCAAGGTGATTGGCTTCTCAATTGATGCTCCATTAACACAAAGCATCTGTTTATACTCTTCATCTCCAAGATCCACTATGGCCTTGGATCTCTTCTCCCATGGATTCCAAACAACTGAGAGTACATGTAAAGTTGAAGAACACAAAGATTAATTACTTAATCAAAATGGCTAGATATATAAATATTTCATTTGACATGGAAAAGGATGTAAAGTACCAATCTCAGACAGAAACTTTCTATGGCTTAATGGCCTGATCCCCTAAGCCTATGGTTTTCAGAAGATCCTAGTTCCTATCTACCAAGTTTGACAAAAATAACTCATCCTCTGCTTACTAAATTCAGCTTCCAATCAATTCCTTCAAGTAAGGATCTTTTTTTTTTTTTTTGGGGTCGCTTATGGTAAGCGCCTGCTGATGATTATAAAGCATATGAGAGTGTTTTGATCATGTGGAAGCCAACATGCTATTGGTTGCATTTCCTGAAACTGAGGTTAACCACATGATTCTTACCAACATCTGGAAGGCCCTCCTTTCGTACGGCGAATGTCCTCTTCTTTTCATGATCGAAAACAGCTATCACATCTTTAGACCTAAGATAAGCCCGGTCGACCTGCCCAAAAATGAACACTTCGTAAGAAGGAGCATATTTTGGTCACTAACAAGCTGAGAAGGTTTTGGAAAAACATGATTACCTCAGATTCAAATGTTAAGGCATCGCCTTGTTCTGTAAAGCGCTCCTTCTGAAATAGGTTGTCTAGGTAGTCAAGAGTCTCCAAGCCCTCAATCCTCACTTCGCTGTCAGTTCATATTATATTCATTTAAAGCTCAGAACTTAGTCAAACTTAGCATCACTCTACTACTTGCTAACCAAAAATATGATACTACTTGCTCCTTTCTGATTGAGCCGATGGCAATCATCGTGTGACCTGTAAAGCTTTTGTTTTGGGATCTACTTGACATGGATATCTTTAGGGAAAGTGCTGAATGTCCTTCCTTAGTTCTCATAATTCAAATTTCTCTTTTTTCTTTCTGTTAGTGAAATTTTAAAGGGAATATTTCTAATTATAAGAAGAATGCAACATATAACTGAGTAGGTAGACAAAGATTATAACCAGATACATGGATATGAAAACTCTTATGTTTAAAGTCAAAAACATGGAAACCAAATTTGTGTGTATCATTGTTAACATGAGGCCAGCACACTCCTTAAAAGCCTGCAGGCCAAAACTGTGGTCTGCCTATTTTAAAGGGAAAGGAGAAAAGGCAATAACTAGCACCGTAGCTGTTGCTGACTTCCACAGATTATGCTTAATTATAAGAATAGCAAATTCCATTTGCAATTTGAACGTTCTGTACCTGATATCAGAAATGGAGAAATATGGATGATACGCAAATGAAAAACTGAAGGGCTTGCAATTGATGTTCCTGATACGCGATATCAGGGTTAGATACCCTTCTGCTGCCAGTGACACTCTAAGACGAAACTCGAAACTGCAAAACATGGTCCAAACATTATTTCACAAACAAATATTTGAAGTTCATAAAACATGCTATGATACATTTTTCACAATTCATGCTGCTACCTATGTGGCCAAATCTTCAGATCTTCTTCGGATGGTTTGAGCAGCAAGTCGATGTAGGCTTTGCCATTAGAATCATTGGGATGTAGAGGTGGAGGATCATTGTCAATGACCCAAATCCTGTTCCTGGCAAACCCGTTTTGCTCCAATGATCCATTTCCAACCTAAAGTACATACATGTTGGAGCAAGCAAACCAATCAGCCAGAATTAACCAAGGTCCTTTATAATATACATCTGTGATTCTGTATAAATATTACCTGTGGAAAACAGATTGGAATTCCTCCTCGCACTGCTTTTGGTGGCTTAAAGATTGCCTGCATATTTGTCCATTACACTATATTAATTTGATCCAGAAATATCAGCAAAAGGGAAATCAATTTACAAATTTCCCATTTGTTCATGATTTATATGGTCATTTAGGAATTGTTAATGGTAGAACTATCTACTGCAGAATGGTTCTACAACAGCTAGGACACAAAAAAGAAGCACAATAAATAAATAAAATGAAAAGGATAAAAACTATGATGAATTTTTTACCTTGCTACTAATGAATAACAGTTCTTCACCACGTTCAGTCTTCCAGGAAAGAACCTGGCCTCCGTGCAAGCTAACCTGTATTGAATTCACATAATGACATCAAAATGCAAGTAAAGTTCAAGCAGCTTGGAGGGCATCTGTTAAACAATGGAAATAGAGAGGTAAAAGAATCTAACCTGAACGGAAGCTCCTCGAGGGTTATGAAGCAGAACTTGGTCAATTCCAATCTTGTCCTTTGAGACTTCAACTGCTGCTCTCTGATCACTGGTTGCTCCAGAATGATTCATTTCAAGAACACAGTAAGAACGTCAATTGAATAAATAAGAAGACGGAGGAACCTCTCTCTCTCTCTCTCTCTCTCTCTCTCTCTCTCTCTCTCTCTCAACAAACCCAAACAAGACCTCAAGGCTGGATATGACTTCTCCCAACACTTAGAGAGAAAAGGTCAGCAAATCATTCAATCAAGCAGTTGAGAATCTCAACTTTCACATGAACCTTTCCTGTGACAAATCAATATTCCTGTGAACTGAAAACCAAAGTCCCAACTACCAATTTATCTACCTTGGTTTCTTTCACCGCCAAACTTCTCACTGTGCATTACAGATCCTCTTAACCACACCAACAAATACAGACTCGAGATATCTGCAACCCCTCTTAAAAAAGGACACCCAACTTTTGCTGTTATACAGATCCAAATTTTGCAAAAGAAAAGCAGGACAAAACCCAATTCCAAAGCAGCAGTTACCCAAATGGCCAAACTTCTAAGATTCAAAATTGGACCAAACAGTCATAAAATCCCACAATGGCGGTTTGGAACCAAAAACAAAAAGCATTTATGATTGGAACAGTTTTTTTTATTTATGCGGATGATGGGAACAATTTTGTCTAACAAAGAGGAAGAAAAATTGGAAGCAATGACATAAGAAGAACTGAGGTCTAAAGTAAACAACTTTATGGGGAAAGATGACTATGTATCTATACAGATTTGAATACGACCTTGTTGGGTTGATTAACATGGATTGAAGGGTCAGATATACAAAGAGTGTAAAGTCCTTTAGGCATATCTAGGAAGCTTACTGGTCATGACTAAGAATAAATTACTACCACTTGCATTTACAAGTTTTAAAATTGAAGTTAATATATATGTATTTACATGTTCGTATAGGACATAGCAACCAGCTAAACATGATTAAATCTGTGCTGGTTTCCACACGTGATATAGACAAGTATGAACATGCGACCCTCTGATTAACTGAATTAACTACCCATTTAAAAAAAGAAATCAGAGAGAGAAGTGCAATTTAAAGTTTTGACCCTAAAAGATTCCTTATTTTTACTGCTGCCCCAGCGTATGTGATACCTGTAGAGGCAAAAGGATAAATAGTCAAATAAGACAATGTCAAAAGCATGAACAAAAAGTTATTGTATGATACGGTAACACCATGTGCATGTTAATACAATGCAATGTTATATGTTGATACTAATTATAATATATATTCTAAGAGTTAGAGGTTACAAACGAATAATTGTGCGTGTATTATATTTTGAATGGACCGGTAGCACGGCATCAACATGCACGTAGTTTTGCCGGCGTTTGACATTACTGATGAAGAAAAGGAAGGCCAATGATGAAGACATATTTGAAGCAACTTTTTTCTTTACAGTTGAAAATTCAATAAAGAATGTTATCCTTGAGATTTCTGAGCCTCATCTTTGCGAACAATGCCGAGTCAAATAGTTTATTGTTGTCTTATCGCAAGCAAAAGACACCTTCTTCCTAAGGGAGGAGTACCTTTTGATGGATACATATACGTATGTATACTGAACAATTACGGATATACGCGAGGATCAAGACAGCACCCAAAAAAGAGAAACTCAACTGGACCCCACAAAGAAGAGGCCCAGAAATAGGTAAAATCCAAAAGTTCATCATAGAAAAGTTTCAGTATTGGACATAGTCCAAACTCTTCGCAATGAAAAGTCCTCTTTTACAAAGCCTTTTTCACGCTATTTGGTGGCTTTGCTTTAACTTCCTCTTTTGACTTGCACTTTCCACCTACCATCATATCTTTCAATTCAACAAAACAAAGAGGATTTTATTTGTAGCTTCACGTTAAAACAATTCAGAAGCTTCTTTGCTGACTAATGTTATGTTAACTCAGTACTATGATGAAATCAATATTTACTGATGTAGGAGTAATGTGAATTACATACAGCATAGATTTAAGATACTTGTTGATTCATGAACCGGGTCGAATTTATCGAACAAGGATCAAATCGATACCTAACTAGTTACATCATTAAGAGGAGAACAGATCAAATTGTATATCGGCTTCCAATAATTTCACAAAACCAGGAAGTCTGCAATAACAATTACAAATCATTTACTTCCAGACCTATCCTTTGCAATGTTCATATTCATATGAAAACACAGTTTAGCCTATCCTAAAGTACTGCCAAAATTGACAGGGCAATCTAAAATCTAATAGATGACAGTTCATAGCAGAAAAAGAGACTTGAATGCTAAGGGAAAAATAAATTAGCAACTGCTGTTTTTGTCCCTCTTCAACTAGGAATTTCCTGTCTGCCACAAATAAAAAAATTGGGGCAAGTGTGATGTACGGCTGCTGATAACACCAGCTTCTTGATCATCTAGCAGCAACAGCATGGAGCTTAGTTTCAGACATAGAACTTTCATGTGCCTCACAATCCAGCTGAGCATTCCTGCTTACAGAACCCAGATTGCTAAGTATGTTCTCGGTACCAGTTGGCAGGTCCAAGTCTACTTCAATCTCAACTGAAGCAATCCCTCCTTTCGGCACTACCTGTGCATGTTTCAGCTTCTCCTACAAGATAAAACTCATGTTAGATCAAGCTACAACTGAATGCACATACAGCTTAGGTTGAAACAAGCAGATCGGCCAAATCAGCTTTCCTTGATTTTCCATGGTCAACTTAACTCAGTAGGACGTGCTACAAACATATCTGAACAAAACTCATTTCAACACTACACGTCCTGACTGCATCATAAATTTTGACATTTGGTCAATTTTTGGCAACCAAAAGCAACTAAACGTGATAATTCAGTATGTAGATGCATGGGTTACTCTAAGAATATGCTGGGTGGGTATAAGAAATTGAGATCTCCCTCTGAACATACTTGTTCAACTGCCTCTGGTTTCTTGGGAAAAATATGCATGGAGTTTTACTAGTTGGGTAACCATTGGTGGTGCATAAGCACATGCAAAGGCTTCGACTAACCTAAAGCCCACCCATCTGACCCCAGCCATGGGCTGGGACTGGGAATGCTACCCATTCACATGTATCTGCACCATGAGTCACTTTTGCAGAGAGAACAACCTAGAAGACTGGTTCTTTTGGCATAGTTTTTTTATTTTTGACTTTTAAGAATCCATGTACAAAGAAAAACTAACAATGAAAATGACGGGAAAGAAAAAATGGCAACTTGCATACACATAAAAAATTCTTGAAAACATAAACTTCAACAGCTCAAGCATAGGTAACTAAGTTCTATGAGGAAATTACCATTAATGTGGCATTTTCAAGCCTCAATTTCTCTGAATCCCCTTTCAGTTCTTCTAGTTTAGATTTAAGGGCCATTTTCTCCGTGTTTAACGATTCAAATGTCCTCACCAGTTCCTCATATTCAGCCTGCTTCCTCAACCTAGATCTCCTTGCAGATTCTCTGTTAGCCTGCTTCCTTTTCTCTCGTTTGACCTGCCTTTCATCCTGAGGAAATCAACATGTGTAATGAATAGTGTGAATATAGCATACTACTTCTATGAGTTATCTTAGAATTTGGTGCATCCAAGATGATCCCAAACTCAAAATTACACCAAAGTCAAGAATATAACAATGTTTCAGCAAATAACTGCCCTGCAGAGTCTCAAGATGGGCTCTGTTTCACAGCTAACTCTGGCTCACAAAATTTGAGGAAATTCCAAATCCGTAATCTTTCATCAATCCCATGGTTTCAATTCAAACCAGTAACTGAGTGTTGTTCAAAACAAAAAAATAGAAAAGTATCAAAGGCCGCAATTCTTTTAAACAACTATCCCAACTTGAATACAAATTGAGGTACAAAGGCAAAAGCTTGCAAACAAATAAGTAGTATCAACAACAACAAAAGGTAAACATTTCCTTACCAGAACCATTGCATCAAAAGGCAACCCTGCACCAGCGGAAGGAGCGACAAAAGCTGTGCTAATTCCAATTTTCTCATATGGGGAACGAAGAGATACTCCCAAAAAACCAGCAGGAGGTCCTGTACCAGAAGCATTTGTGGAATTCTCATTCACTTCCCCATTAGTTGTAGGCCTGACTTGAGTATGGACTTTCACATCATTATCTGGTGCCCAGAAGAATAAGAAAACAAATCAGTCAGGATGAAGCATTTGGTTAGGGTTGCATGTCCCAATTTAGGACCATTACAGAATTCCTCGTCCTTCATTCAAGTAAATCAGAAACTATCCCCTTTTCTTTACAAAATTGACAGATGAGGTATGGGCAACAAAAACAAGCCACAAAATTGTTCCCTCCCACAACGAAACTCAGACATCCTGATTAAAAATTCCCACACTACAAACGCAAAGTATCTAATGAGAAATAGGTACCATACCAGCAAATCGCATGCCTCCAGACCCATTGTTCCTTAGAGTGTGGTGGTTGTCTTCCTAATAGATGAAATCCAAGTTTACTTTAACTTCATGCATAAATATCATCTAACCATCACATACAACAAAGGGCCAAAATCCATCACATACAAAGGGCCAAAATCCATCACATATGAGCAGACATAATGAAAGGAAATTCTTACTTTAGTGTTGCCATCACTGCCATCTGTCAAACCATCAATATTTTGTTCCAAACTGCACATGGTCATTGAATCAAAATTTAGATTGGCTACATCCAGAGACAACATCATAAAACTTACTGGAAGCTGCTGCCTGGTGCATAATCTCAAAAGTATATATGTATAAAATAAAATAAAAAGGAAGTACCTTTTTGATGCCTCAAGGACTGGGTGCCCGGTATCCTTGAGACTGTCGTACCCAACTGGCACTGCAGTTCCATCCAATCCCTTCAACTTCTTTTTCACATCTTGGTCCATGTTGTCCAAGGATTTTCTTCTACTTGAAGAAACTGTCACACGCAGCTCAGTGTCAAGTTACTCTTCACAGCTGCATACTCGGAACGAAAAACTGGTGATTTTTTTTCTTGAAAGTTTTTCTAAAAAAGTAAACAAATACTTTGGTAATAAAAAATTTAATCCCCAATTTGGCACACTTCAGCAACTGGGCTTTAACTTATAAACTCATTTAACCAAGTTAATACGTGTCAGAAAACAAACTCGCACCCAAAAAAAAACCTTCATCAACATTTTCATCGGCACATGCGTAAAGAACCTACCATTTTTTCTCTCAGTAATTCATCAACCACATGCCAATTGGTTTTTACTTTAACCATCCATTAAAATAGCTAATCATTTCGACGTGAGGATTTATCAAGCTTTGTTGCTTTCTCGAATATCCTACCAACCAAGGCTACCCTCCAAAAATTGACAAATATTTTCTAATTTTAAATATTTCTTTAAAACTAACGAATAAAAATATGTCATCTTCTACAATTGATTTTGAAGGTTTAAACTTCCCCTATTCAGCATCCGCAAATTCAAATATCCAGAAAGTTTCCACATTTAGGTTCTGAGTCATAAACATAAGCATTTGAAATCCTAACCAAAACATAATAACAAATTCAATGTACCTGAATCTGCTGAAAGAGCAACCGAAACCAAAGAAATGATTCTGAAGGAGCCGAACAAACCCTAACCCTAGCTAGCTCCTTAATTTTCCCGCCTGTACTTTCCTAGCTTACAATTTCGTCGGTAAGAGATTGATGAGATGGAAAACGCTTTTAGCTGGGGGAAATATGTGGTGATGAACAAGACAATGAAGGAGAGAGAGAGAGAGAGAGAGAGGCGAAACGTCAGCCGCGCGGCGGGTTTTGATGTGCTGTGAAACCGGAAGCGTGGAACACCGGTGGTCTGGTCGTGAAATGGGTTAATAGGATTAGCCAAGGTGATACACATGGCACTCTTGCTCTGAACCGTACACGTGTCGAAGAGTGATTAGCTACATTGAAGTCAAGTCAAAAAGCGAGTACGTGGTACGCTGGAAGTTGGCTGATAGTTCTCTTCATGCGACTTTCGTTGTCTGACCCAAAAATATGTTGTACCGGTCAGTTGGACCCGCCAGACAAACCGTTATTCGTACGAAAATCATATAGTCCTTGATTGCACCTAGGGTTCAATTGATTTTTATTTATTTATTTAAAGATTTCAATTGATAAATGTCGATATATTATGCACCTCATAGCTTACAATAAAAGAGTTTATAACATTGTTTTAGTTTACAAAGTGATTATTTATAGGATAGTAATTTACGAGTTTAGTCAAGTAAAGTTCAACTTTAATCCGTTAATTTTGTGTTGCGTCGAGTTCAAGTTATGCGATCATAGGCCTAAAAATTACTATCCTAGATGGATGTAACAAATTATAAGTATTATACTGTAATCACTGTTAAAGTGGGCAGGCTGCACCATCAGAAATGCAACCAATCCTCCACCATGAGTTTCAAGTTTCGCATATCTCCAAGAAGCAAAAGAAAAATATAATTCTATATAATAATTCCTTCACTAGGTTGAAATGTAAAATTAGGGCAATTTAAGAATGATGGTATAATACATATAGAGGTATAATGTATAATACATGATTAAGACTCCTGACTTCCGGTATCGTTGATGAGGAACGTATGATGTCGGCATCCGGAGCTTCTGAGAGAATTCTGATCGGCAGCACATGCATAGAAATAAGTTCTCATATAACCTCTTATTTCAGCATCCATTCTTTTAAGGCTGCTTGAATCAACTTTCAGCAGAAAAATCTCTACACAGCTCCAATCCCGGGTCAGAGAAGGCATTGAAGGCAATGCTGTAAATGAATGGAATTCCCTTTCTGTATGTACTTGTTTGAGTTGTGAGACAAGTTTGATCACACAGCTGTACATATTGCTCCTAAAAATAAAGATAAATAAAACGTGTTACTAAATTCAAGCTCATCCCTTTAAGCTTTAACCATGACTTCTATATTTACATAACAAGAATTTTTTGTAACTTTTATATAATGATTTGTGTATGTGTTCGTAGAAAAAGACCAATATCTGTTCCTGTAAAAGATTTAAAAAAAAAGTGTGTGTTAGAAAAAGACCAACAGACCTGGCAACCAGGAGGAGCAGCAAAACTTGCGTTCATCAATGTGCTTCACATCAAGTCCAATAAACCATGATCCAGCACTAACATCATCATGAGCATATGTACGAAGAATAGACCTGCAAAACCGACACAAATCTATAAACTAAATCCTGCCAGGCTTGTCTGCATGCTAAATACTATTAAAAGTTCTTTTTAAAAACAAGGAGCATGCAGAAGTACCTGTTTATGGATATAAACTGAGCTAATGCTCTAGAAATGGCATAAAATTCACCAGAAGCATGGGTAAAGTATCTGCATTAGACAAGATGTGCAATTTTGAGCCAAGTGAAAAAGTACAGTACTTGAAGATAACAACCTAGCACCTACCATGAGGGGATAATCCTTTAAATACGAGAAATATAGCCAATCAAATATCACATAGAACACTCTAAGGCATTCTTCTTTAGAAGTAGCCACCAGGGAACTTAGGGAAAAACAGTGCATCATCCACTTTCAATGCGTCTTTTTCCCTTTTTTTTAAATAATTTTTTTGTGGGCTACTCTTTCAGTTCATTTCAATTTAAGAGTGTTTTACTTGCCTAACTAACAACCATCTCTTTCAGAGACACACCTTTCCAGCATTCCTTTACTTGTATTCAACAACCCAAGCTCTACTCTATCCCCGCTCTTTTCCTAACCACCATCTTTAACACAGGTTACATACATAATGCCTAAATTTCCACGAGAGAGAGAGAGAGAGAGAGAGAGAGAGAGAGAGAGAGAGATCGTCAACATGGAGTCAAGAAATCTATCTTCTATTCAAGGATATAAATGAAAATGCTCTTTGCTTACGATTTTGCATTGCCAAATTTCCACCAGTCTGGTTCATACCACTTGTGTGTTCTGTATAATTAAGACAATAAAAACAAAACAAAAAAGTTACACCTAATCTTGAATGCCTCATAAGTTTAAAGTTTTCATCAAATAAAGCATGCTTTCCACACTCACGGCTCAGAGAACACTTCGCCTGATTTCATACACCCAATATAGACACGAGGCTTATTCAAATATGCAGTTAGTGTTGCTCCCAGGACATCTGAATCATAATCAAAAGACAACAATTAGCACGCACTTTAAAAATCTGTTTAGGAACTGTTCTGATATGCCTAACAGTCAAACATTGCTTTTCTTATTTTTCAATAAGCCCTTTTATCATGTTATTTGGTTCCACCACAATTATACCTGTAGTGTCCACAGGTAAGCTATTCAGAAGTTAGACGAACAATTACAGCATTTTGCGGCATAATTTTAGCGGTAAAACAATGTCAAACGCCCAAATCTCTAAACTGAAATTACATATTATGCTGCTTTGATTTCTGAGATAGAAAATGACTAGATAACCATATGCTTATGGTGTCATCCAAAAGTATCTTTTGTTTTCTCAAATGGTAAGTGTTATCCAAATTAATTACCTCGGATTAATGTTATGCATGTATAACAGAAAGTGTCAATAGGATTCACTATCTTCTTGATACTGGAAAGAATTGTGTGACTACATACCAATATTAACATAAACATCATCATTGACTTTAACATAAAACTCAGCATCCCAATTTTCTACTGCATGAATATAGAATGACTTCATCTTCTTTGGCCGCTCCTCAGATGCCTCCACTTGACCATCCTGAAAAAAAAAAAAAAAAAAAAAAAAAAACAAAAAAAGAAAGAGAAAGTGACATTTTGATATAACATTATCTGCTCCTATATGTAGCATTCCTTGGGCATGTTGACTAACTGCATATTAAGCAATCACAAATATGATACATGAACATGAGGGCTGTGCAAATTTTGGTTAAGGGCCATGAACAAGATGCAAGAAATAAAAATAAGGAGAGCACAGTGAGCTTATTTTTCCTCAAACCACAATTTAAGGCTATATTGGCTAATTCATCATAACTACAAACTAGCTATCACTTAGAATATGGAACAAGTCAAAAATTAACAGAAACATACTCTGGTAGTCATACGAAGTTAAAGATACACATAATTGTATGTACATAAACACATATATTGATATATGTATATTTTGAAAAATTCACATATAAATCCCACATAATATTGTTAAAACAGTTTCATTCAAATAATTGAACATACAAGAACAATGAAGTCGTTGGTCTGCTCATTTTCTCTGTCTATTTGCCTGTCCAAACTGTCTCCACGATTTGGGCTGCAAGATATACATACTTAACTGAACAGAACTGTAGACAATTCCTTGTCATCATTCTAAATCATTGATATACAGACCTCCTTCCAATTAAAAATCGCACAACAATGCCCTTTTCATCTGCCAATTTCTTTAATGCAGCACCTGCACATATTGTATTCAGATTCATTAACATGGCCACATGAGCAAAGAAGAGCATATCTATTTTTAATGCTGGACCTGCCAACTGATGAAATTGCAAGCAGAGCAAAAGAAACAAACAACGAAATGTTCAATAATTTACCGCTAGGCATCCACGCCTTACGAATTGCATCCCTATTTTTCTTGCGGCCAAATGTTGTAAAAATTCCTATAACAGCTAGAAGCGTCTTCTTAGAATGAGCCCCCTCATTTTTTGACAAGCTCTTTGGAACAAAACCTTCCTGTCTTGCTGCAGCTAGTTGCATCTCAAGAGTGGACAACTGCTTCTGTTGCTCCCTATAAAGTAAATGATCATCATTCATAACAGTAAGTAAGCCCAGGATCATAATGGTCAAATATGACCCCCTCTTACAGAATAGTTTGGATTTATTTACCTGCAAGCTATAATTTTAAGCGTGTCGTCGACAGATATGGCAGATTCTCCCTGAAAAATGATAATGGACAATTATCTGCCCCAGTAAATAATTTCTTTGAATACTTATGAAAGCAGCAGAGGTTGAAATTCTACGCTGATAAACTTTTAAATTTTAATATATTAAAACACAAATTTATTTAACTAAATAAAACCAGAATGGTAAATCCAGAAGAAAACAAAATAAACAAAACCAAAGCATAAAAATACCTGACCACTTCTTTTATCAAGCTCCTGAATCAAATAAACCCTATCCGCAGCATCCTGCCACAGACTACCAACATCACAACCTCATCAGACATTCATCAAAAATCAAACTTTTCGCCAAAAACTCAAAAGTAAAATTCAGAATAGCCTCGGTTACAGCTCAAGAAGACAAAATTCAAAAAATTTGAAATACTCACCGGCCGGCAACATAAATGGCGGCCATGGTGGAAAACATGGCCAGCAAGAGAGCTGAAATTCGAGAGTGAAAAGCCGAACCAGATAGCCGGTTCTGCGATGCCCGGCTATGCATGTTTTTGGTCCAACAAAAAACGAAGAGAGAGCTTGAATGGATTTTGGTGAGTGGTCAGTCAGATCTGGGAGAGTTTTCAGAGCTCGATCAAGCTGTGATTGAGTTTGAAAACTGATAATTGATTTGAACAAGGTTGGAGGAGGGAGGTGGATGAGTGAAGAAGACGTTGTAACCGATTACCATTTGCTCCGAAGTAACGGGATTTTTGCAATTAATTAAATAAGACTAAGATATTACTTAGTTGCAAATATATATATATATATATATATATATATATATATATATATAGTCCCCTTCTATTGAGGGATCCCTCAAATACTTTTATAGTAAATTTAGGTTTTAGCCATAAAAAAATTTTCACTTTTGGAAAAAGCCAAAGCTTTTTTAAAAAAGACAAAAAAACCTCTCAACTTTCAAATCAAAGACATGCCAGTGTAAATAATTTCTTAGGAAATCCAAAAATAAATAAGGACAAATTTGTCCATTTTGACTTCTTTTACAAAATTTCTCTCTCCTTTGGGTTTTTCCAAAGTCTCCCTAATTTTATTTGAGAAACGCCCTTTAAGGTACCCTACAAATTTTTTCCCAATGATCCAAATATCTATTTTTAAGGTCTTCATTCATAGATCATCCTTACAAAAAATTAGACAAATCGGAAACCGTTTCGACATCCAATTGTGTCTTACAAAATCAATGAACACGATACTTCAAGAAAATACTAAAATTTCTATAACTCAAATGAGTTGTCAAATGATATCGGATTCAAGTAATTTTTTGTAGAGATGATCTTTGAATGAATATGTACAAAATAAACGGTTTGGATTAGTGAAATACAATCCGGAACGGGGCCTACAAGAAGTATCCCTCAATGGAAGCTCTCTGTATATATATATATATATATATATATATATATATATAAAGGAAAAGATAGAGACGGTGAATCGTTCAAAATATCTTTGGTTAATTCAAATATTAAGAATTAAAATTATTAATTTAATGAGGATAATATTGTAAATTCATAATTTTTTTCATATAAAAAAAATCAGATAATAGGTTATACTTTTATGGAACATAACTACCTATTCTATTTTTTCTTAATTAAAAAAAAACAAAACAAAACAAAAAACTAAAAAGAAAACTAATTGGCACATGTGTGAACATGTGCCAAAGGGCTAGTATTAGTGCCAGTTTGGCATTGCTTATTTTGGGTGATAAGTGATTTTTAAAAATTTTGGGAAGCACAACCTGTTTGGTAAACTATGATAAAATAACTTATTGTTAAAAATTGTTGTGAGAGAAAGCTATAACCCTTCATTTGGACGAAGAAATTGAAAATGACATAGAATTCTAAATTGACAGAATTTAGATTTCCATCATTTCAATTTATGGCAATTGAAATTTTTAGTGTTTGGATTTATGTATGTCGAATTTTCTAAACGACAGAATTTTATAAATGACACTGTGGAAATTGTGAAATAACTCCTATTTTGGTGAAAATTGAACTCGGAATTTAGATACCCCGATTTCCACGATTTTTTCTGCGTGTCATTTAATAAATTCCGTGCTTAAGTTTCTAAACAAGGGAATTGTCAATTTCTCATCTTAAATTCCTGACTTTTATTTAAATTCCGAGTTATTTTTCATCATTCAAACGGACCATAAGGGAAAGCAGCTAAGGAAGTCCTTTCATTTTCTAATTATGCAGGAATCAGTTTCAAAGAGGCGCTGAGTTTAATGTTATGCGGCAATCATTTTCTGATTATGTGGGAATTAGTACCAACAACACTTTTAACAAAAAGTTTACCAAATGCCAAACTGCTTTCTCTCACAGCAAATCTGACAACGATTATTTTTACAACACATCAATGCCAAACTAGCCCTTAGACTAAACAAACTAATTTTGTATTTACTTAATTACAAAAAAGAAAAACCATTTTGTGTTTTATAGCCGGGCGGCTATACTTTTAAAATATTAAGCATAGCCGCACGGCTATACTACAAAAATATTTGAATACATTTAAAGCGTATAGCCAATCGGCTGTACTTCTGAAGTATTCGAACAGTATAGCCGAGCGGCTATTTAAAAGTACAGCCGCCCGGCTATGCTGTTAACATAATCGAATATTTTTTACGTGTATAGCCGCTCGGCTATATGTTTTAAATATTAATATATTTTTATATTGTAAAAAATACAAAAATAAGACGCTAAATTAAAGAAGATAAATAAGTGACAGCTCAGAGTTAACTAGAAAAAACCAAAATAAAGATCACTCACGCTTATTGACGATGCATATATAAAAGCGGTTGATCTTTTGTCCTCCCAGTTTCTCGTTTATAATTCACGACCGGAGAAAAGGCTCACAGTCACTTGCTCTGCGCGCGAGATAAGAGAGAGAGTCTTCGATCTTCTCCGATTCGATTCAAAGATCAGCGAAAATGAACGACGCAGATGTCTCCAAGCAGATCCAGCAGATGGTGAGGTTCATTCGCCAAGAAGCTGAGGAAAAGGCCAACGAGATCTCCGTCTCTTCTGAAGAAGTACGTTTGCTGATTCTCTCACGACTCTCTTCTTTTTCCCCAATTCTTACTTTTCTTCTAACCCTAAATTTCAATTTAATCTCGATCCGTTTTTGTAATTCGTGCGTAATTAAGTTTCTGTACATATATACGGGTATTTGATTATTTGTGCGAATTTGTGTTGTTATTGTAGGAATTCAACATTGAGAAGTTGCAGCTGGTCGAGGCTGAGAAGAAGAAGATCAGGCAAGAGTACGAGAAGAAAGAGAAGCAAGTCGACGTCCGAAAGAAGATGTATAATTACTTAAACCTTCCTAATTTTGTTTATATTTCTCATTCCAACAAAGTCATATCATTGTTTTTCCCTGATGGGCGAAACAATCATTGAGCATTCTGCTGTTAGAAATATATGGATATGTATCAGTAGTACGGTTTCAAATATCAGTTACTGTTAGGTTGAATTTTGAGTTGGAATTAATAATCGCGGATATTGTGGAATACGATAGTGAGTTTGGAAAGTTGGGAAGTAGTGAAGATGGTGATTTTGTTAACTTTATGGATTTGGTGAATATGTGGGAAATCTTATTGTCATGAGAGGCTTGATGAATTTTAATGTAGCCCAAATTTAGGAGCTTGTATGTAATTGGATTTTGAAAACCATACTTTATGAAGCTAATAGGCTCTAGCTCAAAGGGCGTTGGAGTAGGCGGGGAAGGAGTAGGACGAGGCTCAAATCTTATTGTAAAGAAATCAGACTGTATGTTCAATCAAATTGAGTTCTTTGTTTCTTCGCTGTTGAATTTGGGTTGTTGGAGGATGGGTTCACTAAGGGAAGCTTTTCCTTTCTTGTTTCCCCTATGGCTATGCAAAAATGGCACATATGTGGGTAACTAACAGTTTCTTGTATCGGTTTGTTGCAGTGAGTACTCTATGCAGCTTAATGCTTCTCGTATTAAAGTTCTTCAAGCTCAAGATGATGTGGTTAACTCCATGAAGGAGGCGGCTTCCAAGGAGCTTCTGAATGTGAGCCAAGATCACCATGGTTATAAAAAGCTTCTGAAAGATCTTATCGTTCAGGTTTGTTAAACTTCTTATATGGTATGGTAGATATGGCTAACCTGTCTCACCAGTTTTTATGTGCACCTACATAACTATCATCTAGTGGCAAATTGGCAATGGCTCGAGTTTGAAGTATTATTCATGGTGATGATCCATATCCTTCATTGACAACAGATTACATTTTCTATTCATAACAAATGAGTTTGTGTGATTCCTGACTTCCCGGATGATTTCTAGTTCACTTTAACTTTATGCATGGATAAATTAATAATTACCACTGGTTTACTGAAAAATTATGATTTTGGGACACAGAGTTTGCTCAGGCTGAAGGAGCCTGCTGTTTTGTTACGTTGTCGGAAAGAAGACCTACATCTGGTGGAGGCTGTTTCGGAATCAGCAGCACAGGAATATGCGGACAAAGCAAATGTTCATTCACCAGAGATTATAGTGGACACCACTGTCTTTCTTCCACCTGCTCCTACCCATTTTAATCCCCATATTTCGTCCTGGTACGTTACTTTCTGCCCCACAAATTTTTCAGAAGTTTTCAATTAGGACTTGGATATAATATGGCTTGCTATTTAGCTTCTCAAACAGCTCTCTTTTATATATTGAAAGAAAGTGGAATGTTGGAACTTGCTGATGATAACTTTTGATTGTTCAGTTCTGGAGGTGTAGTGTTGGCTTCTCGAGATGGGAAGATTGTATGTGAGAACACCCTTGATGCACGGTTGGATGTTGTATTCCGTAAAAAGCTTCCAGAGGTATTTTCCTTGCAAAGTATCAGTTTCCTTTTTATAATTAACTTTTCGCCACTGCGATATTAGGCTGCAGGCTGCTTTATTTATGCTCTCAGGAACTGAGCTTGTATTCTTGTTATTGCAGATCCGCAGAAAGCTCTTTGGTCAGGTTGCTGTGTAATGGGATGAATTGTATGGTTTTCTTTTACCCTGAATTATGTGGCCTTTGAGAGATTAAGGACTGGTCATTGACCACCAAAGAATCTATTGTCCAATTATTTGTTTGTGTATTTCCCATTTTGATTGTGGTCCGAATAACTTTTATATATGTGCTCCCAAAATAGCTTTAGCTGTTATGTGCTTTGGTGTTCATATCTCGTCTGGGGCATGACAATGAACTCATTCTTGTTGATGATAATGATTTTAATAAGAGTTTGCAGTTTAGAGTATTTACCGCTTTTTATATCTTGGTACTACCAGATGGTTTTTTAATCTGATGAATCTTAATAATTCTCTTTAAAAGAACAAGTGGGTATGAGATATCACGTGAACTGTCACGTGAACCATTTCTGTATAATTGCATTTTGTATTATTCAATTTTAAAGTATGTCGGTGATCAATGTTTTGTCGTAGACTTCATTATTGTTTCATGGACCATTATCATTACTTGAAATTCCGATCTATGGCAGGTGGCCATCAGCCGTTGATCTATTTTGGCATCCCATTGCATCATTGGCAGCCATCTACACCTACATTTACTAATTAATAAAAAAAAATAAAAATAAAAAAAGGTAGATTCCACATTATAATTCATTCCACGACAGATTCAGGATTCAAAAGAAATTTATATACTAAATTTGACGGTATGAGTAAATTTTATTAATAAACATAAAAAGATACATCTAGTGAGAGAACATAAAGAGTTTTATTTTCAAATGTATTTATATTTATAAATAAAAGTTTAACAAATACCAAAATTAAAATTAGAGGACGTAATCTTGGTTTACGGTAAAGAAAAAAAAATAATTACCATAATATCATCAATGCATTTAATCAAATATCTTAACAACACCATCAACAAATCAAACATCTCAACAAAATTCTTAAAATTAAATACCTACTTAATTTAAATAAAATTCACATATTATAAACCATTCCTAATCAAACCCCAGTAAGATGCATAAAATAATGAAAAAGAAGAGAATGAGAAGAAGGAAAGAGAAAGCGGGGAAAGAAAATGTGAGCTGAGAGCGTTTTTAAAGAAAACTGTAGGCCTTATTTGCCTTAGTGTAACATAGCCCATGTCTTTATATATGATAACAAATATATTTTATTTGGAAGCTGCCCAGTCAAAAGAAGTAGTTGCTGTAGACGTGTAGACAAAAGGAGAGAAGCTGCCCAATTAATATTTTTTTTGGAAATAGATTTCAGCATGTAGTTTTTGTTTTCATTTTTGGTACTCCTATCCTCTCCTCTTATCTTCTTTATCAATTGCATCTTCATTCTCATTCTCACTATTTTTCCTTACGCAAACACAAAATATAAAAACTAAAAACTAAAATCGAAATGATTATCAAATGGATTCTGAATGTTGAAAGCTATAATTCATTTCAGGCACAATAAAAATTACGAGAACAAAACTCCCCAAAATTGATCTCAGGGATGGCAACGGGTCGGGTAGGGGCCGAGTATGACAATACCATCCCCGTTTCCGCTCTCCATCCCTGCCTCCGTCCCCGAACCCATCATTGTTTAATAGGTTTCGGGGAATCCCCATCCCCGTTCCCGTTGGGGGATTATCCCCCATACCCGCCTCGAATCCCTGATTTTTTTTGCATAAAAAATATTTATTATACATTTTAACATTAAGTTTCATATTAAATTACCATTCAAATTAACTATAAAGTTCAACTCAATTATTCAAAATCACATCAATATGAAATTCTAGAAAAGATTAGGAAGAATTAGGAGAGGGAGGTTAACTCAGGATTAAACATAAATATTATAATTATATATTTATTTATTTAAATATAAACATATATATTTTCAGGTCAGTTTCAGGAATGGGGACCCCAATATCATCCCATTCCCATACTCGTTGGAGATTTTTCAAGTTCGGCGATCCTCGTACCCGATACCCGTTTGGCTCTGAAATCTCCCCCCATTAAGGTCGGGGACCCGACAGGGACCGGCCTCTGCGGGGATTTTTGCCATCCTTAAATTGAGAGAGATAAAACTTAATTTTAATTGAATGGTCCACAGTCCAGTTGTATTAGTAAGCTTCGGATTGATCTTGAGCTTAACTAATTTCTTTTTAATCATAAGTAAGCAGCTAAATATGAATGAACCTAACATCGCCATGAATATGGATATGGATGATAAGTGAGGAAATGAGCATGACAAGAACAAAATGGATATGGATCCACCCAAACACAAAATAGAGTCAGCGCTTCAATTCAATCTTCTAAATTTAATTTGTCATTTTAAATAATTTCGTACAAGGACGCAATATGTAATTAAATAATTTTGTTGGGCCTTAACTCGAGCCCGAAATTAAATCGGGCCAGAAGTCTCTACTGAAATCAGCCCAATCCAAGCTCTCATTTTCGGGTCGGATTGAGAAAAGGGTTATAGACAACCTCACGTCTTTCTCAACGTCTTTGATCTCTAGCTGAAAGGGGCAACCGGCAAAGTGAGCAAAGAAGGCTCACCGACTTAAACTGCTCGTTGCCGAGAAACTGAACTCTGGTTGTCTTGTTAAACCGTAAGCAGAAGCTTCACAAACTCCAACTTTGTATTGCTTTATTTGGCTCTGTTCTGTGTTTCATATATATATATATGTTTTTTCCCCCTCCATTTGATGTGTAATTCTAATAGTTTTCTCGCTGTTTTTATGCTTATTATCTGTTGGGTTTGATTCAGCTTTTGAAAATACTCATTCAGTTTTGCGTGCGTCGGTTATTCTTCAGGAAAAGATTGTATTTTGATTGAAGTTCTTAAACTTTGTTTCAATTTAATTGTTGATTTTGAGGTGAAGTGGTGGATGGGCAATCTGGGTTTCTCATTTGAAGCCTATTAAGGCTTATTCTGAATAATTCTGTGCTTTGCATGCTCAAGAGCGTTACATTTTTGTCATTTTCTTCCACTTTCTTAGCAATCAAAGGGAGCATCACTCTGGCTAATGCATTGTTTTCTGTCATTGTCTTTGTCCAACTGTGCAGAGTGTGAAACTTTCAAATAATTTTCTTTTTGGCCTGAAATACTTATGAATGGCGTGGAGAGAGCTTGGCAAAAAGGCAAGTTTTCATTTACCAGTCTCCCATCCGCCCCTGGCCCCCTTTCTATTTGGTTTCATCCCTGCCTTGGTTTGTTTTATAATCTTGTCACTTATTCTTGGTTTAGCATTGAACTCTTGGTATTTGATTTCAGGAAAAAAAGAAAACTCTAAAATTGTAATAGTTGGATAATGGAGAATAACTGTAGTTTTGGTTGGTGTGTGTGTGTGTGTGTGTCTAATATTTATATATTTATATTTCATATATACCATTGGAATCTAGAAGTTTTCATCAGAATTTCTTGTTGCAGGGCATACGTGCCAGTCTAACTACAGATTTAACTTCAAGACTACGAAGACATGGTTTTACTTCTGTATCTACTGTTGATGATATAATAAAATCAATGTCTGCTGCTGTCAGATGCACACCAGGTAAATTAAAATTGCACAAGGAAAACCTTATTATGTGATAATTGCAGTTCAAATGATCTCAATAAAGTCTTAATTTTTGTTCAGTTTATTTTTCATAATTACCATTGTAATTCAGTTTCACTCCATAACTCTCTGATCTTGAATCTACCTCGTTTTGTAATTAATGTGGCTTTTGCTTGCTTTTTGTTTATATTACTTCAACCACACAATTGTACAAGACGATAGTTACATGTTTTGATTTTGAGGGAAAGCAACTACCAAAGTATGGGTGTTTTGTTCACTTGTTACATGTTAGAAATCTTGTTGAGTATTAGCCAAACTTAAGAACTATTCTTTATTTTATTTTTCATCATTGCTCATATCTTAATTTTTGTAGCGTAGATCCCTTGTTTGTGTCACGGAGGTTTGATTTTAATGAAGCATTGACAAAAGAGTCCCTGATACGGTAAGTTGATCTTTCTGTTTCTTTGTGGTTACTTGTTTTATTTGTTTTCATTTCAGTTTGCTAATTTCAACCTTTATGATGAAAAATTTCTTGTTTAGATGCTATCATGCGAGCCCAGAACTGTTTGCTAGAAAAGGAAATGACGAGTCATTTGGTTTAAAAACTCCCAAGAAAGAGAAGTTTGTAAAGAGGGACAGTAAGGCCCAGCCTCCTGTTGAAGCTCCATATGTGCCTCCTAAATCACAAAGAACTACCAAACCTATCTCAGATAAGACGATTGAGATTTTTGAAGGCATGACAGTTGTTGAGCTTGCCAAGCGTACTGGTGAATCAATATCCACTCTGCAAGGTATTCTTACAAATGTTGGGGAAAAGGTTGGCACAGAGTTTGATCCTCTCAGCATGGATGTTGCGGAGTTGATTGCAATGGTATTTCACCTTATCAGCATTAAAATAATATATTAATCTCAGTTAATATTTTATTGTACTTGTTAACAATTGTTAGTTTTCAGTTCTCATCAAATACATTGTACGCATGCTTAGAATTGGATTCACCATTTAAAAGTGTTTTTGGAAAATCTCTGAGACTGAAATATGCTTAAATGGAGAAAACTTGCTTCCAAAGCCATTCTCACTTATTGGTGGTTGGGGGAGGGATGACACGCTGTTTGAAACGGGTGGTTTGTTATATGTTTTGCTTCAAATCATTATTGGGAAAGAATCAAAAGATGTATTCTGTTTTTACAGTTTACAGCACACCAATCAGGTCATGTGACAGTACCCGTAGTTGGTCACTATTTTTATTGTATTTCTGCTTGATGAAAAACAAGTGTAATTTACTTGTCTTAGCTCTTACATACTTAGAACTTTCTACTTGCTGCTCTTTAGCATTGTTTTCCTTGAATGTCATGTGTTTTCATTATGATATGCATTTTGGCAACTTTAGAAACTTGAATGAGCCATCCATTAATCTGTAGGAAGTTGGGATCAACATTAAGAGGCTGCACTCCAATGAAGGTTCAGAAATTCTACCTCGACCTCCAGTTGTAACTGTCATGGGTCATGTTGACCATGGGAAAACTTCGCTTCTAGATGCTCTACGTCAAACATCTGTGGCTGCCAAGGAAGCTGGAGGAATTACTCAACATCTAGGTGCTTTTGTTGTTGGCATGACGTCAGGAGCATCAATTACATTTCTTGACACCCCTGGTCATGCAGCCTTTAGTGCGATGAGGGCAAGAGGGGCTGCTGTCACAGATATAGTTGTTCTAGTTGTAGCTGCTGATGATGGGGTGATGCCTCAAACTCTTGAAGCCATGACCCATGCAAAGGCTGCTAATGTACCGATTGTAGTTGCAATTAATAAATGTGATAAACCAGCTGCTAACCCAGAAAGAATAAGGATCCAGCTTGCTTCTGAGGGTTTGATGCTAGAGGATATGGGTGGAGATGTTCAGGTTGTTGAGGTTTCAGCGATGAAGAAGACTGGATTAGATAACTTGGAGGAGGCTTTGCTTCTCCAGGCTGAAATAATGGATCTGAAAGCTCGAATCGATGGGCCTGCTCATGCTTATGTGGTGGAGGCAAGACTTGATAAGGGGAAGGGTCCATCGGTTACTGCAATAGTGAAAGGAGGGACTTTATTATGTGGGCAGTATGTGGTTGTGGGCTCAGAGTGGGGCAGAATAAGGGCTATTAGGGACATGGCGGGGAAGTTAGTAGAGAAGGCAAGACCTGCAATGCCAATTGAGATTGAAGGGTTGAAGGGACTTCCAAGGGCGGGAGATGATATCGTTGTTGTGGAATCTGAGGAGCGAGCTAGAATGCTTAGTGTGGGGAGGAAAAAGAAATTCGAGAAAGATAGACTTATCAAGATTGTTGAAGAGAGGGCTTCTGAGGAGCAAGATAAAAAGCTTAGTGTGGGGAGTAAAAAGAAATTTGAGAAAGATAGACATATGAAGATTATTGATGAGAGGGCAGAAGCTCAACAACCAGAAGCATCAGAAGAGGAGCCCAAGAGGGTGGAAGTGCCGATAATAGTAAAAGCAGATGTTCAGGGCACCGTCCAAGCTGTTACAGATGCATTACTGAATTTGAATAGTCCTCAGGTATGCCACAAGATTAGAATGGTCGTGTACCTGACTAAATACTTTCTCTGTAGTTACCAATACTGTTCAAATAATTACTTGTTGCTTTGGTTGATGATGCTGTTATGTGCAGTAATCATCATTTTCATCTTTTCCATTTTTAAAAACATTTTCCTTGCTGAAATATTCCACACTCTAAACTTCTCATTGGTTGGCAATACCTGTACTAAATAATGGGGCATTTAAGAAAAGCTTTGTAGTGTTCTCTATGATTCTCTTCATGCTAACTAATCTTGCCAATCTTTGTTCTTGATAATTCTTCGATTCTTTTCCAGGTCTTTGTGAATGTAGTCCATGTTGGTGTTGGACCTATATCTCAGTCTGATTTGGACATGGCAGAAGCCTGTGGTGCATGCATTATTGGATTTAATATAAAAACTCCACCCAGTTCCGTCAGTTTGGCTGCAGCTCGTGCCAGTGTAAAGGTATTGACCTCGTTTTTTTCTCATTATCTTCATTTTGTAAGGTATTATGTGGTTGTATCGTATTGGCGGTCATCTTGGTGGTTTGGTTGGAACGGAAATAGATTTAGGGTTGATTTTTGAGGACCACACTTGTCGCGAAACGAAGGAGCTATGGGATAAAGTTCAATTATGCTCCTCACTATGGGCTTTGACTTCTACAGACTTTATAGATATGTCCTTTAGGAGCTTTTAGCTGGATTGGAATGAAGCCATCTGCTAGCTTTCCAGTCAAAGTTTGTTTTGCTTTGTCTAACCACTATTTCGCTGTTAAGTCTTCTTTTGTGGCCATCTTGGCCACCTTGTTTTATTTTATTTATTTTATTTTTATAATTGTCTTTTTCCAATAAAATTCTGTTACCTTAAAAAAAAAAAAACATTTTAAAATCATCTGAAGGGATGCGCTTTTTCTAATGGTCAATAGGATAGGACTGTCTGTTCTGTATGCATTATTGGGCGTGAGCAGTTGGAGTTGAACTTTTATTTAGTTTAGTATGTAAAGCTGGAAAGATTATTATTTTTTTTTCTTTTCAATTTTGTAGATAATGCTGCATCGTGTGATCTATCACCTTCTGGAGGACATTGGCAATTTTATAGTAGACAAAGCCCCTGGGACTCCTGAGACCAAGGTTGCTGGGGAGGCTGAGGTGCTAAGTATTTTTGAGCTCAAAGGAAGGAGCAAGTCCAAGGGACCTGATGTGAAGATTGCTGGATGTCGGGTGATTGATGGTTTTGTAACTAAATCGGGAATCTTGAGGCTCCTTAGGAGTGGAGAAGTTGTATTTGAAGGATCATGTGAATCGCTCAAGCGGGAGAAACAGGATGTGGACACAGTAAAGAAGGGGAATGAGTGTGGACTGGTAATCCAGAATTACGATGATTTCCGGGTTGGAGACATGGTCCAATGCTTGGAGCAAGTTATTAGGAAGCCCAAGTTCGTTTCGTCAGAGAGTGGTGCTGCTCGAATAGAGTGCTGATCGTTTTCATGTTAGTAATATGTTAAAGTATGACTTTTAATTTTGATTGTTTACCCCCTCATCTCTCGTTTAGTGGATAAAAAATTTTGTGCCGCTACAGTCCCTAAAAGCTGGATTGATGTGGGGTTCATTTGCTCATCCAACTATGTTCTTGAGCAGCTTAGGTTTATTTTTGTAAGCATTCCAATTTTGAGCAGCTTAGGTTTATTATACGACTTATTATGTTGTACCATCGAGGAACCTCTGATAAATGTAACAAAGATTGAGGAAAGTAAAGAATTTATTCAACTCCCTACCTCATCTTCGTGTTTCTTAGTTGTTTAAGAGAAGATTGTTGCTGTTCCTATAAGACAGCATTCCAAATCTCTTTCTGTTTTTGGTTTTTATTTTTAGACTGCAACCAAATCATTTTGCATGCTGAGAAATCAGCTTCTTCATTATTTGACTTTTGGAAAATTCCTGAAAAGCCATTAAACTATTATTATATCTCCACTTGAAAATAACGGGCTGCCTAACCCCGCTAATGGATGCCCTCTAATCTTTTTCTATATTTATATTAATTAATAAAAGAATTAACATAATAAGCAGATATTTTGAGTGTAGGACATGGTTAATATGTCATGATTTTAGGATATATATACACGTATTGTAGGAAGAGTGGATTATACATCACCAGACTGTTTGACTGTCAGAGAAGTTTCAATTTGAGTGCCACGTGTCTAAAAATATGACACAGATACACTGCCAGCTGGTATATCCGATACATGGAATAATGTCTCCTAAATTTTGATTGCGTTGAGCTGCACTTGTGTTATTGCACCACGCATGTTGCATGTGCAATATGCAAATCAAATCGCATTAGTCAATAATTTGTATTTATATAGTCATCTGCTTTTGCTCTAATAATTTATCACACTATATCCCACTTTGGTCTAGTAGCTTTAAATTGTAATTTTTTATATTAGAGAATATCATGAATTTAAATTTCACGCACGACCATCGTTGAATAAAAAAAAGAAAAAAAAGAAAAAAAAAAACTCATGAGTACAAGAAGTCTTAGATTTACAAATAGATGTGTGATGTGAGCTATGATATGAATTGGTGGGTTTTGCACAACTCTTTGAAAGGAATGTCAAAGGAAGTAAAAAGAAGGAAGACAAGCTCTTCTGGTTGTTCAATTTTCTGTTATTATTATTATGTACTTTTCATGCTATTTTACTAGTTGATACATATAGCCTTCATATGCAGACCAGACTGTTTTGCCTCTGCATAGCTGGTTAGTCTTGTTATTTCAAGGGTTAACATGGTTGCAATATCAATTTTTGTTTCAATTCTTGCCTTCTTGGTCGTTGTTATTCTTTGCAGTTCATCTATTTTGTTGATGCTCTTTTTGGGAGGTCAACTTAGAGAGAAGTGGATAGTCTTCAGCAGGGGAGAAGGCGAGGACCTTCAGCAAGGGAAGAGCTTGCAGAAGACAAAGTAGGAGAAGCAATCGTTAAGCTTCAGACATCAGTGTGGTGCCGGCCGAAGGCTTTACGATGCTTAAGTTAGCTGTGAGTGGTAAATTTGGCAGAGTAACATTAAAAGTAAGAGAGAAGTTACCCTTTTTACTTGGGTACTGTTCCTTATTTATAGGAAAGTGAAAGTGAGAGGTTTGCACAAAGTTTCGATATAGGACTTTGTGCAAATTGCTGTGGTAGTGACACGTGTCTTGGAGATTAGGTTCGGCAATTGAGAGCTTCGGCAGTCGGGAGCTTCGGCAGGTGGCTGACACCTTGGAAGAGTGTCTTCCTTCGGCAGGGGAGAAGGCGTGTCTACCTTGGTGCTAGTCGTTTTGAGGCTGGATATGCTCAGTTGATTATGGTGTAAACAGTAGTCCCCCAAGTTCGCGGTCAAGAAGTAACTTCTGGGTTGGGAACTTGTGAGCTTTTGTGTAATCATGACCTAGCATTTCAGACTTGGTGGGAGCCGTAGGGCATTCCCTAGTCTCCCAAGTTGGCAAGCTAGAAGTTGCGTCACCACTTGGAAGGTATGGTAAAAGCTGTGTTAGCCTCTGGGATTGTTGGTAGCTGAGTACATTTGAAAAAAAAAGTAGACTTGGATCTTGAAGCTTCGGCAAGAAAATATGTGGGTCTTAGTGCTTATGACTCGGGTCCTGCCGTTCGGTAACCAAGTGATGGTTTTGGGAAGTAAGGACTTGGGTCCAAAAGGGGTAGGCTGAAGCTTGAAGAAGAACAAGGTGTGGGCTTTGTGCAAAACTCTTCGGTAAACTATTTTTTGAGAGAAAAAATAGACTTGGGCCCTTTTGGCTTCGGCATGGGAGTGAGTCTTGGCCCAAGAAGACTCAGCAAGGATCCCAAAAGGAAGAAAAGGGGCGCAACAGCAAACCCAGGCTTGCTGTTCGACAAGTGTCGATTAGAGAACATCTTGTGAGCCCCTCCCCTCTTCTGCACTGTGCTAGCCGTTCGGCAGGTGTGTGTTTTTTTTTTTTTTTTTTTTTTTTTTTTTTTTTTAGACCTTCGGCAGGTTCCAAAAATTTGGATGTGAGCTCGTAGGACTGTTTCGGTAGGGAGAGGCTGTGAGCTGGGCCTAAATTGAAGTGGGCTTTCGGCATGTGCTTGGAGCAGGCTGCTGGAGCTGGGCTTCGACAAGTCTCATTGACCTAGTTAGTTGCTAGGGTTTTGGGATTGTAAGGAGTAGAAATATCTCCCTATAGCTCTTGCTGTTCGTCAGTTTTGAGTTGGCGTGATTTCGAGTCTGTGATAGGTGTCTTGGTTTGGCTGCAGCACCTGATGGTTTCGGCAAGCAAGGGTCTGAATAGTTGAGCTTTGGTGAATGAGTTTTGCAGAAGAGAAATCAAGATCTCAACCATATTTTGAGCCCCTTCGTGCGACAGAGGTGTCGGAAAGGTGACCAAGGCGGTTTCAAAGGAGGAGGGTCACGGTGTACCGCCTTCCTTCGACAAACTTGCCGATCGGTGCTGGGTCACTTCGGCGACGAAAAAATCATGGGTCTCGGTGAGGCAGTATCGGTTAAGATTGTTTTAAACATTTGTTATTTCCCTGGATCAATTCTTTTGCTATTTAGTGCAGGTCATGGATGCATTGTGTCACGGGTCGCACATAGACAAGTGCTACCATGACTCCGTTGGGACATCTGTGCACTTAAAAGGTAGTCTAAGTGTGGAAGAGCGAGAGCTTAAGAGCTAGAATGGTTGGTGTTGGCTGGGTTGCACTTGTGAAGGGTATTTTGGGTATTTCTGAAGGTTATGGGAGGAACCTGAAGAAGCTAAGAATATCGGGACGTTTGTGATGTTGAGACGCAAGTAACACAACTGACGGTGCGCCATTCGGAGTTCGTATGAGGGAGTTATGCCCAATTATGACCCATCGTGCATAGGTGATGTTCCCTCCTGGCAGAAGGCTAAATGCATAAAATGCTATATAGGGGGTGACATGGTGTCATGCTCTCCACCACCCCTGGTGCTTACACCATTGTGGCACTAAGTGAGCATCCTTATAACATTGGAGGTAGTCATAAGGGCGGGCATAAGATTGTTGAAGGATAATCTGTGTCTCCGAGTGAAAGGAATTCCCGAGGACAGTACGAACACGCGGGGCCATTCGTATTGCGCATCGTTGTAAAGAGTGAGGTCAACGTATGACATTCGCTATGTCATCGGCTAGCGAGGCATTTGACAATACTCGATGAACTTGGCTTGGGTTCGACCTTGTCTAAGATAGAAGGAAGATATTTGGATGCCGGTACGCATGGGTTGCGACCCCATGCAATGCATAGATGGTTATGTGGGACATTCGGAATACATATGTCGCCAAGGCTTGTGCGACATGCAAGTATGACAGCTTGTGTGTTTAGCTTGAGGATGTGGGCTATCGTGGACGCTAAAGGAATGACCGACAGAAGTGTGGGTAAACCGATGGTGTGGGATCGCTATGTCTTGACTTGGACATGATAGACATGAGCGAGCCAGGAGTTAAGCATGCGACGTGGTCGATGCAGTTGACGTGTCTTATGCAACGCTTGATGTATGGGCGTCGAGGGTTCGTTGCCGGATGTGGAGTGATTGTATTGTCACAAGGTAGGCAAAAGGTGATCCAGAAATCCATGATGATGATGCTTTCTACACACCTTTGCAAGGTGAGGAGTCTAATATCAGAGGTGACATCAGTTTAAATGACAATGTAACCCCTTTTGCGAAAGTTGGGTTATTTAGTACAATATCATTTTGGTGGTTGAATCCACTAATGAAGAAAGGTAAGCAAAAGATTCTTGAGAGTGAAGATATTCCACAAGCACGACAGGCTGATCGAGCGCGAACATTGTACTTAATATTTATGGAGCAATTGAACAAAGGAAGGAAGGAAGGAGGTTCATCTCGTATGCCTTCTATTTTGTCCATAATTTTTTACTGCACTGGTCAAGGTTGTCATGCTGAGTAGTAATCCACTGTTTCTCATAGCCTTCATTGAGGTTGCTCAAGGCGATGAAGCTTTTAAATATGAGGGTTATGCGCTGACTCTTGGTCTCTTCATCGTGAAAATAGTGGAGTGACTGTCGGAGAGGCAATGGTACTTTAAAACTAGACTGATAGGCCTCCAAGTAAGATCATTGGTATCTGCAGCAATATATCAGAAGCAGCACCATATCAGATATAGTCCCTGTAGATGTATTGGGGAAGACGGAGGCCAACTCTAACAACTGTCCCATACTTGTATTTCAAAAGGAAATCACCAACTATAAACAATTGAATTCCAGAAAAAAAAAAAAAAAAAAAAACAAGGCCCCAGGCGCTAGGCGCCCGCCTAGGCGGCCTGGGCGGGTCTGGGTGGTTTTTCTTAGATATTTTTTTCCGCCAATCCATCTGCAACTTTTCCAAGAACTTCAAGCACACCATTTTGACAACCCATTTGCATTGTTTCCCGAGAGGCTTCCACCCTGATATAGAGCTTCCCTAGGTTATTCAATTCCCATTGCATCAGCCAATCAGGAATCTTAGAACCAGGGAAGTAATGGAGGTTAAGTTTCACTAAAGGAACAGGAACTGGAGCCGTCATCAATGGAGGCTTTTTGGGAGTGTCATAAAGGCGATTGAATCAGAAAGAAAAAAAATATATATATATATTCGGCATAGGCGCTAGGCGCCCGCCTAGGCGGCCTAGGCGGGTCTGGGTGGTTTTTCTTAGATATTTTTTTTCCGCCAATCCGTCTGCAACTTTTCCAAGAACTTCAAGCGCACCATTTTGACAACCCATTTGCATTGTTTCCCGAGAAGCTTCCACCCCTGATATAGAGCTTCCCTAGTTTATTCAATTCCCATTGCATCAGCCAATCAGGAATCTTAGAACCAGGGAAGTAATGGAGGTTAAGTTTCTCCAAAGGAACAGGAACTGGAGCCATCATCAATGGAGGCTTTTTGGGAGTGTCATAAAGGCGATTGAATCAGAAAGAAAACAAATATATATATATATTCGGCCTAGGCGCTGGGCTCCCGCCTAGGCCGCCTAGGCGGGTTTGCGTGGTTTTTCTTAGATATTTTTTTCCGCCATCATCTGCAACTTTTCCAAGAACTTCAAGCGCACCATTTTGACAACCCATTTGCATTGTTTCCCGAGAGGCTTCCAACCCTGAGATAGAGCTTCCTTAGGTCATTCAATTCCCATTGCATCAGCCAATCAGGAATCTTAGAACCACGGAAGTAATGGAGGTTAAGTTTCACCAAAGGAAGTTTCTCCAAAGGAACAGGAACTGGAGCCATCATCGATGGAGGCTTTTTGGGAGTGTCATAAAGTCTTGACCATGATATAGGTAAAGACTGGAGCTTTTTGAACTTTGCCAAAGAAATGAGCTCTCTTTTTGCAGCATCAGACGTTTTGTTTATGTCCACATGGATAGTATGGATACTCAATTTCCTCAGATTTTCCAAGCCTGACAAATGAGCCAGCTTACAGTAGTTGCCTCCAGGCCTTGGCTCACCAATCACAAACCCTTTAAGCACTTGGAGTTGTGAGAGCAAAGCAAGTCCTTTAGGCATGTGGCTGATCAAGTAACACTCATACATATCCAAGTGTGTCAGGTTCTTAAGCACCGAAGCTGTCTCATATTCTTCAACCCTTTTAAGACCTCACTGTCCTCTACTTGATTCGGATACTTGGCTGAGCTCTCCCATCTCCCAAGCTGCAAAACTGCGATGCATTTCATCTCAGAGAACCATTCAGGTCTAAAAACAAGATTAGGCTCATTGACATTGATTATACTTTGAATAGTCTCCTGTTTACAGAAGACCCTTCTTCTGTTTTTACAAGGCATGCCCTCCTAGAACAAGTAAAATCTTCGGTGGGATTTCCATTGCTATCAAAACTGAAGAATCCAGCTCTCTTTGCAAGCTTGATCACAGCATAAGTCCAAGCTGCAGCTGTCAGTATTTACATGGCTAAGTTTGTTACAATTAAGGTGCAATACAAATTGGCGTAGTTTGGTCTCTAGGATTGGATCGGTATGGCCTAGTTTGTTATAATTAAGGTGCAATTCGTGTTAAAATAAATATTAATTTAATCCAAAATAACCCCAATATTCTAACAATTCGTTTATCAAAATAAAAAGGTGCAATTCAATCAATGGTTCTTTGAATTTAAAACATTTGGCACGAACTACGGTTTGCTTAATTGACCCAAATATATTTGCAGATATACCATGAATATAAGTGCATATATACTGTTTATAGCATTTGGCACGAACTACGGATGGTGGGAGATTCGAACGAGGATGTGGCTGTTTCGCCTTTTCTGTACGACAAGGCTGGTGTTGGTACCAATGACGTTCATGTGGACATCGGACTACTTGGAGGGTGAAATCATGCATGATGTTGCACCACCTTCACATGCAACCCTTGGTGCAATGCGCTAGTGAGTAAAATTCGCAGCCCTTTTGTAACCAAGCCTTGCCATTACACCTTGTCAATCCTAGAGGTTGTTGACGCAGAAAAATGGTTCGGCACTTTCCCGCGCAACTTAGTGATTCGTTTTTCCTTCGGTATGCTATGGCCTCGGTAGGGCGTTATACCTGTAAGATAGCAAACGCATGGTAAGTCATAGGGCACCGGTGTGGTACCGGCCGAAGGCTCTCCGATGCTTAAGTAAGTACGGATTTAGTAAGTTTGAACTACAGATCAATAGGCAGTGTGCCGTGAGTTCTGATTGATTACCTCCAAACTGGGGTAGCTGTCCTCTTTTATAGGCCTTGGGAGGTGTGCAATTTGTTTAGAGTTTCGATGTGGGACTGTGGACATCAATTGTGGGACTGCCACGTGTCCCTGGGGGTGAGGTTGCCCTAATGATGCAACCGGTAGGAATGATACCGAAGATAGCTCGGGTTTGGTCCACGTGTCTGATGTTCATTGGCTGTTCATTTTGGTATAAACAGAGGTCATTACCACTCCTATATGGAATTTGCTGTAATGGATAACTTCTTTTGAGTAAGATATTCATGCATGTATATAGCTATAGGGTTTAGCATATAATGTTAATTAAGGGTACACGTGATATGAATAAATAAAAGAATATAAAGCTTAGGCTATGGTCAGCAGCTGATTTGATTTTCAAAGAACTCTGTGGGGGCAAAAATTACTCTTCAATATATTATCCATTAGCACTCTAACTTGGGGAAGTGAATGACATGGGTTTAGTTAGTGGGACTTATGACCAAGGCCTACCAAGGCAAACATGTCCTATGCCCATGATCAAAGGCTAGCATGTTTTATGCCACATGGTAAAGCCCACGTGATCACCCACTACCATGCCCATGATGGAGTGATTGCGGATCATGGAGAAAACCATGGAACATGGAATTTGAAGCCCAAGACTCAAATGCCTATAAAAGACCAATTAACCTAACAATCTAGAGGGAGGGGAAAATCAGTTACAATTTAGTTCTAACTCTCTTGCGATTACATTCTTACTGATTTGAGTGTCGGAGTGTTTTCTTGCAGGTACCCCCTCCTCCTTTACTAATGGCAATTGAAATGGTGTCCGACTTTTCAACATGGAAATCAAATTATACTTGTTGAAGGACCCGAAATTTCCCGCTCCAACAGTTGAAGCCATCTGTAGGAACCGTACAAAAGTTATATTGAGGAGCAATGGACACTGTATAATCAAATGCTCATTTGTGCTCCAATGGGCACACCAATCCATCGATCCGAACTACAATGGGGGCATGAAGACCCCAAAAAGATAAGAATTTTTGTGCTCTACCTTTTATGGTTTCACTAATTTGTATTAGATTGTGGCAATTTAATATTGCACTTCTTCGTTCCATAATATAAATATAAACTAAGAAAAGGGACCGCCACAATCCTTCAAGGCGCTAGAGTTTTAGTGAAATACGTTTTCACAAATTTCAAGTTGTATGCGGACGTTATCCAAAATTTTTATTGGCGTTGCATATATTCTATAACAAACTTATTGAATTGGGGTGGGGCCCAGCCTAAATCCTTTAAAGGAGGGTGTTTCACTCTCACTTGATTATCTACATAGCATAAAACAAGTAATATAAATCTTTAGTATCAATTATTTAGTAGACAATTTCCTCTAAATTTTTTTCATGATTTTCAAGTTCCCTGTCACATGAAGCATTTCCTAGTTCCTGCTTAAGACGATCAACCTCAGACAACGCAGTGTCTCGGCCGTTTCACAGGCTTCGCAGGTCCCCTAATGCCCTTCAAACTCAACCTCACATTCCTTGACGTGATTCCCGCTGAGCTTGAGGGACGCTATTTTTTCGCATATCTTATCGCTCATTGCTTGGAACCTTGCCATTTAGGTGTTGTGAAGACCAACCATCTACAAAACAGAACAAGAAGAAAATAAATGTTATACAACTAAGAAGCAAGGGCATCACAAACGGACAACATTGGCATACCGCAGTTAGGTAGTGTGATTGATAGCCCCACATCTCCTCATCAATCATGGCCGCGACATCGCTAGGATAGGCCAGACCCGCAAGAAAACATCTGAAGCGCAGGGTTACACCATAGTCCGTCGCTAAGGGTGACTAAACTTCTGTCCAACTTCACAAATGTAGGCCTCCAAACTTCAAGAGGATTAAAATCATTCTCACCCCCTAAGCTAGTATGAGGAGGAACACGAGGGATAGGATCCTGATGAGGGTGCAGGCGAGATGGAGTACTCGAGGCGAACCCGATATTGGGCGAGTTCAAACCCAAAACGACTTGAGGGGTGTGATGAGACTTCTTCCAGGATTGCTCGGGCTCTTTCCCCGATCTCCATTCTTTACTACTCGGGACTGATAGTGAACGTGGCACCGACATGTCTGAATGTTCGGACTCAGATGTGTTGTCCTATACTTTTGAGCTGCTGTGCCTAGCTACCTCAGTCTCCTTCTCTTGAAAACTCGCCTGGATGAGGGACATCGAATCCTCAGTGCAGCAGAGTTCGACGTCGACAAAGCAAATATTCTTGAATAGTTCTACCCCGCGCAAGTTTAGATTAGCCAATATGAATGGGAAATAAATTGTGCTACGACGGGCAGAGGAGATATGGACAAGAGTCTCGGGGTTCGGGAACCGGGTAATATCCTACCCATGACCTATTAAGTTCTCCTTCAACCAAGTGACTCGGTCCTCAGAATAATGTACCTCTTGTTTTGAGGAAGCGCTGCCAAAAGGAAAGGTTAGTTCAACCTGCCAAATCGCATTAGATTATATTTGAAAATGCAAGTGTAAATAATTATACAAGATTTCGGAGCAAACGTCGATGGGATAGGGATGTGAGACATCTTAGGTGCTGCCCAACTTCCAGAAATTAAGATAGGTTGATTTTTCCAATACTTAGTGGAAGTGGGTTTACAAGAAAATAATTTTTTACTAGACCCACTTATAAAATAGAAATAATGACTCACACCCCTAACACAAGCTACATTGTGGAGATAAATGAAATCCTTAAAGCTAAGAGACACACCCTATTTCAACTCAACGGCCAAAAAAGGGGATATGAGGAGATAGGAATTCTGGTTTAGTTGCATGGGGTGAAGACCTAAATAAAACAAAAGCACACTAAAAAGAGGGTGGAGTGAAAACCTAATGTTTTCTAAATGGGTTGGAGAAAGAACTAGGGAGCCCTCAAGGATATTGGCGCCGGTGTACATATCCGCCTTCAAAGGGAGAGGATCGAACCCCACGTTGTCAGGGACACATCCTTTGATGTGAGCCTTGAGGATCTCGTAGCTCGATGGTGCACCATTAGAGTTTGGCCAAATTCCATGCCTCAACGTGAAAATAACAAGATGAAAATAAAACTTACTAGGTGATGACAAGAACGAGAATTCCGTTGTCTGGATTTGACGCTTGCGCTTAGAAACATGTACCAAGACATAAGTAAAGCAAGAGAGAAAAATAGTTTTGCAAACCAGCAACCTAAAATTGAACAATAAATAATTATAATTGAATATGATACCTGTGTTATAAAAATAATCAGATTATGAAAAGTACTACTGAATATTAGGAGTAGAATTGTATTTGCTCTTATGGTGTTTACATTGACAAAATTTCCTCTCAGATAGAACTCACTAACTCTCAGATTTCTCAATCTATTTTCTTCTCTCAACTCAGTATGTTCTCACTTCTCACTTCTTCTCATTACCTCTCGGCTTGCATTCCAAATAAGGAACTAGCCTCCCTTTTATAGTTGAGCAAGGAAGGCTTGAGAAGCCTTCGTATTTCCTCCTATGTTTAGCAACATTATTTGCCCAACATCATCATTTGCCTTTGAATATTATTTTCTTCTTTTCTTTATGTGGGCTCCACCACTTTCTTCATAATACCCCCCTTGGAGACCACATGTCCCTAGATTGGTAGCCTCATTAAAACCTTGCTTGGAAAAACCAAGTGGGAAAAACCTAAGCGAAGGAAAAAAAAGTAAAACTTCATTTGGGACATAAGGGTAATGTTAAATGCACTCATGTTGTCTCGTTAAAACTTTGCTAGGAAAAACCCAGTGGAAAAAACCGAAGTAGAAGGAAAAAGAGTACAACACGCATATGTCATGCTCCCCCTGATTTTGCATGCTCCAATTTGATTACTTGTAGAGTTGACGTAATCGGATGCAATGTGCTAGCTTTTTTGATGTACATTTTAGCAAAGATTTGGTGAAGAGATCTGCCAGTTTATTGCTTGAACAGATTTGTATGACTTTAATTTCTTGACTCTTCTGAAGCTCATGTGTGTAGAAAAACTTTGGTGATATGTGCTTGGTCCTGTCACCCTTGATGTATCCTCCTGTGATCTGAGCAATACAAGTTGCATTGTCCTCATTCAGGATGGTTGGAGTGTCTATTGCTGGGGGTAGGTGTTGTGAAATTATTGCAAGCGCACAATCTGCACAAATAATATAGAAATAAGTAGAGTGTCGTTCCCACGAAGACACTAGAGCATCCGATTTCATTATAACCAATTCCACTTAATTCTTATAGCCAATTAACACTAATTACTATCCATGTTGACAATTGGTTTCTCCTAATTCATTCGATATCCCCTCTTGGGCTCAACCAAAAGTATTCTTAATTAACAACCCATTCTATCTCGAGCAACGGATTTAGAAAACCAAGAACCCATTAAGTTCTATGAGAACCTACAAGAAAACTGCATGAGTCATGTTAATCCCTCTCGGGCACTCATTCAAGACATGACATTTGTTACGAGAAGCAAACACCAAACATCTCATCTCAGTCTCCACTTGGATCATCAAATCAATTAAATATTGTCCCGATATTCAAAGCATTAAGAACAGTAACAAATACTCAACATGGAATAGTAATTAGAAATTAATATAACTATTAAAATTAAGTAGTCATGGTTAGGCTACATAGTAGCCCTAGCAAGAGAAATTAGTTCATGACAAAAGAAAAGATAAACAAGAGAATTGTTGTCATAAAATCGATTTGGCCAATGGATTTGATCTCTAGATTCTCCACAGCAACACCTTCGTAAGCTCCAAAAGCATTGCGACAACAAATTCTTGGCTCTTTTTGATATTTCTTTGGGTGTATGAAAGTTGTATATGGGAAGATATGGTGGAAAAGATGATGGTATGAAGAGATCCTCCATAGAGAGAGCTTAGGATGACCTTATATAGTGTAAAACAACTAAACCCTACTCTTAAAAGGTTTGGAAAAACTCTCATAAAGCAGAACAAAATCCCAAACAATTAAGGAAACAAACTAGGAAAAAATCCTTCTTTGACTTGGAAACACATTAGCCAACTTGCATGCACGTTTTGGGGTCGTTTCACTTCTTAGAAAATTATGGAAAAATGTGAGAAATGTAGCTTTATCTCTAAGCTTTCTAAGAATATATATACACGCCACTAGGAAAAATTGGAAAGGTCTTCAAATCTTCAATCTTCCACAGTAGTGCAGTTCTAACAGGATTTCAACTTAGGCTGTCTTGATTTGCAAGTCTGGAGCATTTGGTTTGGTAGAAAATTATGAAACTTTGATACAATGATCTTCAATGTCTTAGCTTTCTTCTCCAATTGTCCTTGAGCTAAATTAATTCGAAAAGTCGATTTTCAGTCGAAATCCTTCCAAGAGCGCAGAATAGCTGAAAATAAGGAAAGTAAGGTAAATAATACTCTTTTTAATTAACTTTCCCTACAAAAATCAAATAAAAGAGGTATAGAAATATAGGAAATAATACACTTATCAGTAGGACATATGTACTTCAGATGTGATAGATCACCGACCTTAACCAAACGCATTCTCGATTGGCTTCATGGAGGGCAAGTATTTCTGAGTGATTTGAAGATGTGGCTACCAACGTTTGTTTCGTTGAGCGCCATGAGATTGTAGTTCCTCTATATGTAAAAGCATACCCAGTTTGTGAGCGTCCTTGATGTGGATCAGAGAGGTATCTTGCATCAACATATCCAACAATACCCGGGGCATTGGTCGATTCACTGGAATAGAATAAGCCCACGTCTTTTGTCCCACGAAGATATCGTAGAATATGTTTGATGCCGGTCCAATGTCAGCTTGTTGGAGCAGAGCTGTATCTTGCTAACAAATTTACTGAAAATGCTATGTCTGGTCTGGTACATTGTGCTAAGTACAATAAAGCACCTATCACACTAAGGTATGGTACTTATAGACCAAGATCCATTTCATCATCCCCTTTTGGACGATACGGATCATTCTTAGTGTCAAGCGACCGAATGACCATTGGGGTGCTAAGTGGATGGACTTTATCCATGCCATACCGCTTCAATACTTTTTCAGTATAAGTTGATTGATGCACCAAAATACCACTAGCACCTGTGCTAAATCTATAAGCCAAGATAATATTTTGTCTTTCCAAGATCTTTAATCTCAAATTCGCATTTGAGATAATCAGCAGTCTTTTGGAGCTCTTCAGGAGTTCCAATTAGATTCATGTCGTCGACATATATTGCCATTATCGCAAATCTGGACTTTGATTTCTTAATAAACACACATGGGCAAATAGGATCATTTGTGTATCCTTTCTTCAGTAAATACTTACAGAGACGATTGTACCACATTCACCCAGATTGTTTTAGCCAATACAATGATCTTCTCACTTTAATTGAGAACATGTCTCGTGGTTTATTCCTGACTGCTTCAAGTAGCTTAAGCCCTTCTGGGACTTTCATGTATATATATGTATACCAATTCTCTATACAGATATGCAGTAATGACATCCATAAGGCTCATTTCAAGTTTTTCTAAAACCACCAAACTTATTAAGTAACGGAACGTGATTGCATCCATTACTGGAGAGTATGTTTCCTTATAATCAATTTTAGGCCTTTATGAAAAACCTTGCGCATCGAGTTGCTCTTTATACCTTGCAATCTCATTTTTCTCATTGCCCTTTCTTGTAAATACCCATTTGGTAACCTATAGGGTTCACATTGGGTGGAGTTGGAACAATAGGTCCAAAAACACTTATTTTTCCCAAAGAATTTAATTATGCATGGATTGCGTCTTTCCACTTAGGCCAATCCTGTCTCTGTGTGCATTCATCAATGAAGCACGACTCAATATCATAATCTTTTATGATCTCAGTAGCCACTAAAAATGCAAATATATCATCGATTATCATCTTGTTTATATTTCACAATTCATTAGTGGATGTATAATTTATGAAGATATCATGACTTTCAAGTACCGTTGCCACTTCAGGGGCACTTGTCTCACCAAGGACATTTTCCTTTTTAGGAAGTACCTGTGCCTTTTCAAGGGTATTTGAATTATGAATTGTGGGCTCTCTATTTTTTTTCATTTGGATTCATTTTGGCCATCGACTTCCTCTTTTGAGGGACTGAGTCCTTTAAGCCTAGTGGTCGGCCACGCTTCAAGTGTGCAACAGATGAATCATTTGTTGGCACATTGCATTGTCTATTATGGACATCAATCCTTACAGGTGCATTTGCAGCTGGAATATGTGATTTCGTCAACTTTGTTGCATCATTAAATGCATCTGGCATCTGATTTGCAATACTTTGGAGGTGAACAATCCTTCTCACAGTGTTTTCACATTAAGCAGTACGGGGATCAAGATGAGACAAAGTGGGTACATCCTATGATAATTCACGTCGTTCTTCAAGAACGAGTTTGCCTTGTTGTTCTTTAGAAACAGGTTTTTCTCCCATAATAGTGGGAAAATTATCTCATCAAAATGACAATCTGTAAATGGTGCGGTAAAGATATCACCTGTCAGGGGCTCTAGATATATGATGATAGATAGTGAATCAAAACCAAAATAAATTCCAAATCTGTGTTGATGGCCCATCTTAGTACATTGTGGTGATGCAATGGGCACATATACCTCACAACCAAAAACTCTTAAATGTGAAATGTTTGGTTGATTACCCAACACAAGTTGTACTGGAGAATATTGATTGTTGGCAACGGGCCTCAACCGCACAAGTGATGCTGCATGTAAAAGGGCATGTCCCCAAGTAGAAATTAGCAATTTTGTCTTAATTAGCAAAGTGGGAGCTATAAATTGAAGACGCTTAATTAAAGTTTCTACCAAGCCATTTTGATTATAAACATGAGGAACAGGATGTTCAATGTCAATGCCTGGTGACATGCAGTAGTCATAAAATCTGAGATATAAATTCACCAACATTGTCGATTCTGATTGACTTAATGGGATAATCTGGGAATTGGGCTCGTAATTTAATTATCTGAGCCAAGATCCTAGCAAATGCCATATTCCGAGTGGACAAAAGGAAAACACATGACCATCGGGTAGATGCATCCACCAAGACCATAAAGTACCGAAATGGTCCACATGGAGGATGAATAGGCCCACAAATGTCCCCTTGGATTCTCTGTAAAATGATGGGGATTCAATATCAACCTTTGGTTGTGATGGTTTGATCACCAGCTTCCCTTGTGAACAAACTTGGCAAGAGCTGTCACTTGATAACATAATATGTTTTGTCAACAAGGGATGTCCTTTAGAGTTGGTTATAATCCTATGCATCATGGTGGATCCAGGATGACCTAACCGGTCATGCCAAAGCTTAAAAGTATTTGAGTCAATGAACTTCTGGTCCATGACATTATGTGCCTCAATTTGTATAGTTGTATAGTACAACCCTGATGAAAGCGCACAAAGCTTCTCCAGTATACGCTTCTGAGTATCACTGGAGGTAATGCAAAGATATTCCATATTTTCCTCATTTTTTGTTTCAACATGGTAGCCATTCAAATGAATATCTTTGAAACTCAACAGATTCCTTCTGGAGTTAGATGAATATAAAGCATCTTGAATGGACAATATTGTTCCATTTGGTAACATAACTTGGGTTGTTCCTGAGCCTTCAATTAGATATGCAGGACCTGATATGGTTGTTATCTTTGCTTTTGTAAGCATCAAGTTTGAGAAATACTTTCAATCTTGAAGGATTGTATGAGTAGTCGCACTGTCTACAAGACAAATATCTTTGCTAGAGTTCTTATTTTGGGAGCATCCATAATTTATATCCATGTCTTCAAATAAATAAAATAAGTTGAATCAATAAACAATTATTCAATGTAAAGAAAAACATTGCCACTTTTATTGAATTGAAATGAAAATTAAAAACAATACTTTAGATAATACAAATGGTACATAAATGGATTTAGTCTAATTCAGACCCATAAACTTTATTCCCTCTTTCAATAACAAGATCAGAAGCATCCAGATGCGTCATGTCTAACTAGCCTGATATTTCTAATGGGCCATTTGTGGCAGGTGAATATGGTATAGCATGATCAATATAATTTGTCTCCACTTTCCTATCCTTAAGTGAATATTGATAAAGATTTGCCAAATGCTTCAATGTATGGCATGTACACGCCCAATGTCCCTTTGCGCCATATCTGTGACAAGCGCCTTCAACATTTCTAGGCACATGACTTGTCTTCCCTTTCTCCATATTCCGCGATGCATTTTTGCTGATCGTGGATGGATTTCTCCCTATATCTAAGCCATATGAATGGGCACCACGATCTTTTCTATTTCCCTTGCCAACAGCTACGCTTGCCTCCTCGCCCACGTCTGTGGATATTGCCACGAGATGAGATGGCATTCACTTCCTGAGATGTCATCCACTTCCTGAGATGTAGCATTTACTTCAGGAAATGGTGATGAGCCTGTTTGGCGAGATTGGTGGTTTTTCAATAAAAGCTCATTGTTCTACTCGGCTAATAAAAGGCAAGATACTAGTTTTGAGTACTTCGTAAAACCTCCATGCCTATATTGTTGTTGCAGGAGCACATTTGAGGCATGAAAGGTATTGAGAGTTTTCTCGAGCATATCCTCCTCAGAGATATTTTCACCACATAATTTCATTAGGGAGGTGATTCTGTGCATTGCTAAGTTGTACTCAGACACTGACTTGAAATTTTGGAATCTCAAGTGTGTCCACTCATATCTGGCTCTTGGGAGGATCATTGTCTTATGGTGATTGTATCTTTTGCATAAGGCTTTCCACAGAACCAATAGGTCATCGACCGCCACGTATTCGCTTTTCAGCGTTTCATGAATGTGACGACGAAGAAAAGTCATAGCCTTTGCGTTTTCTTTAGGTGATGCATCACTTCCATCTACAATTGTTTTTCCAAGGCTATTGGCACACAGATAGATCTTGGCATCCATGACCTATGATAGATAGTTGTTCCCAGATATGTCTAAGGCAGCAAATTCCAGCTTTATCAAGTTTGCCATCTTCAAAAGAAAATGAGATGTATCAAAATTTGCAATAATCTTCAGGCTTAATATATTTTTGAACTTCAAATTTTAGGTTCGGGATTTGGGACATTAAGCCATTTCTTAACAGGGACTTCAGGTCCTTTAATTGTTCATGTATATTAATTGATAATTTCTTTCATAAAAATAAAGTGCTATAAATAAATTGCTAGTATGAATGATAAACCCGCACCATACTTTAAATAAAAGTAAATGTGCGATAAAGTAAATTGCTTGATGTATGGATGTTAATTCCGCACCATACTTTAAATAAAAGTAAATGTGCGATAGAGTAAATGTGCTGGTATGAGCACTAATTCTACTCCATACTTTTAAATAAAAAATAAAGGAAGTTGTGTGGACGATAAACCCACGCCACACTTTTAAATACATATTGTTGTATGGGTAATAAACCTATACCATACAGTAAATAAAGTAAATGCTGAAGGCAATTGTGTGGACGATGAACCCGTGCCACACTTTTAAATAAATACTGTTGTATGGGTAACAAACCTACACCATACAGTAAATAAGGTAAATGCGGGGATAAAACCACCACTTAATATATATGAAATATATGACATATTATATATTGTGGGCAATATAACTGCGCCACTATTCAAGATATAATAAGATAGGTTTTAAGATCACACCATCATTTTGTTATGATAATATGTGTTGCAACGTGATGGGTAATGAAATTACACCACCATAAAATAACAGGATATGGTATAAAACCGCACCATTCCAAATTACAGTACAAAAAAATAAATTAAACAAACATGGAAGAAACAACATAAAAATTGTGAGAATACAAAAAATAAAGTTTGCATGTCGTCGTAGTAGTAAAGTGAGAGGAGACATATGACAGAGAGGAGACACAGAAATAACCACATAGTGTTGAGCTGGGAAAATTTAGAAGTAAAGAGGAGAGACTATCATGTTGATAACTTGTTATAAAAAATTATCAGAGTATGAAAAGTACCACTGAATATTGGGAGTAGAATTGTATTTGCTCTTGTGGTGTTTACATTGACAGAATTTCCTCTAAGATAGACTCACTAACTCTCAAATTTCTCACTCTCTTTTCTTCTCTCAACTCAGTATGTTCTCACTTCTCACTTCTTCTCACTACATTTCATCTTGCATTCTAAATAAGGAACTAGCCTCCCTTTTATAGTTGAGCAAGGAAGGCTTGAGAAGCCTTTGTATTTCCTCCTAATTCTAGCAACATTATTTGCCTAACATCATCACTTTCCTTTTGAATATTATTTTCTTTTTTTCTTTATATGGGCTCCACCACTTTCCTTACAACAACTGTTTCTTTCCTACACCACCCATGCCAAAAAGCTTGTTGGCAGCCCTCCTCCTTTTGAGTTTAACTATATCACTCCAAATAGCCTTACTCATTCTGTCATTGAAAACAGTATCATCAGTATGTATGAAGCAAAGTAGGGAAGGAAGGAAGTAGGTAGAAAACAGTAAGTAAGGAGGAGATTGAAGAAACGTAAAACATTATCTATCTAACAAATATACTGTAATTAAAACGTACCAATTCGCATAGGAGAATTTCATTATAAAAAAAATAATTCGCAGAGGAGAAAATGAGAGATGTAGAGGAGGAGGAAATCTCGAGTTAGTGATAACCCAACCCTTATAAGCTAGCTTTTTTTAATTTATTATATCCCTTTTCTGTACCATTAAATATAAGGGAGTTTCACTAAAACACCCAAAATGGGGGCTGAAATTATAAAAAAACCCAACACCCAAAACACTTTATAAACACACCCAAAACACATCATTACACACACTCAAAACCCATTTATAAACACACCCAAAAAATATACAATTGTTGATTTTGGGGTTGATTTTGGGTGTGTTTCTATGTTTAAATAGTGCTTGGATTTTTTTATAAATACATGTCTAGAATTGGGTTTATTTATAAATTTGTATTAAATAATCTCATCTATCACTTTTTTCTCCCATTGTTAATCCTTTTTCTTTTAGGTGAAAGGCCCGTGTAACTCATATATTCTAAACAATGACGCACCCATTTTATAATCTCCAACCAAAACCCATATTTAAAATAGGCTACCATTTATTCTATTATTTTTAACTATTTTACAATTGATGCCATCCAACTATATATGGGCATTAAAACGTAAAGTTTACCATCTTAATTAGTATGAATGTGTCAAAAAATAAATTTGTAATGGACTTAATTCAATACTAATGCCAACCATGAAATCTGTAGTAGACGTAAGTAGTAATTACATATACATGCAATAGCAATACACCTACAGAAATAAGATCATAATACACTTACCGCATACAAAAGATTCCACTAATTTACCTATAGTAATTTGTAGGTATTCTTAGGTTAATTTACCTGCAGTAAAAAATTATGTTTTGTAGTAGAAGTAATAGGTGCGTTATTTTTTCAAAATAAAACTATATGTACATTATTATATTTATAAAACAATAATATAATAGATAATTAATCACGTATACTTCTTAAATAAATAAATAAAACAGTTTTTTTGTTAAATAAACCGAATAGGTATGTTAAATATGAATTTATTGTTAAATTTAGAAAAAATTTCCAAATTAATTCCTACATGAATTTGGAGATCTTTTCAAATTCAAGTGTGTCATTAGTTACAATCCAATTAAAAATTATTTTTTTATATTGGTTCCTACATTAATATAAAAATGTGATAAGGCTTAGTTATTTTAGGAATAAAAAAAGTACAATAAATTCGATTTTGCACTTGATTAGGTAATTTGCTGAGTTGGATCCTAGTCACTGGATTTTATTTAGAAAAAACTGAATTTTATTCAAACAAAAATAAAGAGATAGGTTGTAGTTGGGGAAAAATGACTTTCAAGGAGTTAAGCTAAATTTACCATTCTATTATATTATAAACAACATTGTACCATTCATGAAAAACAAAAATCTCCACAGAGAGAGAGAGAAGAAGAAAAGAAAAAAAAAAAAACAAGAGAAGAAGCAAAAAAGCAAGAAAAAAAAAACTTGGGCATTTCCCAACCTGCTGCGTTGCTGGCAAAACGGTTGCCTTAGGCCAGACACAAGCACAACTCAACTTTGTCCTTTGTGAGGGGGAGAGAGAGAGAGAGAGTAGCTGTCTGGGTTAGTAGAAGAAGAAGGGGAGGAGGAGGTTGGTTCTGTGGGGTGCCAAATATCTGAAGTTGAAGATGAGATGAAAACCTCAGAGGGTGATAATTTATAGGGGCTTTTCAATATAGAGAGGTTTGGTTTGGTGGGTGTGGGGTTTGATTTTGTGTTGAACTTGAATGTTAGTTGGCTATAGACAACATACCAATTGTTCACTCACGGGACTCACACAAAAAGAAAAAGAAAAAAAGCCTGAAGAAAGTGGAAGAAGTGACCATTCGACTTTGATTTTATCAGCTCCGTCTTGAGCATCTCATGCATTAGTCATATTGATTCCTTTATCAGCAATGTCCTTTTGATTCCTTTGATACATCATAATAAAACATACATAATAGAATAAGCGAAGCTTATGCATGAATCTAATTAATGAAAATACAAATATAGAACATAAAAACAATAACATAATGATATGAATTTGAAATACTCAAAATATATTGATAACCTGAAAATAGGCTTATGAGAATGTTGGCTTACAAAGATTGAAAGCTAGCTCTCGAGTTCCTATTGTTGTTCTTCAGATCATTGTTTTTGAAAGAACATTTAAACTGAGAAACTAAAATTTCGCTCTTTTACATTTTGAAGACCACTGAGGCTGAAGCCGTCTTAAATAAAAGAAAAGCAAACTCAACTATGATTACATAACTAGGGTAAAGTAACTTGAGTAGTGGATTTCTTTAACACGGGAAAAGAGACTGCAGCTACAACTCAGAGAATCTACTTTTACTAATTCAACTTTCAATTTTGTCTTCTGCTTTTTTCTTTAACTCATGCTTTTACTAGCCACCTTTTGCTTTTACTCAGGGGAATCTCATAATGAAGCATTTGCTTTAGTCTGAATTTAGGTCATAAGTTGGGTAGTCATCATTGGGGTCTTGACCATGAGGATAATCAGACCATCTTAAAGGGCAATCAGGACTTTTTTTACTAGAGGAGAGAGGGCGACAGCTGGAGGACGACTGAGACTCATTGTCTTCATCATCATTCACTTGAGAGGCTTGGAGCATCAATTGTCGTGCAATATCTTGGAGCTCAGCTTTAGACTTTCCTTCAACAGAGAGTGAGGTCTGAGAAGATTGAGAAGAGGAGGACTTCTGCTTAGGCAACTGAGGTGCAGTAACTCGAGGAAAATCTCTATAAACATACTCAGCAATTCGGGGAACCTCAAAGCGATCCCACCACTTAACGGAAAATTGGCGAGAGAAGGTTCTTGTCTCCCAATTAACTGCATAATGCCACTTTAATATCCAAGGAATTTTATAACGGGCAATAAAATGTTGGGAACTTGGAAAAAATAAATCACGCTAAGAAAACTTATATTTTTTAGCAAAATAGGTAATTAACTCAGTAACTTGAGATGGTAATATTTCAGATTTAGGACCATGAGTATCCCACCAATAGAGGAACCAATAGGGAAACTCACTGTGAAATTTGCTATCAAAGTTTATAAACCAGGAATGGGAAAAGTCAGCTGTTTGGTGCAAGAAAATATAATACCAGGACTCAATGTAATCAGTATAATTATATTGAAATTTAGATGGAAGGGTGCGTAACTCATAGGGATGTGCTCCCCAGCTTTTTTGGCTCAGGATTTGATGAATGTAAAGGGAATGATAAAGGATTTTTTGAGGATCCTGTTTATCACGGATAGGCTTAATGTCAACTGATTGGGTCTCATGGAGGATTTCTCTATAAAATTTTAGGGACTTATAAGGACTTTGTGGCAGGAAATGAAAACCACTGGGGAAATGCTCTTTGGCAATCATGGCAGGACTCATTATTTCAGGAATATGAGGCTCAATTATAAAAAGATTAGAGCTACTTTTGGGAACATAAGGAGAAGACTTAGGGTAGGAAGAGATGGGAGTAGCAGTTGAAGAAAGCTGAAAGGGATCATAACTGAAAACTAAAACAGACTGATAATTTGGGCGAAATTGGCCAACTGTGGTACCTAAGGGACTATAGCGATTAACAACTGGGATTGGAGAAAAACCAGGATAAGGAACAATTGAGGAGGGTGACTCAAACTTAGGGAGAGAAGAGCAACTAGACTCAGTTTTGACTGTCTTTTGACTTATTGATGCAGGGAGGATTCTGGGCAACTGGGAAGGTTGGTTTTGATTCTCTTTTTGTTTATCTTTTCTGCTGGTCATTGCTTATCCTGCAAAAATTCTATAGTAAGAAAATCAAGAACAGAATTCTCACTTCCTCTCAGATATTCAATTTCAAAATAAAAAAGGCTTAAAATAGCTTGCCAACTTGCAAAAATTTGCTTTGATGCAATATTTTGAACATCTTTTTCTGATATATGCTTAGCAGATTTACAATCAACTCTGACTAAAAATTTTTGATTTAATAAATCATCTTGGAATTTAGTAATGCATAATACAATAGCTAGCATTTCCTTTTTTATAATACTATAATTAGATTGCGACTGGGTCCAAATACCGGAATAGAAGCGAACAATTTGCTCAGAAGGAGTAGAAGTAGTTTTTAGCTTAAGAATCCCACCATATCCTATCTCAGAAGCATCTGTTTCAACTATTTTAAAGGAATATGTTGTAGGAATGCCAAGACAAGGAAGCGTCTTAACATGACTCTTGATTTGTTTGACTATCTCAGTATGAATGGATGACCAAGGAAGAGGATTACTCTGTAATCTGTCAAACAAAGGCTTACACAATTTTCTCAGATTTTGATAGAAGTCAGAAACATAATTAAGAGAACCTAAAAATCTTTGCAACTGATTTTTGTCAATTATTTGATCAGGGAACTTATCTGCAAATTGGATAACTCTATCGATTGGACGGATCTGCGACTGATTAATATTAAAGCCAAGGAATCTAATATTGGTTTGGAATAGCTTAATCTTAGGGGCAGATACGACTAATCCATTTGACTTGACTATTTGGAAAAATTTACGCAGGTGCTTCCAATGTTGTTCTATAGATTGGGAGAAAATAAGAACATCATCAATATAAACAATAGAGAAATGACTATAAGGATTAAAAATCTCATTCATTATATTTTGAAACTCACTAGGCGCATTCTTAAGACGAAAAGGCATAACATTCCATTCGTAATGACCAAAGGGAGTAACAAAAGCAGTTTTGTATCTGTCAGACTCAGTGATTTGGATTTGCCACAACCCACTCTTCATATCAAATTTAGAGAAGATAACAGCTTTGCTTAAGTGATTAATTAAATCTCTTTTATTAGGAATAGGGTATCTAATCCATTCTAACACAATATTAAGTGGTTTATAGTTAATGACTAATCTTGGAGAACCTCTTTCTAACTCAGCATTCTTTTGGACATAAAAAGCAGGACATGACCATGGTGACTTGCTTTTTCTAATTATGTTTTTTTTGTAATAACTCATTAATCTCTGTTTTGCAAAATTCCATAATTTCTTGACTCATCTGGATTGGTTGAGCTTTAGTAGGGATATTTTTCTCAGAAAAATTCTTAACATAAGGTAAACTTACAACATGATTTTTTCTATGCCAAAAAGCAGTGGGTAGATCTGAACATATTTCAGATACTAATTTTTTCTCAAATTCTAAGACCTGTTGTTGGAAAGACGGGCTACTTAGTTGAGACTCAATTCTCTTAGTTTTTACTTCTTCTTGAAGGTGGCAGACTTGGCTACTTTTGTCTTTTATTAAAGTAATTGTCTTGGCAATATCATTTTTCTGTAAAGATTTTAACTTATGTAACTCGGGTTTGGTTAAAAATTCAAATTTAACTTTCTCACCTAAATGACTTGATACCACACCATCAAATTCAACTTGAAAAGGGTAAAGAAGGCTTATAAAAGGTAATCCTAGAATGACTTTATCAGTTATATTTTTAATTAAAACAAAAGAAGTTTTAAAACAAATTTTATTCTGACAAACATGGGCTTTTGGGATCTCATAGCTTAATTGAAGTAACTTTCCTGAAGCGGTACTTAAGGATTCTCTAGATTTCTGACAAACATGGATTCAGGGTCATTAACTGAAGTTTCAATCTCACTAGACTCAGAATTGCGTATCTCAAGGACTTTAATTAAATTGGCTTTTTCCTCATCTGTTATTTTTAATTGTCGGATAGCATCTTTTACCTCACACTTATTAGCATAGTGACTGAACTTTTGACATTTGTAGCATCTTACTTTTCTTTTATCAATACTTTTCTTAAAGTGATGATTATCTTTTGGCACTTTTGACCAATTTTTCTTAGGGTGAGACTTTCTTTTCCTATAGAATTCATTATTCTCATTATTATGTTGGAAGAATTGTTTCTTTCTATTATAATGTCTTTTCTTACGGATATGACTAGGGTAATTGGACTTGTTTTTTCTGAAAGGAGGGATAGCAATTAAACCATATTGTTCATAGAAATTTCCTAACTCATATTTAGCATATTTTCTTTCAGATTGAATTTGTCTACTTATTTTCATATCGATACACATTTTCATACCTTCTTGATTAATCGTACTAATTATATTACCATAAGTTAAATTATCATAATCTATGTGCCCTAACTCATTACTTAAGACTGTTCGAATTTTGTGGGCGAATAAATTTGGTAATCCATTAATAAATTTTTCTTTCCAAAAAGCTTGATTACTATCTTCTCGTAGCATTACTCGGGAAATAAAAACATCTTTATACCATCTAAAATCACTTAATTGAGGACATCTTAAATTACTTAGTTGATCATGTATCCTAGCTTGGGTATGACTTGGTGTTCCTATGAAATGATCAACTATTGTGTAAAGGAGGGTATTGACTCCGTCTTCTACACTGTGGCCTATATTCTCATCAAATATGGGGAGACCTTCTTCATTAAGTTTGATAGCATGTATTATATTTCTTCTAGACTCATCAGTTAAGTGTTTATCCCACCAGGAACGTAAGGTTCCAGTAAAACCGGTTTCTAATAAAGGGACTATCTCAGATTGGCGAAGATTATGATTAGTGATATAACTATTGGCTACCATAGACATATGAGTTAATTTGTTCATTATTTCTTGCTTAGACAAACCGTCTATATTACACTCATACAACTTATCAGAAGAAATAGAAAACTGACTTAAATTATTTCTTTCTTCAAATTGGATATCAGGTGGTGTAGGCTTAGGATACCAGTTTTTAGTTAAGCTAGTGGGGTTAACCCTATTAGTTAATCTTTTTACTTTTAACTCATATTCTAATACTAAATTTTGAACACATTTTCAATTTTTGAAATATTACTAGACTCAATAGTTTCTATACTTTCGTCTGAATCAGTGCCTGACTGGGCAATCAAGGCTGAGGAAGATCCTAAGACTTTAAGGCCAGATTTCTCAGGTTTGACAGGAGTTAACTGCTCAAGCATACCTTCTATCTTTTTCATAGTGGAAGATGTCTTAAGTGAGTGTATGGGCTGTAAATCTTGAAATTGAATTAAAGGTTTTTCTTTTGACTTAAGTTTAGGTTTAGGAGGAAGAAGCTTGTCAACTTTGGTTTCTATTTTATCTAATTGTTTTCCTATGACAACTAAGCTTTGGTTGGCATAATTATTTTGTTCAATCAATTTCTTATTTTTGTCATCTGTTTGATCGGTAATTTTAAAAGGACTGGCAACAACTCTTGACGTTCCATGGTTGATAAGAATGGTTTCTACAGGGGGATGGCTAGAGACAACTTCAGATTGGTCTACTTTTACCCATTTTTCTTTTGTTAAGGTTTTTAACTCATTCGAAATATAACGGCTTTCTACAAAATCAAGATAATAAATTTCAACTTTAGCAGACCGCATATAGTCTTTCCAATCATTAAAAATTTCTTGTCTTTTGTGTTTGTCTGGGACAACTATGTGATAATTATTTCTCCTAGTCTCATTGTTGGGGTCGTAAAGGTGCTTATCTAAGGATTTCCAATTAATTTTAAAGCGGTTGGATTTCGTAAGAACTCTTAATTGATCATCTATGACATAAGCATTGGCCTCACTTGCTATGAAGTCTGTCTGTGTGCGAGAAGTAGGAGGAGACTCAGGTTTTGGGCTTGTATTGCGTTTTTGGAGCCCAAGATGACCTCAGATGGGTTCGTGGCCTTCTGGAGAAGTGTTTGGAATATTTTTATCTTTAAAACGAACTATCTTGGGCCAGATTTGGAGGAGATTTGAGACCAAAACGTGGCTGGGCAGATTGTGGCAGATTCTCCTAATCCAATTTGGACTTTATTTCCTAGTCTTACTTTATTTTAACTTAGTTTCCTTGTGGGGATTGGGTAGCTAGGTTTTAGGAGGTATTTAAGTTCCTTTCACAGCAATTTAAAGGACCTCATTTTTGACTTCTTTTTGGCTTTGGGAGCAATTGCTAGGGTTTGGATTTTTGCTACTTTCAGGTGTTTTCATTCTTATTCATTCGAATGATATTTTCTTGGATTTCAATTATGATTATGTGTAACTAATTTCTTTTGCTAGGGTGAGGCCGTAAGCCTTAGCATGAATATGTAGTTTTATTAATTTGCTTATGAATAGATGCATGTTTGCTTTGAATTATTAATCACTGTGTTTAAAACTATCTATCTATTTTAATGACTGATCACCATTAGGATATGTAGACAAGTAATTTGATGCAATTTCTGTTGGAACATCAACCTGAAATTGAGGAGGGCTTCTTGTGATTAGTAATTGTAAGTTCACTTAAGGCGAACATCACGCTCTTAAGGGTTGCATGGTTTTTCAAAGGGTTTTCACAAAGCTTAATGAGTCTTGCATGTTTATATTTGATCTGAACATCACAGACGGATTGCATGTTAGATATACGTTTTCGCTTGAACATCACAAGGAAAATATGCATTAGGAAAACCTAACCTTCAAAGCATATATGTGGAAATTCATAAGTAATTGATAGAATTGCATAGGATTGCGACGGTGTTGGCTAAACCCTAGTTTTCTTTAAATTGTTAGTCTTTAAAAAGAAATCGTTTTTCTTCTTTGCTGTTATTATTTCCCAACTTTCAGATTTCTTTTACTGTTAGTTTAATCTTTTCAAATTCATAAACTTCAAATCTTTTATAAAATCTATTTTAGTTATTAATTAAGAGTTAGTTTAATTACAGATTAATCAAACAATCTTTGGGGACAACGACCTTGCATGAGCATTTATACTACAATTACCTTGTATTCTTGCAAGTATTTTCAGTGATTTTAACCCTGTTTGCGCAGGTACTAAAAATCCTATCAGGATTCATTTATGTTTTGTTTGTTACTAATAGATAGGGTGAATTATTAGGGTTTCTATGGTTTGTCTCATATATAGTAAGTGTTCATTTTTTTTTTTTTTTTTTTTTTTTTTTTTTTTCTCTAGACAAAAACCATTCATGAAAAAACAAAATCCTCCATAAGAGAGAAGGGTCCACCACCAAAAGATACAAATGCACATACACTGCTGGGTGTTTAATTTCCACGACAAACGTGACTTGTGGTAAATTTCATACACCATAAACCAAAAAAAACCAAAAAGCAACCAGATAAGAAAAAAAATATGCAAGAATTTTTTTATATAAAAAACTTGGGCATTTCCCAACCTGCTGCGTTGCTCACGGGATTCAAAACACAATGTGTGAAAGAAAAAGCCTGAAGAAAGTGAGAGAAAGCCTTTGAAGAAACTGGAAGAAGAAGTGACTAGTCTAGTCGACTTTGATTTTGTAGAGTCTCAGTCCTCTATCCTTTAGATTCCTTTGATTTGTTGGTGTCTATTAATTTGATGTGTTTAGAGGAAATTTATAGCTCGTATCACATATGTATGAGACTCAACTATATACAGATTTTTTCCTAAGCGGATGTCTGGACATTATTGCCGTGCAGACGCCATTATTTTATACTATCTGTCCCTAGTGGTGGAGGTAGAGTTAGATGTTTGGGGGGCGCACAAGCTTAAAATTATGAGTTTTTGTGGAATTTATACCTATACTCTCTATACAATCAAAGAGGTGAGAAGATGGTAGGAGGGCCCAGGCCATCTCAGGCCTGTGAATAGCTCTGCCTCCGTCCATCCTTGCTTTCATCTCTGTTTACAATGGTGTCCGTAAGGTAATACCGTCGAGATGTTCATAAGAGAAGAACTTATATATATATATATATATATATGCAAAATGTCATTTTTGGTCCCTGCAGTTTGCCACTTTTACCACTTTGGTCCCTATCGTTTCAATTTGATCAATTTTGTCTTTGTAGTTTCTAATTCGAGCAATTCAAATACAATCATGAAATTCTGTCAAATGTCTCTAACTTCCGTTAATTTTTTGTCACGTGCCCCTCATTGTATGAAGAATCCAAATTCTTTACTTCGGTTTTTGTTTTGTTAGGTACTATTGGATATGGTGTGAATTATTAGGGCCTGTTCGGTAATGTTTTTAGAGCCCGTTTTTACTTTTGTTAATTTATATATTTTTCATTGTTTATAATGATTTCAGCCTTTTAAAAAAAAAAAAATTATACATTTTTCATTGTTTATGTTACTGGACACGTTTTCACTATTTTTGTTTTCTAAGACTGTATTCTAATTAAGCTACCAAACACATTCTCAAATCCTGAAAATGCAAATTAGTTTTTTTTGTTTTCATTCTTTGAAAATATTCTCAGAAAACATTACCTGAAGGCCTTAGGCTTTCTCATTAAGTACGTACAATTGTATATTAATTTGTAATGTGAATGAAACCCATCTCAACAAGTACCTTAACAAAAAAAAATATTTGTCTTTTTCGGCAAAATTCTCCGAGAAAGGTCTATTAAAAAATTTGTCAGGAAAGAGCAGAATGTGCAGGGAAAGGTTTATCCCAGCGCAGAATTGTCAGGAAAGCTATCCCGTCCAAACTTTGTCGAGACAAATCTCTCTCGACGATAACCTTGTCCGGAAAGAACAAATTTCTCCTAGAAGGATTTATCCTGGCGAAAAGTTGTTGGGAAATGTCCATCCAGTCGAAAATTTATCGAGACATAACTTTCCCAAAGAAATGTGTGGGGAAACATTTTACCCGACAAAACTTTGTCAGGAAAGAACCAAAGTCTCTGGGAAATATCTTTTCCGACGAAAAATGCGCCGACATAGTTTTCGTACCCAGTAGTTTCGAGCATTGTATTGGACGTAGTGTACCTTTCGACGGGAAAAGGGCTCTATTTGTCGAGATAAATTTTGTTGCGAAAGACATCCTTGTTTTTTATTTCTAGTGGCTGCCCATCAAATTCCTTCATTGCGAAAGAAAGTTCTTAAAAAAAATAAAATAACATAATGATAATTAATAATTGTTTTTTTTTTGTTTTTTTTTGGTCAAACTGGAAATGCATTACCAGGGTAAAAGCCAAAGATACAAAGCTAGAGTCCAAAGCTAGAGGACAACAGCAACTAGGAAAGCAGGACATACAAGAACAAGACTAGGGGAAAAAACAGGTAGGAGACGACCCAACCAACCGGTGGTGGCATCGTCAAGTTCCTCTCTAGTCTCAAACTACTATTGGGGTGGACAAGGTAACCCGTCCTTATTAAGAATTCCTACCAGCGAGGATGGGGGTCTATTGACCCAAAACGATGGGCTCATCCTCGACGATGCTAACCTGGCCAAGTGGTCTGCTGCTAGGTTTGCGGTTCTGGGAACCCAAGACCACCTGCACTCCCTGAAATCTGCCTGGTACTCGTTGATCAAGGTGAGCACCGGATATACCTGCCACCTGCCTCTTGAAATGGACCGTTGAAGAGCATTGATAATCTCCTTACAATCTGATTCAATTACGATGTGATCACAATCCTGTTGCTTGGCAAATTTGCACCCCTCCAACACAGCCAAAGCTTCAGTAATCAAGGAGGAATCAGCCATAATTGGAAGAGCCCCACCTGCCACAAACTCCCCTGAAGTACTGCGAAGAACAATTCCCACCCCTGCCTGATGAACATTAGATCTCCAAGAAGCATCAACATTTACCTTGATGATATTCCTTGGGGGAGGAGACCACCGTTGGGGTGGTTTATGAACTTGAGGAGCACCATTTCGACGTTGATAGATGGACCGTTGAACCTCCAAAAATTCGCCACAAGAGGATTGGATTGCCCTTATAACTGAAAGGGGATGCGGGGCCTTATGCTCCGTAACGGCTTTGCAACGGGCTTTCCAAATGTGCCAACAAGTGTGGGCAATAATAGTACTCAACCATTCTCGATCGGACACACTTAGGTGGCGTTTGGCAGCGCTTAATTTTTTTAAAAAGCAGCTTTAATAAAAATTTGTCATGAGTTGGGTGTTTGGTAAACATCAGGAATCCTGCTTTTTTTAAAAATCGCGGTCAATGATCGCTGTTTTTTCGAAGCCGTATCTACCCAGCTTTTAAAAGCTGCTTCAAAAAAAATTTAACCGGTTGTTTTAATGAACTTTTAACTTTCCCATAATACCCTCACTTATTTTACAAATTGACAGTCTTTTGCCCCTTTTTTCTTCTCCATTCTGCGAACTCCATTTTCTTCATTTCCTTCTCTACTCTCTAACGCTGCTGGAACTCTTATTGTGGACATCAAAAAATTAATTGCTAAGAAAGTTGCCCACTCATCAGTAACTTAATTACAATTATGATTTTTCGGTTTTCTACTTCTCAAACTTTCTGCATCTAGGGTTTTCTCTGTCAAATTGGGGGTTTTTCTATTTGTTGTAGGTTTTAGGAAGAAGAGAGAAAACCAGTCATAGGGAGAGAGAGAGAGAGTGATGAGTTTCATGTTCCACCTGAGTTTGTTGTTCTTGTTTTTGGTTTTGGGTGGAAAGATCCTGTTGCAGTAGTCCCAACTTTGGGGGGGCTTCAACTACCCCCACTACAGCACTGTAAACCAGCTCAAAACTCCATGGCTGCAACCCAGAAATCTGTATTTTCACCATGGCTACTTTCTCCACTATGATATCTCCCATCGCAAGAACACCAAAACATAAACCCAACATACAATTTTTCCCCTTTTCAGTCTCACCCACCCAAAAGTACTAAAAACAATTGGGGGAAACATATTAAAAGAAAAAAAAATACTGGGAAAACATGAGATAATTTTGGTTAGATGAAGGAATGAAGAAAAAAAATACTTGTAAATGGTAGAAAGAGAAAATTTGAAGTGAAGAGATGGGCTGTGTTGGGTTTCCAATTGGTGTCGTTGGGTTAACAAAAGGCATTTACTTTTCTGAGAAGAGAGGAACACGTGTATAGTATAAATAAATAAATTTATGTAGGGAAGTTTTTCTTAAGTAGAAAAAGAATGAAGAAGAAAAACAAATAGTTGCATCATCATGTCCTTTTTGGTCATTGTATATAATAAAAGCACTCTTTTTTGGTCATTTACCAAACACTTTCATTACTCACAGCACTTTTTCAAATATAGTTTACCAAACGCCTAACTAATTTTTTTCACAGCTGATTATTCTCGCAGCACAGCAGAAGCAGTTTTTTTAAAAGCACAGCAATGCCAAACTAGCCCTTAGAGCCCCCTCATTTGTTATTGACAACAACCATCTGTCCATACTTGTGATAGCTCCCTTGTCAATCTTAATATTCAATTGACCACCAAACCATACAGATTCAACCCGAGGACAGAGCAAGAGCAAGTGTTCAACAGATTCGACAAACTCACCGCAAATAGAGCAAATAGGGGAAGTGCTCATCTTTCTCCGAAATAAGTTCTCCTTCGTGGCAATACCATTTCGAACAGCTCTCCAAATAAAGTTACAAATCTTCGGTGGAGCTTTTATTCGCCAAATAAATTTCCAGCAATCTGCATCAACTTCACGAGAGGAGGAGGGTCTATTTTGCTGCCGAAAAGTTGGGGAGCTATGCAGCCAGTGATATCCAGATTTTACAGAGTAATGTCAAAATGCCTCTATACTTCAACATTGTTTTTGCTTCTTACATAATATATCATAATTCTAACCGAATACACTTTCTCACCACTCTGACATGGCACTTTACAAAGCCCAGGTGACTATACGGTTAAATCGGGCTATGAACTTGTAGTGAACCTCCAGCGGAATGGCGAGATTGGGGGAAAAGGCGAAGGAGAGAGTAGTAATCCGACTAGAAAAAATTTGTTTTGGAAGGAATTTGGAGCTTAAAAGTGCCACAAAAATTACGACCTTTCATGTAGAGAGGGTGCCTAAACTTTCTTGCTATACGTGACAACCTTCGTCGTCGGCACATGACAGTGGACAATAAATGTGGGATCTGTGGTAAGGATGGTGTGTCTCAGTTGCATTTGTTTTTTAAATGCGAGTTTGCATGTGCCTTGTGGTATGCTTGCCCTCTGCAACTGGATACTACTACTATTGTGGTCACCGATTTTGCTTCATGCTGGGCTTATCTTGAGGGAAAATATAAAACAGGTACATGATCTTGGGAGATACTACAGATTTTGGCATGTGGCGAATCTAGAAATGCCATACTGAGGCGATTTTCCAAGGAAATGAGTCCAAACCCTAAGCTGCGGTTGCACTGATGGTGGGACAAGTGGAGGAATATCGTATGGCAGTTCCTCTTCAGGCTCCCTTTGTGAATGAGCTGCCGAGACCTCCCGATCTGTGTAAGGTTGCGCAGACCCTGACACAAACCCAAGCACGGAATGGTCAAAGGAAATTGTGATGGTGCTTGGTATGCGCAAATAATGCGGGGAGGTTTTGGCTGGGTGATTCAGGACTTTATAGGCTGGATGATGAAAGCGGGAGGTCAATGAGATATGCGTTATGGGTCGGCTCTCATGGCAGAGATGGATGCTATAAGGGCAATTATGTTTGCTTGTCAACAAAAGGGTTTCTCCCGGGTGGTGGTAGAGTCTGATTCCCAAGTTGCCATCATGATGGTGAAGGGGGAGAGGGCAATGGTTGTGGAGGTAGATAGTATTCACTTCAACATTCAGGCTGTGATTCGAGAATTCCAAGAAGTAATTTTTATTTTTGCACCTCGCAGTTGCAACAAACCTGCTCATGAGGTTGCAACTTTTGCGTGTAGGGGTGGTTGTGGTTCGGTAACCGCAAATTTTTCTCCGAACCGCAAACCGACCGACTATTTGCGGTAAGGTGATTTTTGAAATTGTAAATCGACCGCTTTTTGCGGTTTACCGCATTGCGGTAAACAACAAAAATCGGCCGGTTTTCGTGAATTAACGGTTTAAACCGATTTAAATATTTTGGGCCTAAATTAGACAATTTTAGATCTTTAAGTGTGGTCTTTTTGTGTCATAAAAATTCAATCTTCCACACTTTTAAGCCTAGGTTTGATGCTTCTTTTGAAGCTTTTTGAGTTCAAGCATACTTTAACCAAAAATATAAATCCACAACCTAAAGAAATAAATTCACAACCTCAACTTCTCAAGCATTCACAACCTAAAGAAAAATCAAATTCAAAGTTAATTAAAGTTACAAACCAAAATGAGATAGGTGGTGGTGAGTGGATTTTATTATAAGAAGAAGCCCTTCTTTATGAGTTGCAGTGGAGGTTGTGTTTTGGGTGTATTGGTTTGTGTTTGGGGGATTAGGGGCATTATGTGTGTTAGAGTGGCTAGACTCCATCTATAACACAACACAACACAAAAGCAACAACATAAAAGCATATTAATAATAGATTAAACTCAACCAAATTAAAACACAACATCTAACTACTAAAAAAAAAAATTGCGGTTTGGGGTAACCGCGAGTTGCCAAAATCACATACCGCAACCGCAACCACAATTGCAGTTCGGTTTCTAAAACAGCAATTTTCGGTCAGTTTTTAGCTATTGCGGTTCCAATGTTGTATAATGTCGGTTGGTTTTTGCGGTTTTTCAGTTTTTGTCTAAAATGCCACCCCTGGGTAGGTGGTAGTTACTATTGGGATTTTGTACCTCCAGATTGGTTGTTTAATACCTTAGTTGGAGATGCTAATGTTCGTGTTCGTCTTTAATAAAAGTGATTTGATAAAAAAAAAAAAAAAAAAAAAAAAAAAAAAAAAAACAAACCCAGGTCTTCTCTATACTTCATTTTCATTTTATATTTTAATGGTAGTCATGTTAAAGTATCCACAATGGATTCCCTAAACCACCTCCTTAGATAAAATTTAGAGAGGAAGTGAGAAAATCCACCTCTAACCATACTCCTTATCCAACTCCTAAAATAGAGAGACCTCTAGGAGCTCCTAAATTTGAGTAGAGAGAAAGGACTCCTAGTGGCTTTCTATAATTAACTAATGCTTTAATTTAATGCTAACTATTTATTATTATTATTTATATGAAGAGGGAGCATTTATGCTAAACCAAAAAAAGAAATAAATCATTAATGATTCCCTCAACTCCAACTAGAGAGGATGGTTGGAGTTGAAATTTTATAAGAGCATCTCCAAGGGAGATGTCAAATACCAAACATCAAATTTAAATTTGATGGCTGATGTGGCAATTTGACATTTACATAGTTTTACATTCCACCCGATATGTCAAATAAATAATTATTATAACAGTCAAATCATTAAAGATAAGAAGAAAAAAAGAAAAAAGAAAAAAAAATGAAAGTAGTAGCCAACTATCTTTTAAAAATAGCTTTTTAGTGTTTTTAGTTAAATTTTAACTAAAAAATAAAGAGTATGATTGTGGATGCTCTTGTAAGGATTCACTACCAAAAAAACAGTATCTTTCCGGACTAAAGATTTCCCAACAAAGAGAGAATTTGTTGGGATAGGTGACTTGTCCCGAAAAACTTTAACCATTGCAATACCATGACAACTCACCCGACAAAAGGCAGGTTTTAGGTGACAAACAGTTTGTCGTGAAAAGTAACTTTTGCCGTCAAATGGTGTATTCATCATGAGAGGGAAATTGGGTGTTTAGGGTTTAGGAAATTGGTGTTTCGCCGCGTTATTGAAATTCTAATTTGACCCACCGGACAAGATTTTTGGGCTTTGTTGAGAAGGATTTTTCCGGCCCATCCTAGGGACAAATTCACAAACTATCTCGATAGCTTATATAATGAGGGGTTCAATCCAACCATTCAATCATTAAAAAAGTTCCAGTCCAATATTTTCTCTCTCTTGTTAGATAGTGGGATCGAACCCCTACCACAATCCCCTCATTATAGCATTTCCGAATTATCCTTACATGTTTTCCATAACTTAAGGGATATGTTTTCTTATTTGCCTTTTGAAATATGGCATATACTGTAATTTTCTTTAAAATTACGGGTACGACAATTAGTTACCTAGAGATACAGGGCAGACACTGGAATGCAATTGATTGTAGAGAGGATGTGAACTACATCCATTAGACCTAAAGGAAAATGAACCAACCTATATCTAAAGAGCCCTTATAAAAAAACCCAAGCACTATTTAAATATATAAACACACCCAAAACCCATCATTACACACACTCAAAACCCATTTATAAACACACCCAAAAAGTTGATTTTGGGGTTGATTTTGAGTGTGTTTCTATGTTTAAATAGTGCTTGGGTTTTTTTATAAATACATGTCTAGGATTGGGTTTATTTATAAATTTGTATTACATAAACTTGCAATTGAAGGGATTGTAGAATCAAATAAGTTTTCAGGAAGTGAACAAACGTTGATTTATGTGTAAAAGACAAAATGCTTTCATGAAATTATAAATAAATGTATCCTTCTTTGGGCCCATGTAATCCAAAAAAGAAGGAACGTGGATACATTCTAATTATATCAAATTGCCAAAGTAAAAGCAGAAGGCCACTACCTTTATTTTCAATCACCGACAAATCATTTGAGAGAGCAAGTTAGAGCAGGAAGCTGCTTTGCTAGTGAGCTTATCCATTGTAAGATTTTCTGGGTTCAGAAAAATTTCTTGCGTGCATTCTATATGTCACTCACTCATACTCTAGCTATAGCATATGAAAATATGTTCTTCATTATATGCCAGTTCATATTTTAACTCTGTATGTGTTCTGTTTTCTCTCCAATTCACTGATTCAAACCCACAAGGTTATGTGTATGAAGTATCAAGGTTAACATAGTAAAGAGTAAACTTTAAGTAGATTCTAGATTTAAAGGAGAGATGATTCGTTTTTCGAAAGTCAGTTTCTTTGAACTTGTAGAGTTTGTGTTGTGACTTCAACTTCTAAGTGAAATTGAGTAGAACATAACTTGGCAGAGAAGATTTAGAAATATTATCAGTTGTTGAACAACATGAATTGCAATTTCATGCTTTTGTGTTCTGTCTTATGCATTATAGAACTGTCCCCTCATTTAACTTCAGTGTCTACTGACTATACTGCCATCATAGATCTGCATAAATATGCTTTCAAAAACATTTTGCTTGTAATTGTGCAGATTTTCCACCTCACTGAGACAACAACATGGGGGAGGGTTTCTGGACCTTATTCTGCAGTAATGAATGCTGTTCTGGCTTTTCAGCCATTATCAATCCAGATTCATGTGTCAACAATATTTTGGTCATTGCAGCTGATATCTTGCTCCTATTAATTTTGTTATGTATCTTCAGAAGATCATCAACAAATATCATTGCACAATCACAGTCTCACACCTTTTCAACACTCTCAGTCATCTCGGTTACTAGTAACATTGGTCTGGCTTTGGTCTACTTGGGGTTTGGGATATGGACAATCATTGAGAAAGTAAATGCAGATCAGACTGTTTTACCTCCACATGGATGGCTAGTATTATTTTTTCAAGGGTTCACATGGTTGCTTCTGGGTTTAACCATAAGCCTAAAGAAGCCACAACCTCAATATATCGCAAGAACAAAATCTTGTTCAATTCTTGCATTCTTGATTGCCATTTTTCTTTGCACTTCATCAATTTGGGAAGCTATTGTAGACGAGGCAGTATCTGTCAAGATTATTTTAAACATTTGTTATTTCCCTGGATCCATCCTTTTGCTCTTTAGTGCATTTCAGGGAAACAATTATGCAAAAGGTGATCCAGAAACCCATGAAGATGCTTTCTACACAGCTTTGCAAGGCCCAGCATCTGATATGGAAGATGAAATCAGCTTAAATGATAATGTAACTCCTTTTCAAAAAGCAGGGTTATTTAGCACAATGTCATTTTGGTGGTTGAATCCATTAATGAAGAAAGGTAAGCAAAAGATTCTTGAGAATGAAGATATTCCACTTTTGAGACAGGCTGATCGAGCTCGAACATGGTACTTAATATTTATGGAGCAATTGAACAAAAGGAAGGAAGAAGGTTCATCTGCCACCTCTTCTATCTTGTCCATAATATTTTATTGCCAGAGGAGAGCAATTCTTATTTCTGGGTTATACGCACTGATCAAGATTCTCACAACTACAAGCAGTCCACTGTTTCTCATGGCCTTCATTAAGATTGCTGAAGGCAATGAAGCTTTTAAATATGAGGGTTATGCACTGACTCTTGGTCTCTTCCTCGCGAAAATCTTGGAGTCACTATCAGAGAGGCAATGGTACTTCAAAACTAGACTGATCGGGCTCCAAGTGAGATCGTTTGTGTCAGCAGCAATATATCAGAAGCAACTGCGACTCTCGAATTCTGCCAAGATGGCTCATTCTCCTGGTGAGATAGTGAATTATGTAACTGTGGATGCTTACAGAATTGGTGAATTTCCATACTGGTTTCATCAGATGTGGACCACAAGCCTTCAACTATGCCTTTCATTACTTATTGTTTACTTCTCCGTGGGGCTGGCAACTATTGCAGCTCTAACTGTACTCTTATTGACTGTGCTGGCAAGCTCCCCACTGGCCAAGTTGCAGCATGAATACCAGACCAAGTTCATGGAAGCACAAGATAGGAGGCTGAAGGCAATTACAGAAGCACTTTCAAATATGAAGATCTTGAAGCTGTATTCTTGGGAGACAAATTTCAAAAATGTCATAGAAGAATTAAGAACAGAAGAAATTAAATGGATATGTCAAGTATTGACTCAAAAGGGTTATTATATTGTTATGTTCTGGTCATCTCCTATTCTTGCAGCAGCTGTTACTTTTTGGACATGCTACTTCCTTGGATTTACACTGTCTGCTAGTAATGTTTTCCCATTTTTAGCAACTTTGCGTATTGTTCAGGAGCCAATCAGGCTGATCCCAGATGTTTTTGGAGCATATGTTGAAGCAAAGGTTTCACTATCTCGAATTGTGAAGTTTCTTGATGCACCAGAGTTGGAAAATAGACATACAAGGAAAGAGAGCTGTGGCAAAGAGGTTGAGCATTCCATTTTCTTTAGCTCATCCGAAATTTCATGGGATACTAATGCTACAAAGGCCACACTAAGGAACATTAATTTGGTGGTTAAACCAGGAGAAAAAGTAGCAATTTGTGGTGAGGTTGGCTCGGGTAAATCAACCCTTTTAGCTGCAATTCTTGGAGAAGTTCCACGCATCAATGGCATTGTAAGTTATCATTTCACTTGTAAATAAGTTATTATATATGGAATAGCCTTACTCTTCTGATGACCTAAATTTACAGGTTCAAGTATTTGGGAAGATAGCATATGTTTCTCAGTCTGCATGGATCCAGACAGGAACTATACGGGAAAATATTATGTTTGGTTCTGCCATGGATCGTGCTAGATACCAAGAAACACTGGAGAAGTGCTCTTTAGTGAAGGACCTTGAAATTCTTCCATTCCACGATCTCACTCAGATAGGGGAAAGAGGTGTCAATCTAAGTGGTGGTCAGAAGCAGCGCATTCAACTTGCGCGTGCACTTTATCAAAATGCTGATGTCTACCTCTTGGATGACCCATTCAGTGCAGTGGATGCCCATACGGCAACCAGCCTATTCAATGTAAGTCATGAGTTTCCTCTCTAACTAGTTATGCCAATGTCATTTTCCTCCAGTGATAACTAATATGAAAGTTAGCCAGGAATATGTCATGGGAGCACTTGCAGAGAAGACAGTATTGCTTGTGACACACCAAGTTGATTTCCTTCCTGCTTTAAATTCAATTTTGGTTAGTGAAAAATACTGCTGCTAATTTCTCCCTTGTACTATTATCATTTCTATATGATTTTGATAGAATATCAGTATCCCTTGTACTTTAAGCAGCTAGCTAAATCTCATATTCAAGCGATCAATTCATGTAATATAAATTTTTGCTTCACAGTTGATGCATTCAGGGAAAATTCTAAGAGCAGCTCCTTACGAAGAGTTGCTGGCTTCTTGTCAAGAGTTCCAAAACCTTGTCAATGCACATGATGACACCGCATATTCCGAGAGGCAAGTTGACTATGCTTCTATTGGAAGACATAAATCATCCAACAAGGAGATTGAGAAAGTAAACACTGAAGTACAGCTAAAAGAGTCTTCCAGAGATCAATTGATTAAGCTAGAAGTGAGAGAAACAGGAAACACTGGTTTCAAGCCATACATTCAGTACTTGAAGCACAGGAAAGGGTTTTGGCACTTCTCTTTTTTAGTATTTTTCTTCTCGGTATTCGTAGCTGGGTAATTAAGTCAATTTTATTGGTTGGCTTTGAAACTTCAGGATTATAGCTTATCCAGAGTCAAACTCTTGGTTGTTTATTCTGTGATCATGTGTATCATGGTATTTGCTTTGCTCATGCGATCCTTTTCTGTAGTTGATTTAGGATGTGGGGCATCCACATCCATTTTTTCTACACTACTAAACTCTCTTTTCCGAGCACCAATGCTGTTTTATGACTCAACACCCGTGGGAAGGATACTTAGTCGGGTAGGACTTAAGAGCTTCAAAAACAGAAATTAAATGATATTCTTTATAGTAAACTAAGGGAACTTACGTTTGGATTGGCTATTTTGTTTAGGTATCTTCTGATATGAATATCATTGACCTTGAAGTAGCTTTCAAGTTGATGACAGCTGTTGCGGGAACTCTGAACACATACAGCATATTTATAGCATTGGTTTTTCAAACTTGGCCAATGGTGTTTCTGATTATACCCACAATTTATATTACTGTACTTCTTCAGGTAGTGACAGCCTTCTTGTTTAGTTCTTTGAATCCCCTCCCGTGAACACATGCACCATTTTTCTGCCTCTTCTCTGATATCCTGGTAGGGACATAGTGTGTGAGTGTGTGCGCGCGCGCGTGCTCGCATGTGTATGTGCGTTTGTGTCTGTGCACATATATGCCAGGATATAGAGCAGAGATACGGAAATGGGCTTGATTGAAGAACCTTGATTACCACAACACATGCATGCTATGATTTCCTCACTTGTTTTCCCTTTTCTGAACAATGAATCTTCTATTTGATTTTCTTTTGTACAAATAGAAATACTACTTTGCTTCTGCAAAAGAGTTGATGCGAATGAATGGCACAACTATGTCCGCACTAGCAAGCCACCTTTCCGAATCTATTGCTGGAGCCATGACAATCAGAGCTTTCGGAGAGGAGGATCAGTTCTTCTCAAAATACTTAGACTCTATTGATATAAATGCTAGTGCTGACTTCAATAGATTTTCAGCCAGTGAGTGGTTGATAGAACGTCTTGAATGGCTATGTGCTATTGTTCTCTCAGCCTCAGCACTTGCCATCACTTTGATTCAGTTTGACACTTCTTCCTCTGGTTAGTAAGCATTAGCTTCCAGCCTCCACCATCTTTGCTCCTTATAACTCAACACAATTCAGTTTGTCACCTGTGATATATTGTCTAACATTTTGCTTAAACTTTTGGCAGGTTTTATTGGGATGACACTGTCATATGGTCTCTCATTAAATGTATTTCTAGTAATTTCTGTCCAATTTCAATGCATGCTAGAAAATTCAATGATTTCTGTCGAAAGAGTAGAGCAATACATGCACATTTCCCATGAGGCTCCAGAAGTAATAGAAGAAAACAGACCTGCCGACAATTGGCCTACTGCTGGTAAAATGGAAATACATGATTTAAAGGTTAGTATGAGAAAGATATACTAAAAGAGTGTAACTCTATGAACAATGGTGCTTGTATATGATATTGAATGAAACTATGCAGGTAAGATATAGGCCAAATGCCCCACTAGTTCTTCGTGGGATAAATTGCATAATTGAAGGAGGGTACAAAATTGGGATTGTTGGCCGGACTGGAAGTGGAAAGACAACTCTTATCAGCGTTTTGTTTCGTCTGGTAGAGCCTACAGAGGGAAGGATTATAGTAGATGACTATGACATTTGTAAAATTGGACTTCATGATTTAAGATCACGTTTTGGGATCATCCCACAAGATCCAACACTATTCAATGGGTCTGTCAGATTCAATCTAGACCCCTTATCAGAGCATACTGATCATGAAATATGGGAGGTAAAATTTTTGCTTATTTGTGATTGTTGTATTAGGATATAAACATGTAAGATGATAGAATTCTCTGAATCTTGATATGTTTAGCTATATAGTACTCTATAACTTTCTTTTACTAACTTTAACTTGTCCTCTGACCAACATGTCAAAGGTTCTTGAAAAATGTCAGTTACGAGAGGCCATTCAAGAAAAAGAAGGCGGCCTGGATTCTTTAGGTAATAAACTGTCTCTAGGAGTGTTTTTCAGTGTCTGTCAAACAAGAACTAACAACCTGGATTACAGTTGTACAAGATGGAACAAACTGGAGCATGGGACAGCGACAACTATTTTGTTTGGGACGCGCTTTGTTGAAGAGGAGCCGGATACTAGTGCTCGATGAAGCCACTGCATCAATGGACAATGCAACAGATTCTGTTCTTCAGAAAACTATAAGAACAGAATTTGCAGACTGCACTGTGATAACGGTGGCTCATAGAATACCAACTGTTATGGACTGCACTAAGGTGCTTGCTATTAGTGATGGTAAGCATTATATCGCAAACTCTTGCACCAAGAATTGTGCTGTCTTAGTCATTTGATGATAGTTGTTAATTTGACCGCTTTACATTGGCAGGGAAACTGGTAGAGTATGATGAGCCAATGAAGCTGATTAATAACAAGGGTTCGCTATTTTGGCAGCTTGTCAAGGAATACTGGTCTCGAGCTGCCAATGCCGGTATCTCCTCAGAAGGTTGATTGGGAAACGTATTCAATATATTTGCAATAATTTCTGAGGAAATTTTAGCAAGCAAGGTAGATTGGGATTTGGCTGTCTGTTTTAGTACTCGAGAGAGTAATATGGTTGCTCATTCTCTGGCTCGTCATGCTTTGCATGAGCGTGACGTCTTAATTTGGTTAGAGGAGGGTCCGGAATGGCTTATGCAATGTACCAATGTTGTTTGTGTTTCTTGCCTTGATTTGAATAAAGTTTCCTAGTTATTGATAAGGTCCAGTAGCCTATTTCTGACTTCTAATATGGTTTCTTCTGTGACAATTGTATAGCCAATATTAATATATATCTGAGTCTGTGTCTTTTAAGGGTAGTTAGGTCATTTACTTATCTAGGGCATCTTTACATGCCTATATATTGTAAGCGTACAGCAGCTGTATAATTTAATTGTTTTATGTGAATATATTGGCATTCTTTGCTTCTGCTTGAATTGTTCACATGGTATCAGAGCGATCCTCCTGGGTTGCTGCCCCTTTTTTGTTCTTCCCCCCTTATGTCTTCTTGATTCGTGTTGCTATGTTTCCTTGTTGATTTGCTGCTGCGTTTTCTGGTGTCGTCTGCTCTAGTCTTCTTGGTTTTTCATATATTTTGGTTTATGCTGCTTTTGGTTCTTGTCTCTTCTATATTGTTTTCCACATGGCTAGTGAAAAAGATGATTCACTTCAAGTCTTGCCACCCAAACGATCTCCAACAGCTGCAGCTGTTTCATCTCGTCGCGAATCTTCTGCCGGTCCTACAGTGTCGCTTACTGCAGAGCAATTTCAGAAGCTTTGTTCTACCCATCAGCCTAATGCCTTGTCCATGATTTCCCATTCTTCATGTTTGCCTTCCTCATCTTCTTCAGGTATATCCCCATCCACTTGGGTCTTTGACTCAGGCGCTACACATCATATGACTAGTGATTTGTCATTGTTTACTTCATTGTCTTCTTTGTCTACGTCGATTTCTGTTTTGACTGTCAATGGCACTTCTATGTCATTGGCTGGTATCGGCTCTATCACAACTTCTGGCCTATGTCTATCTGATGTCTATTATATTCCTCAACTCACCTTGAATTTGATTTCTATTAGTCAATTATGTGCTTCTGGCTATGTTGTTCAATTTTCTTCTACTTCGTGTTATGTACAGGATCCTCACTCCAAGAAGCTGATTGGGACAGGCCGTAGAGAGGGAGGATAATATGTGTTGGAGAGGCTCCAGATTCCTGCCTTGGTGGCTTCGTCTATTGATTTGTATTCTTTTTGTTTGAGTCCTTTGTATTCTGAGTCCTAAGTCGTCTAATTTTTACCTTTGGCATTCTCGTCTTGGTCATGTCTCTTGAAATATTTAGTCTCTACAGGAGCTTTAGGCAATTTCAATTGTCATGACATTTCAGATTGTAGTGGGTGTAAACTTGCCAAATTTTCTGCATTACCTTTTACTAGAAGTTCCTCTATTTCTTTAGCACCATTTGATTTAATTCACTATGATGTTTGGGGCCCAGCTCCTATTCCTAGTAAAGGGGGCGCTAGATATTATGTTTCATTTATTGATGACTATTCTCATTATTGTTGGATTTATCTTATGAAACGCCACTCTGATTTCTTTACTATCTTTCAAAATTTCCGGGCCCTTGTTCATACACAATTTTCTATTGTCAGGTCTATGTTGATTTCTGCTGATGTCCCAAAAGTTTTTTGAGGCGAAGTAGTTCTGACTGCCAATCATGTGATTAATCATATTCCCACATCTCTCACCTCTGGCATATCTCCGTTTGAAAGATTGTATGGTAACAGTCCTGATTATTTCTCATCGAAAGTGTTTCTTGTACTTGTTTTGTTCTTCGTCCTCCTGTTGAACAGACAAAATTATCTGCTCGTTCTACTATGTGTGTTTTTCTTGGTTATGGCAAAGGACAAAAAGGTTATCGTTGTTATGATCCTAGCGCACAAAAATTGTATGTCTCTCGTCATGTGGTTTTTCTTGAGCATATTCCTTTTTTCTCCATTCCTACTAGTTCTCCTACTTTATCGAATTCTGAGCTCATGTATATCGATCCTTTTTCACCTACTAATGATGATTTCTCTTCTTCTGACAATGTTAACATTTCTCCTTTTTCTAGTTCTCCTTCTAATCCTTGTGTTACTTCTCCTCCTATTACTCAAGTGCATTCTCGCAGGAAACAGGTCATCAGTTCTGACACTAATAATCCTTCTTCTCCTTTGGTGCCTGCTTCAACTTCTGTAGATGTGGATCCAATAGCACCTCGTTATCCTTCGTGCACTCATAAGCCCCATAATCGATTTGGTTATTCTTCTAATGATTTTAGTTATTCTTGTTATTCTCATGATTTCTCTTCTTTCTTATCCTCTATACATACTCTCTCTGAACCCACCTCCTACAAGGAGGCTATATGTAATCCTCTATGGCAACATGCTATGAATGAAGAACTTTCTGCTCTGCATAAAACTAGTACATGGGATTTGGTTCCTCTTCCTCCCGATAAACATGCAGTAGGATGTCGATGGGTCTATAAAAATTAAGACTAAGTCTGATGGTTTTCTTGAGAGATATAAGGCTCGTTTGGTTGCTAAGGGATTTTGTTGGCTGGCGCAAATCTCACGGCCTGGTGCTTCGGGCCGAGGGGATATGGGTTAACACGTGACGTCCTTCTTTTAGATGCGGTGTGGTTGTGCGCGGGCGTGCCAGCACGGTCTACCGTGCGTCGAGATGGTGATGAGGTTTGGGTAGAAGATGGTTAAATGATGCACCTGTTTTGAGTTCGACTCCTAATCAAACGATTGTGACCGAGAGAGGAACTGATCTCGGCCGTCAGGTTCACGGCTTGAGCTACAAGGCCGTTTAGTGGTGATGTTGGTGCAGGTTTTAGGCAGTGCTCCAGCGCGTTGCTCAGAAAGCGACAGTCATATATATGGGGTGAATGAGATGATAACAGAGATGGTGCTCCAGCGCCTTGAAAACCAAGGGTCATATGATATATTGATGAATGGATTTTCCTTACAATCTACCACTACTCCTAGGAAAGCAAATTAAAGGTATTGAAAGTGCATGACAGGAAAATATAATTTGCTCCGTGGGAGGCATTTGGTTTGATGTTTGAACCTTTTGAATGTAGTCTTGAGCTTCGTATTTATAGGAGGAGTCCTGGAGGGACAATCGAGGCCGAAAAGACCTACTTGGTGGAGCCTAATCGGGGCAACTGGGTAGTCAAATCGGCATTTGGGATCGTGAAGCATGGTGGTGTGACCTCCATAAATCCTGGTAAATCTCGGCCACTGCCCTGATCGTGGGTTCTGCCCCCTTGGCCATGGAAACGCATTTAATGCCCTGGTCTGGTGGTTGGTGATCTGACCTCAAGTTGTAAGATTACTTGTGAGAATATTTGCGCCTAACCACTCTGATTTCCATCACCAAATCCTGACTTCAGTCACTTCCCTTCTTTCCTCGTGCATTAAATGCTTCTTGCGACTAGTGAGTTTGCTGCGATAGTCAGAGGCATTACTTCATTAAATGGGGCGTGGGACCCTGAGGCCACGTGGCGATTTAACCACAGTATCTTCGGCCGTGTCCTTTACATCCTTCGACTTCGGCCCATAATACCGCGGTCTCGAGGCCGAGAGGATTCTGCCTTTGCAGCTTTTCTTTTGTTTTTAGGAAGGCGAAATGCCTAACGAAACGTGGCCGTTTCAGTTCATGAGTAGGTGCTAGGGCCGAGAGGAGGTCCTTTCGGTCAGTTTATGACCGTGATTTATTAGGCACAAACAGATTTACACAGGAATATGGCCTTGATTATGAAGAGACCTTTGCTCCAGTGGCCAAGATGACTTCTGTTCGTACCTTACTTGCTGTTACATCAGTTCATCAATGGAGTTTATCACAAATGGATGTTAAAAATGCCTTTTTGAATGGGGATCTTTTTGAAGAGGTGTATATGGTTCCCCATCCAGGTGTTCTTCATAATCCCGAGGAGGTGTGTCGTTTACGGAAAGCTTTGTATGGTCTTAAACAAGCTCCTCGTGCTTGGTTTGAGAAATTCTCTACTGTTATTGGTTCTCTTGGTTTTCAATCAAGTGCTCATGATCCTGCCTTGTTTGTTCGTTCTACCTCTATTGGTCGTATCCTTCTCCTCCTTTATGTTGATGACATGATTCTTACGAGTGATGATTTGGATGCTATCACCCAATTAAAATTGGCTTTACATGATCGATTTGAAATGAAGGATTTAGGTCCCTTATGTTATTTCCTTGTCATTGAAGTTGCATCATCCCCTAAAGGTTATCTCCTTTCTCAGTCTAAGTATGCCGCTGACGTTCTTCAAAAAGCTTGTATTACGGATACTAAAGTGGCTGATACACCTCTTGAGCTCAATGTGCGTTATTCTCCGTCTGATGGTACCCCTTTGGATGATCCTACTCTTTATCGCACTATTGTTGGGAGCTTGGTTTATCTCACTATTACTTGCCCTGATATTGCATATGTTGTTCATATTGTTAGTCAGTTTGTCTCTTCTCCCACTACTCTTCACTGGGCTGTTGTAATTCGTATTTTACGCTATCTTCGAGGGACGTTGTTTCAAAGCTTATTACTTCCTTCCACCTCAACTTTGGAGCTTCGAGCCTTTTCTGATGCTAGTTGGGTTGGCGATCCTTTTGATTGAAAATCTACTACTGGTTATTGCATTTTTCTTGGTGATTCCCTTATCTCCTGGAAGAGTAAGAAACAATCAGTTGTTTCTCGTTCTTCTGCTGAGGCTGAGTATTGTGCTATGGCTTCTACTGCTGCTGAAATTGTTTGGCTTCGGTGGTTGCTTCAAGATATGGGTGTTTCTCTCTCTATGCCTACTCCTATGTATTGTGATAATAAAAGTGCCATTCAAATTGCTCACAACTGTCTTTCATGAGCACACAAAGCACATTGAATTGGACTGTCACTTTGTCCGCCATCATTTCCAGCAAGGCACCATCTCTCTTCCTTTCATCTCCTCCACCATGCAATTGGCCGACTTCTTCACCAAGTCTCACACTCTTGCTCGCTTCCGCTTTCTTCTTAGCAAACTCTCGATGCTTAATACTGTAACATCGTGAGTTTGACAGGGGGTGTGACAATTGTATAGCCAATATTAATATATATATATATATATATGAGTCTGTGTCTTTTAAGGGTAGTTAGGTCATTTACTTATCTAGGGCATCTTTACATGCCTATATATTGTAAGCATACAGCAGCTGTATAATTTAATTGTTTTATGTGAATATATTGGCATTCTCTGCTTCTGCTTGAATTGTTCACATCTTCAAGCCTATTGCCATTCTTATGAATCACGGAAACTATGAAACCTTTAGATTATGAACAACACAATTCTAATTTCAAAACAACCAGTAACATAATAACAATAAATATTGATACATTCCAATGGCCTCAGCTGAAAAGGAAGCATTGAAAGCTTTGGTAACCTCCACATTAAGGTTTCAAGCGCTAGGTGTTTTTCTAGCTCACAGTTTAGAAAGGGAGCATGCTTGTATGTTTTTGGCTTCAAATTCTGAAAGGTCCTCTAAATATGTTGTGTTAATGATTTCCACTTTATCTTTATGAAAGCAGATTTGAATGACTACTCTTCTGTGGTTGGTTGTGTGGTAGATATCATATTGATTTGTAATAATTAAAACATAGAGTTATTTACACTAATACTCCTGAGGTTTTTGGTGTTTTCATAAAACCCCCTGAGATTTAAAAAATTACACGAAAACCAACTGAGGTTTTAATTTGTTTTCACAAAACCTCTTTTCATTGATTCTACATCCAAAAAAAATAATGTGGGGTTTTGTGGAAACAATTTAAGACCTAATGGGGTGTTCGTGTAATTTTTAAAATCTCAGGAGTTTTGTAAAAACACCAAAAACCTCAAGGATGTTAGTGTAAATAACTTTTGAAACATATAATCTTACTTCTCAATCATTATTTTTTTGTCTTGGTGTAACATGCGTTAATTCTCATCTTAATTCTCATGCCAACCAACCAGACCATATGGTCCATACTTGAACAAAATGGGCCAGAATAGAAAATCATTGGAGATGTTGAACATGCTTTTTCTTGTAAGTTGCAACACTGAAGAGATCATATATCAACCAAAGAAAAATGTTACATATGGCTATGATGTTATGTGAAAGCCAGTGAATTGGTGCATGAGGTTATTTTAGGGTGATTTCGGAGCACCCTTTATTAAAAGGTCTTTGCGGGATTACTACATGGCTCAAATCTAGCATTCTTCCACAAAAATTAATATTCAAGAGTTATTTGAAAGTAAAAAGTGTAGCCCAAGTGATTAAGAGAATTTATCTTTGTACACGAAGTCTTGTGTTCGATTCCCCCATCCATATTCATTGGTCCGGCCCTACATTTAATAGGACACATGAGACTTCCAATCACTGGCGGATCCACGCTAGGGCAAGTGTATGCAATTGCTCCCATTCTGTATTATTACGACACAAGAAATTTCCCAACTTTCCTTTGATGTTCTCCTTGAATATGACTGCCATGAGAGGAAGATGTTTGACAAAATGTCTCAAAAAGAGACTTGAGGCTGGGTAAGTAGGCCGGGGCAACTAAGCAAAGTGGTGTGTGGGCTAATTTTAGACAACCAGCCATGTTAATGTAATGTATTACAGCAGGAACGGTCCCACTTTCAGGCTAATTTGGACTGTAGCTTAGGTCGGTTGATTTTTTGTAGATTAAAATAATACCACAACTCACGTGACATCCCCATCCCAGTCAATTAAAATCTCATTAACAAACCTGCACCTTTTTTTTCAAGAGTTGTTATAAAATTAAGCTTACATATCTCTTTTTTTTTTGTTTCGTTCTTGTAAGGTAATACTAAAGAGGTCATATCTTATTAACCAAATAGCAAGGGTTTATATGATTACGATGTTGTTATCTTTATTAGTGAAGGAGGCGGAATTCAAACTTAGAACCTCTTTTGCCAAAAGAACTCATCATCAATGTGCTTACTTAAACGATGTGGGATTACTAGTATTACATTTCTCTATGTTGAAGATGTTGCCTACTCACAACTCATTTTGCTTTTTGATTCTCATTTGAAGACACTTACTACAGTTTATCAGAATGATGAGGTCAAAGTCTCCATCTTGCACAGTCACCTTTAATTCCAACTTATTTAGAGGCCTCAGAATTAAAGGCGACGTCCAAATAGTCCATAGAGCACCATTGATGATTAAGAGTGACTGAGAAGGACTGAAGGAGGAACAAAAGCTAGTCGAATTTTCCTGTTACCAAATTCCCTGTTCTTTAGTTAGTTATGTGATATGTGGCACACAAGTTAACACTATTTTAACTCTGCAAATTGTAATTTGTATTAAAGAATATTAAAATATTAAAATTAAAATAATTTTATTCACAAGCACAGATCCAAATTAAAATAATTTAACTCTGTTCATCTTCTCCGCCACACACCCTATGGTGCCAACAGATCCAGATCCAAATATGCCTTCACTTATTGTGGTCCCTTTATTTATTTTTTAATAGAAACATTTTTATTCAAATTGAAAGGATATAAAACAAGAACATTTAGAACACAGACAAAAAGAAAACACTAGCCGGTGAAACAAACACAAAGTCACTCAACACAGAACTAAACCAACCAAACAAAGACAGCCCCTTAAGATACTACAGCCAGTAGGTTGCGCACAATTGTAGGATAGGATATATCCTTAAAAGCAAGGGAAGTTGATGCCCAAAGGGCAGCTCAAAACTTCACTCTATCCCATAACTGTACCACTCACATTCCCTTATAATCCTCGAAGATTCTCCTGTTACGTTCCAGCCATAGGTTCCAGACCACCGCCTGCATCAGACTGCCCTAGAGAATTTTAGCTTTCTTTCCCCTTCCCAAAGCATCATATCTGATGGAAAAAAGTTCAAAGCATCCTTCTGATATTACCCACGTTAACTTCCTTCAGTAACATCTCCCATAACTTTATAGAGAAAGGGCAATGAAGGAGGAGATGGTCCATGCTCTCCCCTGCCCTATTACATAGAAAACACCAATGAGGGCTAAGGCACATATAGGGGCAGTGTCTCTGTAGTGTATCACCTGTATTTAGTTTTCCCAGCACCGCTTGCCACACAAAGATCTTAACTTTTGGAGGAGTCTTGGCCTTCGAAATTTGAGCGTATGGAGAGAAAACCTCCCCCTCATCACTATTCAGAATATGAGAACAGAGAGATTGACAGGAGAAAAAACCGGAGAGGTCAAGCTTCCATTTTCTCTTATCCAATTTGGAAGTGACCAACCTCACCCCTCCAATAAGTCCAACAATCTAGCCACCTCTGCAATCTCCAATTCATTGAGATTCCTCTTGAAACGAAAATCCCAGCTGAGAGGGAACCCATTTGAGCCCAAAAAAGAGACAATGTTGTGGTCATGCTTCCTGGACAGATTGAAAAGTCTTGGAAACACCTCTTTCAAAACACCACGCCTGCTCCAGTCATCCTCCCAAAATCTGACCCTAACTCCACACCTACCACGAAAACACAGCCTTGAAGGAACAAATTATAGCCACTAGAAATGTCTCTCAAAGGGCTGCGACAAGATGCACGAATCGCAGGTTTAGCATCCCATCCATTTGTATCCATTCCATAAATACTTCTGATCACTTTATGCCAAAAAGCGTGAGGTTCGTTAGGAAACCGTCACAGCCACTTGGCTCGCAAAGCAGCACTCCTAGCCCTCAACAAACCCACCACCAACCCTCCAAAAGAATTTTGCTTTTCCCACAACCTCCCAACTCGCAGCGTGGTTTCTCTTCCCATCCAAACCTTCCCACAAGAAATCCCTCATAAGCTTCTCAATTCTATTGGCTACTCCAATGGGGATCCTGAGAAGGGACATGTAGTAAATCGGAATACTAGTCAACACTACTTGAATCATTGTGAGTCTTCCCCCTTTGGATAAACAGGCTTTCTTCCATTTTGTAATATATTCTCCACTTTTTCCACAACGGGATCCCAGAACTTGATCGCTTTGGGGTTCCCACCTAGGGGAAGACCCAAATACGACATAGGCCAAGCCCCCACTTCGCAACCCCAAGCCCCTGCTAGTTCATTCAACCGCCCATCGTCAAGATTAATGCCAACTAGAGAACATTTCGATTTGTTGATTTTCATGCCCGATGCGAAATAGAGCACTTCCAGGATCTGAAGGAGATTATTCCAATACTCTTCATTATCCCCTATGAAAAAAATGGTGTCGTCGGCAAACTGGAGATGAGAAACCTCTACCATCTCGTGCCCCGAAGAAAGTCCATGAAACTAATCAGCAGCTTGAGCTTTCTCCATAATTCTACTTAACATCTATCACCAAAGTGAACAGGAAATGGGAGAGCGGGTCTCCTTGTCTCAGACCCCTTGAGGCCCTAAATTTTCCCCTTGGTCTTCCATTAATCATCACAGAGAAATTAGCCGTCTCGAGGCATCCTCGAATCCAACTTCTCCACCTATCCCCAAAGCCTTTTCTAATCATAACCTCATCAACGAATCTCCATTCCACATGATCATAGGCTTTCTCAAAATTGATTACCATTCCTAACTTGTTAAGCTTTCGACTTTCCTCCACCACCTCATTGGCAATCAAGGCCGCGTCCAAAATCTGCCGACCCTTCACAAAAGCACCCTGACAGCAAGAAATAGTGTTGCCCAAAACTTCCTACAATCTAGACGCCAAAACTTTCGACACCATTTTGTACAGACTTGTCACCAGGCTGATTGGTCGGAAGTCACTAACTTTAATGGATTCCTTCTTTTTGGGAATGAGGCAAATAAACGTCTCATTTGTGATTGCATTGATTATGCCACAATTGAAGAAGTCCTCCAAGACTTTCATAATATCCTCTTTCACAATATCCCAGCAAGACTGAAAAAGAAGCATGGAAAAACCATCTGGTCTTGGCAATTTATCAGTCCCGCAATCAAAAACCGCCCTTTTAATCTCTTCTTCTTCAAAGGGTCTTTCCAGCCATTCAGCCTCCTCCGCACTAATTGCATTCCAATTCAACCCTTCCAAGCACCACCTCGCCTCAGCATTGCTGCTGTATAGATTTTTGAAGATGTTAATGATCTCCAATTCAATTTCCCCTTCACTGACCACCACGCCATAGCCCTCTACTTCCAACTTCTGAATTAGATTCCTCTTCCTTCTGCCGCTTGCTATGCGATGAAAAAACTTAGTGTTGCTGTCCCCATCTTTTGCCCACTGAATTTTCCCACTTTGTCTCCACTTCACCTCTTCTTTGTAAACTAAATCACTCACCAGAAGGTATAAACCTTCCCTTTCTTTTCTTAAATTAATATCTAACCCTCCCTGCCCTTCCATCAAATCAAGAGCAGCAATTCTAGCCTCCGCCTCTTTCTTTTCAGAGACCAAATCCCCAAATACTTCTTTATTCCAGTCCTTCCTTTTATGTCTTAGAGTCCTCAACCTTCTAGAGAATTTGTAGCCCTCCCACCCGTTAATCTGGTCTTCCCCCTCCACCACTGCTTGAATTTCTTCCTAAATTCTGGATGTTCTAGCCACATATTTTCAAAATGGAAAGGGGCAAGACCCCATTTCAAATTAGAGGTGTCCAACTAAATGGGACAGTGATAAAAAATAACTCTTGCCAACGTCGTATGTTTAACCTAGGGAAAAGAATCTTCCCAAGCTTCAGAAAAGGGGAATCTGTCAAGTCTTCTACACACTGCATTTTCTCTAAATTTATTCCATGTAAAGCCAGCGTTTAAGAGGTATAGGTCACGCAAATTTGTGTCGTCGATAAAATCATTAAAATTCTTCATACTACTTGTCATCTTTCCTCCGTTAGATTTCTCAGAGACAAACCTAACCACGTTGAAACACACCCACACCCCCCCCCCCCCCCCCCCCCACATAATCACACACTACAGCCACACTCAACAACCCCGCCCTAGCTTCCTCCCAAAATCTTCTTCTATCCCTAGGATGACAAAGGCCATAAATTCCAAAAAGAATACCAATCCCCCCCAGAACCATCCAAAATTCTTATAGAAACAGAGAATTCCCCAATTTCATAGTCAGAAATGGAGATAGTTTGAGAATTCCACATTACCACAATCCCACCAGACCTACCCCTTGAGGGGGCATAAACCCACTCTTTGAATCTAGACCCACAAATACCAGCTGCAAGCCTTTTGTCAAAAACTTCTTTCTTTGTCTCCTGCAAAATAACAATATCTAGATTTATACGTAACAATTGCCCCTTCACCACCACCATTTTCCTTTTGCTCCCGAGACCTCTCACATTCCAAGATATGATTTTCATTGATTTAACTTGGCCTCCTGCTTAAGCAAAGATGACTGCACATTATCCATTTTCGGTTCGACCCTAGTCGAACACCGTCTCCCCTTCTTGCCAGATTCACCATTTGTTCAACTAGATTTCGAGAGGCACCCAAGTGACAATTGCTTCTTAATGGGAACCATTGTGAGATTCAGCTTGGCCATAATCCGAGAATGTTTCTCGTCACCCAACCTCTTTCTTCTGCTGTAACTCACTAATTTTGTTTCTTTAGTCGTCTCCCCCACCATCCCCACACCTCCGACCCCCTCAATGTCTTGCGAAATCAAAGGCCCAACATCTCCAATCCTTTCCATGCCTGACGCCTTATCATTGCCTTCATCGTTGCCTCCCCCAAGTTTTTTATCCTCCATCCCACCATGACCCTCCAAAACAATCCCTTCAGTTTGCCCAGTCAGAATTCTAGCTACAAACCCGTTGTCGCATTCAATTACATCAATTGACTTCTCCACCTCAGATGGGAGGTCATCCTCCTCTATCGCAACTGAAGCGATAGATCTGCCTTCCACAGAATCGCAAGATTCATCCCTATGTCTCGCTTCAGCCACAGTAGCAAACTCCCATCCTTGTCCAAGTCGCACATCATGCGTGAATGAGATGCACCGTCTTCTAGATAGAGTCCTCCTCCCACTTAAAGAACTGAATTTGGATATAAATATGGTTTTATGTTGATTGGTTCCAGCTCGTCTCCCATTACCCTGAAATTTTGGCAGTGGGTCACAATTATCTTCAGGCCCATAGTAAGAAAAGGAAGGATTCACAGGATTGGGCTCGGAAATAGTTTCCAAAACAGGCCCAATATTTGGGCCCGAATTAATAGTCCATGCACAAGATTAATTAACAGCCATCTTGGTTGACTTTCTGACAAGATCTTCTAGAAATTGGCGAAGTTCCGAAGTTGGCTCCAGCTGTGGAGCCTACGGCCCAGATAATCTGCCAATCCCACAAATCCCACTTCCGCATTCCAATGTTTTAGTCGCCATACTGCATAGTTCTTTCTTGGTCCTTTCGAAGTTCCTCTTCTCGATGTGATTGTCCTTTTTCCCCTCCACGTGAGTGGGGACAACATCCCTTGGATTGGAAATCCACGCCGAGCCGTCATCAACGCAAGGTTCCAATGGTTTCTGGCTGCCCGCTCCTTTAAGCAGAGGAAGCCGAGAAGTGGTGGGCCTAATCGCAGTAGATATCGGTCTGATCTTCACAAAATAGCTCTCTGATCCTTCATTGATAATCACAATCTCGGGAAGAAATCCGGCATGATTTTTCCTGGTTTTGATTCTTGCTTTGAACAGATACTTGAAGTTTTCAGTCCTCTGGTCCAATTCAATTAGCCCCCACATTCATTCCCTATACGTTCAAAGAAATCTTTCCTCCACCAATGCATAGGAAGACTAGAGACCCCAAGCCAGCCTCCATAGCTTACAATTTTAGGAATATTATTTTCCAAGCCACGTTCCGAACTATATAAGAGTATGTCGGTTTGTCCCTCTACCACCAGTTTACCAGCGCTACTAACTCTCATGGCCTCCACTTTACTTTCACAAACGAAGAAAGCCCGTTTAATCTGGTACGGAAATAGTTCAACATCATTATCTAACCAGCTTGTTAGGGCCCTCCTAATATCACTCCAAGATTAATTTAGAACTTGCCTCTCACAAATCACCACCCAACTCCAGTTCGATTTCCCAATCGAAGTGAAGTTCTCAGTAACCGTTCTTTCTAGCCCATACTCGCTTTCAACTGCCTCCTTGTAAGTTTTGCCTGCCACTCTACCTCTGCCGCTCGATGTAGTACAATCAACTTCGCCGATGGTTTGCCCCTGTTCGAATTGATTCTCCCTGTCAAAATGACCTCTAAGTTTTCTTTCATTAAAGCCTATCCCATATTGTTTTGACCCTGAGGTACAACCACAAACCTAACTACGCCATGTACACACTTTGTCAGTCGCATATGGAGACCCTTATCATTATTAAGCTTCTCCACCCATACTTGATAAGAGTTTCCCTTGTACTGTCGGAAAAATCTCTATTCTTTATTTTCTAAGAGCATCTGCAACTCTTCGACCAGCCAGTACACACATCTAAGCTCAAGAGAGACATGGAACAAATGCGCTTTGACCTTCTTTGACAGGACCCGCCCTGAATTCCTCGGAACCCGAGACGAATCCTATAGAAATTCCCGACATCACCCTTATGTCGGGCCCACATCTAAAACTATATCCTCCTTTTACAAAAAGGATTAAAGGCAAGAGACTTTCTACTGAAATTTCGACAATCTCCCCTGTAAATTGAACATTTTCCAAAAATTTCAACCTGCATAAAACACATTTAATATCCCAACAGGCAGCACGCATAATATAATTTCATGCAATTCACATAATCGGCCTCCAGCCTTCAAATAATTCAAACAAACTACTAACAAAACTCTTAAGTAAAAAATAGTGCCTTAATCAATGCAAACAATAAGCTCAAACATAATTATTAATGCCAAATGCAATTTTCATCAACTAACTTACCAAAATATCCAACATACGAGGTTCCAACCTCCTAACACAATTGCATCTCGTTTTTCACCCAAAAGTCAGGACCAACGACAAGATCAGCACCACACTTAGTAAAACAACATGAGTAAGGTCTAGCCCGCGGCTGCACCTAGGCACTACCCTAGGCTGCCTACGTACCCTTACTAAGGGATCAAGCCACACGTAGTTCTTTCAACAACAATCTTGGTTCCAAAAACATACAAACCATTACAGCCATACAAATTCATACATTCTAGAATTTATTCCATTCCCTTTTTAATTTAAATCACAACTCACCAAACACAATCTTTTTCAAACATCTTTCTAATAATCACAAAATCTCCCTATACGCCGGAACATCCAACACCACATATGGGGTTTGTCAACACGCCAGAAAATCCTACGCCACGTGTGACCTATCATCTCATATTACATAATCTCCCCATACGCCGGAACATCCAACGCCACGTATGGGGTTTGTCCTCATGTCGGAAAATCCAACGCCAGGTATAGGGTCTGTCAACACGCCGGAAAATCCTACGCCATGTGTGACCTCTCATCTCATATCACATACTCCTCATACGCCGGAAAATCCAACGCCACGTATGGGGTCTATCCACACACCGAAAAATCATACGCCACTTGGGACCTAGCCATTATATCACATAATCTCCCCATACGCCAGAAAATCCAACGCCATGTATGGGGTCTGTCTCAACTCCGGAAAATCCTACGCCACGCGAGACCTATCACATATCACATAATCTCCCCATACGCCGGAAAATCCAACGCCACGTATGAGGTCTATCTCAACTCCGGAAAATCCTACCCCACGTGAGAGCTCACAATCACAGGATGGTACTTACAGTGTAATCAAACATCTTTATATCTTCATAATATATATATATATATATATCCATATAAATTAATGCCCAAAATAGCATAAACCTTAACCACAATATAACATCAGATCCCCCCCCCCCCCCCCCCCCACCCATTTTAAAACAATAAATTAATCTCCTAATCCCACGTAATCAACATAACAAGATCTGTCAATAAGGTCATTTTAATACTCTTAGAAAGGTGAAACTACCTTGGAAGACTCACGGTCAACCAAAGGTCAAACTACCCAGAGTTGGTCAACCAGGCCCACAGAGCCCACGACCTCCAAATTCCGATCCGAAAGTTCCTATAGGCTCTACAAGGTTTAGGATACACGTCCGGCAAGTTTGGTCCAAATCGGACAGTCGGATCACTCACGATCGCATGATCGGACGGTTACTGTAAAACATAAACTTCGGGTTATTAAATCAGAACATCCGGGACTCCGATCCACGATCCATGAATTCCTACATGATCGTAGGAATGCCTAGATCAACATACATTCAAATGGAGTTGATTCAACGGTCCGAATATGTCAAACCCGGATAACGCCTAATATGCGATATCCGATCAACTATCAAACGACATCGGAATTGAAATCCAAGCACGCCTACGCGCTCATGAGGACCAGGAGATCACTTTAGGACCTAAAGTAGGTCCATGACCTGGACCACGCGCCGGCAGCGCATGGGTGCCTTGAGTAATTTCCAGCGACCGGAAAAACTCCAAACCGCCGGCCAAGCTTCCTATCCTAGGTGTAAAACCCCATTTGGAGTCACTTTTGTTCTTGGACATACCCCGAAAAATGGCCGGGAGTGGCCGGAATCGCGATCCCAAAACCGACCGAACCCTAAATCGAAAATCGAACCTCTTAGGCTAGAAATTGACCAAATCCTAACCAACCATCAGCTAGAGCTCGAAAAATATATGAGAAAGCATACCTTACTTTCCGGAAACGGTGGCCGGACGACAGAGAACGAAGTAGGTGAAGTTTCTGTTAAAACCGGCGCGATTCCGAGCACTTTCCGACGGAATCCGGCACTTCCAGGGGCGGGGCTGGTCGGGAAAAGGAAGAGGGAGAAGAGGCGGTTCGAACAAGACCGGTCTCGAGGCCGGTCATTGACGGCAGTGGCTTTCAAAAGCCACCGGCTGTGCAGAAAAACGAAGGGGGAGGGGGCTACAAGAGAGAGAGAGAGAGAGAGGGTTTTCAAATTGATTTTTTCTATTTAAACCCCACACTTCTCTTAGTTCACTCCAATACTTAAATCATTAAATTGTGAGTTTTATTATCATGTAAAAAGACAAAAAAATGTCATCCAACTTAATACTTAACCCTAGTACATCTATACACACACACCTCATACACCCCACAACTCTTCAAATTAAGTTTTAAAAAAATACAAACTTTTCTACATCCTATGCCATATTACTTTTCTCTTTTAAAACATAGAACATTGACGAGCCTACCTCTTTGAAATCTGCGCAGAAGCTGATGGAAAGACTTGTTGATTGTTTCGCTGTAATGATCTTATTCACTTCCCTTTGTTGATTGCTTTTTTTTTCGGTACTCTTGGCTATTGATTGCTTGATTGTTTTGATTTTTGATTTAAAATTTATACTTGATTTTTTGGTAAAACTGTTCTCTTTCTCTAGAAAGTATGGGGTAACTTGAATTTTTCTTCATATTATATTAATTGACATACACGTTCAAAAGGCACGAAACCAAGAGATTTATGGGAATATTGTTAAGTTGGGTTTTTATTATCCTGTTGAGAAGAGGGAGAGAAGCCCAAACTTTGATAAGTACTTCTACTTTGGCTATGAGCAATGGATTGCTTTGTCATATCATATAAGTTTTCCAACCTGAAATTTGGTATCTTTCCTTGTTTTAGCTGTGTTTTTGATATTGTTTTTAGATTTGAAAACAAATTACTTTGAGTATAAAAGATTAATACATGCACGAATAAGAATGCTACCACAACGAACCAATGCACTGCAAAACTCAAGGAAGAATTGGAAGCAACAACAATTTATATCAATTTGAAACTTGAAGGAATTCTTTTAAGGACAATTATTCAAATGTCAAACAAGCCATGTGAAGTTTTTCAATGTAAACATGAATGGGCTAAGCTTGTGGACTTAAGAGTTAAATTGTATGTTTATGCACTTGAAAACAGACGATGAATAAGACTCTGAAATATCATCAAAAAATTAATTTAATACTTACTATTTCTCATGCTCAGAACGTATTTTCTCCTATAAAGGTAGCTTGTGGGGTTTAAATAGAAAATCTCTTTTATTTCCTATTTTTTTCAGCTTGGGGTGTATTTAAGGGTAGTTTGGGAAGATAGTGGAGTTTACTTAGAAATTGTGAAAATTTAAATTAAAAGTTGGGGTGAACTTAGAACATGGGGTGAACTAAGAGAAGTGTGGGGTTTAAATAGAAAATCTCTTCAGATTTTTATTAAAAACCCATTTCGAAATATTTACGGTTTTGCCACTTATGATGTTTTGCTCGTATCTCTCTCGTTACAACTCCGATTCGAGCCCACCATGTGTCTATGAACTCATCTCACCGTGCTCTATGCAACAGTACAGTCAAAATTCCCCAAATTTCTTCCCGGTCGAAAAGTCAACTTTAAACCTAATAAAATATTATAGGGGCAAAATGGTCTTTTATCATAATAAATTGATATTTACCTATTTATTTAGGACCGGGTCGTTGCATTCTCTGTGATCAGTACAGACCCTTCATAGGAAAGATCATCTACCTTAATTTGGAATTCCTTTGCTTCAATACTAAATAACCTGGGTAGATGTCTCACACTCACCACTCCCTCTCTCTCTCTCTCTCTCCTCTCTCTCTCTCTCTCTCTCCTCTCTCTCTCTCTCTCTCTCTCTCTCTCTCTCTCTCTCTCATGTTTCTCTGAACCCTGTTCTCCCCCTATAACTATACCATCTATTATTTCAACACACACACCCTCTCTTTCTCGCCTCTCTCTATTCGCATTGCAGCACCAGATCCAGAACCCACATGTCCTATGCCTCGACAACGCCGGCAAGCTTCATCCAAGGAAGAACAATGCATAAGGTTGATGGAGGATCTGAGTCAAAGGACATAAATATGTTTTGTTAGGCTATAAATTTGATGAGAAAAAAGGGGAAAGGGAGCCTTGGCTGGGTTGTGGATAGGGGGTTGTTGCCGCCAGGTGGTGGTCGTATGCTGGGTGTCTGTTGAAGTTTGATGGGTGGCAGGTTAGTGGTCAAATCTTCAAGTACGGGGCACTTTGAAAAAAGTTTCTCCATTGAGGCACCATCTCCCCTATCAAATCTAACACAGAGGTACTTGAGACTCGGGAGATTAACCTACATGTAATGCCAGTGTACATAAGAATGGTTTCTTCCCATGTTCTTGTGTTAAGTATCCCTATGTGCCCTTTTGATGTATGATAGAGTCTCTTTATAGATCGAGGACGACTTGAGAGACTTCACAGCGTGGAAGCGATGATGCCTTCACCGCAAGATCCTGAGCGCTTCAGTTTCTGGGTAACTTTATATTTCTCTTAATTAAAATTGAGTATATGGGTTGTGATTGTCGGTATTAATGTATGATTGGATGCATCTTGCTTCTTTATCAAACCGACGTCCTCATGAAAGGTTGGATCTCCTATGCTTGTGAGATACAAGGGAGGTATTGCACTTTTCTCCCCTCTTCACATTGGGAATTTCATGTGCACGTAGGTATGGTATGTGTAACAATGAGATCCTACTTCTCATCTAACGCATGTTTTTGAATTCTCATTTAGAATACTTTGTATATCAATGCCATATGACCTCTGATACCTTCAATTTATTTCAAAACATAGCTGCAAACTTCTCTTCGTTGTCTCGTTAGACTGTTTTGTATCCAATTTTTCATCTGCATAGAATACAGCGCGGACTAATATATCTTATAGCAGAAGAGCAGGGTTGTCAAGTGCAATGAGAAAAATGCAATAATTGGGTTTAGTTCATAATTACGATGGACATTTTAGAAAGTAAATTCATATACAAGCAATTTTAAACTATGAAATTCAACAGTCTTTGATCCACAAAATGTTAGCGGATCCCTATTTTTTGTTGTTGTATTTATGGGTTTAACCCGTGTTATTTGTTATAAATAAAATTCGTTTTTTTATTCTTGCCCAATAGGCTAATAGCTAGAAATCATTAGAATGAGAGGTATTAGAAAGAATTTAAATTCTCATTCCCCAACATCGCTTATACAAATAAAATAATTGAAGAAATAAATCTAGCCCAATGGACTAAAGTGGTATTTTAGCCCCAAACCCTAAAATGATATGACAAAATTGTATATTTAAATAGCCGGGCGGCTATACTCGCCAAATATATTAGAATATTTTAAAGGCATAGCAGGTGGGCAATACTTTCTAAATACATTCGAATATTTTAAAGATATAGCCGTTCAGCTATACGCTTGAAATATTAATATATTCTAATATTTAAAGAGTATAGCCGCACGGCTATACCCTTTAAATATATTCAAAACGAACACGAAGCTTGCACTCGCAGAGGACGGAGGTTGCAGTGGAAGTCACAGCCAATTCTCTATCAACTCAAGCTTCGATTTGTTTTCTTCGGTTTCAGCTGCTTCATCCTCCGGGTTCAACACCCAAAAAAGACCCAACCCGCCTAGGAGGCCCGTCCAGCCGCCTAGCGCCCGCCTAGCCGCCTAGTGTCTGTCTACAGTGGAAGGAAATTATGAAGCTATCCTATCATGGAGTTTCTATGGTCCTTCCAATAACAAGGTTCGGTTTTTAGGCCCCAATCTCAAATTCTGACTATTTATTTCTGGTTTTTGAGGTTGAGGCAATGACCCTTCAATTTTGAAGGATACCAATTACCAAAGATTATTCAGCAAACATCTCCAATTTTGAAGGATTCAAAAGGTGAAAATTATTTTAATATGATCTCTTAACAATTTGTGTCTAATAATGGCTAATATGCCGTTAGAGAAACAAAGATAGAGGTGTGCATATCATTGTGCTGGTTGTAACAGTTGGCTAATATGTACCTACAGGAACTATGAATATGTCTGTTTTCTAACTGTCCAGCATTCAGTCCCATATAGCATGGCTGGTCTAACAGATGTTCTATAAACTTAGCTTTCAATTCTAGCAAAATATGATGATCACACTATATATATGCTTAACAAAACCCTCCATTTTACCTATCGTGCTTTGATTCTATGAGCCACATCATCTCCATTCTCCCCTTGTATGTATGGATGATTGAGTACATGCTAGATGGTGAAAGTTTTTGCTTTTTGATATACTCTTAGTGGTGCAATTGGTTGCTCTTGTGTCTTCATCAGAACCAAAGGCTCCTCTTGGTTAGCAGAATTCAAAGGAATATGGTTCCAGTGACCATCTAGTAGATGCAACTTTGCCCGCTACTGAAGTCAAATCATCAGAACTGAGTATAAGGAATGGTACAAATAATCTTCACTATTATTATCAACAGTGTCTTCTGCATCACGATTCTCTTTCTTTGTTTTAATGGAAGTTTGTAACTTAAATTTGTGTTTCTTATAAAAAGAAAAATTATAAATTGCTCTTATTATAGAGTTCATGCAATAGAATTTGGTTAGTAAAAGTGTTGAGACAGATTTGTTGTATCTACTCAGCTTTTTTTGTTCAAAGTATTTTGGATGTGTTATTAAAAGTGTGAAGATAGCATTTTATTCCTATGGTAAATGGATGCTATATGTGCAATGCTTATGATTTCTTATCTCAGTTATGGGAGAAACAAAGACTTCCGTAGCTTCTGGAAATAAGCATATTGGGGGGAAGCAATTAACGGATGTCTTAGTTAATTGGTGAAACTTCTTATAAGAAGATGGAGTCCAAAATAGTAAAGGAGCCACGCACAGTTCCAACAATGAGGCACTCATCACCTATTTCCAGTCCAGGCAAGGGATATGACTTACAAATTATTGTTTTATTTATTTTGGAACTGCAGAATTGGTTATACTTTAAGTCTTCTTTTAAGTTTAATAAAATTGGTAATATATTTAGGTGTTATTTTTGGGTGTCCAATTCTTTCCTAACAAGTTAAGAGTATGTTTCTTCGCAACATTGAAATTGTAGCACAGTTGTGACTGTGGTTGGTAATTTTGTTGAACCTACCTTCCTTCCTTTATCATGCAGATAGCGAAGAAAGAGATCTCGTGAATATTTTTGCTAGTCTCAGTCTAAAGCCTTCGAATCTTCCTGCTCGAGATGCTCCTTGGAAGTGGGTAACTTCTCCTTTTAAGATGTTACATATGTGTATTCTATCATGATTTCAACAACTCATGTTGTGATTTGAATTAGAGTTAATATATTGTTTGGTATTAGAAGTTGATCAGAAAAATGTTGCTGGAGAATATGTGTGTGTGTGTTTGTGTGTGTTTTTTAAAAACTTAAATCTTCTAGTGGGATCGCTTTTGCATCCTATGTTGATGTTCTGAATGCACTGTTTTGTCATGGCTGCTGTTTTACATATTTACATATATCAAGTTAATTAAGTGCTCTCAAAAGCTTCATTGATGTTTCTTTCTTTAGGGGAGGCTTCATCCTTGATGCAGCCACACCTGGAGAATTCATTGGTGGGTTAAAGACTACCATGTAATGCCAGGAACCAAGCCAAACAAAAAAAATTAGAAACTCAGAGAGAATGACAGGGGAAATTGACTCTTTCCAACTAACAGGAACAAGACATTTTCATTTAAGAGTACCAATAGATTGATAGTGTTCTTATGGTCAACAAGGACAAGATTTCCAAGGCTGCTCACCTTGAGTACACCTGATGAACCAGTGAGGGGGTGTGTTTCTTTTAGTCTGCACTGTATATGGAGAGTTTGACTCTAATTAGAAGATAATTGTATTAATTTGATAAAGTTTTCTGTAACTGTCTCTCACCTTAAAAAAATCTCACAATTAGCAGCATTAGAAACTTGATTAGAAAGTAGAAACCCTACAGTATATAGTTTAAGCTGAGTAGTTGCGAAGACAATTAGTAAGCTATCAATACTAAAGTTGAAGAGTGGGGAGGCAAATTACTAAAGTTTCAAGGACAGATAAATAGAATGAATTTCTCATAAGAGAATGCCATGATTTGAATTCCCACTATAAGTGTATTGCAAGTACCCTTCTACTCGGGAAAGACAGTTAACAGAGAGAGGTTGCGCTGGAAGCAAAACATAAGCTTTCTAGTTGGTGAGTTTGCAAAGAAGGGTGCCCTAGAAATTTTGAAATTATGTGGCTTGCTTCCATTAGTTTATACTTTATAGTTATTAATTTGCTAGTTTCAACATATCCAAAGCTGATATTGAAAAAATGGAAATTTCACAGTAAATCAATCTGAGAGTTCAATTATTTCTTCTTCTTCTTTTTTTTGTGTGGACGTCTGCCTTGTATCTACCTCATTCTCTCGAGTGCTACTTGTGTATTTTACCGAGTCTTTAAGATGTGTACGGAAAACAGAAGTATTATTGAAAGACACGTACATACGTGTATAATACAAGTATTAAACGGGAAAATGCTAAATTCTTTATATGGGTAATAACTCTAGAAATGTAAAAAATCAAACTAGAACTAAAGAGACTCGAGTAATGGCCTAATAGTAATGGATAATGCTCTTAACGAAACTAAGGGAAAAAAATTTATTAAAAAATAAGGGACCCCAATATAGCCAAGCGGCAATACTCTTCAAATATATTACATTTAACTATATAGCCGCGCAGCCATGCTATTTATTTTTTTAAAAGGAAGGGGAAAAAAATAGACCCCAGTATAGCCGTGCGGCTGTACTATTTATTAAATTAAATTAAATAAAAGAAAGGACCCGCCTCATAGCACTAGGTGGCCGATTTTTTTAATTTATTTTTTAGCTGCCATAGCCGCATTCTTTCTTTCAGTCATGTCTATCGTGAAGCAAACCTTACGGGGATGTCGTTGCTAACTTGGTCCATGGGCTGAATCCTTCCAAGCTATGGGAGATGAGGGTGCCTTTGAAATTTTATGTTCCTTTCTTTTTCAACCTATTTGGGCTTGAGTGCCCGCATGGTTTCTGCTTTTAATTTTCCTTTTTCCGTATTTATAAAAAATAAATAAATAAATAAATAAAAACTCCCTGCGGCTGTACTATTTACTAAAAAAAAACTTTAAAGAAAAATTCGCAGTAAGAACTAACAGCATGAAAAGCACCATTACACAATATGATCATAGTAGCTTAGAGGATTATCCATTACTATTAGGTGAACGTGTTTTATTCGACAAAATTGTGCCAAGTTAGAACTGAAAAGTTCGGCCACTATACAATATTTTAATATATATTATTTTTATTCAAGAATATGTGAAAATTATGTGTACAATACATGAATTTTGTGTGTATTATTGAAAATTTTGTATAATACACATGTATTGAACTTCAAGAATACGTGGGTACATGTATACGTGTATTGTATGTTTGCTTATTAAAAGAACTTGTATTTTACCGAGTCTTTAAAATGTGTACGAAAAAGGGAAGTATTATTGAAAAATATGCACGTATGTGTATAATACGAGTATTAAACGGGAAAATGCTCAGAGTAATAACTTTGGGAAAGTAAAAATTGAAAAGGGGACAATAGAGACTTGGTTAATGGCCTAATAAAAATGGATAATGTTATAAACTAATCTTATCGATAAACAAAAATAAGGGGAAAAAACAAGGGAGTTTCACTAAAACACCCAAAATGGGGGTTGAAATTATAAAAAAAACCCAAGCACTATTTAAACATATAAACACACCCAAAACCCATCATTACATACACTCAAAACCCATTTATAAACACACCCAAAAAGTTGACTTTGGGGTTGATTTTGGGTGTGTTTCTATGTTTAAATAGTGCTTGGGTTTTTTTATAAATTGTATAGAATTGGGTTTATTTATAAATTTTTAAAAAAAAAAAAAAAAAAAAAGAGAAAAAAAAAAAATTTATATATTTAAAGAGTGTAGCCGACGGCTATACTATTTATTTTAAAAAAATTAAAAAAAGGACCCCAGTACAGCCGCTTGGCTAGCTATACTATTTAAATATATTATACTTAACGGTATAGCCGCGCGGCTATACTCTTTATTTTTACTTTATTTTTAAAAGAAAAAAAGAACCCGCAGAGACCCTACAAACTGATAATCGTTTCATAGGCATGCCATAATTTTGACTGATACTCATTTCTTTTGCTTGATCATTTAAGCTTATGTGTAACATACACAGTTTAAGTTATATTTCTTCATGTAGTGTTGTTAATATGTGTTGCATGACATTCCTTTGTTGTTTTCTCGCCTTTCAAGGAATTTGTGACATAACAATTTCTAAGTCTTTGCATTCTATCAAAAGTTTTTCCCATTGGATCAGATTTTAACTTGTAACTTTCTTGGTTGACTTGTCCCACATAAGATCAAAGTTCTTAGTTATGATGACAGTATGGAGCTGTGCTTCTTTTGGGCATGAGTTTGGAAGCCTTTTATCCAGCTATTGATGACGGTTTCTATACTATGATTGGAGAAGGATCAAGAGCAGGTTACAACATTAATGTCCCCAGGGAAAATGGTCAATCGGTGTGGGGATGCATACTATTTTGCAGTTTGGGACCATATTTTGGTTCCTGGAATTGCAGCCAATAACACACCCTCCATTCCCTTAAAAAAAAGGGCAATTCCAGAAAAACATGCTCTCCAAAACCAGATAATTTATGCATAAAACTTCATAGAAACTAAAGTATATTTCTCATAAATAAGAACACCTACAATATTTACCTTCAGAAAGTAAGATGTCAGCAATTTCATATTAACTGATTATGTACTCTCATCTTCAAATATCAGCATCTATTTCTATTATTTGGAATAATGAGGTCATCATATTTTGTTTGGCCTGGGTGATCATTATAGTTTATAATCGTCATAAACTACCATTTTCTTATAGGATAAACAACCAGTGATCTATAACAAATATCCAAAAAGCAATTCATGCACACGAACCAATTGATCATCATATAAATTCCCAAAGAAGAAAAGGCTTGTAACTCACAGGTTAAGTAGCTTAATACAGTTAATGCCTCTTTCCACTGCCACTGGCGTTCAGATAACGAAAGAAGATGCTGCAAAATTGACAACTGCCATTCCCACTCTTCAAATGTTTAGCAATTGACGCTCTCCACTCCAATGTTTGTCTTCCACCCCTACTTACGCCATCACTTAGAGCATGATCTAGTTCAGTTATAAACTTATAGTTGAAGGAAGAAAGTGATGTAATATATCTAGTAGTTTCCCCGTGAAAGATACAACTAATTTGTTTCCCTCTTCAGGTGTTATATCAGTTTGCTCTGAAGCACATGAGTAATGTGATTCAGAATAGCTCCATGGTGAGGCACAATGAGCCAAATTGAGAGAAAGATCATCCATATGTAAAAGCGAACTTATGACATTTGCCATCATGATCTGCATCATTACAGAAGCATTATAAAATAATTACAATGAAGAACAGGTAAAAAGATGCAGCAAACTAATAAAACTGATGACATCACGAACAAATTGAGAGCATTTATATTTCAAAGGAAAACTTGAAACTTCAAAGTAAAATTGAACAAAATACCAAAATGCAATCCATTTAGCAGTTGCTAATTCTCTAGCATCAGAACATGAATTATAAATAATTTGTTTTGCAAGAATTGTTAGGTGATTATATTTTACACAAAACAACTTTCAAAGACAACAGATTTGCCCGAGGAAACATGTTAGACGTGTAATTGCAAGTCGAACTTACAATTCATAATAGACTACCTTGCGAGGGATGTCATTGACAGCCTCCAAATGGTTCTGTAGATCTTTCAAATGGTCAAATGCAACTTGATGAAAACTTTTTCTTTCACCAGTCGTAGTCCTTTCCATCACTCCAACCGCAAGAACAGCTAAACCTGGGGCATACCAACGATAATTTTCAACGATAATCTAGAGCATAACAGGTGATCTTCGCATGCTATTTGTTCTTTAGCAGACAACATCAACGATAATTTTCAATTCCATGCTTGACCAGAATTGACGCAGGCAACAAAAGAGGCAAGATCAAGCCGATAACATAAAGAATCACAAGGAAATTTTCCACAAATCGGGCTAGGCGGCACCTAGGCGCTAGGCGGCCTGGGCGGCTCTGTGAAATATAAAATTAGTTTCTTTAGGTTTTTTTAATTTTCTTTTTTGTATTAAATAATATCTTTGCTTTATTTTTATTATTTTTATTATTTTTATTAGTAATTATGTTTTAATTATTATTTCTTTAGTAATATTTGATTGAGTAATATCTTAGTCTTATTTAATTAATATAATTACTAATTAGCTTTTAGTTTTTTTTTTTATGAATAATTAGTATTTAGATATTTAATTTGTTTCATATATTACTTATCAAATAGTAATTAATTTTATGAATTATTTTGTGCACTTAAAAACCAAGAAAATGGTTGCAGCATAGTAAGTATAAATCACAAAACAACCAATATACATACATATAATATATTTGATTTGCTTATTAACTTAGTTTTTGATTGAATGATTTGCAGTGGTTACATGTCCCAGAATATGCAATTGATGGGTTCTACTCGATAAAATCCGATGTCAATAGTTTTGGTGTGTTGGTGCTGGAGATAATGAGTGGGAAGAGAAATATAGGATTTAATCATTGTTTGTTTTTGTTTCTTCTTTTAAATCAATACAATGGTTTTGAACTATGGATACAATTTAGAAAGTAAATTGCTATACAAGCAATTTTATACTATGAAATTCAACATTCTTTGGTCCACAAAATGTAGGCAGATCCCTATTTTTGTTGTTGTATTTATAGATTTAACTTGTATTATTTGTTATAAATAAAATTCATTTTGTATTCTTGCCCAATGGGCTAATAGCTGGAAATCATTAGAATATGTGGTATCGGAAATAAATTGAATTATCATTCCCCTAATGTCACTTGTATAAATAAAGTAATTGAAGAAATAACTCTAGCCCAATGGGCTAAAGTGGTATTTTAGCCCTAAACCCTAAAATTATATGACAAAATTGTACATTTTAATAGAAGTATAGCCGCATGGCTATACACTTTAAAAATTTTAAAAATTAAAAAACAGTATAGCAGCTATGCCCTTTAAACATATTCAGGGTTTAGGGACAGAGAAACTAACACGAAGCTTGCAGTCCGAGTCATAGCCATTTCGTTTCCAAGCTTCAAAGACTTAGTCTTGAGCCTCTCTCTCAACTCAAGCTTTGATTTTTTTTCTTTGGTTTCGGCTGCTGCATTGATTCGATTCAATTGGGCTCTCTTAATGTTTGCCAAGGCAGAGACTTTGTACTCTGGTTTCGGCATCGAAAAAAGACCCAACCCGCCTAGCCTAGGCTTAGGCCAATTTTTCGAACACTACGATTGACTGAAAATTTGGTGCCCGAAATTGAAAAATAAAATACCGACATGTAAAGGTTGTCAAATTGTTGGAGTTCCACGACAACTACGAAACCAACAATTCAATGACCAAAAAAAGATCATGGAGTTGTACAGAAAATTCAAAGTTCCAAAATAAGTTGGTTTAAATCACTACTAATATAATGTCCACCTTAATCTAACATATGAGTGAAAGAAACAAATGAAATTGACATTTTCAAACTCAGAAAGTATATAACGAACTTGGAGAAATACTTGAACTTATGCGAAACCGAGTTCTTCATTGCATCTCATAGAACTTAAACATGACAACTCTCTGAACCACATTCAAACATCGAAATTTCCTTGTATATCTCCTTTTTTGGGCGGGGAGGAGTGACAACATTGGCCGCAATCACATTAGAAACAGTCATTTTATTAATAACCAAACCGAACTTCAACAAATGCTTAGTTGTATCCATCTCATCACGTTTTCTTTGGAACCCCTTCATGGAGGGTACTTAGGTAATTTCAAGTCTTCAAGTGATTATATCAAAATAAGATTTGTAAAGTGATCATTTAGGAATGAAAGTTGTGCAAAGTGGTCATCTTCGTATATTTCCCCTCTTTTTAACTACCTTATAACCGCCAAAAAAAAAATCAGCAAAAACTAATAGACGGATTATGTTGTCTGAGAGGACAAAACGTGGCGTTTTGGTTAAACCTCAAAGTCATCGACTCCACGGCACCCTCTCGTTGTTGGTTAGGTCACTGTCCCTTCGCTACCTCGACGAGTCCGTCCGTTCCCTCCCCAACCCAACTCACCAACCCACTTGCCAAAACCGAAATACAAAAAAATTATCCTTCCATATATCTCTCCGCTCCATCAACCACCCTCCTCCAATCTCTCTCTTCACCAAACCCCCCTCTCTCACTCTCTCTCTCTTTCTCTCTGTACAGCAGTAGTCATGGAAGCTTCACCCGCTCTCTCGCGCATCGGCCTCGCAGGCCTCGCCGTCATGGGCCAAAACCTCGCCCTCAACATCGCCGAGAAAGGCTTCCCCATCTCCGTCTACAACCGCACCACCTCCAAGGTCGACGAGACCGTCGACCGGGCCCACAACGAGGGCAATCTTCCTCTCTTCGGTCAGTACAATCCTCGCGACTTCGTGCTCTCCATCCAACGGCCCAGATCCGTCATCATCCTCGTCAAGGCTGGTGCTCCGGTCGATCAGACTATCGCCGCGCTCTCCGCCCACATGGAGCCCGGCGACGCCATCATCGACGGCGGCAACGAGTGGTACGAGAATACGGAGCGTCGAATTGCTGAGGCCACCGGCAGGGGACTTCTCTACCTCGGGATGGGAGTCTCCGGCGGCGAGGAGGGGGCCCGCCACGGCCCCAGCCTAATGCCCGGTGGGTCCCACCAGGCCTACACCAACGTCCAGGATATTCTCCACAAGGTTGCCGCCCAGGTCGAGGATGGTCCCTGCGTGACCTACATCGGAGAAGGGGGTTCTGGTAATTTCGTGAAGATGGTGCATAATGGGATTGAGTACGGCGATATGCAGCTGATTTCGGAGGCGTACGACGTGTTGAAGAACGTCGGGGGGTTGAGCAATGAGGAATTGGGTGAGATTTTTGCAGAGTGGAACAAGGGAGAGCTGGAGAGCTTCTTGATTGAGATAACGGCTGATATTTTCAAGGTTAGGGATGATTTGGCAGATGGGTTTTTGGTGGATAAGCTTTTGGACAAGACTGGGATGAAGGGGACTGGGAAGTGGACTGTGCAGCAGGCTGCTGAGCTGTCTGTAGCTGCGCCCACCATTGCTGCTTCTTTGGACTGCAGATACTTGAGTGGGTTGAAGGAGGAGAGGGAGAAGGCTGAGGAGGCTTTGAAGCAAGCTGGGTTTAAGGAAGAGATTGGGAGTGTGACGAGTGGGATTGATAAGAAGAGGTTGATTGATGATGTGAGGCAGGCTTTGTATGCTTCTAAGATTTGCAGTTATGCTCAAGGGATGAACTTGTTGAGGGCCAAGAGTGTGGAGAAGGGTTGGGGTTTGAATTTGGGGGAGTTGGCTAGGATTTGGAAAGGTGGGTGTATTATCAGAGCAGTGTTCTTGGATCGGATTAAGAATGCTTATCAGAGGAATCAAAGCTTGCCCAACTTGATTGTTGATCCTGATTTTGCTAAAGAAATGGTGCAGAGGCATGCTGCATGGAGGAGAGTTGTTGGGTTGGCTGTATCAGCCGGGATTAGCACTCCCGGAATGTGTGCCAGTTTGTCGTATTTCGATACCTATCGGAGGGGTAGGCTTCCGGCCAATCTTGTTCAGGCGCAGAGGGACTTGTTTGGAGCTCATACTTATGAGAGGGTTGATCGCCCTGGAGCTTTTCATACCGAGTGGACCAAGCTTGCTCAGAAGAGTGGTTCTAGTGTTGGTGCTCTCAATTGAGCGCTTGTTTACTAGTTTGGTTGGTTGTTGATTTGGATTGGATGCTGGTTGTTTTGATACTTGAATTGGAATTGTATGTCTCTTAGAGGCTTCTTTGCTTAGGCATAGCGAGTAGCGATCATTGCTTACTTGATAATAAGAAATGCATGCCTTTTGAGTTCAATGAGCTAAATTGTTGTCTTATGATTTCTTTCCATTGTTCCCTTTTGCATTTTGAAATGGCTATTCTGTTCCTTGGATTTCAGTGGTGTTCCTTTGTTGAATGTTCTGTCAATCCGATTTATTGTTTCAACTCGAAAAATGGAGATTACTATTGGTCTATAAGCTAAAAAGAACCTTGCTTTAGGTTCCATGTAGTCACATTCTTGTGTATGTGTAATTCTGCTGCTTGAACTGGAAACTGGTATATAGCTGGATTTGCAATTGTTATACTCAATGGATTTAACTATTTCTCTTATCTCATTAAGGTTTTTTGGGTGGTAATTATGAGTTTGCATCCCCTTCTGTTTCTCTAACAACTTGAGTTAAGAAATTAATCTCAGTAACTTTGACAAGTCTAAGCATAATTTTCCTCAGAGGTAAAAGGCTTGGTGTCATTGTGGTCGAAGCATGCTTAGTTGAGAAATCTATTCTTGTTGTCTCAGAAACTGGGCTTTGGTTAACTCAAGACTGGCAATGTGAGTCCCCCTCAGGAGCCATGATTTTGCTGTTGCATTTTCCTTGCGTTCTTTTTCAGTCATGGCTGCCTTGCATTGTGGTTTTGGTTCACAATTTTCTTGTTCAGCTGTCGGCTAACATTGTTGTGAGGTTGAGGGCCTTGAGGCTACTGTAGAAAGAGAGGACATTTTAATGTTATTTTTGTAATGGTGTGAAGCAGTCTGAGAGTCGTTTTATGAGTTCAGACAGACTTACTTTAGTGGCTCTGTCAACTGTTCTTGAAGATCTAAGGATTATGAAATTACTTTGTTCATTACCTACCTCGACTCTCAAGGTGACACGACACCAATTACTCCATCTCATGAAGAGAGTCCAATACTGCATTTTTTGTGGTGTTTCATATAATTATGATATTTCTTTTCTTTTCTATTTTTGGGTAACGCTTGAGAAAAACTTGGTCCGGGGAGTGCCCCTGGCACCTATTAAGGCGTAGCATGTCACTCAACTTGTCACGTTGCTCGAGTGTCTTTTGAATATTTCGAATATCCCGAATAAATGCAATCATTTGAAAACCGTATGAGAATGATGTGAAGCTGGGATCATTAATGACCATCAGAGAATAATATCAAGCAGAGATAATGCAGTTTAAATCTTAATGCTTATTTCCACGACAATAAGAAACCTCATGTTTCACAAATTTACAATTTCACTCAGTAGTTATTGCTTTTGGCCAAACCATAAAAAGACAAGTGATCTGATGAACCATGGCATGGAGAGCCATTCTCAAGGGCCGGCAGAGTTCTCGTTACTGCAGCAGAAGGCATTTTACTACCCAGAACCCATCTATTTTCAAGAACCAAATCCTCCTCAGCTTGTTTCTCCATCACCTGAATCTTCTTCGCCTTTAGACGCTTCAGAGATGCCATCCCAACATAACCCACCAAAACCATCATGGGAGATGCAAGCACGAACCCTACAACCCACAGAAACTTCAGGCTTCTTTTTCTCTTCAATCGAAGGACGATCGAAAAATGACCTTGCTCTGTGGCGTAGCATACACCAGGGTGTCTCATTTCAGTGAGGGAAACTGTCCCATTGGTAGCAAATGATGCACACTTTGCCTTGGAGATCGTGCCTTGATCCAATGTGAGATTGGGGAATTGAACCAATATAGGCTTCCCCATGGTTTTGAGACTGAGCTTTGTGGTGCTTTTATAACTTGTATTTGATGCATTATAAACCATAAAGCCAACAACAGAAGAGACTAGGGAGTAACCTGGAAGAGTGTAGTAGTGAGAAGACCAATTGCCCAAATTTTGATGGACCAAAGCCAGCCTTTTCACATGAGGCATAGGCATGGTTCTTGATGGGATTTGAAAACAGCTGAAATTAGCAGCACCTCTGTTCCACAATCTCCGGCTTCGAAGTCTTACAACGGAGACTTCCATGCCAGATAAGTTAGCAGGCAGGATAGCCTTGTACAGAACACCAGTGTGAGCCCGGCGCTCAGAAAGTGCCTTGAAGGCCAAATCTCTAGCAAACCCATCTAAAGAGTCACTTGTAGAGTTGCACAAGCAGCACAAACATGAACTCAAAAGAAAGGTGAAGAAAAAACACAAACAATTTATGCTCATTTTGGTTCCTGTCAAGACTTAACCCAGAAACCAGATTGGTCTAAACAGTGCAGCAGCTGAGCATACTACTTGAGGATTATGATAAAAGGGATTGCAATTTAGCTTTTTCTGAAAGTGGTTTTTGTGAAGGTGTGTGAGTGTTTTATGGTGCATTATGATGTGTTTCTGCAAAAGATAGTCAGCATGCCAAGTGGTCCCTCAAGGAAAGGACTTTTTTGAACAACTTTCTTCAACCGTTGGTCTTGACTTTTGTCAGACTGATAAACAATGGAAGAGCGCAGTTTAGGAGAATCCAATCCAGTTCAATTTTATTCAATTACTTTTGACAACTAATTGAATGTTAGATTATGTGTAAAGAAACAAGAAATCTAAGGCCATTGAATGCGGGTGGAACAACTAGTGTTTGGTACTTATAGCATAAACGACACGCGTTGATTGCTCTGGTAATTTGGTGGCAATTTAACCATGAAATTATTCAGACAAAAGAAAAGGGAAGGAAAAGACTTTCTTTGACTTTGCACTAGTTTTGTCATGCATTGACCGCTAAGGACTTTCTTTGGCATCCAATTTGTTCTTCTTTTTATTTTCTTTTTTCCTTTTTGATCTGAGGTTGGAAAGAAATGGGCTAACGAAGTCAGCCCTACTTATTAGGCCTAAAAAACACAGAAGGAACCCAACATTGGGCCAAAACCATGCAACATAACAAAAGATGACTAACAATGGAGAACTGGTCTTATTCAAACAAGATCCACTACTTTCCATACAAAACTAATTAGACAAGAAAATTCGTTATCCGATCCAATCGTATTAATTTTGGAATTTAAGGTTCTAGTCTAATCAAATTTATCGGTCCGTTAAACAGATTGGATTGAATTTTAAACACTAAAAAAGAACAATGCCATGCCAAACGACTAATCAAAATAGTGGAAGGAGGTGGTGCTATACACCCTGCCTAACAGACTATACACACTTGAATTGTTGGCCATTGCAGACCTATAATATGTAACCAACCATTTGATTTCTCATTTTCAAGTCCTATTTTCTTGTGAATCAAATGCACCTTGCAACTAATATATGGTACTCAATCTAAGCCTTGGATTTGAAATCCGAGACCTAATAATTCGTATTTAAAATTGGATCCCAAACAACCGAACTTGATTGGGATGTTTGTTTTAAACCCAATCCCACCAAAATGAACTGGTTGACTCCCCCCAAAAGGTCACCAGACAACAAGGTAGCAGCTAGCGCTTACACTTTTCTTCCAAGCCTACTTAACAACCACATTTTTTTAGTCCATAGCAATCATCTAAGTGGATTTAGAAATTAAATTAACTTGAAATTTTATGTATGCTTACATTGTAATTCGAATAAAACTATTACTATTTTATACACATGGGCCCTAACCTAACCTAATAGTTATCACATTTTGTTCTTGCTTTCTTTTATACAATAATTTTTTATTTTATTTTATAAGTGATAATTTAAACTATACGGACTGAAGGGAGGCGGACAAACCAATTATTTGTAAATTATTTAAGTTCGAATTCCTCCTCCCAATAATTAGATTAATGTAATTTAATTTTTTTCATTTCGTAAAAAAAAAAAAAAAAAAAAAAAAAAAAAAAAAAAAAAAAAAAAAAGAAAAAAAAAAAAAAAAAAACCCGACCCGCGCGGGTTAGCGTTCTTTTTCAATTGAAAGATAAGCCCACCCTGTTAACGTTATATTGTTTATTTTACTCGTTTAATTTTAGGCATTTTGAATTGGGAAAAGGGTTTCGCAGTGGACATGACGAAACCGAACGTCGATCTTCTCCGTCGTCGGACAATTATGGACTCGGACCAATCGCCGAGTGGGCTCGGCGAGTCGGGCTCCGACCCGGAGGCCCAGGACTTCACCTTTGCGTTCAATGATATCAATTTCTCGGATCGGATTTTGAGGATCGAAATCGTACCCGATTCCCCCGAGGCCAAACCCGACGGTGTGGGATGTTCCACCGCCTCTGACTGGGAGCGTAACAAAAAGAGAAGGAGGGCCGATATTAAGAGAGACAGTGGTAATTTTTTATTTTTTTAGTTATGTCCTTATTCATTTAATTTTGAAAATTTTCGGTTGGTGGTGGGTGGTCTGGATGGAATTAGGTTTTATTTGCTTGCTGTGAAAACGAGGGAAATCGAAGGAAAGTGGAGGTCTTTAATGGTTTCTTTATGGATCTTTGAGTGGAACTGATGGGGAGTGTGTGTGCCTTAATAGTGCTCAAGTGGGTGCATGTACATTTTGCTTAATTTTGGTCCATAGGGTTTAGGGTTTGAAAATATGAAGTGTTTGTTAGTTTATGCACAACCCCATAAAGCATAGTTTCTTGAATTTAGGCAAAAAGCTACACTTTTTTGTGCATGTTATGTTGGCTTGTTGTTTTGTTTGTGGTGTAAGATAGTCTACTACAGTGAGAGAAAACTACATTTATGGCACTTTGCCGTGACCATGATTATTGATAAGTTCTTAAATTTCAGTTAACGAGGTTAATTTAATTAAGAGGATGCTATTTTTTGAAGAAATGGGTAATAATATAAATACTTTTCACCAGTTATTGAATTTGCGGTATCTAATTGCATGTGAGTTTTGTAATACCTTATTGGTTAACATATAATAACAATATGATGGTGTAATGGCCTTTGTATGTTGTCTCTGTTTAACAAGAATTCTTCCTA